TTGTACAGCTCATTCAATTTTCGTTTTTCAAACAAACCTTGCCAGATAGGACATCTTATTATCGCAAATTGATATCTTATAAATTTTTTAAAATATTAGGATAATTTGTATGACATTTCAATATTTTCTTTTTTTTTAACTTTTCAATTAATCAATTAAGTATCGGTTACGTAATCGACGATCCGAAACATGAACACGGCTACTATGCACACCACTGAGTCTTTTGACCCTTGATGAAGCAATCTACATTGCTGACGAAACCTCGAACAGTATTAAAACAGTACATAGTCTTCATAGGCAAACTAGGTCGATTGTGTCGTTTCATAGCTCTAAAATTTTTCCAAAATCGAGTCTTCGATCAGACACGTGTCTAAAATATGAAATTTAAGGAAAGAATTTAATTACAAATCTGGCATGAATCCAAACAAAGACCACGAAACAGATAAAATAACGCGTTTGATGGAATCAAGTCCATTTTCCTTTCTATTATCGTGTTCATTGCCGTCGCGACAGTTTGCATTATTCTTATGATATTGTTTTCCAGAGCGCGGAGCCGTGAGATCTCATTAATATTGCCCGCCGTACCCGTCGCTCGTCATTAACATTAGCATTTTTACGATTATTAACGGTCATGAGCGTTATTATTTTGACGTACGCGGCTCGGCTCGGAACGAGAAGAGAACAAGAACGGAACGGAACGCATCGCTGTGCTCTGTTATGAATTGCATTACCTTTTCAAAACAGCCGTGCATTATATACCCGGGAGCATGGAAAACTGTAATGCCGGCCCCCCTCGGCTGTGCGGGTGCGCCCTATACCAGCATAAAATGCTCACACGAAATAGAAGGAAATAGGGTGAATGCAGGAAGAGAACGCGTGTCGGGGTACAATCGCCGTCGCCGGGTCAAAAGTTCAGAACGAACTTTTGTCATGTAGCAATATACAGTAGGTATGTAGCTCAACTATACCAGTCGTATTGATCTCGACCGAGCCAGTCACCGAACGAACAAAGTTCTTGGAGATTTAACGAGAGCCTCTTGGCCATCAGCTGCTTTACAAACAATACCACGTTATGCACTGTCAGGACAGTTTTGTTACAAGTAACTGGGTGCTTCTACTTTATTCTTCCTCATTTTTTCTTCTTTACTCACCGGTTATAGCACGGTCTTTGAGTCGCTTTTTAGCTGGTCCAGCCATTATCATCAACCTTTTACACGCTTTTAGAGCACGATCTATACTGGGTGGGATGGGATACGGGCGCAGAGTGATTTCTTCAGGGAAAATAAATCCAAAGCGTGAGATAAATTTTTTTCATACCTCTTGCCATTTCCTGAAAGAAATGATTCAAAGATTAGCTTAGAAAATATATATCTTTGTTACGGATAAATTGAAGATAATAATTTTTTAATAAAAAATTGAAAAATTAGTAGACATGGATTTATTCAATTATCAGCGAATTTTTCGTCGCACCCTGTATAATGCATACCCTTTTACTTCTCTCTTCACGGGCTCCGAAAGCAGCCGGAAATGTCGCAACCGCGGTTTGTGGTTCCCCTTCGAGTTGCGCTTTAGCACGCCGTCTAATGCTTCCTTTGATCCTCTTTCGGTGGATCCCGCGTTTTTACCTCTGGTACGCGAGATTAAACGTCGAACCGTTCCCTCGAAATCCCGATCGTGTTTCTCTGCGACGAATTTTCTCGTCTATCGAACGTTTCCTCTTCGAAACGAACAGGAAAAAGAAGATGATCCCAGGTTCTGGTATACAGTATCGAGCTCCTTAGGGAAAACATCCTGTATTTAAAATTAAAATTCTCAGAATTATTATTATTCTTTTAATATTGCAACTCCTCTCTCCTTATATTGCCATTTTTCTTAGAAAAGCCTACTTTTCCTCTGAACTGTGCATATAACTCGTAGATACGTTAAATCAGCAAGTATAATGAAAAGCAGCTGCTTGGAGGGTAAACTTTATTGGTATATGTATATAGATTACCAGGATTGGGGAGGTTTAAAATCGGCCGATAAGTATAAGGAATTTCCTCTCCAACTTTCGTCTAGTAACTTTCTTGCTAGTTTAACGTCAGCCCCCCTGCTAATGCATTTATGCAGATCTTGGCCGACGAGCTAAATATATTGCATACCAGAGGTATTAAACTCTCCGGTGTGACGGTATTTATAGTTATTGTAACATATAATTCTCTTTTAATTAAAACGTTCACGGCTGTCCGCCCGTGTAAACACGTTATCAAAGCGACCAGCCAACGAACCAGGATAATACGTTATTTTAATATACGAGCCTTTCCGAAGAACGAAAAGAAATCTGATTTCCCGAGTCGTATCGGATGAAGGGAGGAACACCTTTCGCACGTACGCCATTCAAATTTATTCCACCGTCCTGGAAGACGGTAAAAGACACATCAGAGGCTCGCACAGACAGAATGTGTCTTATCGATCCCGTTCTATTGCGATGGTCATAACAAATTCATGGAGGAAAATACCCAGTCGAGGGAGGAACGAAAGTGTACGATCTGCTATAAGAAACGGAGGACATTGGTTTCGTCGCTAGCACTTAATCGATTTCCTGCTAAACTTCTATTGGATATAGAAAGCGTAATCTTCGTAGAGAGTGTATATATTAATATTTATAACAAGATGCAAAAGGTTTCGTTCCGATTGATCCATCCGTCTCGGAGTAATTAGCGAACATACATATAAAAAAAGAAACTGATCGAATTGAGTAACCTCATTTTCGAAATCGGTGAAAAAATAAGCTTCAGCTGCTGAGAATCCTCTTACAAAACGAAACCTCTATCTTCTCTCACTGATATCAAGTACAGAACATACATCTAAAATCTCTGGAATCATCTTTTTCTATTCCCTGGAATAATATTTTATAGCGTATTTTCCTATGAAACGATTACATGTGTGATCGATAAAAAAAGACCGCTATGCAGGCTATTATTACCGGCCACTTATCATCCAGGAATATCCATCAACGATAAAAATACACAGGCCACTAGCCTGCATAGTTGTACCGCGATGTACGAACGGTACAATAAACTTCTATCCCTCTATAAATATCGAAACGCGTTGGAAACTCCTACTTTTCCCTCCAAGGAATTCTCTTTTTAAAGTTTCTGGGTAACAATCGACGCGAGTTTCGCTATTAAAACAGCGTTTTTCATAATGAAAGTGTTAAAATAGATAGAAACAAGCGAGTGTAATTTAAATGAGGTTCGTGGGTGAGATGGAAACGTTTACAAACGGCATAATCTATGCAGAGTATTCATCCCGGTTGGTTGATGGCCGATAGAAATCCGTGAAATATTAAACGATCCCAAACACGTTTGGCTTATGCGTGTATTTTCTGGGTAACGAGCAACCAGCATGTAATTACTAGGTCGTTAAAGCTTCGCTTACCGTTGTTCCGACGATAATTAATTTCCGTCGTTCCGATGAATAATTCCCAGGATAGGAGAACGACGAGTGAAAGTGCAATCTGGCACTGGGTACGCGCGATCATCCCAACCATCCACGGGCCAATAATGATTCCCCGATGAAAATTCATACAAACTACACCCGCGATACGTGTTTCCAGTCGATCCGTTGAACGGCAAGTTAAATTATATAGATTCGCTTCGTTTCAGCGTGAAACGAACCCGGCCGGAAATCGGGGCCGGGATTAAACGTTGCGTTCAACGAAAAACGCTTTCAATGATGATTAAAACATTTTAGCCGGTTGTTGGAGTATCGCTATCTTTCTTTCAAGTTCTTTCAGCTTACACGGATTTTCCGAAAAATTCATTCGAATTTCCGTTTACCTGGGATCGGGTTAATGATGTGTACTCTATTGACAGTTAGCTCGTTACTGGTTCGGATTACCTCGGTCAACTACCAAATTCAAGCTGGTATTAATTAACGCGTTGATCACCGTAGAGATCGGTACGATTTCGATGGAGCGGATTAATTAGAAAATAGAAAATTACTCGGTGAATTAGCCAACATTGTGTTTGGGAATCTCGTTGTAACAAGCGAGAGATATTGCGATTTTGTTAATTCTTCAACTGAATATCCCGCCTTTTTCTTCCTTCGGAGCTAACAATTGTTCGTGCAGTCTCGAGGAACAGAAGTGACGAATCGAGGGAACGATACGGAAAGATGGGAAGAAAGAAAAAGTAACCGTAGCGTGGGCGTTTATACGGCAAGCAGGAGGTAAACACGGTTCATTAGCGCAGCAGCATTCGTTATGTGCCTTCCTTCCACCTTTGTACGGTTGGATGCAAGGAGAACAAGGTCGCCGTGGACGACCCTTACGGCCTTCTTGAATAAATCAACGGTTCATCCTGCTCTCTGTATGTTCGGAAAGCGCTTTAAAACCGACTGTCTCGCGATACCCGATGAATATACACCTTACCTCTGTATCAACGTTTGCAAAGCTCGGTTCGAAGTTTGTTGTCGACCGGACAGAAGCTTGGCGATGGGCTAGGACAGTGGCGGAAATTCGGTGGAAGTTAGTTGGCAAAGCAAGCGTTATTCTGTTTTATTTGTAAACGCGACGATTTGCACTGCGAAACGAACTTCCCTGACACGATGGTACCTCTGTTTGCCTTCATGTTGTTTTTACAGCGAAATGGAACTTTCAGCAAAAGAAACATACCCGAGTGGATTAGGAAAACGCAATGAAAAATAAGAAGTTGGTCAATTTTAAATCTCGTTGGAAGAGCGATACTGATTAACCCTTCGAATGCTATATGTTCGAAACGAACTTTCTTGTATCATTTAATTTAGCGTACAGGAATTACAATTACAACTACAACGTAATTTATATTAGTAAAAAAAGTATTCCATTCTTAAAGATCGCAGCCGCTAGCTGCGTGCTGTCCATGCGAATTGTTTCCGTCGGGAGTATTCAGCATTCAAAGGGTTAATGCACGAGACAAAAAATAAAACTCGCCTGTCCTCCATCGAAAACACTGTCGTTATGGAAAAAAAAAGAAAAATTATTTTGTGACGTTTAATATTTATCGACCGCTGTGTACCGTTGATCAAGCTACGCGTATATAAAACATTTCATTTGGGTTCAGTGCGAGAACACGCGCAAACAGGGTGTTTACCGTGCTCGAACGTGTTCACGCATATCTTCGGGCCATTCACATACGAGTGGCTTAAAACAGGACAAAAATAAATCTCGAACGATAACAATAAAAGCTATTCGACCAACTGTTGGGACGCGCGTAAATCCTTGGTCAAACATAAAACAACAGAAAACAAAATGGAGGGAATTCGTACTCGCGCACAGAAAAAAAGAAAGAAAGAAAAATCGCGATAGGGGGAAGGTGAATAAAATTTTGAACGATCGTTCTTTCGATGGAAAAGCGAAGTGTGTTCATTGTTGGACGCGTGTCGCGTCGCGTCTCTCGGTTTCGATGGTCCTCGTCGAGCGAGGAAACGAGGTTGAAGCATCGACATCGATATTTCAGTGTCTCTGATGTCCCCAAAGGCTGTCGGTTCCGTCCCCTTTTTTCATGATCGTTCGATCGACCAGCACTTTCGACGGTGTTTTCAGATTGTACGCGAAACCAACGCGTGCCATCAGTTCTATGAACGCGGTGGTCGGATTCAAGCTGTAAGCCCCGAGCTCGGCAGCCTTGTAGTCCCACGGGAAGGAATGATGGTAATTGTGCCAACCTTCGCCGAGAGCGAAGAAAGACACGGCCGCGTTTTCCGTAGGCTTCACCCTCCTGCGAAATCGTGTTAAATCGCGCATGAAAAGAATACAAAAAAAAAAAAAAAAATTGTAACAAAATATACGAGTCAGCGTGAAAGTTTTAATTAACCAGGTCCCATCGTACGAACTATGCGAGGACCGGTGCTACGGGTATATGGAAACTTGCCTGTTATACGGTCGATTTCCCCACATGTGAGCGAAACTGTTAACGATAAAAGTGGCGTGTAACGACCACACGTACCGGATGAGCGTCGCGTGAATGCTTATGAACCATGTTTCGCCCCACATGAAAACTGGCAATAATATCGGTTGAACGAAGCACAGCCAAACCATAATGATCTCGTAATACCTGTAACGTGATACGGAAACGCGTATACTTCCTATTTTCCCTTCGTATCACCCTATAATTATATCTACGATATTTTCAATAATTTGTTAAAATTTTTGCCAAATTAAAAGATACTATTTTTTAACTACAAAACTGGTCAATTATCAGGGTGAGTAAGAGTTCTAGGAACGTAGGTGAACTGCGAGTGGATCGTCAGTGAACCGTGAATGGATCGATAGTGTAAAAATTTCAGTCGTCTAACAAAGCGATACAATGCGTCGAAAAATGGAACATTTTAACCGAGTAGGAGGCCAGTATTGGTTCTTAATACTCCAAGCTTTCAGATGTAAATCATGTCCTTTCAGAGGAGCGTTTCGACGTTTCATCTACCGTACCGGTTAGCTTGATTCATCGGAATTCTGAGGATACGTTGGTTCACTGTGCAGCTACATCAATAGTACGGGCCGAAACGACTGATTAACTCTTGTGTGCTGTTCAGCTCCAATTAACTCGAAGTGGAAATTCAACGGTTAATAACTTTGCGATGAAACAATTTATGCGACGTTCATTAGATTTTCATACGCTCAGAGAGTATCTAACAAAAATGCGATGATTGCAAAAAAGAAAAATACAAAGTATCTTTTTGAAAATAACATTGTTCGATAGAGCAAACCAACGTCGTTTTTCGTTTTCATATTTCTATTCAAATAAAGTCACTGACCTGAGGATAAATATATATCTTACTTGTCGTAGAACTTTATCACAGGATCCGAAGCGACGTCGGTCATATCGATTTTACTGCCGTATTTCTTGACGGACGGGTGTCGTTTAACCATCAGCCAACCGATATGAGAGAAGAAGAATCCGCGTCTTGCATCGTGCGGATCAGCCGTGGTTTCCGTGTACCTGTGATGCGTTCTGTGATCCCTGATCCACTTGTAAAAATGCGTCTGACGGCAATGAAAGACATTTACGGAGTTACTTAGAGATAACGATTGAAAAAATAGATAAAACAGAAAACAATACGTGCGAACCTACTTGACCAGCCATACAGTACAAGTAAGCTAGAAAGATACGTAGAGGAACTTTGGCCGAGTAACTTCTGTGCGCCCATAGTCGATGGGCACCTGCTGTTACTCCCACACCAGCCACCAGTCCGTACGCGATACCTCGATAAAAAATGAATAAAAATTCTTATTAATCGATCAAGAAATCGTGACATTTACGGGAACGGTGGATTTGGGAAAGCAGGGAGGAAAATCTATTTGGAATTCTTGGAGGGCGACAAATAGGAGAAATAAAATGGCAAACGGACGGTTTTCCTAAACGAACTGGAGGCGACGTACGATATGTACTTACTCCAAATCCACGTCCAGAACTTGGCATCTCGATAGCCGTTCACGAAACCGTAAACGGGGAGGAAATGAAGCACAATGATACCAATCACATTTCGCCATATTATAGGTTGGCTAGCTGAGCTTTCCTCCGCCGGTAATGCAAGCGGTTCCACGTCCACTTCCACCTTTCCATTCACCTCTTTCTTCTCCTCGTATTGAGTCACCGTTGAACTGTACATTTCCCCAATTTCCGTTCCTAATATCGGAATAATTCGTTACACTCGACTGTGAGTAATTAAGGGGAGAAAAAAAGAACGATCATCATAGTTTCATAATTTTCCAACGTTTCGGCCTTATTTCGAGCCTCTCTTCAATGACTTCCCTCTTTGTGAAATTTATCGATAAATCACGAAAGTGAATTTTTTTTTCCATTATAAAGAGGAAATGATCCGTGCTACTTTTTCCATTGAAAGTTTACGATCGCCTGTCATATAAAATCTGCATTAACGCGAACATTATATAGGGTGTTTTGATTACCCTCATTACCGTGTTCGATCAATTTTATCGATCATTAGGCTACCGACGTGGATGCGAATTACGTATCAATCATCAAATTTCACTGCAAAAAGCGGCAATTACTCTCGCCTCTGTGTAACATGAATGTCAATCCGTTTTTCAATACGGAAGATAGAAACTGGTATTTCTAGTTTTACATAATCTGCTTTGTAAGTGTGATTAGCGGCCGCGTTTCTAGCGAAAGAAATAGCAAGTTCGAGTTCGAGATAAATGTAGATGATTGTTACCGACGATTAATTGGCAATTAGAGGTTTGCTAATGACGTTGAGAAATGTTCTGTAAGCAGAAAATCTGAATTTTAGATTACGTTGGAAATCTGTAAATACGTGTTTGGAAATCGGTAATTTAGTACGCAACACCTTAACGACAAAATGCAAATGGAGCAGGAAAGCATTAAAATTACTAATGCTTTTTACGATGCAATTAGCTGGAGATATCGTAAGCAGCTGAATCGAACATCACCAAATGGTGTGGAACAATCCAAGCTGGGTTCGGTGATTAAATGTACCGCCCACGCTCCAATACACTCTCCCTTAATCTGTGTCAACCTTTATTTCCTATACACCAAAGACAACTATGAAACTTATTAACGTAACCGGTCTCATATCGATACAAGGTAATTTTAACCGCTGATTAAAGATGCTAATTTCATTGTTAGCTTCCTGGATGCTTCGTGCAACAATTTGCATAATAAAATAATACTGTTGAGTGTGTTATTAGAAAATTTATATTTCCATTAATATCCGTGCTGTAATTATTAGCTAGTAATTGGGGTGTTACTCTCAGCTGGGACCATGGAATCGATATTCTATCTAATTCTAAATGCATTGGATTCTCTGCTATTTTCGACAAATTTCATAATTATGGAATAATTTAATGCCAGAATTTCTAACACTTTTTCAAATGCCCCAAAAAACTTATCTATTAAAAATAGAAAACCAAAGTTGACTCGAGAACCTAAAGGGTTACCAAATATTCGCCTGCGAATCGTGTACGGTCGGTGATGTTTAATTCGTAAAAGTTGAAGAAAAATGCGGCCCCCTCGGTAAGCTGGCGCGAATCTTACGGCAAGTTCTACGGATTCAATCAAAAAGTTTAATGCATTCGAACGCGATCCCGTGCGCAGCACGAATTACTCTCGAGAGAAATTAGACGGTGAAATTCCGTTGGATTCTTTATCGTTCGGTATTATCGTTTTACCATGGAAGTCAGGCTTGCTAGAAGAAATTTTATTAACTGGCCTACTTCTTTGGGACACGGCCAAAATTCAACCCGGACCAGATGTCCGACTTTGCATTAATAATTCAATAAAGCCGATGACACACGTACGACATCGGTGCTCGATGCATCTGATCGAGCTATAAAACTGCACGATCGACATCTGCGACTGCCGGAAAATTTCCTTTTCCTTAACCAATATACATGGTATTCCCTGGATACACCCGCGATCAATTTTGGCTTCAAACAGGAATGTCTAAAATTTTAATTTTTACGATATCGAGAAAGTAAATATTAATTCAAATCCCCCCGCGTAAACGTTTATATCTATGCAAGTGACAGGGGGCTGTATATCTATTGTAGGCGTTGAGTCACCCCGGACTCCGTCAACGGCCTTAGCCACTTAGGCCACACCGGTACCCGTAAGATCACCGAAGTCAAGCTAAGTGGGCACGGTTTCGCCAAAAGATGGGTTACCGTGTGCTGTTGGCAACTAAATAAGCGGAGATAGTGAATATGAATAAAATGGATAAAGAGAAAAAGGTAGATGAATGGAGAAAAAAGAAATGTAAAGAGTATAAAAGAAGTAAAAAGAAAAAAGGAGAATAATGGAAAAAACTATGGATGATTTGATATAATCATACTAAACTATGTACGGTGCGGATTTAGAGAAAGAATTTAAAAAGGCCGCTGATGTTCGTTGGGCAAGAGAGGAGGAAAAAACCTCCTGTAGAACGGCCCATCTTGGGCTTCGCCCAAGAAAAGCCGAAAAAAAAAAAACCCCGGACTCCCTTAGCTAGGGTCGGCGACCGCCAGGTGGCGGTGGGGTTGAGTCGGTTCTCTCGCTAGCGGTCCCCCGGCAAACGATTATTAAAAGTTTCGAAAAATGGGGTTATAAGCGTCTGGGGCAGGGATCGTCTGTCGTTAGCCCCACTGACTGGACTAGCCTTTTTCTCTCTCTGCACTATATGGGGCCCTCACCCCTGCATCATCATTTTCCCCCCAGGCACCTATCAAATGGAAAACCCGGCATCTCACCATTTTTCCCGGAAAAAATCTGGTATTTGATGCAGGATTTTATTTTGAATGAAAAATAAAAAATCGGTTTGAATAGCTGTCAACTGCAGTTGATTTTCGTATAACAAATAACAAATAAATTCGATTTCCCCGAATAACCACTAATTGTTTTATTCGTGAATAAAATTGTAAATAACTATTATCCAACACTGTTGTGGTTAATACGTTTTTTCTTGACAAAAGAACCGCAAGGTTCGTTCGTTTCCCGTCGCCGTTGAACAAAACATTTTCCGCTTTCCAAACGCATAAATCCTCTCGGCGCTGTTTAAATATTTACCAACGTCCTGTCTTCATTTTTCAAGCAACAGTTCATTCACGCCGTATAACGAAATATGCACGTTCCTCGCTAATCGCTTTTCTCATTAATCGATTGCAGCTTGGTACCGGTAGTTTACTTTTTTTCATTTTTCACAAACGACCGAATTTCGACATTTACGAACGAACGTTTCACGGTAGAGCGCACGTAGTGAGGATCAAACCGAGCATGTCGCGGTCTCGCTCATAAAAATCTCGTCTTTCGACACGCTCGCAGATTTCCTTTTCATTCTCTGCCCTCAGCTGGATCATAAAAATCCGTTCGCGGATCGGTGACCGCATTGGCCGCGAGTGATGGACCGTCGAACGACGAATCGTCGGACCTGACTCCAGGCAATTTCCCTCTCGTTCGTTCGATATTATCGTATGTTCGAATCGGTACGAACGATACAACCATCGATTCGACGTTGCTCGCACCCTCGAGCAACGTGTCGCTGCCAATAACTGGATGGTTAAGCCCAAACGAGCTTCGATCGTTGGTGTAAAAACCAGATGAAATTTCGTTGAAACAGACATTCTTCCTAGGAATAAAAATCCTTTTCATTTTTTCAAACATTTCATTTCCACGGAAACAAATTATTCTTTCGATTGAAACGCACGTGGAAGTTCAACGTGTCGAGCATAATTACCAAAATCATTACCGTATCTCTGAATCAGAAAACAACAATTTCAACGGTAGGTCGTTAGAAAGTACCGATCGTCTAGGAACTAACCGTACCATGAACCGAAGAGGGGAAAATGTTGAAAGCTTCCATCGAGTTTCGGCATTTTGTTTTTCCTATCCGAGAACCCTTTTACCCCCGGTGTCAGGGTTTTCGTATCAACGGCGCGAACAGTGGCCGAAACTGCGGCGAGTATTCGCAGACATTAAATCCAACTGCGATTGCTCCAAACCGTAGATAACAACAGCGCGCAACAACGCCGCGGGTGACGCTTTGTAATTACCTTCATCTGTTAATGACGCCTTCGCGATTCGCGCAACCGTAGGGCTGTAATACGAGTTGCTGGACCGGATTGCTGTTTGAGAAATGGATTGTTGAACTTCGCGTGGCTTGCTCGACGGGAATTGGTGGGAAATAAAAGTTCGAGGGAAACGCTACGTTGTACATAGTACACCGTAATAGATGAACGTAAGTTGGACGTTGAATTCAATGAACATAAATAATAAAAAAAGAAACAGTTTCCAGCGTTTAAAGGTAGTTAAGCCAAGTTGCGCTTGTCGACGCCCGCGATGGGGATGAAAGATCGAAGGGAAAGCTAAGAGAAATTAAAGACGATAAATCAGCTTTCGCGATTCAATGCCGAGAAAGTCCACGTATGGATCATGAATAAACAGAAAATTTTTACGAACCTCTAATTTTCTAATTTCTTTTCCGTTATATCAACAATGAGATTCGAAACTTTCCTATAATTTCTAACAATAAGATGCAGTTGATAGAAGAAAAACAAGGTTGAAATGAGAATGCTTTTATATAGGATATGTAAGCGAAACTGTATCCCATTTTATTTGGAATATTTGTCTCGATGGAGAATACGTAGCGAGAATAAAAGTGACGTACAACACGAGCGCGAGGACAGTAGGAAGAAATACGCTCCGGCGGAAAATTGCATTTTCAATCGCATAGTTGTTCGCGCGTATCGCCTAAACGACCTACCGAGCGTCCGCTAAACAATTGATTAATAAAATTGATCGAGTCCATTCGATTCGCACGGCGTATTTTCAAATGATTAATCGACGTCAGAACTTAGCTCGAGTATTCGAAACGAGATTTTCTATTTCAGGCCGCGTGTTCACAGGTTGCAATCGCAACGAAACAGCGTGATATAACCGCGGCCTCGTAAGTGCTTCACGTTCGAGTTACGGGGTCTTTCAAAGTTTCAGCATTGCGGAAAATGTTCGAAGCAGCTTGTTCCATCGAGCAAACAAGCCTCGCAGCATCGTGCCCGTAAATTGTCGAAAATTCCTGCCGAGTTTCGAACTGTTTGACAAACATCTGCGATGTGGGATCGTTAAGATTAAGCCGAGTGAGAAGCTTACGATGAATTTTAGGCTGACTGTGACAGGTGAAAATTATGGAGAAAAGTGACGCTTGAATTTCCATTAAACCTTTAATTAAGTAATGGATAAAATTTGTTAAAAATTAATTTGTTAAAGTGATAACCTGATACCGGGGGTAAAAGGGATCTCGAATAGGAAAAACAAGACAAATATCCCATCAACGTATTCTGTTATCTGATATAACTGTAATTAGTAGTTTCACGCGATCATTAAGTAGTTGATCAGGCTATATATAGACGCGGTTGGTATCAGACACGTAGCAGCTTTGATGAGCAAATTAGGATTCTAACTGGTTTGTCGGTGCAGAGGCTGGCGTAGCTTGTATACCTGTAAAGCAGGATCCGTTGGCTCTACTGTCGTTTTCAATTATCCCAGTTATAATACTTTTAAGTGCAATAAATTGTACTCTATTCCCCGGGCGTGTTACGGCTCTGTATTTCGTTAAGTTGGCTACCGAGCATGTTGGTTCTTGTTTAGAACTGTTGTTTCGCTACGGGAATTCATCCTTTTGTTCGTCTCTACCGTGCAGGTATTCTTCTAATTGCCAGCTGTGTAATGAATCCCACCCTAACTGTTGAATTTGACCAGTTATTTAACCTTCATTCATCGTTCTGTACCATCCAACTAATTAACAGAGCCATTCAATCATATTCATGGTAATTTTCATGTTACCCGAAAAATATTGTGCAGATAATAAGTAAAGTTATGATAGTATCAAATGAAACTTTCAGCTTTAGTATAGCGGTGGACGTGTTAAATCGTTGTATTAAATGGTAACTTTGCTCTAACCCGTGAGTCTGGAAGGGATTACCTCTAAATCCTACGTCTACACGCATATCTCAATGTATCCTAGAGCAGACGCAATAACGAGCCAGACTCTGGAGTTAATTACCCCTAACATTATGTAAATGTGATTCTACCATCTCGTAAATGGTACTGTGAAAATCAATTTTATTATACGCGTAATCAATCAATGTACCTCCCCTTTGATTAACCGCCCTTATGCGGTGAACAACCCGCGCACCCTTACGCGATGTACCTGTCGATTACCCCTGACCACCGATAGTTACTTAACTTTAGTTCGATACCAAACTATCGATTATTATTCTCGATACTTTAAATTCTATTAGATCGTAAAATGTTATTTTATAAAATAGAGTAAGGAAGAATTGAAAATTTCTTTTTTAAATATTTCTTAAAAATGTTAGAAAGGGTATCTACCCTTTTCGCTGCATTAACTATCTGAAATTATGAAAGCGTTCGTACGTGAACAAATCGATAGGTACATGGCAACGATGCATCATCTATCGAATTATCGATAATTGGCAAAAACATTAGCGTGTTTTCGAGGGTAGTTTGAAAGTGATCGCGTCAACGATAATATCATTCGAGGGCCGATTGTGTAACAACGAGACGAACGAAACAACGGTATCGAAGGGGAGTTACCGATGAATGTTCTAAATTTGAAAATTCCAAATCACCGAATCAACGATGGACGAGCAAACGTTCGATTTGTCATAATTAGCCCGTGATACGACACCCTTGAAACGAGCATACGTTCTCGATGTTCCCTTTTCACGCTCCGCTCTAATTGCGCGCGTCAATCGCAACAGCTAATTGCTGCTGCTTGCTCGGAAACCGAGTAAACCGATATATTCGCTGAACCCCTGTAACTACGGCATCGGTTTCGTGTCACGTGCACAACGTGTATATACGTGTTTCACAAAAAAAAAAACAGGGTCTATGACCTTAAGGGCTTGTGCTACTCACCCAGGACGGTATAAATTGGTCAGTCAGTCTTTTCTCTGAAAAATAGAAAAGTTATATTAATATTGTATAGAATTCAGGATTCTAGGATTCTATATTTTCAAAATTTAAAAAATCTAAAATTGTCTCAAAATTTCATAGCCTGCCCCCAAAAAATATCCCAATCACCCCAACCTCCCTTCTTTTACCAAACAATCCATTATTATTCTCGATATTTTAAATTCTACAAGATCGTAAAGTGTTATTTTATAAAATAGAGGCAGGAAGAATTGAAAATCTTTTTTTCCTATTAATATTGTATAGAATTCAGGATTCTAGGATTCTACATTTTCAAAATTTTAAAAATCTAAAATTGTCTCAAAATTTCATAGCCCGCATCCAAAAAATATCCCAATCACCCCAACCTCCCTTCTTTTACCAAACTATTCATTATTATTCTCGATATTTTAAATTCTACAAGATCGTAAAGTGTCATTTTATAAAATAGCACCCAAAAAATATCCCAATCACCCCAACCTCCCTTCTTTTACCAAACAATCCATTATTATTCTCGATATTTTAAATTCTACAAGATCGTAAAGTGTTATTTTATAAAATATAGTAAGGAAGAATTGAAAATCTTATTTCCCTATTAATATTGTATAGAATTCAGGATTCTAGGATTCTACATTTTCAAAATCTAAAATTGTCTCAAAATTTCATAGCCCGCACCCAAAAAATATCCCAATCACCCCAACCTCCCTTCTTTTACCAAACAATCCATTATTATTCTCGATATTTTAAATTCTACAAGATCGTAAAGTGTTATTTTATAAAATATAGTAAGGAAGAATTGAAAATCTTATTTCCCTATTAATATTGTATAGAATTCAGGATTCTAGGATTCTATATTTTCAAAATTTTAAAAATCTAAAATTGTCTCAAAATTTCATAGCCCGCCCCCAAAAAATATCCCAATTACCCCAACCTCCCTTCTTTTAACACCCTGTACACACAATCTAGCATCTGTCTGGATGGAATCTATGTGTGTGTCTGGTTTGGTCGATGAAAAAAAAAAAAGCTTCGTTCAAACTCATCGTGCAACGGTATGCTTTAAGTATCAGTAATCGATACATCTTGTCTGCGCCGATGTCAACGCCGGCAGCAACCAACCAAGCAGGGTATAACAAGCAGATATAGCAGAGGATCGTCAAGTTTTCTTCGCTACTCACCCGTTCTCGATCCGTCCACCAGACACTTAGAAAGTCAGTTTGAGCAGGAACGTCGAGGCGTTTCATCGAAGCTGTCGAAAACGTTTCAGGTCGAACCGCTTGGCGATCGCGCATTTATAAAGTGCCCCCTAATCTCTCGTGGTTAGGTTCGTTCATTGTTGGACACCTAACTACCGAGTTGTTCGCTGGAGGGGATGCCACCTATGAAACGTCTACCACCGTATGTTGTACAATTTCTAACCGTGATGGGTCTGTCTGGAAAATAGGGAGAGAGAAAAAAAACACTCCACTCTGCTGTTTCAACCTGCTACTCCTTCCATTTCATCTCCTGTAATCTTATTCCCTCGAGTCTTCCATCGCGTTCTCTTAACAGGCATCGGTCAGAATGATAAAAGGGGGTGGTTTGAGTTGTTTGTGACGGTAAAAATTTGAAATACGAAATTAATTTTTCTTATTTTTATGAAATATTTGAGAGCTTGTAAAAAATTATTACATCTGTGAAAAGTTGCGTTTAAAATGTTATAGGAAAATAAATAATTGAAAAGATAATTGGATGGAGAGATTAAAATCAGCCACCCTATACGGAGACATAAAATGGGGACGGAGAGGGTTGTAGGAGGGGAAATACCCGTAACCTACGTTCATATTTTTCCTTTTACGGTGAAGCCATTTCGCAAGCCGCTTATCCAAGCCAAACTATTGCTGCTCGTGCGCTCCCCTATTTTTGGATTCCCCGCTATTTGTCTAAACGTCGACGTAGCCACGGGAAGAAAGAGCTGTCTGCGTTCTCGACTATGATTGAACGAGATTTTGTCGAGATTGTTCCAGTCAAATTCGAGAGACATCAGCCCGGAAGAAGTGTATTAATCTTGCATCTTGTATATTCTGCATTTTTCAAAATTTATACCTTGGGAATTGCCTCGCGTCAGTCACATGAAACAGATCCTTAAAAACTTTCGCTTTATCGCTGTTCCATTTCTTAACCTTTCCTCCGTATCAATCGGATAGAATCCGTAATTGATCGACGCTTGGGAGAGAGAAAGAAAAATTTGAAAATCGAAAACGTGACCGGTGTGAGAGAAAGCTCGTCGAGAAAATTTCATTCCCAGGAAGGTATGTGTTTTAAAAAAACGTCAAGAACATCGGATCCGGTAACGTGTTTCTCTTGAATTCCCTGGAACACTACGCTCCGTTGAATTTTCCAGTTTTCCCAGCCGCTACTTGCTGCATCTAATTTTATGGAGGAAAATAAAACTAACGTGGGGGTGGGTACGGTAAATCGAAGAATTTCGAAAATCCAGTAGAATCCATTTGCGGAGAGAATTCAACGGCAACACATATCACGTTCGATGCTAACGAAACAACGATGGTACAACGTTGTTTCTTTTTCATTCAAACATTTATTTTACGAATACAATGGATATACTAGATAAAACAATATACCTGCCCATTTCGTTTCATTTTACGTTTAATCCCTTTTCTGTTGGAGAAAATGGTAAACTTTCATTCATTAAAAAATTCCAATATTATTTTAATATTTTTAGAATTAATTATTTCATTCTTAAAAAATATACCGAAAATGGACCATGTTAATTAACTTTTGTGAATTATAAATGGAGTGGAAATAACAATTTTTCCCACCTGCTTCACATTAACTTTCTCAATTATTTTCATTATTAATTAGCGTAATGAATCTTGCCGCTGAATTTTACGTCAGACCCACCTGCAGGGTAGATAAGAAAAAACTGTGCATATTTCATTAAAAATTGTCATTTATCTTAATGTTAACCTTGAATTAGAAATCATTCAGTAGTGTCTTCGCTATTTCAGAGTCTCGTCAGGTGCAAGAAGTATTGGCCTAGATGCCTCGACGCGTTGCACAGAGAGATTCATTAGTGTTCTACTGCAATAACCATTCGGTGAAACGTACGCATAATGCAGCGTACATTTTACGTTTATGATTTATTGCACTCTCATTATCAGAGACTCGCGAATGGGAATCGTCTACTTTCACTCGACGATTACATTTTACCTTTTTTTTTTTCACACTCGGTTATTTGGAAAGATTCCTACACGTTTCATCGGGAAATGGTAATTCTTCGAAATGAAGCTCTCTTGAATTCTTAATTAACAAACGGTATAAACGCATCGTATATTTTCCGAGCCGTATATTTTACGAGCATCGTTTAGGATTTTCACGCTTTAGCGCGCAACATTCAAAGTATTACAAAATTATCATTTGTAAGTGGGGTCGATGGAATAACTATTTTTTCATTTTTACAATTGCGAAATATCAATTCAAATTTTTCCGCGCGTGGTAAATCGTCAGTTGCACCCGAGATGCCTATGGGGGAGGACCCGGGGAATCTTTTTGGCGAAGCCTAATCAATTATCTTCCTTTTTTTATTTAAATGCAGCTAAAAACAATTCTATGTAAAAAGTTTATCGATGTAACGAAACGGAAACGAAGCGATGAACGAAAGAACTAAATTAAGATATAAAAAGGTTGTCCCAGTAAATGACAAATTGAAACTAAAATTTTTATTTACGTTTCCCGAGTTCTTTTGATAAATCTTCTTTGTGTGTATGCGCGTTAAACCCGAACGCGGGGGACAAATATTACGGTTGGTTAGCTGAGACTTTCTCGCGTAAAACGTGACGGTTCTTTGCTCTCCGCAAGTTGGGAGAATTTGAGGTACTTTCTCGAGATCACCACCGTTGCATAGTTGCGACACGTGCGAAAGAAAACTGCCAGTTTTTTATTGCAACGTCTGTGTAATACGATCGTAATTTCCGATTAGTTCGAACAAGAATTTGGTAATTCAATAACGATCGTTAGTTCTTTTGTAAATTCTTAATTACCGTTCTATCCTAAACACCCCCGAAGAAAGTCAATCTTTTTTAATACTTGTATGGTCGATCGTTTATTCGTCGGACTTAATCACGTAGTACAATTTAATTAGTGAACAAATATCTTGAAATTTCGTTAAAATCACACACCGAACGATTCGACTGGAGAGAAGAAAAAATACATTCAGCGCGGTTTACCACTCCGCAAAAATTTTGAATAAGAAAGGTTATACATGGCATAGAATTATGAACCGAGGAAGGGTAGTTCGTTCCATTTTTCGCGAACGTTTCATGGATTCCATGCGTCTCTTGCGATCAACGATTTTCGCCCACTCGAGATCCGAATCTTCGCGCAATGCGAACGATGATAAAATACTCGCCTGCCTGTAAATCGAAATCCATATATGAATCTCTACGAGTCCAACCTAATATTCTTCCTAGAGTATTAAAAATATATTAGGATAATTTTTTCAATTTGATATTTCGAATAAAACGAAGTAAAATCGAGATAATTAATTTGTACACCCAGTACACGATTGCCCGGTATTATCATAGACACCCTGTGTACACAGATAGACCCCATACGGGGACGATTTCGGTGAGCGGACGCGAAGAGGGTGGTCGACGATCAAAATGCAAAACTGTTCAGCTTTCAATTGCATGGAATATCAGAATATCCGGCAGCGTGAAGTGCGGATATCGAGTTTCCCCTGTGCGTTGAAAAACTCCACCGGTCCCGTTTCCACGAAATTCCTCGGAAGACGGTCGCTGCATCGTTCCAGCAAATTTTCAACCGCCCGCCTTGGAATCAGATTATCCTGTGTTCCGTGAGCGTCGATGATGCACACCCATACAGAGATGAACAGATAGAAGCGATATACGCGACGAAAGAAATTCACTGTAACGAGTTTCCCGTGACCGTTTTTTCTTTTCTACCCTCCTCGCCCATCCACCCTCTTACTGTGAACGGAATAAGTAATTCGAGCAGCCGAGTCAACGAGATCGCCCCCGTTCGCGACCCCTCCTTCTCGTGCATAAAATTTCACCAGGCAATTTGGGAAATCGTGCAATCGTAAGGGATGAATGGATCATAAAACACGATGGGACACGGTAGCCGTGATTACCTCTCGTGGAAGATCCCAGACCTGGAACAATGGTAAAAGTTCGACTGGATTTAGGCGGACGTTACGGCTGCCGGGTACCTTTCGACGGCATACCGCGGTTTCCCCTTTGTATGGAAATTTCAGCTCATGTCGCGTTTGCGAGACAGTAAACGGTCGGTTGACAAGGGGAGGTACAAACGCTCGGCGGTAAAGTGTAGATGCAGGAGATCGGACGACAGGGTGGTGGACAAATTCCCTTTGGTTTCCCACCCGGTTCGATGATCTCCGGCCTGTTCTTTCGGAGTTCTTTCAATTTTGCTAGCAGTTCTTGAAACAGGGCTAATCTGGCTAGATAGATTTCTTTCAGGGTTGGTTTCTGTTTCCTCTTCTTCTTCTTGGTCTGAGTAGTTTCTTCGAAGCTGTCCGGGATTACCTTACACGCGCAAGTTAAATAGTCTGGGTGAACTGGTGGAATGATGGTCAAACTGCCCCAACAGAAGGACTCCACGTCCACGGTTGTTAACTCTCGGAATTGATACGGATAACGTTCGTCCGACTCCTCCCGAGCGTAGAACGCTTTCTTCGTACTTATGGGTGCGTACACCTCGGTGATGATGCATTTCCCTAGGAAACTGATCCGCACGTACAGCTCGATGGTCGCGTTTGTTTTCTGTACGTCCTCGTCGAACAACGGGAACGTTCCGCGCGTAGATCTGAACGATTAAAATGGTTTTAATTCGTTCGCTGAGGGAAAAGCGGATTACCAACGGCCTTCGGCTTAGCTGCATCAACGACACCTGTACGTTCTTTCCAGATAAAACTTGACCTTTAATTTATGGATTATTAACTCCCGTTCCTGAGTTTGCAGGACAGATGGGATGTTTGAAATAGGGATGTTGATTTATGATGTACCTTTGCGTAGGAGAAAATTTCCGAATATATTATATTCGGAATACCGAATTTTTCTCATTTTTTCTTTTTTTCCTTTCGAATTTTCATCTCCAATTTCCATACATCCCTCCGACCATTTCGATTGGAATAGATCCGAGCAGGGAAGGAAATTTTGTTCGTTAACCAGAACAAATTTTCCAACGAGCCAAAGCTCGGTTGCATTGCCGAGTTTTCGATACAAACGTACAGGATACGTTTAAATTCGGTACTTGGTGATACGGTTTTCTAAATTACATTAACCCGGACGGATAAGGTTAGCCGGTCGAGGTAATCCGTTTCGCTCATGCATTTGCATAAACGCCAGATTCGCGTATTTAAATGCATTCACCTTGATATAGGTTCTCGCTCGAGAGCACTAGAAAAATAACCTTCCAGCTCGTTCCGTTCACGGAGGTCCTTTATAATACCGTTAAGCAGACCGTCCATCTTGACGAGGGTGAATCCAAAGTTCTGACGTCGTTCTAATTCGAAATACTTGGATACCTCCTTGGATACGTACAGCTGCAAATCTACACCGGAGACGTTCTTTTCGAGTGTGCTTTCCGGTAAGGCGAACACCACCGATCTACCGCCGTAGAAACGTTCGTTTTGATAATTCGAGCCACGATAAGACCGATAGTCGCGTCGGTTTGGCATTAACGTTGTCCATTCGTTGTCCAACATTCGAAACATTATCACAGTTTTCTTCATTAGAGTCGCGTCCAGTATATCCTTCCATGGCATGTATAACTATAATTCATTGAAAAAATATTGATTTCGGTGATTTGTATCGAGGTGGATTGACAAAATTTTATAATTCTAAAATTTCAACACTACCCCCGACAAAACCTAATCTAATAGAATTATTATCGTGAAAATAACATATTGGACTTGTCGAAAATAAAACTGTTTAAATTTTCCAACAGCTTCGGGCAGTATTTTGAAAACTTTTAATACTTCTCAAGACGAGACCCAGTTTTCCCTCGTTCCGTTATCAGATTTTCGAAAGGGAAAAGTCTGGAGGATGAATATGGTAATATTTTTTAATACAACGCGAATGCGTCGTTTTATTTTTACGTGACTGGTAGTTTTCACCGATGTTACGCGATCCACGAACCGTGCGTTAAGATAAGTTTGAAAATTTCACGAGGATTACGAGGCGCGGATAACTTTTTCTCGAGTGCCGAATAATCGTACACCGTGGATCGAACGAGATTACATCAAACCGGATAACTAGGATAACGTTTTTTTTTTTTTTTAAATTTAAGATGCAAAATAAATTTTTCAAATTTATTAATGTGACAGCCTTCACGATGGAACCTGAAGAGGATCGATCGTTCCCCTGATAAAAAAGCAGCGCAATCTTTTTCCAAATAAAATTGCAGGAGAAATAGAGCCAGTTACTCACATTTTGCACCATTAATTCCAACAACATCAACCGCGAATCGTGCACCACCGTCAACGAGGACATGTCTATTCTACCCTTCCTTCGACAACTTTCTTGTTTCCCTGAAGTTTGATTTATAGATCGGATAAAACGCGAAGAAGATTCAGAAATTTTTTTCCCAGTTACCAACTATTTTCCTGTGTGAAACGCAAAGTTGGAGGTTGGAGCGTGTCGCGTTTGCCAATTTTGCGACATCGCTGTCGCGCCCCCTTGCCACCCTTCACCACCAACTTCGCCATATCGATGCTCCGTTCGATAAATAAATGTTATCTCGGCTCCACACTTCGCTAACTTCATTTCCTTTCTACCAGAAAGAAAGTTGCTCGTTTAATCGGAACGATGAAAAAATATTTGAATTGCATCGTAGAAACTGTTATCCGGCGCGGAGATCGAGCCGAAGAATAAATGGATTTTTGTCAAAGAATCGAGGAGAACGTCGAGATTAAACCCATCAATCTTTCAATGCTCGTTTCCTCTTTTTATTTCTTTTTCTCTTTTTTTTTTTTTGTAAACTTCTTTTATCCCTCATTGGATCAGGTAAAAATACGAGACCGATAATGTCCGGTAGAAATAACGTCGATACGCCGTGTGTCGATCTAGCTGTGTTCCGTTCTTTTGTGCTCTTGTTTCCGAGTTGTTTGCAGTACACTGGAAGCACTCAAGAACCAGTTTCCGTCTCGTCCTGTAGGTGGAAACGCCATTAAAAATACTTCGAGAGGATAGGGAACATCGGGGCGTGGCGTGGCAGGAAATAAAAGAAAACTAACAAGAAGAAAGAAGCGCGAGAGTAAAGGGGAGGAAAAAAAGAGGGTGGAGAAAAACGGATGGGGTTGGAAAAATCGTATTAACGACGGAGATAGATAGCGATGGGCAAAATAAAAATCGGTTGATACACGACCGATTTATAGAGGAACAATTTATTGACTACTTTTTATCTCTTAAGTAGGCACGTAATATCGAGCTTTACGTATCTTTACTTTACTTACTCTAAAAAGCACTCTGTCAATTTTTCTTTACAACCTTCGGAGTAATAAGTAAAAATGCAATAACGGTGATGTAACAAGCATACGCGTTATATACACGGGGAGAAAGAAAAAATTAAACAATGGATTCTTCTCGCTTACGGATGAATTGGTACGCCGTTAAATTGTTCGTGCTGCAACGTAACGCGTCGTAAAACAAGATATCGCAATGTTTTCGATGCAACTGTTGCACAGACCTGCACGAGTTGCAAGAGGAAAGATGAAGGGATCGTATGCACCAAAATTTCTTGATATTTTCTTCAAATTACAATTGAACTTTGCGAATTTCTCGCTTACGGATGAATTGGTACGCCGTTAAATTGTTCGTGCTGCAACGTAACGCGTCGTAAAACAAGATATCGCAATGTTTTCGATGCAACTGTTGCACAGACCTGCACGAGTTGCAAGAGGAAAGATGAAGGGATCGTATGCACCAAAATTTCTTGATATTTTCTTCAAATTACAATTGAACTTTGCGAATTTCTCGCTTACGGATGAATTGGTACGCCGTTAAATTGTTCGTGCTGCAACGTAACGCGTCGTAAAACAAGATATCGTAATGTTTTCGATGCAACTGTTGCACAGACCTGCACGAGTTGCAAGAGGAAATTTTCGTATGCACCAAAATTTCTTGATATTTTCATCAAATTACAATTGAACTTTGCGAATTAAACGGTCCAGGTAAAAATCGAGACATCAGTTAAAAGGATTCAATAAATAAATGATTACAAAGGCGTTATCTCAGGTATTTCACAGAAGAAGGCAAACGCTTTGTCGCAGCGAACATCGTCCATAGTTCCATCCTTTAACATCGCTCCACAATGTTGATTATGACCCCAGTTATCCGGCTGTCCATTCCACCGATCGCTCCATTCGACGAAGCCGGTTTTCGCGATCGGCTCGCCGAACACCGTCACCCAATCGCCCTCCGCGTAAAGATCGTGTATACCCAGCAAGGCTTCGAAAGTGTGATCGGCACCGACCACCGAGCCCGATCGGTCAAACAGTTCCACTAATGCCTGAAAAAAAGTGGGGGAGGGATGAAAGTGACGCTATCGGGCTGCTTTTAATCGGGACCACCATAAATCGCTCTTTCAACGGGTGCCATTTCGCGAGCGTTAATGGTGTGCCTTCGACGGGTCAAAGAGCTGGAATATAAATTGCCGGTGACACGGTTAATTCAAGCCTGACGCGCGATCGCGAAATAAAACCTTTCCTCCCACGCGGGTAATTCGATTGAAATTGAATTGCGAAGCGGACCTATCACGAGCATTCGAATTAACCCTCGAAAGAGGCGCATAATCGGGTCTCAAATCCCCACTGGCAAAAATGGCAATTTTTTCCACCCGCCTAATAGCCAATTAGTCGACTGAAATTTCTAGTCACCCTCGGTACATAAAAATTACTCAAGTACAAGTGAGTACAGCCATCCTTAGTAGCGAAAGGGTTTAGAAAAATTGACAGAGATCTAACTTACGCGTCGCTCCGCGTTGGAATTGATAATGGCCAAATGCCCGCCTTCGTCGTTGCAAATTTTTCGCGCCTGGTTCCACTTCTCTGCTTTGGTGTGCAATTTGTGCGAACCGATTCCAGGCGTGTGCGTGTAATCATCGCGACGATATGCCCCGCGCATGCCAATATCACACACGTACACCAGCTGCGCAGTTATGTTTTGTATCGAGGGCGTTGGAACAGCAACATTTCCCGGCATAGAAAAAGTGCCTTGAAATGCAACGGATAAGATGATACAATTAACCAAGATACTTAACGGCGACATATCTCCTTTGATTCCGTTCACTCGCGTCAATTCCGATAAACACGCGACAGACAAAGTATTTATACTCTTTGCCACCACTCCTGCTTTTCTTATGCGTTATCTCTGTTGGTCAAAAATAGTGACGAACGTCATCAGCCGGCCATACAAAACATCCGGATGGAAAGGAGATAGCCCGAAGCAGACAGGCCGAAAATGATTTTTCAATCGGATCCCCTTACCGGTTTGATCGTTCGAACATCCTTGCCCGTCTGTCTGGATCAGCGGTTATATAACTTCGTAAAACTTGTAAATGGAAAAATTGAATCTTTCATGGACCATAAAGGATGATTCACGCTACACCGTGCCCGAGACGGACCGTGCCGGAGCCGAGCCGTTATCGCCGAGCATCGTCCGGGCATCGTCCGGGCATCGTCCGGGCATACTATGCATGCTACACCGACGATACACCGTGCCCGAGACGGACCGTGCCGGAGTTGACCCATTGTCGCCGGGCATCGTCCGGGCATACTAAGGTCTGTAGATCTGTAGAAACTTGTACTTATCGCTGTAAGGAATTTAATTTGGCAAATTTATCAAATATCGCGATCTACCTATATCGAAGGAAACAAGCGTCGGCAATTTCTGTAATGAATATTATAATTAGAATTAAACTCATTGTCAGTATTCATCTTTAATTCAAATTTAACACGTTAGAACTGCAAGTTACATCACGAGTGTGATACGATATTGGAGGGCAAGGGGTTAAGGCCGTTAAAAACGTCACTAATCTTTCGGTAGGAATTGAAGTTCCAGTCCATTACTGGACACGCGTCGACAGAGAAGTTGTTGGAAATCGGATAAATAATTACACTCTCTTATCTATTTTAAAAGTTTAATTCAGAAGGATGTCTTTACTATTTTAAAGTCAAACGGGAAGTGAAGCGACGCTTAGACCCACGAAAGGAAAATCAGGCGAAACGATTCGTAATCATTACGCATCTTGCATGATGTCGCGGAAGAAATACTCTCTTTCAATTCTTCTTTACAACCTTTGGAGTAATAAGTAAAAATGCATAAACGTACAAGAGATGCAAGCGGAAAGATTAAAGGATAGTATGCACTAACATAGAGGTTCCAAAATTTCTTGATATTTTCTTCAAATTACAATAAAACTTTGCGAAAGCCTCATCAACGTTCCAGGTAAAAGCCAAAACATCTTCGTCCACCAAGGATCGATCGTTCCTTTAAAATGATCATTGCTAAGGGTTGAATAAATAAATGATTACAAAGGCATTATCTCAGGTATTTCACAGATGAACGCGAATCGGGTGTAGCAGTGAATATCGTCCAAAGTTCCTTCATTTAAGAACCCTCCACAATTTTGATCTCCATTCCCGTTATCCGGCTGTCCACCAAACAAATTGCTCCATTTAGTGAAGCCAGTTTCCGCGAGCGGTTCGCCGAGTATCGTGGCCCAATCGCCCTCCTTATACATATCGTGCGTACCTATAAAGGCTTCGTCATTACGTGCGGCATCTTTAAACTGGCCATATATATGAAACAGACGCACCATTGCCTGAAAGAAAAGAGAAGGAGGAACGTAAGTAACGCTACCGGGCTGCTTTTAATCGGGACCACCAGAAATTGCTCTTTCGACCGGCACCATTTCGCGAGCGCTAATGGTGTGCCTTCGATGGGTCAAAGGGATGGAATACTAATTGCCGGAGACACGGTTAATTCAAGTCTGACGCGCGATCGCGAAATAAAACCTGTCCTATTTCACGGGTATTACGATTAAAATTGAATTACGAAATGGACCCATTACGAGCCATTCGAATTAACCCTCGAAATAAGCGCAGGCCGATGTATCGCTTAAATTTTTATTGCAATGGACTTCTTGATCTAAACGAATTTAATCGGGTCTCAAATCCCCCCTGGCAAAAATGGGAATTTCTTCCACCCTCCTAATGGCCAATTAATCGACTCAAATTTCTAGTCACCCTCGGTGCATAAAAATCACTCAATGGGCATAGCCATCCTTAGTGTGCGAAAGGGTTAAGAAAAATTGACACAGATCTAACTTACCTTTGCCTCTTCGTCCGAATTTACTATTGCCAAATGCCCGCCTTCCTCGTTGCATATTATTCGCGCCGTGTTCCATGTTTGTCCTCTGGTGTGCAATTTATGCGAACCGATTCCAGGCGTGTGCATGTAATCTTCGCGAGGACGCACCCCACGTATGCCAAGATCGAACATGCACACCGTGCCGTGTACATTCACATCGCTATTGCGCAATTCGTCCCAATATGATTCCAATGGATGTCGAAGAGACGAGTCGGAAGTTTTACTGATCAGAATATTTTCGGTTTTGTTGAACGATACAACAGCAATTTGTTTCGGCACAGAAACTGTGTGTCGAAAGGCAACGCACAAGATGATACAATTGACCAAAATACTTAACCGCGACATCTCTTTTGATTGCGTTCACTTTCGTCAATTCAATCTTCGTTACACCGGCCTTTATCTCACTCTGTTTCGCTTTTAAGTCGCCCTTTGTCCTCGCTACAGCTTCGTTTAACGGAAACGCGTACTTCGCTACTGTTCGCCTAGCAAAAGGTGGCCAGACAACGTATTTACACTCTTTGCCACCACTCTTGCATTTACACGCGCCGTCACTATTGGCCGAGGACGGTGACGAAGGTCAACAGCGGGCGAAACGAAACATCCGGACGGAAAGGAGAAGGATCGAAACGGAGACGCCCAAAATGATTTCTTAATCGGATTCCATTGCCGGTTGGTCGTTCGATCATCCTTGCCCTACCCCTACAGCCTGGATCAGTGGTTATCAAATTTTTAAAACTTCTAAATGGAAAAATTGGATATTTTAATGGACCACAAATCGTTTTCTGCTATTTATCGAATATCGCAATCTACCTATATCGAAAGAAACAAGCGTCGGCAATTTCTGTAATGAAATTTTCCCTAAGAGTAATTGCAACTGCAACGATCGGAACACCGCGCCTTATAGCGACCCTATAGGCTGCTGCCTGCAATCTACGCTCCAGAATTATTTTCAACTCGTGAAGGAATGAAAATTCCGGGATGCTTCTACTTGTCATCGAACCGCACACAATTAAAGAGATTGCATGTTCGGCCGATGCTTGACCCATCTTCAACGATTAATCGGGGTGTTCGCGAAACGTGAAACAGAGGAATTTCGCGGAGAGAAAATTGTAAGACCTGTGCTTCCGGTTAATGAAGGACTCTCGAGCAACAGCTGTCGTATGAAAATCTTTCCATTCGTGTATTGTTGATCAGACTGTATCGATAAATTCGTCTGCTCCCTGCCCCCTGTTGCTCGATCCCTCGATCACCGTTTCAATTACGGTGATTGCGAGTACGATGGTTTGTCAGAAATTAATACAAATTAAACGGCAACTCTAATGGCCGTGGTACGTCGTTCACGTGAATGATCATTTCATGGGATACGAGCAGGCTGCAGTAGGAATTTCAGGCTTATTAATTAAAATTCAGTGATATACCGTAGAGCCGAAGCGAGGACCGAATGCAACGGGGTGCAACAAAGGTTGTAAACAAAACGGTTTTTTTCGACACCAAGAGAGAAAAGTGGGTTAGTCTTGCAAGCTTAAGTGTTCACGGATCATCTGTCCAAAAATGCTGGCCTCAAGTCAGCTGATAACGGTCAATCGACCTGATAATTAACCCCTTCGGCTATAATTTCGTCGATATTTGCGTCAGTCAAAGCTAACTACTCATTGCTTCAATTTTGAAATAAACAAAGAAAAATGAATTGTCATTCATACATAGCATTCAACAATTCTTGACTGAGAATATTATAATTATAATTAAACTCATTGTCAGTATTCAACTTTAATTAAAATTTAACACGTTAGAACTGCAAGTTGCATCACGAGTGTGATACAATATTGGAGGAAATGAGGTTCAGCCCGTTAAAAACGTCACTAATCTTTCGGTAGAAATTGAAGTCCCAGTCCGTTCCTGGATACACGTCGAGAGAGAAACTGTTGAAAACGGGGTAAATGAATATTTATCTATTTTAAAAGAAAATCTTGCATAATGATTCTAAGCACATAATATCGAGTTTTACGTATGTTGCATGGTGTCGCGGAAGAAAAACACTCTTCTAATTTTTCTTTACAACCTTCGAAGTAATAAGTAAAAATGCAATAACGGTGATGTAACACGCATACGCGTTATATACACGGGGAGAAAGAAAAAATCAAACAATGGACTATTCTCGCTTACGGATGAATTGGTACGCTGTTAAATTGTTCGTGCCGCTTCGTAACGCGTTGTAAAACAAGATATCGCAATCTTTTCGATGTAACTGTTGCACTAGATGCAAGAGGAAAGATTAAAGGATTGTATGAATTCACATAGAGATTCCAAAATTTCTTAATATTTTCTTCAAATTACAATAAAACTTTGCGAAAGCCTCTTCAACGTTCCAGGTAAAAACCAAAACATCTTCGTCCACCGAGGAACGATCGCTCCTTTAAAATTATCATTGCCAAGGGTTGAATAAATAAATGATTACAAAGGCGCTAGCTCAGGTATTTCACAGAAGAAGGCATATGGTATGTTGCAGTTGATATCGTCCATAGTTCCATCCATCATCATCCCTGCACAATGTTGCACTCCACCCGCGTTATCCGGTTGTCCACCCCAAGCACTGCTCCATACGGTGAAACCAGTTACCGCGAGCGGATCGCCGAGTATCGTGACCCAATCGCCCTCGAAATAAAGATCGTGCAAACCCAGAAAGGCGGTGTCCTTGAAGGTGGAACCAACCACCTCGCCCCCTCGTTTAAACAGTTCCGTTAATGCCTGAAAAAAAAAGAGATGAAGGGACGTAAGTGACGCTATCGGGCTGCTTTTAATCGGTACCACCATAAATCGCTCTTTCAACGGGGGCCATTTCGCGAGCGCTAATGGTGTGCCTTCGATGGGTCAAACAGCTGGAATACAAATTGCCGGTGGCATGGTTAATTCAAGTCTAACGGGCGATCGCGATATAAAATCTGTCCCCTCTCACGGGTAATACGATTGAAATTGAATTACAAAATGGACCTACTACGAGCCATTCGAATTAACCGTCGAAATAGGCGCAGACCGATGAATCCCTTAAATTTTTATTGCAACGGACCTCTTGTAGTAAACGAATTTAATTGGGTCCCAAATCCCCTTTGGCAAAAATGGGAACTTTTTCCACCCGTCTAATAGCCAATTAATCGACTCAAATTTCTAATCACCCTCGGTGCATAAAAATCAATCAAGGATTAGTGAGCATAGCCATTCTTAGTAGCAAAAGGGTTAAGAAAAATTGACAAAGATCTAACTTACCCGTTGCTCCGCGTAGGAATTGATAACTGCCAAATGCCCGCCTTCCTCGTTGCAAATTTTTCGCGCCGTGTTCCACCCCTTTGCTCTGCTGTGAAATTTATGCGAACCGATTCCAGCCGTGTACGTGTAATCATCGCGAGGAGGCTTCCCGCGCAGGCGAAGATTGCAAACGCACACCGTGCCGTGTACCATCATATTGCGAGTTTGATATTGATCCCAATGTAATTTCGTCGGTCTTTGAACTGACTGGGTATCATCGACCTCATCGGTTGTGTTGATCGTTAGAACAGCAATTTTTTTCGGCATAGAAAATGTCCCTCGAAAGGCAACGCACAAGATGATACAATTAACCAAGATAGTTAACGCCGACATCTCTTTTGATTGCGTTCACTTTCGTCAATTCAATCTTCGTTACACCGGCCTTTATCTCACTCTGTTTCGCTTTTAAGTCGCCCTTTGTCCTCGTTGCAGCTTCGTTTAACGGAAGCGCGTACTTCACTACTGTTCGCCTGGCAAAAGGTGGCCAGACAAGGTATTTACACTCTTTGCCACCACTCCTTGCATTTACACGAGCCGTCACTATTGGCCGAGGACGGTGACGAAGGTCAGCAGCGGGCCATACGAAACATCCGGATCGAAACGGACACGCCCAAAATGATTTTTTAATCGAATCCCCTTGCCAGTTGATCGTTCGAACATCCTTGCCCTACCCCCACAGTCTAGATCAGTGGTTATAAAACTTTTAAAAATTTCTAAATGAAAAAATTCAATTTTTTAATGGACCATAAATCGGTTTCTGCCATTTATCGATTATCGCAATCTACCTGTATCGAAAGAAACAAGCGTCGGCAATTTCTGTAATGAAATTTTCCCTAAGAGTAATTGCAACTGCAACGATCGCTACACTCCCCTTCATAGGCTGCCTCCCTGCAATCTAAGCTACATAATTATTTTTAAGTCATGGAGTAATGAAAATTCAGGGACGCTTCTACTTGTCATCGATCCGCACACAATTATAGAGGTCGCATGTTCGACCGATGCTTGACCCATCTTCGACAATTAATGGGGGTGTTCGCGAACCGTGAAACAGAGGAATTTCGCAGAGAGAAAGTTCTAAGAACGGTGCTTCCGGTTAATGAGCGACACTCGAGCAACAGCTGTCATATGAAAATCTTTCCATTTATGTTGTTGATCAGTCTGTATCGATATATTCGTCTGCTCCCTGCCCCCTGTTGCTCGATCCCTCGATCACCGTTTCAATTACGGTAATTGCGAGTACGATGGCTTGTCAGAAATTAATGCAATTTAAACGGCAACCCTAATAGCCGCGGTACGTCGTTCACGTGGATAATCATTTCATGGGATACGAACAGGCTGCAGTAGGAATTTCAGGCTTATTAATTAAAATTCAGTGATCTACCGTAGAGCCGAAGCGAGGACCGAGTGTTCTAATGATTCGAGCGCCAACAAGTACCCAAGACCGAATGCAACGGGGTGCAACATAGTCCGTCAAGAAAAAAAGGTTTTTTTCGAGATTAAGAGAGAAAAGTGGGTTAGCCTTGCAAGCCTTAGAGTTCACGGATCATATGTCCGAAAATGCTGGCCACAACTCAGCTGACAACAGTCAATCGACCTGATAATTAACCCCTTCGCCTATAATTTCGTCGATATTTGCGTCAGTCAAAGCTAACTACTTATTGCTTCAATTTTGAAACAAACAAAGAAAAATAAAATGTCATGCATACATAGCATTCAACGATCCTTGACTGAGCGTATTGTAACGTCCCAGCGGTACCCTAGTTTAAGAATTAATCGTAATATTAAATTAAGTCGATAATTGTTGAATTATAGTAAACGTTTATAGACTTACAAGATGGCGTGCCCGCTCGCATTTAGAGTAGGATAGCCCACGTTAAGAGTAGGGGGACCGCGTGAAGACTAAGATGTAGGGATGCGTGGGAGTTTCTTACCGGGAATTCCCATAGACAAAAATTCTATATAAAAAAAAAGCGCTTGGTCAGAAAAATCTGACTCTAAATAGAGGCGTGCCACGCGGAGAAAATCAGTTTGGTTTCGGCCATGCTCAGCTCTACTTCGATTTCGGTCTCTAGCAATAGAAGAAAGGCTACGGTTGCTCAGCTCTGAACCACTTAAGTAGGGATATAGCGACAGTGCTAACTTCAATTTCTTACAGCGACAAGCGCGAGTTTCTACGGATCTACAGACTCTCTACTCATGGTGCGCAACGTGTTCACTACATGTGAGTTTAGAGTCAGGTGTCAAGAGTTAGCGAGGATTGCCCAGAAACCGATTGCGACCTGTCATCTGAAGAGACAGTACAAGTTGCTGTCGCTGATAATTTCCAATACTTAGCGTGGTTGGTCATTATCCAGAGTGTTGGCTGTACCTATGGTCTAATACGCGTACTAATACATACTAACTTCTACTAATAGCTACATTTCCTATTATATTTTCGTTTAGGGCGAATTCATTATAATTTCTTTATATTTTCATCTAGCCCGGACACACTGTAATATTAATACCATTGTTTTCTTTTATATTTCACCTTAGGGCTGAATCATTGTAAAAGAGACTAATTAAAATCTTGCTAGTTAACTAAACTTTTCAATCTTTAATAAACCTATTATAAAAGGTACTTAACGTTGGATTTCACTCCTTAACCGCGTACCACACGAACCTATAATTCCTATTACTAAATACGAGTCCCCTTCTGAGGGAACCGCTGCGGCGGTGCAGTGACGTACCTATTCTAGGACGTTACAATATTGTAATTAGGATTAAACTCATTGTCAGTATTGAACTTTAATTCAAATTTAACACGTTAGAACTGCAAGTTGCATCACGAGTGTGATACGATATCTGAGGGCAAGGGGTTAAGGCCGTTATAAAAGATCACTAACCTTTCGGTAGAAATTGAAGTCTCCGTCCGTTCCTGGATACGCGTCGACAGCGAAATTGTTGGAAATTGGATAAATAATTATACTCGTTTATCTATTTTAAAAGTTTTATTCAGAAGGATGTCTTTACCATTTTAAAGTCAAACGAGAAGTGAAGCGACGCTCAAACCCACGACAAGAAAATCAGGCATAACGATTCGTAATCATTACGCATCTTGCATGATGTCGCGGAAGAAATACTCTCTTTCAATTCTTCTCTACAACCTTTAGAGTAATAAGTAAAAATGCACAAGCGTGCAAGAGATGCAAGCGGAAAGATTAAAGGATCGTATGCATTAACATAGAGATTCCAATATCTCTTGATATTTTCTTCAAATTACAATAAAACTTTGCGAAAGCATCAACAACGTTCCAGATAAAAACCAAAACATCTTCGTCCACCAAGGATCGATCGTTCCTTTAAAATTATCATTGCTTAGGGTTGAATAAATAAATGATTACAAAGGTGTTATCTCAGGTATTTCACAGAAGAACGCGTGTGGTAAACTGCAGTTGACAGGGGTCATCAAATCAGCTCCTACGTTGTACCCTCCACAATGATATTGTCCAGATTCCTTATACCACTGTCGATGCTGCAGGTACGAACTGGGGTAGCCAAGTTCCGTCAGCGGTTCGCCGAGCACCGTGGTCCAATCGCGGAACGAATACAAATCGTGAATACCCAGAAACATTGTGTCATTACGTGGGGCATCTTGAATCGGAAAATATATACTAAACAGACGCGTCAATGCCTGAAAAAAAAGAGAACAAGGAACGTAAGCGACGCTATCGAGCTGCTTTTATTCAGGACCACCATAAATCGCTGTTTCAACCGGCGCCATTTCGCGAGTGCTAATGGTGTGCCTTCGATGGGTCAAAGAGTTGGAATTCAAATTGCCGGAGACACGGTTAATTCAAGTCTGACGCGCGATCGCGAAATAAAACCTGTCCTATTTCACGGGTAATACGATTAAAATTGAATTACGAAATGGACCCATTACGAGTCATTCGAATTAACCCCCGAAATAGGCGCAGGCCGATAAATCGCTTAAATTTTTATTGTAATAGACCTTTTGTTCTAAAGGAATTTAATCGGGTCCCAACTCCCCTCTGGCAAAAATGGGAATTTCGTCCACCCTCCTAATGGCCAATTAATCGACTCAAATTTCTAGTCATCCTCGGTGCATAAAAATCACTCAATAGCTAGTGGGCATAGCCATCCTTAGTGTGCGAAAGGGTTAAGAAAAATTGACACAGATCTAACTTACCAGTGCCTCTGCGTAGGAATTTATTATTGCCAATTGCCCGCCTTCCGCGTTGCAAATTTTTCGCGCCGTGTTCCATGTTTCTCCTGTGGGGTACATTTTATGGTAGCCGATTCCAGGCGCGTATATGTAATCATCGCGAGGAGGTTTACCGCGCATGCCAAGATTGCACGCGCACACCGTGCTTTGTACATTCACATTGCGAGTGTGCAATTTGTCCCAATATAATTCCAGTGGATCTCGATCACAAGGGCAGGAATTATGATGGATCAGAATATTTTCGGTTTCATTGATCTTTAGAACAGGAACTTTTTTAGGCACAGAAAATATGCCACGAAAGGCAACGCACAGGATGATACAATTGACCAAAAAACTTAACTGCGACATCTCTTTTAATTGCGTTCAATTTCGTCAATTCAATCTTCGTTACACCGGCGTTTATCTCACTCTGTTTCGCTTTTAAGTCGCCCTTTGTCCTCGCTACAGCTTCGTTTAACGGAAACGCGTACTTCGCTACTGTTCGCCCGGCAAAAGATGGCCAGACAAAGTATTTACACTCTTTGCCACCACTCCTTGCATTTACACGCGCCGTCACTATTGGCCGAGGACGGTGACGAAAGACAACAGCAGGCCATACGAAACATCCGGACAGAAAGGAGAAGGCTCGAAACGGAGACGCCCAAAATGATTTCTTAATCGGATTCCATTGCCGGTTGGTCGTTCGAACATCCTTGCCATACCCCTACAGTCTGGATCAGTGGTAATCAAACTTTTAAAAAGTTCTAAATGGAAAAATTGAATCTTTTAATGGACCGTAAATCGTTTTCTGCCATTTATCGAATATCGCAATTTAACTATATCGAAAGAAACAAGCGTCGCACTGTGCGACGCGACGTATAGGGAGAGCGGTTCCCTCTGAAGGCAACTCGTATTTAATAATAGGGATTATAGGTTCGTGTGGTACGCGATTAAGGAGTGAAATCCAACGTTAAGTACATTTTATAATAGATTTATTAAAGATTGAAAAGTTTAGTTAACTAGTAAGATATTAATTAGTCTCTTTTACAATGATTTAGCCCTAAGGTGAAATATAAAAGAAAATAATGGTATTAATATTACAGTGAGTTCGGGAACACCCCCATTAATCGTCGAAGATGGGTCAAGCATCGGTCAAACATGCAATCTCTTTAATTGTGTGCGGATCATTGACAAGTAGAAGCATCCCGGAATTTTCATTCCTTCAGGAGTTTAAAATAATTCCGAAGCGTAGATTGCTGACAGGAGCCTGTAGGGTCGCTACGGGGCGCAGTGTTGCAATCGTTGCAGTTGAAATTATTCTTAGGGAAAATTTCATTACAGAAATTGCCGACGCACTGTGCGTCGGTGCAGTGACATACCTATCCTAGGACATTACAATATTGTAATTAGGATTAAACTCATTGTCAGTATTGAACTTTAATTCAAATTTAACACGTTAGAACTGCAAGTTGCATCACGAGTGTGATACGATATTAGAGGGCAAGGGATTAAGGCCGTTAAAAACGTCACTAACCTTTCGGTAGAAATTGAAGTCTCCGTTCGTTCCTGGATACGCGTCGACAGAGAAATTGTTGGAAATCGGATAAATAATTATACTCTTTTATCTATTTTAAAAGTTTAATTCAGAAGGATGTCTTTACCACTTTAAAGTCAAACGAGAAGTAAAGCGACGCTCAAACCCAAGAAAAGAAAATCAGGCATAACGATTCGTAAACATTACGCATCATGCATGGTGTCGCGAAAGAAAAACTCTCTTTCAACTTTTCTTTACAATCTTCGGAATAATAAGTAAAAATGCACATACGTGCACGAGATGCAAGAGGAAACATTAAAGGATCGTATGCATTAACATAGAGATTCCAATATCTCTTGATATTTTCTTCAAATTACAATAAAACTTTGCGAAAGCATCATCAACGTTCCAGGTAAAAACCAAAACATCTTCGTCCACCAAGGACCGATCGTTCCTTTAAAATTATCATTGCTTAGGGTTGAATAAATAAATGATTACAAAGGTGTTATCTCAGGTATTTCACAGAAGAACGCGAATGGTGTGTCGCAGTTTATATCGTCTAAAGTTGCATCCCAGATTATCCCTCCACAATTTTCCACTTTAGCTCCAGCTCCGTTGTCCGGCTGTGGACGCATATAATTGCTCCACTTGGTGTAGCCAGTTTCCTTCAGCGGGTCGCCGAGTACCGTGGTCCAATGGCCCTCCTTATAAATATCGTGCATACCCACAAAGGCTTCGTAAATACGGTTGGCACCAATAAACGGGCGATATACTCTAAACAGCTGTGCCATTATCTGAAAAACAAGAGAAGGAGGAACGTAAGTGACGCTATCGGGCTGCTTTTAATCGGGACCACCATAAATCGCTCTTTCAACGGGGGCCATTTCGCGAGCGCTAATGCTGTGCCTTCGATGGGTCAAAGAGCTGGAATACAAATTGCCGGTGGCACGGTTAATTCAAGCCCGACGCGCGATCGCGAAATAAAACTTGTCCAATCTCATAGATAATACGATTGAAATTGAATTGCAAAACGAACCTATTACGAGCCATACGAATTAACCCTCGGAATAGGCGTAGGCCGATGTATCGCTTAAATTTTTATTGCAATGGACCTCTTGTTCTAAACGAATTTAATCGTGTCCCAAATCCCCTCTGGCAAAAATGGGCATATTTTCCACCCTCCTAATGGCCAATTAATCGACAGAAATCTCTAGTCAACCTCAATGCATAAAAATGACTCAATGGGCATAGCCATCCTTAGTAGCGAAATGGTTAAGAAAAATTGACACAGATCTAACTTACATATGCCTCTTCGGCGGAATTTACTACTGCCAAGTGCCCGCCTTCCTCGTTGCATATTACTCGCGCCGTGTTCCACGTCTCTGCTCTGGTGTGCAATTTATGCATACCGATTCCATGCGAGTACCAGTAATCTGGGTGAAGATGCTTTGTGCGCACGCCAAGATCGCACACGCACTGCGTGCCTAGTACATCCGCATTGCTAGTGGGCAATTCGTTCCAATATGATTTCAATGAATGTCGATGACAAGGGCAGGAAGTATCATCGATCAGAACATTTTCGGTTTCGTTGATCTTTAGAACAGCAAGTTTTTCCAGCATAGAAAATGTGCCTCGAAAGGCAACGCACAAGATGATACAATTGACCAAAATACTTAACCGCGACATCTCTTTTGATTTCGTTCACATTCGTCAATTCAATCTTCGTTACACCGGCGTTTATCTCACTCTGTTTCGCTTTTAAGTCGTCCTTTGTCCTCGCTGCAGCTTCGTTTAACGGAAACGCGTGCTTCACTACTGTTCGCCTGGCAAAAGGTGGCCAGACAAGGTACTTACACTCTTTGCCACTACTCCTGCATTTACACGCGCCGTCACTATTGGCCTAGGACGGCGACGAAGATCAACATCGGGCCATACGAAACATCCGGACGGAAAGGAGAAGGCTCGAAACGGAGACGCCCAAAATGATTTCTTAATCGGATCCTCTTGCCGGTTGGTCGTTCGAACATCCTTTCCCTACCCCTACTGTCTGGATCAGTGGTTATCAAACTTTTAAAAACTTCTAAATGGAAAAATTGAATTTTTTAATTGACCATAAATCGTTTTCTGCCATTTATCGAATATCGCAATCTGCCTATATCGAAAGAGACAGGCGTCGGCAATTTCTGTAATGAAATTTTCTCTGAGAGTAATTGCAACTGCAATGATAGCAACACTCCGCCCCATAGCGACCTACAGGCTGCTGACTGCAATCTACGCTCCAGAATTATTTTCAACTCATGGAGGAATCAAAATTCCGGGATGCTTCTACTTGTCATTGATTCGCACATAATTAAAGAGATTGCATGTTCGACCGATGCGTGACCCATCTTCAACGATTAATGGGGGTGTTCGCGAACCGTGAAACAGAGGAATTTCGCGTAGAGAAAATTCCAAGACCTGTGCTTACGGTTAATGAGCGATACTCGAGCAACAGCTGTCGTATGAAAATGTTTCCATTCGTGCGTTATTGATCAGACTGTATCGATAAATTCGTCTGCTCCCTACGCCCTGTTGCTCGATCCCTCGATCACCGTTTTAATTACGGTAATTGCGAGTATGATGGCTTGTCAGAAATTAATACAATTTAAACGGCAACTCTAATAGCCGTGGTACGTCGTTGACGTGGATAATCATTTCATGGGATACGAGCAGGCTGCAGTAGGAATTTCAGGCTTACTAATTAAAATTCAGTGATCTACCGTAGAGCCAAAGCGAGGACCGTGGGTCCTAATGATTCGAGCGCCAACAAGCACCCAAGACCGAATGCAACGGAGTGCAACAAAGGTCATCAAGAAAAGGTTTGTTCAGACACCAAGAGAGAAAAGTGGGTTAGCCTTGCAAACCTAAAGGTTCAACGATCATATGTCCAAAAATGCTGACCACAACTCAGTTGACAACGGTCAATCGAGCTGATAATTAACCCCTTCGCCTATAATTTCGTCGATGTTTGAGTCAGTCAAAGCTAACTACTTATTGCTTCAATTATGAAACAAACAAAGAAAAATAAAATGTCATGCATACATAGCATTCAACGACCCTTGACTGAGCATATTGTAACGCCCCAGCGGTACCCTAATTTAAGAATCAATCGTAATATTAAATTAAGTCGATAATTGTTGTATTATAGTAAACGTTTATAGAATTAGATGGCGTGCCTGCTCGCGTTTAGATTAGGGTAGCTCGCGTTAACAGTAGAGACACCGTGTGAAAACTAAGGAGTAGGAGTGTCCGAGAGTCACATACCAGGAATTCTCATAGACAAAAATCCTATATAAAGAAAAGGCGCTTGGTCAGCAAAACCTGAGTATAAATAGAGGCGTGCCACGCGGAAAAAATCAGTCTGGTTTCGACCATGCTCAGCTCTACTTCGATTTCGGTCTCTAGCAATAGAAGAAAGGCTACGGTTGCTCAGCTTTGAACCACTTAGGTAGGAATATAGCGACAGAGTAACCCGTGCTAAATTAAATTCCTTACAGCGACAAGTACGAGTTTCTACGGATCTGCAGACTCTCTACTCATGGTGCGCAACGTGTTCACTACATGTGGGTTTAGAGTCAGCTATCAAGTGTAAAGAGCTAGCTTCTTGAAGTACGGCCTATACTACACTTAGCTCTGGCTTGCCCAGAAACCGATTGCGACCTGTAGAGAGGTCCGTCCATATCTGAGGGAACAGTACAAGTTGCTGTCGTTGATAATTTCCGATACTTAGCGTGATTGGTCATTATCCAGAGTGTTGGCTGTACCTATAGTCTAATACGCGTACTAATACATACTAATTTCTACTAATAGCTACATTTTCTATTACATTTTCGTTTAGGGCGAATTCATTATAATTTCTTTATATTTTCATCTAACCCGAACTCGCTGTAATATCAATACCATTATTTTCTTTTATATTTCACATTAGGGCTGAATCATTGTAAACGAGATTAATGAATATCTTGCTAGTTAACTAAACTTTTCAATCTTTAATATATCTATTATAAAAGGTACTTAACGTTGGATTTCACTCCTTAACTGTGTACCAATCCCTATTACTTAATACAAGTCGCCTCATGAGGGAACCTCTTTCCCTATACGTCGTGTCGGTGCAGGACGTTACAATATTGTAATTAGGATTATACTCATTGTCAGTATTGAACTTTAATTCAAATTTAACACGTTAGAACTACAAGTTGCATCACGAGTGTGATACGATGTTAAAGGACAAGGGGTTAAGGCCGTTAAAAACGTCACTAATCTTTCGGTAGAAATTAAAATCTGTCCCGTTCCTGGATACGCGTCGACAGAGAAATTGTTGGAAATCGGATAAATAAGTATACTCTTTTATCTATTTTGCAAACTTTAATTAAAAAGGATGTTTTTACTATTTTAAAGTCAAACGAGAAGTGAAGCGACGCTCAGACCCACGAAAAGAAAATCAGGCATAACGATTCGTAATCACTACGTATCTTGCATGGTGTCGCGGAAGAAAAACTCTCTTTCAATTTTCCTTTACAACCTTCGGAGTAATAAGTAAAAATGCACATACGTGCACGAGATGCAAGAGGAGAGATTAAAGGATCGTATGCACTAACATAGAGATTCCAATATCTCTTGATATTTTCTTCGCATTACAATAAAACTTTACGATTATCATCGCCAAGGGTTGATTAAATAAATGATTACAAAGGCTGTAGCTCAGGTATTTCACAGAAGAAGCCGAATGGTACGTCACATTTGATATCGTCCATAGTTCCATCCATTAATAACGCTCCACAATTTTGCACTCCACCCTCGTTATCCGGCTGTCCACCCCACTTATCGCTCCATAAGTCGAAGCCTGTTTTCGCGAGCGGGTCGCCTAATATCGTGACCCAATCGCCCTCCGCGTAAAGATCGTGTATACCCAGAAAAGCTTCGTCCTCGTAGCCGCTACCGATCACCGGGCCGGAGTGATTAAACAGATCCATTAATACCTGAAAAAAAAGAGAGGGAGGAATCGTAAGCGACGCTAAAGGGCTGCTTTTAATCGGTACCACCATAAATCGCTCTTTCAACGGGTCCCATTTCGCGAACGCTAATGGTGTACCTTCGATGGATCAAAGAGCTGGAATACAAATTGCCGGTGACACGGTTAATTCAAGTCCGACGCGCGATCGCGAAATAAAATCTGTCCTCTCTCACGGGTAATACGATTGAAATTGAATTGGGAAACGAACCTATTACGAGCCATTCGAATTAACCCTCGAAATAGGCGCATGCCGATGAATCGCTTAAATTTTTATTGCAACTGACCTCTTGTAGTAAAGGAATTTAATCGGGTCCCAAATCCCCACTGGCAAAATGGCAAATTTTTTCCACCCTCCTAATGGCCAATTAATCCATTCAAATTTTTACTCACCCTCGGTGCATAAAAATCACTCAAGGGCTAATGAGCATAGCGATCCTTAGTAGCGAAAGGGTTAAGAAAAATTGAAACAGATCTAACTTACCCGTTGCTCTGCGTAGGAATTGATAATTGCCAAATGACCGCCTTCCTCGTTGCAAATTTCTCGCGCCTTGTTCCATGGCTGTGCTCTGGTGTGAAATTTATGCGAACCGATTTCAGGCGTGTACTTGTAATCATCGCGAGGAGGCGTCCCGTGAACGGGAAGATTGCACATGCACACCGTGCCGTGCACCATCATATTGCGAGAGCGATATTTGTCCCGATTTAAACTCAATGGATGGTGAGGACTAGGGATGGAAGTTTCATGGATATGCTTCGTTTTGTTGACCTTATGCGTTGGAGCAGTAATTTCTTTCGGTATAGAAAATGTGCCTCGAAAGGCAACGCACAAGATGATACAATTAACCAAGATACTTAACGCCGACATCTCTTTTGATTGCGTTCACTTTTGTCAATTCAATCTTCGTTACACCGGCCTTTATCTCACTCTGTTTCGCTTTTAAGTCGCCCTTTGTTCTCGCTGCAGGTTCGTTTAATGGAAACGCGTACTTCACTACTGTTCGCCTTGCAAAAGATGGCCGGACAAGGTATTTACACTCTTTGCCACCACTCCTGCGTTCACACGAGCCGTCACTATTGGCCGAGTACGGTGACGAAGGTCAACAACGGGCCATACGAAAGATCCGGACGGAAAGGGCAATGCTCGAAACGGACACGCCCAAAATGATTTTTGAATCGGATCCCCTTGCCGATTGGTCGTTCGAACTTCCATACACTAGCCCTACAGCCTGGATCAGTGGTTATCAAACTTTTAAAAACTTCTAAATGGAAAAATACAATTTTTTAATGGACCATAAATCCGTTTTCTGCCATTTATCGAATATCGCAATCTACCTATATCGAAAGAAACAAGCGTCGGCAATTTCTGTAATGAAATTTTCCCTAAGAGTAATTGCAACTGCAACGATCGCAACACTGCGCCCCATAGCGACCGTACAGGCTGCTGCTTGCAATCTACGCTCCACAATTATTTTCAACTCATGGAGGAATGAAAATTCCGATGCTTGACCCATCTTCGAGGATTAATGGAGTCGGTGCACCAAGGGGTGTTCCCGAACCGTTGAACAGAGAAATTTCGTGGAAAGAAAATTCTAAGGCTGGTGCTTTCTATTTCCATGTTCATCAAACTGTATCGATATATTCGTATGCTCCTCGCATCCTGTTGCTCGTCTCCTCGATCAGCGTTTCAATCACGGTAATTGGTAGTACGATGGCTTGTCGTGGATGATCGAGCAGTGTGCACTTGGAATTTCAGCCTTATTAATTAAAATTCAGTGATCTACCGTAGAATCTACACGAGGACGAAGGTTGCAATGATTCAAAAGGCGAAAAGCATCCAAGACCGAATGCAAGGGGATGCAACACCTCGAGAAAAGAAGGTTTCCTTCGACATCAAGAGAGAAAAGTGAATGAGAACAATTCATGGATCGTGTCTCCGATAATGCTGCCCTCAACTCAGCTGATCGATGTACGCTAGACGATAATTAAGGCCCTTGACATCGTCACTAATCCTCCGGTAGAAATTGAAGTTCCTGGATACGCGTCGACAGAGAAACGAACCAAATTTCTGGTAGCAGTTATCTCTGAAACCAGCGAGGAGCGACTGAAAAATAAACCGGACGAAAGTGTAATAAACGAAATTTTTCTCTGATTAAGCAAATTCCGTGCACCGCTCGGTGTGTTAATAAAAATTGATCAAATCTAACGACGCCCTTTTTTTCTCTCGCAATTATCACAAACGAATGTACGTATGTTTTCCTGATAACAAGAGCGAATAAAAGCGTACCATTAACGACCCACTTGGTAAAACAATTTAACTTTTTACACAGCCCGGACCTTGATGCTTAACGAGCGGTTACGTGTTATTTGAATACACGCAGCCGGCTGTTTATTTCAGCCTTGTCTACGAAAGAATTTTATTCTTACCCTTTTAAATTGCTCCTCGACCCGCTATGTTGCTTCGCAATTAATCGTTCTAAGAATGAAAGAAAGAACTAATCTAGCATCCCGCGAGATACGTTGAAGTTGCAAGAAATCTAGAAACTATTAAAATTGATTAAAACGCGTCGATAAATCGGTGGCAGGATTATGAAAGGTGCTGGTTTCTAATCGTCTTAGAGGTAAAGGCGATTCGAGAACTGCGGGATTCGCGTGACCCGTAAAATCGCGGGAAGGTAAAACGAAGATGTCGGTAGACGGTGGTGGTATTAATTAAAAGTGCCGGCGCCTGTTTTGCTTTTGGATCAGACAGCCCTCGTTCGAAGCGAAAAGCAGGCTCGTTGCTCGTCGGAGCGCGATTTTCGTGGGGAAAGCCTCGTCATTTTTTTTCCTCCTTCGCGCGTTTCATCCCCGTCGAAGCGAGGAATTTTCAGCGGAGCACGCATCTCCCTCTGGTTCAACATTTAATCGTTATGGACGCGTTTTCTCTGACCAGTTCGCATTTCTCGGAACGTTTAATTTCATTTCCTTTCCAATCCAATTTTTCTTTCAAATAACATTCAATTTCTATCTTAGATTTGTATCTGTAAAAAATGAACCATCAATCAAACGGTTCGGCATTAGAAACGTAGATTCGAATAAATCATTTTTGGATGAAAATGTCAGCTGACGGAACGTTTGAAACAGAAGGAAATGGTTTTATTCGGATATTTGGCGGGTTCAAGTGTCCCCAAGACGGATTGCGTATCCGACGGTTCGTTCGAGAGAGGTCGAGGATCGTTTCAAAGTGGATAGAAAATTTTTCTCACGTACGCGCCGTATAACGTTCGGTGAAAAATGAATTTCCCTTAACCGTATTCCCGACGATACGCGATACTTTATTTAGCGCGTTTAATCCCCGCGAAGCTAAAGATATATCCGTGGACGTAGCCGGAGGACCGTGTCGTAAATCGTGCGTCCGGACGCTAAGCGGCCGAGATCTGGTTCGGTAGTTTAGCAATCGTAGACCGTCTTAAGGTACCGCCCTTTCTCGATTCATCCTACGGCTTTTCAATCGAAAGACAAATAGCCTTGATAAAAGTGTATCGTTATTGCTCGAAACTGTTCCATGTTCCCGCTTTCCCGGTATATATTCGAGAAACGTTTATGCGGCAACAATTGGCTCGCCTCTAAATCTTCTTTCCGATCGAGGAACGAAGAAGCGCTATCCACCGTTTCCGGAAAAGCAGCAGAAGCCATTTTCAACGAATAAAGAATAATCGATCGGAGTTAACGCGTTAAAGTTATTCGAATTTCTCTCGAGGAAATTTCAAATTTATTTTTCAATGAAAAAAAGAAAAATTATTCATAAAGTTTGATATTTTTTTTTCGCGTTCGTCGAATGAGTTTCAACCTTTAAGTGGTTAGTTGAGCGTTACGGAAGCAGCAACAATTGACTCGCCTCTAAATCTTCTTTTCGATCGAGGAACGAAGAAGCGCTATCCACCGTTTCCGGAAAAGCAGCAGAAGCCATTTTCAACGAATAAAGAATAATCGATCGGAGTTAACGCGTTAAAGTTATTCGAATTTCTCTCGAGGAAATTTCAAATTCATTTTTCAATGAAAAAAAATAAATTATTCATAAAGTTTGATATTTTTTTTTCGCGTTCGTCGATCGAGTTTCAACCTTTAAGTGGTTAGTTGAGCGTTACGGAAGCAGCGCGGATAAAAGAGGCGAATAGTCTTCGTGTCGAAGGTCTTTACCTTCTTAACCTCACAGGGATCGGTGCTTTCGGATCGCTTAACCGACCCGTTCCCGGTCCATTTAACATTCTGATATCCGGCGAGTTTTATGAGCGCCGCCGTTTTTCCGCTCGCGAGGAAATTGAAACCCGATTGAAAAAGTTCCAGGGTTGCCTACGCGACCGATTTCTTCGATGCCCGATTCCGTTCGCGTATTTCGCCAAGCCAATTAAGCGGTTCGCCGTTGTTATTTCTCGATACTTGCCCAGGTTACAATTACCGCTTTTCCCTGTCAATTTGCAAATGTAATTCCTTTTTACCGCTTATAATCAGGACTCGAGGAATTTTAAGTCTTTGTAACGGTTAAAAAGCTACGAGAGACGAATCGGCAGACGGTTAGTAATTATCACCAGGGAAAGAAGAAACGTCGGGACGGGTCGGGTTGATATTTTTTCAAGAGACGTGATGTTGAGGGAGGAATGGCAAGGGGGATGGAGAAACTCGACGTCGGAGACGAAGAAGCTGGTGGGAATAGTTTATCGCGTGTGGAGATAGCGGGAACGATGCGGGTTCCGCTCGAGTTTCCGCCCCCGCAATTGCACCCACCGAGAATCCTACTTTTCCTTGCTCTGCAACTTGTCAAAATAATCGATTGTTTTGATCCATATGCAGAATCAACACTTCTCGATCGTTTCATTTTCCATCGATAAATATTAAGTTAATACCTTATCGACCTTACGATACCTTGCCACTTTCACGGTACCAGTTTAGTTATTATCCTATTGTGTGTTTATTTCCTATTGTTCATTTATTGCCTATTGTTTAGTTATTACTAATCACAGCAGGTGTTGCTGCTTAACAATCTATTGTTAAAATCCGTTTTTTAATTATGCACCGGATAATCTGAATATTTTTGTAACCCACGATTATCTAAAGAAACGTAAGTTTATTTTTGGAAAAGAAACCTTCAAAGGCATCGAATTAATGGAAATGCAATATTTTCCAAGCAAATGTTTCCTCGAATAACGGAGGTTGCATTCGTTATGCAAATCAGTTGGAGGAAAGAAATCGTAAGGCAAAGGGTTGCAGTTAAACATCGTAGGAGTAATTAGGTAGCAGAAGAGGGTGTAGGGGAAAAGATCGGAACAGTAGATTGTTAGGAAGGAAGCGTTTAAATCCCGGAATGCATTCCGTCGTGAAAATCGTAGATTCTAATCGGAGGGGATCTTGTTCGCCGGCTAATTGAAAAGCAGCTACCGTTGCGGTAAACGAACGTTTATTTGCCCGAACAGCACCCAAGCTTGTTCGATAAATTAAGGGAATCTTTGTTCGCTGTCGCATTTTATTAAGAGAATCGCGCACAGTCACCCGATGATTTATCGTCCCGAAAACTGAGGCGGAGAAGATTAAATCGCAAACGTAGACGCGAATACTCCTCCACTTCTGTTCGTTTCGCTCTATACACACTCGTTTCCTTTGCCTCGAAACTACTTGAAAACACGGAACTATTAAATCGTGAAATATTAAACGACCAACAGAGTGAAACGACAGACGTTTCGTTATTTTCATGGCGATTGGTCCTCTTCATCCGTGGGAAAAATGGTAATTTTTCAATCTAATCACTCTAATCGTTTCCCAGTGGAAATATTCTTCCAGCTTCGTGTAGGATTAACTCTTTCCGTACGATCGACGCAATCGTCCCGTTCGCAAAGGGTTAAACTGTGATTCAAAAGCGATTGATTAATCCTAACGCAAATACGAGCTTTCTGTTGACGTTATTGCGTTTCTGTTTCAGATGAAACGGAAATTTCAGATCGCGACCCTCTACCTCCTGCTGCTGTCCATCTGTATGTCCGTCGCCGGTCACAAGGTGAGTTTATCCGAAATTCGTACCTACGTTTTCTACTGTCTCGTTATATATCAATTATCGCCGGTTTTGTCAAAACGAAAGATAGGACCAGAAGAGAAAAAGATAGAAATTGAAAGGTCGTGTAAAACCGTTCTATTCCTCGTTCACCTGTCTACCTGCTTTCCCACCTAAGAAACGCGCAATATTTCCATCGACAGATTTATGGATCAACCTGGTGCACCCCTCGAAATCCTCTTTTCCGCATCGAGCACCCGGTTACCGACGTTCAAACGAGGAAAAATCACGTAGCGAAAGGAACAAATGGCAAAATGAAGATGAAAAAAGAAATGGGTTTCTTCCAAGTAGATAATATTATCTACTGGCTAATTTTCATTTAGAAATTCAAAACTGATCATTTTCTATCCAAGGCAAGCAACGCGGTTACTCACACGAGTGACCTAATATTAATGAAAAGCAAAATACGTCCTTTTATCGTGGCGCGAATTGCTTTCGTCCATTTTTTTTCCGACTATTCGTTCAAAAGTTTTGTTCGCGCTTCTGCTACGAGAAATTTCTGCATTTAAACTACATATTATCCGCGTGCATCGCTTCGCTGATGGAAAGTCGAGTACCGTGGAAGTTCTCCAAAGAATAGAAGGTAGAGGTGAAAAAAAAAAAGAAGAAGAAAAAAGAAAAATCGTTGCCAACGTTGTCGAAGCCACCCTCGCGTACCAATGCACCGCTATGCCCTGACATTATTCGCTTGACAAGCTTTCTTCGGACAAGAAATGACATAACTGGTTCCTTCCAATCGTTTCCAACTCACAGTTGACCCACTTGGGTGTCTGTTCTGTGATGATCGATCAAACTGAAATACGATTCGGTAAAATGGTATGCATTTTCTATTGGCTCAAGTTATTTAGAACACGACCCAGAAGTCGAAATAGCAAAGGGAAACGAGGATACGTGTCGGTTTTAATCAAGGTACACTTTGGAATTCTGCAGGAATGATGAAAAGTACACAGTTACGAGTACTCGGCTTTAGAATCGCATCGAGGAAAACACTTTAATTAAGGAAAATCGTTTAGCAAACGCAAAATTACTCGACTAAAAAATCAACTAACGTTGCTACGATTTCGATACGTATGTGTACCAGACAAATATTTGCATCCATTCGATAAAATTTGAAAAATATATACTCGGCGAGATAATAAGTTTGTCATTTATAATAAATTGCACGGTGTATCAATATTTGATATACCATACGAATATTTTTTCCACGAGTGGATTCTGACTGTTACATTTCAATATTTGAGGATAAAGTTAGCCTTGCCTACTTTGTATATAAATTGAACGAAAATAAAATAAAAGCTATTACGTAGAGTCGATTGAATACGATCGCGGTCCTAAGCCCTAGGACTTAGGATCTAATACCGTAAGTTTATGGGCCTAGGATCCCATGATTCCCATGATCTTGGCTTGACTCTGAATCGAAGAGGGAATTCGAAATCACCGAAAGCCTGGTGAATTAACTTCTTAACTCGATATTTCAACTGAAATAGTTTATCAAGAAGAAAATTTTAAAAAATGTACCCTTAATTAATCGATAGTAGAATAGCTAATAAGTTTGATAAAGTTGCGTGCGAAAGCACGACCTAGTAACTATTTTTAAAACAAAGTTGCGGGTTAGAAGATCGTTTCTTCCAGCGTGAAACGTTCGAGTTAATTAAAAGTCTGACGTAACGCGATAGAGATAATTTTTAGATCTGAAAACAGGATTTTACCTTTCGAGGACTCCTCGGATTCAGGTAACTATACGCACAGCATCGGCCTAGAACCATCCGACATGCCGGTGATCGTTGTTCGAGTGCGTGTGCTGGCCATTCCGTCAATGTTGACCGGAAGTGTTTGTTCCGATCCATGTGGAATAGCATGCTGAACACCGGTTGTCCGGTGGCCTCGTGTAACACCGTAGTCCAACATAATTGTCGGCGTGCCAGAATTTAGCCGGTCCCGATAGGTGGCTGGATCGTTGCCGGGCATTTCATCCCTCCTACATTCTCCTCCGCCATGCGGGGGATAATTCGTCGCGATCTGAAGCGGTTTTGATTGCGCGACGTCCCATGATAAATGTAAACGCAAACAACGTCTGACAACTGAATTCGAACCGTTGCTCGAAACGGCTAATTTCCATATCCTCTCCGTTCTTCCGATTTCCTATCTCTCCTAACGATCCACTGTCAACTCCCCTAATACCTCTTCACAGATGGGATTACGCGTATAGGGTGTTCTGTCATTCGAAGGGTAGACGTTGGAGTACGAAGGGCGTAGTTCATAAGTCTACGCCCTCGAAGAGTGGTAATACCAATAACCGTGTATCTACCATCTCGAAAAATAGACTCTTAGCTGTTCAATTCTCTCCTCGCGTTATACAGGGTGTTCGACAACAGGTGGGCAAAATTTTAAGGGGTGATTCTAGGGGTGAAAATAAGACGAAAATCAAGAATAACGAAATAGCGTTCATGGCTTTGTTTTCCAGTAATTAACGTTTAAAAATTCGAGTTAAAAGCGCCTGAAACCTGCAACCCGCCTAGCACCGGCGATTGAACATCAGGTCAGCAGGGGAAGGTACAGTCATAACCAAGAATCGTTCGATAGTAGAAACTTATTGTAAGCGTCTACTAAGTTGAGACTCGAGGTGTGAAACGCTCCGCCTAATCCTTACCTCGAACCCTCGTCTAGTAGTAGTAGTAGTAGTTTCTACTAGTAGTTGTAACCTAGAGAGCGAGTAGCGAGAATGCGTGTGGGTCAACTGTATAAGTGTGCGTGTCTAAGTCTGGCCGATGTAACTCCGACCAATCAGACCCAATTCCTTAGGAGTCTCAACTTAGCAGACGCGTACAGTACCTCGTGCTATTCTATTTCTCGGTACTGCAGCATTCGGCTTCGATTCTTGGTTACGACTGTACCGGCCCCTGCAGACCTGACGTTCAGACGTCGGTGCTAGGCGGGTTGCAGGTTTCAGGCGCTTTTTACTCGAATCTTTAAACGTTAATTACTGGAAAACAAAGCCGCAAACGCTATTTCGTTATTCTTGATTTTCGTCTTATTTTCACCCCTAGAATCACCCCTTAAAATTTTACCCACCTGTTGTCGAACACCTTGTATGCACTTCCCTATTGATACAAAGGATCTTTCCGGAGAGTCGGCGACGCACGGGTCTCGGTATTGGTAAGTGCATACACGCGTTCCTTTGTGCAACGTCATTAATTAATCATCCTTATTGCTAAAGAACTAACAGCGTGCCAGGTATACCACACGCAAAACGTTCGTTGACAAGGCTTAATTATCTCGTGGAAAGTAACAACACCGGTGATGTCGTCCACGAACGGGTAAACTTATATAAGCGCTAAATTCAACGACAAAGGAGACGCTGTTGCCTGTAACAAAACTTGTTCGCGATCTTATCTCGTAATGAGCGTTTAAGTATGTTCCTCCCGAGCACTTCCCGTTGTATTTATCTTGAAGTTTGTCCATAAAGAGAGTCTTCTTTGACAAAACATTTCGAGTTTCAGTTTGATGCTTGCCTTTTACTCTCTTAGAAGTAAAATTTTAAGGATTTATACATGGAATCCCTAGAGAAAAATCGCGATATCCTTGTCCCCTCCAAAATCCCTCCAAAGCGCGGTAAATTTAAAATTGAAATTTGAAAAAGAAATATTAAACAATGTCGGTATTATAATAATTATGGAAGTTACCAATCTAGAAACTCAAATCTGAAGAGTATCCATGTATCCATATTAATTACCATTGTCGCAGTCGATGTGTTAATATCGTATTTATGTAATTGTACTGCAATGAATGGCATTATTGTCTCGCCGACAATGTTAATCAATAACGGGAAACAACGTGGGTTAATATAACAAGTGGAAGAACGAACGAAATCGCTGGCCATAATTGGATCGAACGAAATCACGATTTTTCCGAAACGAACAGCTTGTTTACGCCACGTTGATCGGTTTAATGAGACCCCGTGGATACCGAATGAGAACGAGGCAAATATACGGACTAAAAGTCGAATGAAAGAGCTTTGAAAAGTTTGAACAATATCGGTATCTTTGATATTGCAGCGTCAAAGTTTTGTTATTTTATGGTATTTGTACTCGGAACTGAACGCTAAAAAAAACAGTGGTATTTTAAAAAAGTTTCATAAAGATCTCTGTAGTATTTTACGGACACATTGTAACTGGTATGTTATTCAAATATTTCATCGGTTTTTTATATTCAATAAAAAAATATTCAATGTGAAAATGTCAACGCAATATGAAAATATTTTTCCCTTAATTATGAGATCCACGACTTTATGATTTAATTGGAGAACATGCACAGCAATTACGTAACGCGATAAACATTCTATTAAAAAAGTAATTTGAAATTTATCGAGTATTTTTATACTCTGTTGAGAAATAAAAAATTGACGCGAATGATTTTTATAATAATTTTAAGAAAAGTAGAAGCGTACCACGAAAATATTTAGTAAATGGAATTAATTAAAAAAAAATAAACGACGGAATCTTAATGGCGAATAGGAAAAAAGTCGCTACGAGTGTTTGAAGTTTAACGATCCTTAAAGACAAGTTCGCCAGCTATCTAAATTAATTCTTAAACTTCCTCTCAAAGAGTTGTTCTCCCTCGCCGGTAATTTCCGAGAGTAATTGAAAACACCCGTTCCATGAACGAACAATTTTAGGCGACACTAATGGAGATATGGAACGCCGTGGTGTCCCCATAAATTTCCCGGTGAAATAACCTGCTCGTGGGAAGCGAATAGATCCTAAAACGACTCATATTTTTCGATGTCGCTCTGATATTTCAGCTTCGTATATTAACCCCTCTACTCAACGCGCGGCCGATCGCTTTGAGATCCCCGACCAATTCGCGTTTCCTCTTCCTTCTTTTCCTTCCACGATCCCCGTGACCGGTCACTCTATATCCTATCAATATCCACAGCATGAAAAATCGAACGAATTGGAACGGGTTCGATGTTGAAACCAATTTCTCTCTAACGCGTTTGTCTCTTGCTATTGATACTTTATCATCAAAGGGGAGGAAAATCGAAAATATAAGAAGTACTTTACGATCAAGTATTGAAATTATAATATTCGATGAAACTATCAACCGTGGAAACGAATTTAGTGCCTTTTCACGGAAAATATTTCTCTTAACTTTTCTCTTTGCACGCGTTTAATTCCCATAACAAAGATAATCATTCCTAACAAGTACTCTCGAAGAAATAATTCCTTAAGAAAACTTTATCCCTCTGTTTCTTTATTTCGAGCTGGCAATTTTTAATAAGAAGATAAAACTTGTTCGCTCGTTGAGGGCGAATAAAATTTTCGTACTCGGAGTAAAGAAAGAACGGACCACTCGGCGATCATCTCTAAAGTGGTCTGTTCTAATTTTTTGTTAACGATGCCATTTTTTTTTTTGCAACCTCGATCGTGCCTAATCTGAACGGTCGATCGTGGCTTCCATCGATTCAACCAAGTAACTTGCTCGTCAGTCTCATTCTTGACCCGGTCGCGTTTTAACCCAGTTCACTCCGCGGCCTCTTACGTATGCATTTTTCATTCCTTTTCAGCACTCAAGGCGGCATCGAGACTTTACTGTGGCCGAAAATCATGACTCCGCTTCATTGTCCAGGAGTGACAGCCACTCGATGACGGTGTCGCCGTTGATCGAGCGATCGTCGCTTCCGGAAGAAGCGTACCTTCCTGAAAGTGAGTATAAAATTTATACGAAAGAATTTTGTGCAGGCGATCCGTTTAGCGGAGGAGGGGAAGGTTTCGTCTCCCGGGACGCCTTTGGTTCGGGCCGGCGACCGCTAGGTGGCGGCGGAGATAATCGGAAATCAGTGTTCTCGCTGGCGGTCGCCCGGCACGCAGTCCAAATACTTAGGAATTCCGAATTGCGGTACGATAGGTGTCTTGGGCAGGGATCGTCTGTTGTCATCTCGAGACGAAACGCCTTTTTCTCCTCTCTCTTACATTCGTGTAATTTGTGGCGCTAAAATTTCTCCTTCGACACGGGGTACATCGTAGAGAGCAAAAGAATCTCTGGGGTTAAGCATTGCGGAAAAAATTAATGAACGCGGTTTGATACGGTATGAGACGAGATACGGCTTAATACGCGCTCCTTTCTCAAACGTTGCGCGCGTTGAATATTTTTTAATTAAATCATTATTCGGTGAATGTATAATTTGCAGCGCACAATGGGTCTCTTTTAGAGGCTGGATTTTCGCGTTACGAAACGATGGTCGTTTGAAATAAAAGAGAAACGAACCGTCGGAGGAAAACGAGATCTTTAGCCGTACCTTTAGCCTCGGGAAAGAAATGGAAACTCTCCGACGAAAACCGGCTAGCTTTATAAGTATTGTATCTTGAGAATGAAACACACAAGGCCGGTGATAATCAGCGCCCCGACAATTTGAACACCCACAGGGACCTTCGTGATTCTTCTTTATCCTATTATACCTCTTCCTTTTTTCGGACCGACTTCACGGTCCGTTTTCATACGAAATGATACACCGCGAGTAGTCCGTATAATATCAGACCGAAGATTAATAATATCGCTACGACGTAAAATATAGCGCACATTGCCAGACGAATCTGCTTCGAGAAATATTCGCTTGGTTATAAAATTATCTATGATTAATACACAACTTCTCTTCGAAACGAGAAAATATACAGCTCATTTGTTTTTTTTTTAAATATCCTTGAATTGTGCGCATCAAATCACTGCTTTTAGTATACTACTGAATAGCAATGATGGTTTCATTTTCATCATTAGATCTAATTGTAATTCGTGTTGAAATCAAGCGGAAACATTGTAACAGTGATTGCAATCAACATCCTGCTATCACATATCAGAGAATAATTGAATTTCTCCGAACACAAACGCACAGGGTGCATTGTCTATTATTATCATTCACCTAATTATTCTATCTTGCGTTATGAAACGTATAATCTGGACATTGATCAACGTCGATCACATCTGTCGATGAGCTTATCATTTTGACGTATATGTACGTCAACCAAAAGGATAACTACAATCCATGTACGTACAGTATCGGGCAAAGTAGATTTAGGTAAGGAAGTCCACCATACTCGATGCTGTACATTAACGCTATTCGAAATTTTCTAAAAATCAGAAAAGTCAGTTTGCAAAAATTTCAAGCTCAAAGTCATCGCGGGGGATTTTGAAATTCTCCAAGAATCAGAAAAGTAAATCACGCACGGTATTTATGAGCAATGGATTACTCTCGAGGATCCTGGCAACCTGTGGCGAATTCTTGATGATTCTTCTGCTATTTTTCTCGCAGCTCCCACGGTTGATCCTTGCGTGAAGAAATATTGCGGCGTCGGCAGAGAATGCGAGCAATCGGCGAACAATACCGTGGCCACGTGTGTCTGCACGCGAAAATGCCCGCGAAGGCATCGACCGGTTTGCGCGAGCAACGGAAAGATTTATGCCAATCACTGCGAGCTGCATAGAGCCGCCTGCCACGCTGGATCATCGTTGACCCGAAGCAGACTGATGAGATGCCTACATCATGGTAAAATCTCGAGGGCACAAAAATGAGCCAATTTTTTTAAATGAATACTTTAATTTTAGTAGTATCCTGGATTTTAGTTCTTACATCGAATCCGTAGCTAAGTCATCGATGACCCTCGTGGTAGTCAACGTCATCGCCTCTTTCCTTTCTCATTCCTAAAAATTGAAAATATATGTAAAATTAGATAATTAACACGTTTCCTATCGTTCAGCGATTTTTAAACTTGCTGGCACACAGAGACCTGGCAGTGGACGTGTTAAAATAAAAAAAGTATTTTAACAAATAATTCTGCAGGAATTTCGACTATAAGAATCGTTTCCGCTGTTCTGCTTTCAATTACGAGCCTCTTATCACTGCCTGATCACTGTTGTACACGTTTGAATGAATTAAACGGTTCGAAGCGTTCTGCAGCCTTAATACCCGGCTGTCTTTTAATCCCTAACAGACATCGAGAATGCACACGTTCGTAGAACTTTACACGTGGAGGGAACATCCTCCAAGACAGGGAAGACGATTACCTATCCTAGATTTAGAAACCGGAAGAAGACAAATTTAAGGGATAACTTGATACCAGAGAAAAATAATTCTGATACGAAAGAGTGCTCGAATCAGGAATACGAAATAATGAAGGTATGTTAATCGCTATTCATCTGACTGACAGATTAAAAATATTTCTATTCGCAGGATAATTTGTTACTTTACAATCATGCAAGACTGATGGCCCAGGACAACCATAGTAAAGAATACCTCGTCAGTATAATGTTCTCTCACTACGATCAAAATAACAATGGGAATCTGGAACGCGAAGAATTGGAACAGGTAATCATTTTGCTTTTGTTTTAATATTTTTCAATCCATATAGAATAAATTGTACGATGAACATGGAACTTTAGATAGCAGAGAACGAAGATTTAGAAGAATTGTGCAAGGGATGTAATTTAGGTCACATGATCAATTACGACGATACCGATGGTGATGGGAAACTGAATGTGAATGAATTTTATATGGCGTTCAGCAAACTTTACAGTAAGTAAAATTTGAAAATTGAGAACCTTCAACCATGGTCCATTAAAATCTGCAAAATGGCGTTAATGATGAAAAATGAGTTGAAACATCGTAATCGTTTTTTAGGTGTCTCGGTCGTGTCCCTCGATAAATCTCTGGAGGTGAATCACATTTCTGCGAGGGTGGGCGATAACGTTGAAATCAAGTGCGATGTCACCGGTACACCACCACCGCCATTAGTGTGGCGACGCAACGAGGCCGATTTGGAGATCTTAAACGAGCCCGAGGTGCTATCTAAAAACCGATTACTTCAGAGAACGTCAACAGGCATTAAACTTTCGCTGTAACGCCGGTCACGGACCGAAACGTTGCTACTGTGTGCGATAATTGTATATACGGGGACCCCTTCGACCGGCAATACAGCGAGAGCTTACTCTTAGTCTATACATACAGGGTGTTCGACAACAGGTGTGCAAAATAGCGTTTGCGGCTTTGTTTTCCAGTAATTAACGTTTAAAAATTCGAGTAAAAAGCGCCTGAAACCTGCAACCCGCCCAGCGCCGACGATTGAACGTCAGGTCAGCAGGGGAAGGTACAGTCATAACCAAGAATCGTTGAATAGTAGAAATTTACCTCGTGCTATTCTGTTTCTCGGTACTGCAGCATTCGGCTTCGATTCTTGGTTATGACTGTACCGGCCCCTGCAGACCTGACGTTCAGACGTCGGTGCTAGGCGGGTTGCAGGTTTCAGGCGCTTGTTACTCGAATTTTTAAACGTTAATTACTGGAAAGCAAAGCCGCAAACGCTATTTCGTTATTCTTGATTTTTGTCTTATTTTGATCCCTAGAATCACTCCTTACAATTTTGCCCACCTGTTGTCGAACACTCATATAGCAATAAAATCGTAAACGATTGATTCGCTCCGGCAATCTAGTGTTAAAGATCAATAACACCTTTTTTCTTCTGATAGATAAGAGTGTTCAACGACGGTAGCCTGTACTTGACGAAGGTGCAGCTGATACACGCCGGAAACTACACCTGCCACGCGGTCAGGAACCAGGATGTCGTTCAGACGCACGTGTTAACCATTCACAGTAAGCTGTCGAAAAATGACAAGAAAATTTCATGTAGGGTGATTCTCTCGCTGGTGTACTCAAAGGAAATTCCGCCACACCAATATGAATGGACCCAAACCCTTTCCTTGGGCTTCGGTCCATTCATACTGATGTGGCAGCAATTCCTTTGAGTACACTAACGAGAGAATCACCCTGTAAATTATCAACCAAGAACAAGTCATCTTAGAACAGAATATTAACATGTCCAAATGATTCATAGCTGTCCCAGAGGTAAAAGTAACGCCGCAATTTCAAGCGAAACGCTTGAAAGAAGAAGCTAGTATAAAGTGTCACGTAACTGGTGAACCTCTTCCACGAGTAGAGTGGTTGAAGAACGATGAACCATTGAACCACGATCAACCAGGCAAATATGATCTAATTGGAAACGGTACTAAACTGATGATTAAGAACGTGGACTATGCTGATACAGGAGCATACATGTGCCAAGCTAGCAGTATAGGTGGTGTGACCAGGGACATCAGCAGTTTGGTTGTCCAGGATCAACCTACACCGAGTGAGTCATCTGTAATGAATATTCAGAAATTTCTGTTAATAATAACCACAATTGTTATTCGTTTAGCGACTGAGAACGAAGAACGGAGATTTTTTTCTTTCCACAAATGGGGCATTTTAGTCTACGAACCGTCCACTTGTAGACTGCGACACGAGATTCGGTCTACGGATGTTATTCCTGGCACTCAGGTAAATTTGTTGGTGAATTTATCAATAATGTTATCCTAACAGCCTCGATATTTTCTTTTTCAGGAATACGTATGCGGGATTAAGAACGTGCCTTGTTCCTGGGGACGTGCGATCAACGTTGCGAATCGGTACGTGTACGTCAGTCAGCCACAAAAGGATCGTGTACTTGTTATCAGCGAAACCCAAATGGTTATAGTCGATGTAAGTAAAGAATTATCCGGATTTCTTGGTGTTATATTCTGAAAAATTAACGCTCTTTATTAGGTGGTGCCAACAGATAAAAATCCTGTCCAACTTTGGTACGTACCTTCCCTGGATCAAGTGTGGGTGTTAAATTGGCGAAGCGAAGAAGACACCGGTGTGAAAACGGTGCAAGTGATCGAGGATGCATCTCAAAAGAAGAAGCATCGAGCCATTCGACCCGAACCCATTGACGCACAGTTTGATATCATTCAAAATATTTATATCCCTGAACCACAAGTGATTATCATAATTTCTTTTTAATTAGTAATTTTACAAAGATTAGAGTGCTTTATTTCTCTTCTTTTCTGTCCAGGATATTGATAGTACGTTCAAATACGGTTACGTGAGTCACACGAATCAACGGAATATGTATAAACTCGATCTGAAGAATATGAAGTACACCCGCAGTGCTGATTTAAGTTCTTACGATTGCGTTCCGGCGAACGTTCAATTCTCGATACTTTGTGAGTAATTTCTTTCTGACTAGCCAACGAATTTATAAATATTTGCATTGTCTTTCAGACGGATTTGTAATAATTGAATGCCAAGAACCAATCACTAATCGACCAACTGGTCAATTGCTGTTAGATTACCTCACCGATACAGTTCTTGTTCACAAACCTAATCTCTTAGGAAGACCAACAATTTCACCTGACTCTCGACACCTTGTCACCTTGGACAAACAAGAGACTGGTGTAACTCTTGTTGTGCAAGAAATATCATGTAATTATAGATTATATTTTTTATACTGCCACCGATGATTCCTATGGTAATTAATATTTTACTCCACAATTAATTCTCCTTCTAGCTAACGGTTTAAAATTTGCATTCGACGTGAAAACTACATTGAACATCAGTGATATCGCGCTCTATCCATCGCAGACCACCCATGGGTATGACATTTACGCGTCATCGATTGACAAAGAGGATATCCTTTTCCTAGATCTATCCACTGGTAACGGAATAATTCAAAGACACAGCGTTCTCTATCTTTCAGCAATTAACCGACTAATTTCGCTTTTCCGATTCCAGGTAAAGTGGAAATGATAACGGGAGTAGGCAAAGCTACACCGCCTAACTTAACGAAATGGGGAAATCCGAACAGACCAATCGTCCAGAGCGGTATATTTGGTAAATACATGGTCAGTCCATCGAGCGACGCGTTATTCGTTTTGAATGGAGAAACACGAACGATAAACTGCGAAATCGGGGGCTTAGTGAATCCTGGAGCAGTGGTATGGTTCACAGTGTCTTTACATTGAACGACAGACATTTTTACAACGATAATAAAGAAATAGCAAAGAACGGGAGACATATTTGGTAACGCGTATGAATGATTATCATTGTTCGAACGAGAAGATAGAGAATAAACCGTAGTTGTCTTTTTTTTTTTTCTAAGTTCGAAGAAAGAAAAGGGTTGAAAGAAATTTCGGGAAAAAATATATTCTAACACCGAGAACATACCATTATTTGAGGTTATTCGTTAAAATCTTTAAAGATATTCCGTGTATCGCTCTTCGACAATTATTAATGGCGTATTTTTGACACCATCGAGCGAGTAAACGTTTTCATTGTTACATACGAATATTTATCGTAAAACATTTATCGATAAGGTTTTTAATGTACATACCAAAGATAGTCTTTTACATATATATTTAATGTACCTAATCATTACCCTATCGGTGGCCTTAGTTTCCTTCAATTTTGCATATCTCTCAGATCTTTGTACCTGTACAAAGTTCTCTTTCCCGAATCAAATTTCTATGGCTATAAACGAAAAAAAAAAAAAAAAAACATATACAATTGTACTCTTCTTAATAGTAATTAGAATAATTGTCACTTCTTATCCAGTACGGGGCTGTAAATTAAAACGATTTTTTCCAAGTATTTAAACAGTTCAAAGAAATTTAATATTTTTCTTTTCTTTTATTTGCAACGACATATTTAGAACTTTTTTTTTTTTCTTCTCAAACGATATCAAGAGTCAATAACATATTACACTTATGATTAGCTAATTAGAAAACGAAAAATTACGCGATTCGATTGAACACAAATATCGTATAGTACAGTTATCTCTTTCTTTTTCTTTGCTAATGAATTGTCCTTAACGAAAACATTGAAACAGTTTTGTTTTACAACAACAATTTTTACAATAGTTGGTACGACAAAGATACATAATATAGTTATCAGGCCATAAATAGCACTCAGGCAACGGGTATGATGATCGTGTACTATAATGCATGCGTGTGTGCCGTGGGTATGCGTGTGAATGCGAACGTATTTAACAATTAAATGAAATATATCTTGTAATAAAAATTACAACAAAACTAATTTAATAAATAATCTGCAAATACAACGTTTTTCTTCTTGCTACAATGTACATGCAGATTACAAACATCTTAGCAGTCTTGTATCCGTTCGGGGTAAAAACAAACTGATGTTACAGTAAATAGTTACACTCCATCGTTAACGATCATATTTTTAAGTGTCTTCTAGTCATAACGTTCGATTTTATTCACTAATAAATTACGTCTGTTCAAAATCTTGAAATCTACGTTTAATCACCTACTGTACAAACTCGACGTACGTTTACGTACTATCTGGTATAAATACATTTTTAATCGCTTCCACCAGATTACATTAATCGTACCCCACACACATCTGTTGTTTCCTTTTTTTTTTTTTTTACTTTTTTGTTCACATTGAACGTCATCGACGATCTAATTACGGAAGAATAATGCATCTTCCGTAGAAAACGGTTTTCATTCGTAATTGTTATTTCGACAGTCAACGAAATTTACACGCGCGTACCACGCACGCTGCACCACCTATAGAATGTTTATTGGAAATTGAAAAAATAGAAAGGAATCAGAAAATATAAGGAAGAAATAGAGATAGACCACGAGCGGATTATTAAGAAAAATAGATGATGAGATTTGTGAGCAGTTCCCCCCACGTACAGTCTGATGTAGTTCGATCAACATACAAACACAACACTGTGAAAATCTCTCCGTTGACTCCCTGCACCTTGTTCGATTATTTGATCTTTCTGGGTCACTGGTATCACCTGTTCGCCAACTTCTTTGTTTTAGTACTGGTTATATATTACACGGTTTTAAATTGGTCCCTTGCCGACTGTAAAAAAGTATATAAGCGTTGCTAAAATCTTCGTCCTGAGGTTTTTGTCTGCTTGTAATCTCATCATTGTAGTAATACCACACGTCGGTGCGAGGATTTTTCGCGTACGCCGTGTAGTGTCCAGCTGATACACCTATAATATAATTAACGACGTACAAAATTACTATTTTATCCCTTTCAAATGTAACTTCTATGAATAAAATAATATATACCTCCAAAATGACAAACGCACGCATACAAATCGTACAAGTGCTGACCTACGCTCAGACCAACCAAAGGGAATGTTACTTTATCGTCTAATTTCATGCTAGCACATTCATAAAACACAAATCTGTAAATTTATATAAAACAAAACTGTGTTACATTCTGAGAAAAGTAATTTTCTTTAAATAATCATACGATTAAAAGTAGACGTACCGTTTCAAATATACTATGAGGAACTTGGGATATCTATGAACCGTGAGTGTTTTTGTAGCACATTGATTTCGCTCGCACTTTGGACAAAACCAAGGATTATGTTCATCTAACGTTTCGCTAAAAACGTATGTGTATATATATATTTATATATACGTATATAAATTCATTTACAAGTTAATTATATAAAATTTACCTCTGACTAAATGCCTGAAGACAGTCGTACAAAGACAGAGGATGATGAGGCCTCTGTTTACTAACGCTGATGTGATCAATGGGAGGTGCAATTTTAGGAACGTGTTCCGTATAACGCACAGCTAAAGTATCACCAGTATGCAAGATTACCACGCCTGATTCGGGTACGCTACAGCCCGTACAGTGTGCGGTATATATACAACGAGAACAATGATGACCCTTTTATTCCAGAATTATTATACGATTAATCATTAACAATCTACAAAGAAAAAAAGATCATTCACATTAATATTCTTACCTGTCCCGTAACAAAATGAAGGGTGTAATTTCCTTCTTGCGGTACGTTTCTTTTTACAATATCGTATAAGTCTTTAGCGTTTACTCTTGAAGGTAATTTTACTAAATGTGGATAACCGAACAGTTTTGTTCCTTTACGATTGTTCGTCGTTTCGTTAGTCGTATCCTGTCGCAAAACCAATGGAACATTTAAAATCCTAATCGCAGGTCGACCAGTTTGATCTATTTTAACAAAGGACGATGCGGTCATGTACGTTGAACACACCGAACACATTTGAGGTTCCGTTTGATTCTTGAAGTAATTCTGTTAAGTTGAAATATAAAATAACGATTTAGAGTTATTATATGCACGAAGAAATGTCACGTTTTACAATAAAATATCAGTTTATAGAAAAGCGATTAAATTAAGCACAGTAATGTATAATATAGTACCCTCAGTATACAGCAGCCTCAGATTAGTCTGAATTGAGTTCCAGAACATAAACTGTCTGGCTTGCGGATTGTACTCAAATAGCGAATCGTACGGGTTTCCATCTTTTCGTTCCAAAACGCCTCTACTTCAACCGAAGCTTCCTGGGCTAATTGATAACGCAAAGCTATTTCTGGTTCCCGTACCTACCCATTACGGTATCGTCCGGCTAGAACGTTTAGCGATTTAACCTCAGACCTTCCCGAGGTGAAACGGTGGTAACCTATGTACCTCGCTTGTACACCCCTACCGCTAGATTGAAGCTGCCGTTTTCATCATTGGGTTTTCATAATTATATAAGAACAATAACAGAGAGAGTTAAAACTTTAAATAAAGACTTTTAATAATTTAATATTCTATATTGCTTTCAACGATGTACCATTAAAATACTAATTTTAAGAAATATAAAATGATATTTACCTCGATACAAGTATCACATATAACAAAGTTGCAGCTGTTCCCGCTGTGCCTCTTTAAACCTCCATCCAATTCCTCGAGACAAATCATGCACTGGATTTCCTCTCCGGTAACTGCACATTTCTGACAGTTATCGGTGTCCATTACACGATCTCCACCACCGTCTGGCACTGAAGTGTACGCGTCAGGAGGTTCCGTGAGTTCAAAGGCGTATATAGATCGATTCGTATCATTGATGTGTCTCAACAGTGTATTGTCATCCTTAAATTTAAAACCTTGGTGTACAATCCAACTGTGATATTTCCGTCTAGTGCGATAAGCTACAGCAAGCAAGATACATAATTCTCAATACCTACGGTGCAAGGGTAAAAATAATATAGTCGACGAGTGATGGCCAAAGTGTGCCAATAACAGACAAATAAATAATAAAAAAAAATTAAAAAAAAAATTAAAAAATGAAAGTTAAAAGATAGAAACGTGCAGGAACATGAAACTGAGTCTGTATGATGGAATGTAGCCTCGTAACTAAACTTTGCGCTACGAGAGTGTTCTTCCACAACGTTTGCTCTTGGAGGGCAGTATCAACGATTACCGAGACTACTCGATAAGCCGTCTTCTTCACCCTCCGTAACTTTTTTTTTTAATTAGAACCCACGCACCGTGTTTTTTTTTCATATCAAATGAAGTAGAATTTAATTATATTCCTACTAGAAACAAAGGATGACACACTTAAAATTTTACATTACATTATTATGTATGTACCTATTAGATCTGCTAAATTTTTCAATTAGCGATTGAACTGAAAACGTGCATTACTAAAGAATCGACTATCACATATTTTATGACAGACTAACGTTTATATGCTTACCAAAATCTTTGATATATGATTTTCTAAAACTTCAGCAAGTGCAATGTTTGCTATTGCAATGTTTTCTTTGCCAAGTATTTTTAACAACTCCTCCTTTAATTTTCCAATGCGCGACTGCTTGTTTAATGAAACAACGCACCTTATAGGTTGATCACCGTTCGCAGGAACATACGTAACGTTTAATTGCCTCTCCATTGCGTGAGGTAACGGCACTGATAAATACATAAAAGGTTCGTAGGTAACGGAAACGTGTTTGCAAACCGCGCAAACAACCTAAAACAGAAACGACGTGAATTTTGAATTTATATTATAAAAGGTTAAACAATGAAAGTTTAAAAATCTATATGTATCAGCAGAATGAGACCTGATTCTTATACTTCTCGAAACAAGAAGGTACAGCTACTGAATATTATTATAGGAGACATTTTACGGTAAGAACCAATGATTAATTGTTACCCCAACGTACAGTCTCCATAAAATGTAAAATCTATAAGACGCGATAGGTCTTTACCTTGCTTTTAAACTGACCCTGAAAAGTATCGACAATAATACTCCTATTAGACCTCAAATGCTTCGCCCAATGTTTATCTGCCTCAATTTCATCTTGCGCTGCAATAGCGCCATTTCCAAAACTCTGTGAAATTCTTGTACATTGTGAACTAATACTTCCCTGACCGTCGCGTTTATGATTTTTCTCTTGATCGTCGAGCCTCATACGTTTTACGTTACATTTTTCTAAACCATTATCATATTCTATGTCAGAACCGCTCGATACGTAATCCACACCACAATTGACCTTTTGAATGTTAACTTCTTTTATTCTTTTGACGCTAATACTTTTATTGTCAAAATCATGATTCTCCATTAAATTTGAATTGTCCAAAGGCATACGTCGGACATTCTCTTTCGGAAATTTTTGGGAATCATAGTGAATCTCGTTGTTACATTCTTGTTGTGTCACTAAGAAATTTGCGTTACTAGTTTTCGCTTCTTTATGAATATCATAAAGACCATGATACTTCGGAACGTTTTTCGAAAGTTCGATTAGAGTATCCAGCCTTAAAGAGGGCGATACTTCGCTTTCCTTTTCATCAACTTTATTATGGATAAAAGTGTTTGTTTTCTCTTCGATGACTTCGTCAGAATCAAGTGTTTCTTCATCCTCATCGCCATCGTTCAAAGGTGACTCTCGTGGCGAATTCATAATACTATCTATTTCACCGATCGGTGAACCTAAATCTGAGAAATAAAATAACATTTTATGAAGATTTTACGCTTCATCGATCTACGCTTAAATTTTAATAAATCTCTTTACCTCTTGGTGAACCAGCCATTGTAACATTCGGACTATTTGGACATTCTGGCGATGGTAAGCAATCATACATTTCTAACAGATCTGTGTTACAATTCGAATTGCTATTGGCAGTGACTGAGGACACAGTTTTCCCATTTGAATTTTCAATTGAATTAATCGAATTGGCAGTGGTTGTAGACGATGGAGTTTGACAATTTTTTGTATATTTTGCTGTATTCATTTGTTCGTGTAAAGAATCCAATAAAAGCGCAAGAAATTCTTGACAATCATGCTGTTGATTGTTATTATTCTCACTGATTATTAAGATCTTTTAGTAATAATTTTTAATGAATTATGCAAGTTTACCTGTCTATAATCTTTAAATTGCGAGTGATATGCCCCTAAAGTTTGCTTAAACTCGGTTGGCCTTAGTACGCTGTATCTACCGGACCACATTTTGCCAAGTAGTACACTGAAGTGTGCCATCAATGAACCAGGAGGAGGTAGTTTCTCCCCTTTTTGCTGCAAGTCTAAAAAATGTCGCAGGACAGGTGGGGTTGCAGTTAAACATTGCAAACCAGCAGCCATAAAGCAAGTGTTACCCAAATTACGAAGACCGCACACTCCAGCGCGTAAAACTACATCTTCTATCAAAATGAATAGAAATAAATAATATTAGCTGCTCCATAATTTTGGCAATTCAATTTATTCAAAATATAACATCTGAGCTCACCCATTGGAGAATCATCTTGAGAATCTCCACCTTCTGAAAACAAATTATTTAGGGCTGGAGTACCAGGAGGTAAAAATGGACCATGCTCTATGCCAGTTCCACTATCACTGATAGGATCTGCACCGACATCTGTAAAATCATTTAAACCAGGTGGTGGTGGAAGTGGAATGGCATAATCTGACGTAGAACTATTTGCTTCGGTCCTATGATAAAATTTATTAAACTGTATTAACAATATAAATCATTATGCATAGTAGTTAATGAATTTTTATAAATGACATTGACCCTACCATGTGTCTTCTATGCCCATGTTAACTTCAGATGAAAGTAATTTATCCTCTTGAAGAGTAAGAGTATGATCTAAAGAAGATGTTAACGGACTAAGGCCAGTGGAATCTAACACCTCTGATATCTCTGCAACCTCAGGCAGGTAAAAAATTTCAGACGATCCGATCATTGAAATATCTTCTACTTCTGAGACATCCACCTTATTGTCCATTCAGATAATAAAATACCAAATACCACCTAAAAGTACAAATCTACAATAAATATAGAGGTTCTTTTTTATTAGAACATTAAAATCAATAACGAATAAGTGTAAAAAATATATGTACGGTGGAGAGAAAAATTACAATTAAAAATTTTGAAAACATTGTTTAAACTAAATAAAATGATCAAATGGTCAAATAACTTTGAAATCATTCTAACCTAAGATGTCGGGAACGATTACCGCGAATTCTTCGATGTCCTATTCTTATAAGGTGGTCAAATCTTGGAGAAATAATTATTATTGGTATGTAGATTTTGTTGCTTTTCGAGAATATGATTATAGTATATTGGCTGATACACTGATCAATATGGAAGAAACTGAATTCTGTAGTCTATATAAAAGTACAACTAGACCTTGCCCACTCAAATGGTAATCATCCTGCAACGTTGCAATAACATAAATTGAACATAAGTTTTCACATAAAAGTACACTACTTTGTGTTTAACGTATGTATGTAGATGAATAAAAAAACAATATTGGCTTACTTTAGAGAAAGATCCACTTTCTTCTTTGTGGAATATCTATACCGCCATTGCAATAAACGGCATGGTCAATGGATGCGCTAGGAAAGGAAGATTCGCCTATGGCGCCTCAGGAAGTCGGCATATTTTTCAATTTGCAATGTATACTTCACGAAAGAGCGTGCTTTCTAGACGACGAGTTTTCGTTCATTTTGCGCATACTGTCTCTGATCGGTTCTACACATTCTGTAATCAAAGGCAACACGCAAGCGCTCTTACGATTTTTCTGGCGCCAAGTATGTATACCCGGTGATCTTTTATTAGCATACTCTCCTACATTATCGCTTTTTATCCTATATTCTTATCCTCTATTCATATATTTTTGCCCACTATGTATATGACCATGAAGTCAGAAAAAGACAGTAAAGGGGCACTCCATTAATGATGAAGAACATTCAGAACTTAGCTGAGATGCGCAAAACAAGCACGTTCAGCGCTACCAGAGGAAAGGTAAAAATGTTCACGTATGGTGAAACTCGGACCATAAAAATTACTAGAGTCCCGTAAGGCGATGCAAGCATCGAGGCTGAACTCCGAATTCCGTATCGGTAAAACAGTCCATGTTTGAGAAACTGATTCAAACGCCACCTCAGTTATTGCATCCAACTAACGGCATACTATATTACATGTATGCTACGATAGCTTTCCCGCTGAAAACCGATCGGCACTTCGGCACCGCTCGGCATGGTTCGGCATTACTAAAAACATTCAATAATGTTTAGGAACTTAACGATATAAAAGAGAAAATACTTCAGATTCTGCTGTTTCGCAAAAATTTTCAACTCGCGTACTTTTGAAGAAAACGCCGAATTAATATTAAAGATCAGAACTTTAACACCAAAATAACCGTTAAAATAATAAATACAAATATTATATATTCCCTCGATAAATTGTTCTTAAAAAATAGGACACAGATAATAATTATTGATGTGTTTAAAACTCTTTTATTTCGAAGCTAGTTAAAATACTTTAACATGTGTAACATACATTTAAATAAATATGGGCTATTAAAATGGATCGTGAACAAATTTGATATGTGCGGTTGGGTGAATCAGATCGCATAAATATTTTTGATTTCAAACATGAGTAATCATAGAATCGATTAAAAAAGAAAACAATTAGTATCTATAAACTTCAACGTCACACGAACAGGCTTTTCTCACAGCAAGTACATTGGTTATCTATTTTACAATTATCCATATGTAACATTGTAATTTATAATTAACAACTGACTATTTTATCTTAAAAATTTCGTTCAGTTTTGTGTTCATATAAAAATTTGTAACACGATGACGTGTACGGCTCTTTCTCAGCAACTTAACGAAGGTCACTTGTTATAAATTTTACGAGTGAAAGAAAATTTACATAATGCTTTCTCTCTGTAATTTTAATTACAATTTCATATGTAGAATGATGTATATATATAAATGTTTGTGTATTCGTCATCGTGTATTTTTCGTGATAACAGAAGGAATGTAACTAGTAACTAGTAACTCTTTAACATTAATACTGTAAATCTGATTGCTTGTTCAGATAAGGAACAAAACTCGTTTGAATAAGTGTTAACGCAATCAACATAGGCCTTACAAAGTGGTACTACTTTTTGAACGTCAGAACAATTGGATTTTTTTTATTTAACAAAAATGCGTACAACAATTTCATTTGTTTCCTTCTAACGTTAATGACTTTAGCATACAATATATAATTTATTCCTACATATTTTCATAAATATAATTATGATTAACGTTTAATGAGTTTTCTAAATCTTTGTTATCTAGAGCTTCTCATACATGAGCAGCTTTAAATATTGCAACAATACTTCTATCAAAATCATAAGAATTGTTATATTAGCGTCGAACAATTTTTTAATTTTTCATTATTAAACTATTATACTCAATGGCATTACCAATACGGCAAGATTTAAATATTAAAATTTTACTGACACTAATGAATCACGAGAAATATTTAAAAATCAATATCTTTACTACTGCCTATGCCACTGAACTGTTCTTGTGTCGTAATAAACCGAAATCTAAATAATTCTAGTGTATGCATAAATCAAACGATTTATAAAATTGCATTCTCAGTCTGATCAACTATAAGTTATATGTTTGACTGATGTATATCATAAATTTATCATACACGCTACTACAATCAATCTTGTTAACAACCAATTTACGATTTGAGAATAGAATAAAAAGCTTACATTTCCTATGTGAAAAATTCATAATGGACCATGAAGAATATCATTTGTAAATCTGGAGGCGACGATATACAATGTATACATTCGCATACGTATTATGTTTGATATTCTTCATTTAACCCAGTAATAACTACACACGTGTAAATACAATGTACACCTATCTACAAATAACACTCTATTCAATTACATAGTGTCGCTATGCTCCTTGTAAATCTTGTACCCTCTTACACGAGGGCAGTTCGATATTTTTAGCTTTGAAAAATAAATCTTGATCTCCAAAGTTTCTTGCTTTCCACATCATTGTATCCCCTAAAGATTAAAGAGTAAAACGTACTTCTTCATTTATTTTTAAAAGCAATAAGTAATCTACACCTGACGATTTATATACGGACATATGGATGAATTAATTGAACGAGATACTTACTATAACTTTTCTCCCTAAAACAGGCGTGTCTCAAGTTATTCAGGTACTCTTCTTCGACAGAAATTTCTAGCCTACGTAAACTGCCTTGATATTCGGTATGAAAGTTTTCTTTGACATAGTATGGCACCTTTAATCCTTGAGTTGTTCTCAGGACAGAATATTTTCTGCGCACAAATTAAAATGTGCATACAATCATTTTCACAAAAAATCATGTACTATCTTTAAAATCGTTAAGATAGTGGAGATAACAGTGAAGAAATATAAAGTATAAGCAGTAGAATTGAAATATCCCACAATAGTACCGATTAAAAACTAATTTATTCGCCCTTAATATTTGTCGTAAATTGTAAATACACTTACGCGTTCGAATGCAAGCTATATACAGGATCTGATATAAAGAAACTGCTCATCATAGTTAATAATATTAATAATAAAACAGGCAACATCTGAAGGAATGTGGTATATCCATTTGTTTGCTAAAAATTAAAATTTTTTTAGAAATTTATAATATACTAAAAACAATCATTTATTTTCATACCTGTGAATGAGCATGTTGAGCTTGCGCATCAGCCTGTCTTGCCCATCTTCCAGAACGTCTTGTGTAGAATTCTTGTTGTGGAAATCCACCTCCAAAGAACATGTTAAACAATTCTTCTGCTGTAATGTCAGCTGTAAGAAATTATGTTTACCATTTTATGTTAGTAATTACTGATAAAAATTCACAGCATTAGATAAATATAATGAAAAAGTAGATATATTTTAAAAGTACTTTCAAATCCTCTTGTGTAATTGTAATGTGCATGATTTTGTCTAGTTTGAACATTCTGCATTCTTTCTTCTTCAGGACCATACATATCATATTGTTTTCTCTTTTCCACATCAGTAAGAATAGCAACAGCATTTCCAATAGCTGCATGTAAAATACATTATATTCATCATAACAAATTCATTATGAATAAAACACCATGCATTATTTACCTTTGAAAGCTTCAGCAGCACCCGGTGCTTTATTTTTATCTGGATGTAATTGGAGTGCTAGCTTTTTATACGCTTTCTTAATATCACTATCAGTTGCTTCTTTGGTTACCCCTAATATTTCATAATAATCCTTGCATTTTTTAATCCTAAAATCAAACAAATGATATTTACAGTAATCACTTAACTTTAAATATAATCCTATTAAAAGATTCATAGTACAGACACTAACAGAAAATGCAATGGTTTATTTAATTAATAACAGGAAAAGTACATTCTAATTCTTATTTTATATGTATACCTCTTAACATATTCAAGTTGTTCCTTTGAATATTCAATAGAAGTTTGAGTATGTGTGGCTTCTTTAGTTGTTGTTTGACGTTTTCTGACAGTAGGTTCAGACTCAGACTTTTGATTTTGTTTCGATAGCATTGTTATTTTTGCTAATACATCTGTGAATATATGTCCATTTATGTCAACATGTTCTTTGTTGAATACAATTAAACAGTTTCTTCTAACAATATAATTCAATAATATATTATGAAATGTTTAAAAAACAACATACAAGCAACAAATTTAGTTTCTCTATCATTAGAAAAACCATGCTTAACGTAATTTGTTAAAAAATTAATAACGTTGCTGTATAACATGGCTTTATTAATTGAATGTAAATACAACAGGTGCGTTTATTACAAAATAATGGTATCAATAAATTAACAATTAAATTATATATAATACGAAAGATAAGTGAAATGTAAGTAACATTTTGTAAAAACAGTGACGTGTATTTTACGTTAATTTACCTTCTGCTTTTTTCGTCGGATAAAGTTTCTGTGCTTTACGTACAAATTTTTCAGCCTCTTCATACTTCTTTTCTCGCAGATACCTTTCTGCGAGTTCCATACACCGTTCTGCTTCATCTTTATTGCTATCCATAGTTTCTGTTAAAAATTCAATTAAAGCTTATCTTAACGCAATGACGGGGCAGAATAGTAAATAAATTCAATCACAAAATTAAGCCTCCGCCATAGCAATTTAATAAGTTGCGTCATGAACGTACAACGATATAAGAGTAAAGCATTTTACTACCTGATAATAAAACCCTATTGGAGGCGCTGTTTGCAGCAGGCTGAACATTACCTCTTTCATGCTCTTTTATTTATTATATTTACAAATTAAACAATTTAAACATTTGTTGGTATGAAATGGTATGAAATAACTAAATAAATTAAGCAATAGTAGTACAAAATAGTTTTTAAACAAACAGAAAAATTTATCATCATTAGTACCAGACAACATATATTTGAACAAAGAAAAACTATTTATACACAGATTTGTGAAACATTGTCAATACATACAGCGGTATGATATTTGTCTTAAAAATTGTTTGATGGTGTATACCTGAAGTTGTTTTGTTTATTGTACAAAAGGTATTTATTTGCAATCATATTACTAAGTGTTAACCTTTTGAATATATTGTTGTTTATATTCTTGTATAATAAAATTAGCAAAGCAATGGCAAGTGAAGAGGGAAATCGTAATGCAGCATTGCAATCTTTGGATGAAAGTGGTCAATCTGTAACTAGTACCTCACAGCATGCAGGGAATAGCAGAGAATCAACTGCTGCCAGACCTCAAGAACAGAGCAGTCGGCAAAATAATCTTCAAAGAATACAACAAAGGAAACAACAAATGCTAAATTTGCCCCAGATGAAAAAGATATTAAAGATTGCCACTTATAGCGCATGCAAAGCCGAAGACTGCAAATGTATCGGATGGAAAAATTCTCAACTGTTAACCAAATCTCCCAAAAATGAATCGCAGCAGCCTGTGATAAATTTCTTTGATCCTTGCAAAAGTTGCACCCATGTTTTAGAAAATCATGTTTCGCATTTAACTAATCAGTCAGAGGAAGAAATTAATAAATTGTTATGCATGGTTATAGATGCTGACAACATTTTTCTAGGATTACAGAAAGAAGAAGATCCTGATACAAAGAAAGTTTATTTCTATCTGTATAAGCTCCTAAGAAAGTGCATACAGTCTATGAGTAAACCGACGATAGAAGGTCCTTTAGGGCAACCACCTTTTGAAAGACCGAGCATAGCAAAAGCAGTAATGAACTTTGTTGCATACAAGTATGGTCATTTGCCCCAAAGAGATATGCAAGCAATGTGCGATATGGCAAAAATGTTCTTACATTGTTTGAACCATTGGAACTTTGATCCACTTAGTGCTAGAAGAGGCACAATTAGCCCAGAAGAAGCTCCTGCGTATAAAATTAATCATACTAGATGGTTAGTGTTCTGTCATATACCAGCATTCTGTGACTCATTGCCTCATTATGATACATCTTTAGTTTTTGGCCGTACATTTGTCCAAGCTGTTTTTAAGCCAGTTTCCAGGCAATTATTAGACAAATGTCACAGTGAAAGAGATAAATTAGCACCAGAAAAAAGGGTGATAGTCTTAACACATTTCCCTAAGTATGTAAAAAACCTATTAACTTTGATTTAGTTTACCTTGTTCGTTAATAAATAAAGCTTTTATTTAATTTAAGATTTCTCTCCATGTTGGAAGCAGAGATTTATGCTGATAATTCACCAATTTGGGATCCTGATTTCAAACAGGTACCTCTTACCTATTTACAAACTGCATTGGAATCAAAGGCAAATCAAGGGAGAAAAACAGGTGAATTTGAGAAAGTCATGGTTCCACCAAATGATAAAGATAATTATACAACGATTAATATAAGTCCTGGTATGAAGAAAATTCACGAGAAAAGATCTCATTCCGAGGGACGTTCGGAGGTAAAACGAAGAAAGAATGAGGAAATGTTTGAGGATTTGCCAGAAGAAACTGTTGCTGAAATTGTAGCAACCATCAATGATCCTAATTACATGTGCGGACCTGATGCAGTATTCCCGCCGAATGTTCCAAGGGACGAAACGGCAAAGATCGAAGAAAGTAGAAAAATTATAGAATTTCACGTTGTTGGAAATAGTTTAACACAGCCAGTTTCTAAACAGACAATGCTCTGGTTAATTGGGTTGCATAATGTTTTCAGTCATCAGTTACCAAGAATGCCAAAAGAGTATATATCTCAATTAGTTTTTGATCCGTAAGTACAATAAATAATAATCGAAAAAATTCATTTATCCTTTAAAATGATTCTTAACTAGCAAGAATGTTTCGCTTATAGAAAGCACAAAACTTTGGCTCTAATAAAAGACGGACGACCAATTGGTGGTATCTGTTTTCGAATGTTCTCCACACAGGGTTTTACAGAGATAGTATTTTGTGCCGTTACGAGTCAAGAACAAGTCAAAGGCTATGGCACGCATCTAATGAACATGCTTAAAGATTATCACATAAAGAACAACATATTACATTTCCTCACGTTCGCAGACGAATTTGCAATTGGATACTTTAAGAAGCAAGGTTTTAGTAAAGATATTAAATTACCCCGATCAATGTATCAAGGGTATATTAAAGATTATGAAGGCGCGACGTTAATGCATTGTGAATTAAATGCAAAAATTGTATACACCGAGTTTACGGCGGTTATACGGAAGCAGAAAGAAATTATTAAAAAATTGATTCATCAAAGACAGCAGGAAATACAAAAAGTTCATCCTGGTTTAACGTGTTTCAAAGAAGGTGTCAGAGGCATTCCAGTAGAATCTATACCCGGTATTCGTGAAACTGGTTGGAAAAGTTACGCTCAAACAAGAACAAGAGGAGTAGCTAAAGGTACTCAAGGGCCAGAGCCAATGGAAGCGTGTTTAGATATCACTGATTCTTTATATAATGCTTTGAAGAATGTTTTAAATAGCGTGAAGAATCACAGTACAGCATGGCCGTTTTTAAAACCTGTAGATAAGAATGATGTCCCAGATTATTACGATCATATTAAATATCCAATGGGTTAGTATAATAGTGAATTTTAAAACATAATAATATAGAATGAAAGAAAACATAAATTTATATTTTTTTTAGATCTCAAAACTATGACCGACCGACTAAAAGCTCGATACTACGTTACAAGAAGATTATTTATCGCAGACATGACTCGAATTTTTACTAATTGTCGTTTGTATAATAGCCCCGATACCGAATATTATCGATGTGCTAATGCTTTAGAAAAATACTTTCAAACAAGAATGAAAGAGATTGGTCTTTGGGACAAGTAAAACTTGTTGCACGAAAATAGATCATTTGATTAAATTAAATATTTTATACTTGTACATTCATTTGTAAATAAAAACCTTCGGTATAAACCTTCGGAAAAAAAATCATTCAAGAAATATTTATCTATACGTATAATGTATACTGTTATGTAAAATATAGGTAAAAATGTTTACTTTTAATTTCATAATTTTTTATGTACTTAACGTTTAATTTTTTATAATTCTTGACCCTTCCCCCCTGCGCTACGAAACGGCTGAAAATAGGATATACAGTAAATTAAAACAGCAAACTAGGTACTTAATTTCACGGCCTAATTATAAGGATTAGTCGAACAGTTAATTAAGGAATGTAATACACCAATTATAATGAGACTCTGCATAGTGGTCATTCTATGGAACAGTGAATCTTTAAAATGCGTTAATTCTGGGAGACTTGAATTAAAATTTCTCTGCTCTGTAAATATAGCAGTAACGTTAACTAAGATAATTTGAATTATAAAAAGACAAAATTAATAAAATGTTAAAGTAGCTTTTAAATATTTTGTTTAAACTACATCATTTATATTATCTTCTATAAAAATCTTCAGATTTTAAATTAAACTTCATTTTAGATTAAAATATCAAACAAGATTTTACATCGATCCACTTTAAATATTACAAAACATTTTAATAGATTTAACTGGAAACAAGTTACGTATATACACATATGTTTATGCGATACAATATTATTTCTCCGTATAGGCTTTTTATCATCTTATAAAATAAATTATATTCCGTAATTTTTACAATTTACATTCGGTAAACTCTCAGGAAGTTAATTTTCACTTTCTTTAATGAGCAGGATATACTCATATTTAAATACAAATAGGATACTCTGCAGTCTAGATCACATTCACAGTTAAAGGTATTCAACACAGTCGGAGACAAAGAAACACTTTATATGCTCTACTTAATATAAACTCTATCTGTAATTTAATAACATTCTCTTAATTGGCATATGTTACAAACCAATTAAATTCACATAAGCATTTGTCCTTATTACCGTGTTAGATGTAGTAATGCAGCTGTTACATAGGCTCAATGTTCTTTATACAATAATTAATACAATTATAATTACTTCAGTTTCAAAACGTGACTCCCTTTACCTAAATTTCGTATTACCGATAAAATAAATATTGTAAATAATTATAATTTTCATAGGTTTAAAAAGAAAATCAGTGCATGCTTGTTTAATATTACAAAGTTTGAAAAAATTGAAAAATATAATGATATCTTATATTAATTATGTAATGTACCAATTAATCGAGATGGAAAAAACTGTTAAAAGCACAGGTACAAATGTTCAGAGGTAGCTAAAGAGGGGGAGTCAATATAAAGCAGCTCCATTCTTCTGGAGGAACAATATTAAAGAAGTCAATGCACTATCAAGACTGTGCAAAATCTAGTCAGATAAATAAACGAATTTAATATTTATTTTTATCGTACGAGAAGAAGTAAAATAATTATCAGCGATTTAAAATGTGCGACGACGACGTAGCAGCCTTAGTAGTTGACAATGGATCGGGAATGTGCAAGGCAGGATTTGCAGGAGACGATGCCCCACGTGCTGTGTTTCCTTCAATCGTTGGGAGACCTAGATACCAGGTAAAATAAACTTTATTTTATAATCCCTTTACTCAGAATAACGGTTGTTCTTTTTATAATTTAAAAATATAAAATTAAACAATTTCATAGGGAATCATGGTCGGGATGGGACAAAAAGATAGTTACGTAGGAGATGAAGCGCAAAGTAAAAGGGGTGTTTTAACGGTTAAATATCCTATTGAACATGGGATCGTAACGAATTGGGACGACATGGAAAAGATCTGGCACCATACTTTCTATAACGAGCTGAGAATCGCGCCGGAAGAACATCCGGTCCTTTTAACCGAGGCTCCTCTGAATCCTAAAGCTAACAGGGAAAAGATGACACAAATAATGTTTGAAACTTTTAATTCTCCAGCGATGTATGTTGCTATACAAGCTGTTTTATCGCTTTACGCTTCGGGACGCACTACAGGCATTGTATTAGATAGCGGCGACGGAGTTTCGCACACGGTGCCGATTTATGAGGGTACGTGTTTTATTGAATACCTATGTATCTATCACTTAAATCGATTAAAATTTTATTTCGCAATATAATACTTAAAAAAAATATATGTACCGTTGATATTTCAAAAAATGTTTTCCACGATATATTCTGATAAAATTTTGTCACATTTAAAAAAAAAAAAAAAAGAAGCAGCTCTGTCTGAAATGCAATCACATTGTTATTTTCCAATTTGCAGAATCGTCCAACATTTTTAAAAATGTTTACACAGTATCGTTAACATTTAATTTTAGGAACGATATAATTAAAAAATAGTTATCAAAAAATTTATCGACACATGTATTTTATAATCGAAAATCCTATTTGATTCAGGATATGCCTTGCCACACGCAATCCTGCGTATGGACTTGGCCGGTCGCGATTTAACCGACTACCTTATGAAGATCTTAACCGAAAGAGGGTATTCCTTTACCACGACCGCCGAGCGTGAAATCGTTCGAGATATTAAGGAAAAACTGTGCTACGTTGCTTTAGATTTTCAACAGGAAATGGCTACGGCTGCCGGTTCAAGTGCTCTCGAAAAGAGTTACGAATTACCAGACGGTCAGGTAATTAGAATTACATGCTATCCAACATTTCTCTTATCGATATATGCATTTTAACAATTGAGAAAAAAGAAATAATACTAGCATGTTGAAAAGAAAGATGAATTAATAATTGATTGTAGGTAATCACCATCGGAAACGAACGCTTCCGGTGCCCGGAAGCGATGTTCCAACCAAGTTTCCTAGGCATGGAATCATGCGGGATACACGAGACAACGTACAATTCGATCATGAAATGCGACGTTGATATTCGTAAGGATTTGTATGCGAACTCAGTTTTATCAGGCGGTACGACCATGTATCCAGGTATCGCGGATAGGATGCAAAAGGAAATAACGGCACTGGCTCCGTCCACGATGAAGATCAAGATAATCGCGCCACCGGAAAGGAAATACTCCGTTTGGATCGGTGGCTCGATCTTGGCTAGCTTGAGCACCTTCCAACAAATGTGGATTTCGAAGCAAGAATACGATGAATCGGGACCGTCTATTGTGCATAGAAAGTGTTTCTAAGTTTCTTTGTATTTTTTGTTTTTTTCGTTTTGTGTGGTTTTTTTTTTTTTCGGATAAAAAAAGAAATTTCACTACATTCCGTTAAAAAATTATCAGTTAATATTATATCGCGATGAAATATTTTTGTTTCGTATACAAAATTATATATTCGAACGCGTAACGTAACACTTATTTGAAAAATTTCGATCTTTTATAATAGGATGATTAATCTTTAACATTTCGTCGAGATATTTCTTTGTACGAAATAATCCTATATTTTATTCGATATCACTTAATTCTAAATTGTAACTTCCATTAGATACAGATCATTTCATAAGTTATCAATGGATCTTTTTGTTGTTAATCTTTGTTCTTAAATTACTTATTTATTTATTTATTTAATTTTTTTGTTATCTTAACTTAAGCTTCGCTCGTGGATATTTTTTTTTTTTTTTTTTTTTTCAACTATTCTGACAATCGAAATATGTACTAATGTAGATCGATTGAACGCTTATACTGTTACTATTATGTGTTTACAAATAGATTTATACTTCCTTGAAAATGATCCATCACTTACGGAACAACCTGTATACATAATAATAATAACGCATGTACTATATTATGTAGTATAATATTTATATATTATACTCAACGTAATAAATATATTTCGCAAAATACCCACATACGTACGTTTACACTCACACATAGGTGGTTCATTTATTTTGATACTATTAATACCATAAAAAAATAAAAAATTGTACGCCGAAGAAATTGTTTGGTTTAAGGAGGCAACTCTGGTCATGGAGATAAGATTTTTAAAGTCACAGTTTCTAACACTTCTGGATCATTTATCTTTTTTTTTTTTCTTTCTAATTACATATTGTCTATGAAATACAATTTTATATATGTATATTCTACTTTCAACAACGATATAGTACATAGAAAAGAAAGATTTTGTTTAATAAACATAGTCAGTGATCCAGTTGTTGTACAAAAAACTGATGACCTTAAAAAATGATTAGGTCGAACCAAACAATTTCTTATTATACTTTCCTCTGTCATTGACGAACGACGGAGACGCTTAACATGATCAAAATCAATGAATCACCCTGTATATACATCGATCTAGTTAAAATCATACACATTTCTTGATAGTTGCAAGTGTGCGGTACATGGTATAAATATACATGCGCTGGCATGCACGTAGAGATAGATAAACGTATTGTATACCGCTATACATACACATATACATAAATGTAGGCTGTCAACATCTCGTTAATTCAAAATTCCAAAACATTTTATACAATTGGTAAAAACTTAACAAAAAAACAATACATAGCTACGTGTTAACGCCTAAATGTTAAAGTTATATCCAGATGATTATTAATAACTTTAAATGAAAAGTTTTCAAACGATATTTGGAAAAGCCTCGGACAGATATTTGGGAAACTAAACAATTTCTTTTTTTTGTATAATGAGATACACGTATGCTTTACATGATTAAATTAAAATTATAATAACATTAATAATAATAGATCGAAATTATATTATTTTGTATCTTTGGTGCATTTAAAAAAAAATTTCAAATAAATAAAATCGAATTAACGAGTATAACGCAAACAGTTCCATGCTGTTTTCTAAAATATTTATCTAAAATGCTACGCGCATTTTATTTATTTAAATGTAAACAAAATATGGTCATTTGAAATATACATATACAATGTGTATATATATATATATATTCGCTGGTAATATGCACTATCATAAATAAAACAGTAAACGAAAGCTTATGTTTACGTGGAAAGATGTTTCTTTATTTACAAATTATAATTACTATATTCACCGTGTTTAAACGTCAAGTATTTCGGTTCATGAAATTCTGACACCTCTCATGGACGGTTGAATCGAGTACCTCGTCACTTGTCGCACATTACAAAACAAAATGATACAATTAAAAAGTTAGTCCATTTTATCGTTTGATATTTTTTCTTTTTAAGAATTACAATTAAATGCAATGATTTATAAAAAAGAAGATAAAAGATGAAAAAGAAATGGAGAAATGATTCTGCAACTTCCTAAAAGTATTATGGAACAATTGTCTGAATAAAAAAAAAAAATTGCATGTCGTAACCCCTTTCCTTTTTTAAGTTTAATAAAAAATTATCAAATTATAGAAATAATATTTAACATTACGATGTAAACGCGGACGATATAATTATGTATGTACTATTTGTTACGTTAGATATAACTTATTCATTAATCTAATTATTACATTTAAATTAAAATCCGTGAAGTGTTTCAGATGTTATCTATATTCTTGAATTAAAGCAACGTAAGTTACTGGATTTCCCACTTCGCGAAATTTCTATTTTCAGTCATCGAAACATTCTAAATTTTTAAACGATCTTTCATGTTTTAGGAAGACAGTGGTTATTTCTATAAATGTTTTTAAACTTTTTACAGATAATTACACACTTTATGTTTATTAAACTACAATGGTCCACAAAGAGTGCGATATATCCGAGATGATTTATCGAATGGATGCATTACTTGTACGAATAAGTATAATGCAAACATTATAGACGTATGAAAACCGTAATAGATCAAACACGCTTATGTATTTAACGTTTGTAATAAGAAAAAAATTAAATTAATTGGATCTGATCTGATACGGTTTTAAATTTCTCACTTGTTAAACTTGTTTATAAACTATTCGTTTCAAGAATATCCTAATTTTTAACGATAAGTATATAATACGATAAATACATTTGTACCGGTGGTACTTTTTGGAAACAGTGATGGGATCATTTCATAGGTACAAAGAACTTTCCGTTCTATTAATTAAAGGCTAAAGAAAAGGGGCTACGAATTAATTGTACACTGCTTTTTTTTTCTGTAAGAAATTTCCTTGAACATATATTCAAGAACGTATTTAATCAATTAAATTTATATTTCATCCGATTAGTTGCAAAAAATATATTTAATCTGAAAGTTTAAATCGATTATTTTAATTTGTACAATTTCGAATCTGATTTCACAGATATAATTAATAAATATCGATTAAAATTAAATAAATCAATATTTTTATCAAATCGCGACAATTCATTGTTACAGTTGTACGAATAAAACGATTCCTATCGATCTCGACAAATTACAAGATGAATATTTCCTACTGTAGTTTCAAGTTTCAGTAGCAACAAATACGTAAGAAATAAAAAAAAAGAAAGTAGTAGGTACTCCTATTGGTTATAGTTACCTTTCCTGGACTGCACTTTTAAAAAAAGGTAATAAAAATATCTTTGGTGCTCCTATCTCACGTAATAAAAAGAATATAATATTAGAAAATAAAAATGAAGGTATAAGGGAGCAAGTCTATGACAAAGGTTAAAAATTATGAGACAAAAATAGTCCTGTCCACCGCTCTAAAAGCTTATCTCCTAGTAGATTTTCTTCTACCTGTTGATCGCTTTGGACGTCGACAACTCGATCGTGTCATATTTAACCATGGTAAAGAAAATTCGCTGGAATCAGAAAATTAACATTATAATTAATACAAGCGAATATAGAGAATTTCTATGATCACCAATACATTGGTACTCGTTACCTCGGAGTAAAACTAGGGATAGGAGCACCAAATGCAGTAACAGGTAAATGGGGATCCACTTGAAGACTTTGAATTTGTTCTACATCAGGCCATAACGACGATACCGTTTCTTCTTCAACTGTTGATGGACAAGGTCCTGTATGATTTGTGTTGTAACATGTAGCTTGATGATTTTGACGTTCTTGTCTCTGTTTCAACTTTTCGATGTGCCTTTGTTCTCTAAAAAACGAAGCTTCAATATTTAGTAAAACTCACTAAATTTACTAAATACGTTATTGAAAATATAATACAAACCTTATCCTTTGTACATCCCATCTTTTTCTTCTCCTTTCATCATTTTCTAATTTTAAATGTCTTTTGTTAAAAATTTCATCGTCCAAATTTTCGGTTCCTTCCATCGTATAACAACTTGTATATATTTTCACCCTCCAATTTGGAACTTCCAATGATGTATCACTTTCCACGGGATTAGGTTCTTTTAAACTTAAGGTATAACTTGGATCACCAACAGCGGTGTAATAATGTTCTTCTGTAGTAAGAAAGGATTCCTTTTTCGTTATCGTTTTTCCTTTTCTATCGCTTTTCCTACCGGTTTCCTGAGTTAACGTCTTATCGTGTCCCGTCGAAGACGTATCATTGCTGATCGTAGACGAACACGAAACACCTCTTTTTCTTTTGCTTCCAGTGGACAATGGTATTGGATCCGTTCTCCTTTTCTTCTTCTCCTCCCAATCTAACCTACCATCGTTACCAGTCTCTATTTTAGTCTCATGCTTGTTTTGATTCTCGTTTGGTTCTTGTTTAACTGTCGTTATTCCACCACTAGTATTTAAACGTATTTTAAAACTTTCGTTATACTGGGAATTATTATTTTCAGATTGAACGTTCCTGTGAAGTTCGCTAGTGGATGGCACATTCACAGAATTAACAGTCGGAGGAGAACACGTTCCTATGTGTTCTGGCGTAATGGAATTTTCACTGTTCTCTGAGCGTAGTTTTTGTAAATTTACACGTCTATCCATACGCTCCAAACGCAATTTAAGCTGTAACATAAAACATATGTGCTTACAAAAAACCATCATCAAGTATAATTTCAAAAACTTTTTATACATCTATCAATTTTGCACCAATCTTAATGAAAGTTAGATCATTTGTTGATAATATAATACTTAATTTTATTTAAACACATCATTATCAAACACTTTACAATTACAGTTCAGTATTTATAAATTAACAATAATTTGTAATTAACATTTCATGCATTACAGTAAAAATACAATTGTAAGAAAGAATGACAAGTTTATAGAAAACTTTGATGAATATAAACGAATGTCAACGGAAATCCTTGAAGAGTAACAATTACGTGAATTTCGATAAATTGTATAAAACAATTTTATTTACTGTCAACAAACGACAGGGCAGCCGAGTTTTGGTTTGTTTCCGAATTCCAGGCATTATCACTTCCACAGTTTGTCATACGTAACATAACTAACGAAAGGTGTTAACGGCAATGAAATCGTGTGTGATGGTACCGTAAGAAATCGTCTATTTCTTTAATAAATTCGATTTCTCAAACATTCTTCCATTTTCCATTACGAAAGTACCGTCATCGCAAAGGCAGATTGCGCGCGAGAATTGGGCAAAACATATAATAACGTGCTCATTGTTTCGAAGATATGATTCCATACAAAACAGCGCCATCCTGTGGCGATGTTAAATCTGACCTTCGCGATCGTCCGACCAATGACAGCAAGAGGAATAAGAACCGGGAAAACAGTGTTGGAAGAGAGGGAAAGGTAGAGATACACAGGCATAAACACGGATATTTTGGAGTGTATTTCATTGAATAAATCTTACGCATTATACTAACAAAAGAAGGAAAGGAACGTTAGTGGTAATAATAAACATTAAGTGGAATAGCGGAGAGCAATGAAATGTACCGTTTCGTTCTCCTGTCGTAGAGCAGCTAAAAGTTTATCCTTGGTGACAATTTGTTCGGATTGTTGTTGAATCAAATCCAAATGAAGAAGCAAAAGTTCTTTGAGGTGTTTAACCTCTGTTAGATCGTTTTGACGAGGTTCGTTGCCTCGAAGGGGGCTGACACCCAAAGCAGAGGTGGCAGTGGCGGCTGCCGGAGCTCCACCGTCTGTCATGCTGGCATACATGTGGTCAAAGTCACAGGGAAAACTGAGTATTCCAGCGGCTGGTTTACTATCCTCTTGAACGTTTTGATATTCATTACGAGAGCAACTATTATTCTGGTTTACGACCGAGTTGCCAGTAGTAGTGGTTGTCGAAACTGTGCTACTTCGAATGCCGCTAGTCGCCGACGTAGTAGACAAGTGTTCGTTCATCGCCGCGACCATGTTGTCGTCGTCCTCCTCGTTATCCTCTTCCTGATCTTCTTCGTAACAAGGAGCAGATACAGTCGTACTTGTTCGATCGTCGTGTTCAATGATGGTGATGGTGGTGGTGGTTGTGGCGGTGGTGGTGGTAGTAGTAGTAGCGAGACTGTCGACTGGCGTCTCGATACACGTTCCCGTGTATGGATCCTGAAATACGGTTTCACCGAATTCCGTCACGTCGTTTACATCCCTTTGATCGTGTACCTCTTCAAGATTATCCGCTGTTTTCAGATCGGAATTAACGTCACAAAACTCCACGCCTACGACGCCCCCGACGGTCAAGCCGGTAACGCAAACACCGCTATTACTATCACTGTCACCGTTACCACTACCGGTGAAACAAACACTACCACCATTACCACAACCACTACCACTACAACTGTTACCAGTAATACTAGGAACAGTAGTACCAGTACCAGGAACAGTAACGATAGTAGTAGCGTTACTAGTATCACCAGTGAGAACTATGGAAGAGCCAGTGCTGCCAGCAGCGCCGCTCACGGTTTCTTTCTTGTTCTCGTACTCGTACCCGTGAACGTTCTCCTTCTTGTTTTCACCGTTCACGAGTTTCGAGGCCGAGCCACTCGACATCTTCCCTCTCTACCACCCTCGTCGTGGCTTCCCACTTCTTCATTTGTGGCCGCCTCGAGCGTACCACGCGCCCGCACCGCGCACATTAAGCGTCTTGACAATACCTTCACCGACGACGATGCCCTCACCGCCGCTCTTTAGCTCCGTCACATATCATAACCCTCACCTATCCCATGCACGATCAAACTTTCGAACACTTTGATTTAAATGATGTCGTTTTTATATTTCGTCGTCTTTCAACACCCGTCAAAACGCGTATCTGCCAGTGGCAGTGCACGAGGTACCTATCGTCCAAGTTCGTACTTGTGTTTACTATGACGGACGATGCGAGCCGCGCGCGGCGTTTCACTGCCTCCTCTAGCATCCTAGACTACTGACATCTCGCGGTAACAACGAAAAACTTTGTCGTTTCATTTGCGTCTCCCATCGATCAACCGCTTCGCATCGACGAATATCAATGAAGGTAGGCGTCTCTTTTTTTATTATTTATTTGCAAAATATTCGATACGGCACTTGGGATAACAAAAACAAACGCATGCGCTCTACGTTCATTTCATTTCCTTTTACGCAACGTTGTTTGAAATGAAAAATAAAAAAGGAAGGTATCACACCAATTTAATTTTGCCAATTTGAAGGGGTCAGAAGGTAACGCGATAGTTTCTTTTACGGTTTAATTTGAATTCAATCCACTTCGAGATTAATGAAAATCTTTATTTATTTGATGATACATGAATTAAATGATTGATACCCATCGTATTCCATAATCAATAATACACAGGGTTTTAATTACATCGATTGGTATATTGGCATCAAAAGTCACAGTCTATAATGCGTTACACACTTCCAGAATGTTTTATGATAAACTGTGAGAGCCGGTGTACTATGCAAAAATGTTTTAAATAATCGTAATGATGTGAATGATGAATCGCTAACGTGTAACTAATAAAAACGACAGCGCACGATGACAGTATGCGCGCGAATTTTTAAAATTATTCCGCTACGTCTTATAGATATGTATAATCAATTCTTCGGCAAAGCTAAAGAATTGATATAGATCTTTCGTATAAAAGAAGAAACTAATGCTAAATGCTATAAATTGTACCGCAAAGAGCTTACAACAATAATAACCGATGAGAAAGAATCGAGGTTGAAATTTAAACTGATTGAAACGATATTTACAGACTGAACAAAGTAAATTTGGTAAACAAAAATAATTATTCATTTCTGTAGGTGCGTTACTATTACATCTATTCCGCATTATTTTGCGATAGATAGTACATCGGTGTGCCTCGCAATTACGAGTTAACTTAATCATTTATAAAATGAATCGAATATATTATAAATCATTCCTCCCTTTTCATCATGCTTGTCTCAATTTGTATTTTATTTACTGATATGATCATTTGTTTCAGAATACTATATTATGCAATTCAAACGATTCGCATAATTTAATAAATATTTCTTAAAAATAAGAAAACATGATCAAAACGGGAAGTCGTTATTTCCAAGTATATTGTATCGCGTAAAAATTCCTTCATAAGTTGAACTATTCTCCTAATTACTATATTGGAATTGGACACAAGCCTAACATCATATAATCTAGACTTACATCTTACAATTTCTTTAGTTTTAGTTCTACTTATAAGTAGATTTTTACGCGTTTGAGCGTGTTCGATTTTTAAAAAAATCATTAATTATTATGAAAAGCATGTCTTTTTGTCATTTTTATCGGGCACACCGTAGAAACACGCGTTCTCTGTTTAAAGTATCAAGAATATAGCTATATTTGAGTATTATTCGGATTCAAAGATGCACGCGATAAATAAAAACTTGTACAGTCAATCAATGATTTAAGGCGGAACGTTGCCTATGCTTTTTCTATCCTAAACGTTAATTTTTTGGTTACCGTTTACATTATGTTCATTAAATATCTAATAAATATAACAACAATGGTACATAGTATTTAAAAATTAACTAATTACATGCAATATATAAATATGGTTCTCTTCTACAACTATACAATGCTATCCTACGTCGTGTACTTCTATTTACAATTGTTACAGTACCTTTATACTTTACTCGTTTCAATGAAATTTTTCGCATTCTGTATACAACACCGTAAACGTTTATACAAACATTAACGTTTACACAAACGAAATTTTTAAAAGATGTCTAATAGCAAAATTTATCCTAGAATGAATCTCACGAGTTCCAACAATAATACGCTACATCAGGCGTTTCAAACAAATAGAATTTAAAGACAGAAAACTGAACAAGCGCGATTTATCATAAAATTGAGCTTCTATTAATCATTTTTTCTTTTTTTTTTTTTCTTCTTTTCTTTTTTTTCGAACGAAAGTACGTCACTTGGTAATTTCTCGTATCTTAATTCAATGCAAAAAATATTGTATTCTTATGACTAGAGTAATAGTGTTTACTATCATCATGATGAAATAATATCGTTTCTTAACTCTTTTTTTTTAAACGCAGTAACGTCATAGTAAATGTAAAAACAAATAATTATTAATTAATTCCCTCGATTAAGTATTAAGGAACTGTAAATTACAATATTTTGTCATCTTTAGTCTCTCTCTTCTTATCAATAATTTCACATAATCGGTTTTTCTATTCTCATCTCGAAAAATATGTAATTTGACAAACACAATATTCGTCCGTTTAAAATTGAGCCCTGTTCGTTTTCCTAAAACTAAAAATATCTCGAGTATGTTATAATACTATGATTCTCGGTCGAACTTCAAAGTGTCTAGAAAATCGGAAAAAGAGTTATAAAGAAACTTGATAATTTGTTTTACTAAACGAACGGTAAAAATCGTAAAATTGAGTCTCATATTCGTTATAATCTGATTATGCTTTTCGTTTGTCGCGATAAGTTTACTGTGCCGGTAGTAATAGGAACTAAGTTTTACGTTCAATTAAAAATCAAACTTTCTCCAAAAAGTATGCGCAACTTGACAGCGTAGACTACAAATAAAAAGCTCGTATATTCATTTAATTCGTCAGACAGTTAAAATAAAAAATTATTCAACTAATTGTTCCATCTAGGAAATTTCATCTTTGTTAAAACTTTGCAACGATAATTAGAAGAGATTCGATTTCATCATGGTCAAGTCGCGATTTCTTTAAAGAGATTCACATCTACGTTCGATTCATTCGTCTCTGAAAACGTTCCTTTTAAAAACAGTTGGTTTCATCTATTTCTGTTATGAATTTCTTAAGCGCCGTAATAATATACGTGTTTCTTACTGGTACGATATTTGTCGGAACATGCTACTAATTTCCTCCATCGTCTTGTTCTTCGTCTCTGGCACCTTCTTGTAGATGAAGAATACGAAGAATGCTTGTATCACGGCAAACATAATGAATACGTAAGCACCTAACGCTTCCTGGAGCGGAAGAAATCCTATGCTGACGATGAAGTTCGCCGTCCAATTTACTGCGATAGCAACGGACGTCGCTGCCGGTCTCGCGGATTGATTAAACAATTCGGACACCAAGAACCAAGGAATACTTCCTGGTCCAGTCGCAAATAGGACTACGAACATGATCACCAAGACGATTGAGAAGTAGGCTGCTGTACTAGATGTCTCCTGTAAACACAACAACAAGTTTAGTATAATTTTTCTCTACAATGATATATCACAAATTTAACATGGTAATCTAAGTGTTATTATTATTTTATAATTGTCTAGGTGTGACTGGTATACTTACTGCAAAAACAAGACAAATAGCAAGCAAAGCTGTATCGATAAACATTCCGCCAAATCCAATAAGAAGCAACGTTTTCCTTCCAGCCCTTTCAACGAGTATCAAAGAAATAAAAGTCATTACAACGTTCATCGCTCCGACTCCCATGGTCGCATTTTGAGCCGCATTTTTATCCAACTGTGCCATCATGAATATCTTCGTCGAGAAGAACATTACGGCATTTATACCGGACAGTTGTTGCGCAAACATAATCATAATCGCGATCATCAATGGAATCCTAAGAGCAGGATTTACAAACAGTTCTTTCAGAGTGACCTTTGGCACAAGTTTCACTGATTCGTATTCCGCCCTCATTTCCTCCATTTCATCGTGAACTTCGAGCGTGCCACGTAGCCAGGACAAAGCTGCAACAAACAATCATCTCGTTACAGATAAATGTTTCGCTCTAATTAATAGAAAGAGAGTTTGTTTATCAGCATTAATAAGGAAACACGAGACTTACGTAAAGTAAGAAAATTAAGATTCTAAAAAAATATCTCTATCGCTGTACATTACCAGCCAAAAGTGCGTAATCACTTTACTTCTTAACCGTTGGACCAAGTGACGGAGACGAGTCTTTTTGCCGAGTCAAGGTACGATTTAAAATTGAAATTTCATTTTATCCATTCGTTTCTAATAATTTATTTTTCATTCCAGACGTACCTCTTTGCGCCTCCATGTCCTTTCCTCTGCTGAGCAACAAGTACTTCGGGCTCTCAGGGCACATCGGAAGTGTAAATACTTGGAAGATCGCAGGAACGATCGTCAAACATAAAAGAAGCGGCCATTGATCAGCCGTGCCTAATATTTGTTCTAGCCCGAGAATCTGTGATACCAGAATAGAAATAGTGATAACTAGTTGATAGACGGTGCCAACAGCTCCTCGTAGATGAATAGGTGATATTTCAGCTAGATACATGGGCGCTAGACCAGCGTTCAAACCAGCGTTAATACCGATTAGAAATCTTCCAATGATTATCATCTCGTAGCTCTTCGCTGTCTTTGCGCAACCCTCGAAGATGACCGTGAGGAGGACAAGGATGTTGTTCAACAGTAAACCACCCTTCCTGCCGAAACGATCGGCTACCGTGCCCACCAGCGAACCGCCTATCATACCACCCACGCAGAATATCGACACAGCTATCGACCATATCATCGTCACCTCCGATTGTTTCGTCGGTTCACCGGTGCGATTCATTTTCAGGTTACTGATCCAATCCTCGATAAGCTGCAACACACCACCGATGCATAATGATAATTAATGATAATTAATGATAATTAGGCCTTGCATCTAAATGCGTCAGGTGTTAAACACACACGGCGATAGTAAAAATTAACTTAGCATTTGATACGTCGTAGATACGTGTAAAAATGCATAACGATTGCTAAATGGTGAGAGAATTATTTTATATGCATATGTCTAATTAATAACTGCGTTCTGGAATTTTAGCGATGAAATACTTAGCTTAGCTTCCTGAATAAACGCGATCACGACGTTATAGCTAATATCGGTGTCAAAAAGATTTGAGAAAGTGCTGACGATGTATCTTATGACTTATGAAATACCTGCTGAGGTGCATTGACGACACCAGTGTTGTACCCATGTTGAAACGATGATCCAAGTGCAGCAGCCGCGATGGCGAATGCTAGTCGTCCGTTCAGACCCTGCGATCATAGAAAATTGTTTTTTTTTTTTTTAGTTAAATTTTTATTTATTAATACATTGAAAAGAAATATGTAGCCAGAAATTAATGATTGTGTTTCAGCTTATCGTCGTGGAACGTTAAAAGGTATCAGCGATTAGAAAGATAACGCGATATTAACGTTAAAACAAAGGCTGATCAGATGTAAGAAATTTAATTGAAAGAAAATTTTTCGTCGACCATAGAGGAGGCTTTACAAAGCTGCTTCTTACCGATTTCTTAAGCACAGGAAATTTAAAAGTGGTCGTTTTTAAAGTCATCAGGAAGTTCGGATTAATCCACACTGGCTGGAAACACACTGAAGAGGATTGAAACGTTTGCCGTCGGACGTTTATGCAAATTACCAGTATCTGCCTCCAATGTTTTCAAACACGTGTCAAAGAACAGTCTGCGGGTCGGTACCCCCGCCACGGATTTTTATATGCTACAGCTATGGCGCACACAAAGACGCTAAACAAATTACACGCACGCACACTCGCGTGTCTCAAGGAAGCTCCCGGCCAGTGTTTCTCAAATCGGTAAGTAAAGTCTCTCTGAACCCCCATCGGTTATTTTCACAATCGATTATTCATTCCCGAACAATAATATACGGATATAAACCGTACTCTATATTTATGTTTTTCTAACGCGAAAATAACGTTTCTAAAGTGCGTGTTATGCAGACGCGTTCGTGTACAGATACAATAGGATGCAGCGTATCATTTTACTTTTTTTTTTTTCTATTTAAATATTCATAAGTGTACATAAATTTTCATTCAATGTGGATGCTACGTTGAAAATGAACCTTCAGCTGAAGAACATCTACCAGCTCTTGGATAAAAATACATGCATATCTCGTGTGATCTGTTCTTTATTTTTTCATGAATATGCGTATTATCTAAGATATTACAGAAGAATTCTGTTTCTATCCAGGAGCATCGTCATGGCCACTTTCACTGTTTTCACTGAATCGGTCTTGCAATACAGTGGACATTTTGAAAACTTAAAGCAAGGAAATAGACAAGGACATGATATTATACTTATTTTTATCTGTGACCATGAAAGTTTAGATTTGAAAAAGAATCCAGTGTATATTTTTTCACTGATTGGTTTTTCACATCGCTGTAAAAAAAACATTTCAAATTCAATGTTAGCAATTCTAATAGAAACGTACCAACTTTTCCTATAAAATCGCACATAAATATGTATACGTAACGGTATAATTAGTCGTATATATGTGCATATCTATCGTTCCTAATTAGTTGTGGTATTCTATTTTAAAAGCAAAAAATTGTGGAATTATGAAGATTTACTTAAAAACTAAGATTTGATTAATCTCGTGTTAATGTCGCTCGACTCGTGAAATATTTTATCGGACTCGTAAGCGCCACTTATCTTTTTCCTCAGATTCGATCGACTAGTGAGATATAATTTCAAGAAAATGATACCACCAGCACGATATAAAAGGCAACTGCTTCGTAAGCACGTATCACGCAATAGCGTAATTGTGCATTCATTCACATTCAAACGTAAAAATGTATTAGTTTAAAAGCACATCCGACGTATCTATAATACAGACGAATTAATGACTAGTAGTAGTGGTGTTAATGACAATAATAGCAGCAGTAGTAGGTAAGAAACATTCCAGTCCTACGTGTGACGTCAAAGTGTTCTGGAATAAACCCGTTGTGTCACGCGGAGGAGCGAAATTTCCCGCTCTCCGAAACTCTCGTACGCGATTGGTCGAGTCAAAGGTGTGTCGATCGCGAGCGAAGTCGATTGGTCGAACGTGCCAAGCCTCTGGTAAGCGTGCGAGTCTCGTCGCGAACTTAACGTCCTAATTATAGCTACAACACGATGCGAATGCGAAAATTTTATCGGGACTTTCAAAGAAAAATCGATAAGGGGAACTGTTAGTTCAATGATCCACGATCGCTCGATGAATAAGCACTTCTCTTTAAACGGTACGAAACCAAAATTTTCTTTCTAACCACCTAAAAGATCGACTTGTAAATATTGCTGTATACTTCATATCGTATCGGATATGTCACGCAGGGCCGGCCCTGAAATTTCGGAGCTCCGAGGCTTCACATACATGACATAAAAAAAATTAACATTAAAGCTTGTATAACTAATTTAGATTTGCAATTACATCGATTAATATTCATGTAAACATCACTCTTCTTGCATTTTTAGAAATCGTCTTATGGGGGCCCTACGCGGCCATCTAGTCTACCTAGGCCCAGGGCCGGTTCTGACGTCACGTGAGTCGTATCAATTCTGCTTTCCAAGTTTAGAATTAATAAAAATCGTAATAAATATTGGTAATCTTTTTTATTATAACAAATAACGTATTTGTTTCGTGCACGGCAAACAACGCGTTCTTCCGACAGAAGATAACCTTATTACAGGATTACGTTATTTTTCTCGCTGCTAGTTTTAAAATAATAAAAATAGCTCTGAACGTCGCGGCAGATATTTTGATTCTTTACTGATCCACGAAACGAACGAACGTTTTCTTAACGAACCGATATTCTTTTTCTTTCGTTTTCAAAATTGGAAAACAAAAATTTCGATACACCGATTGACCGTGTTCGTCCTATTTGCGCGTACTCTCATCCGATTATTATTCGTATGTAATTAATATTTATGATATTAAAGTATTACGATATTGCATCATTTATTAGTTTACGTCATGCTTTATAAAATTTAATCTAGAATAGAGAATTAAGTTTTTACTGATTGAATTAAAAATGGAAGGCATTTTTGTACGTAATCGAAATTAACAATGATAAAACGTTCAATATAAATTTTATTCCCTACCCTTTGACGTAACCGTTCTAAAATCTGTACTCGTCATACCATATTTCTTTTTCAAGAACTTGATTTATATTCTCGAATTTCAATTTTCACAGAATTGATCTTCACGCGAACGAAAATAAAAGGTAACATTCCTTTATCTCTTATCGTCGGTAATTATTCTAATATAAGTACATCTGTTCTCATATACACTGTATGTACGTTGAGTAAACGGACACTTGTTTTTTCGATTATTTTCAGGTGCGCGTTGAATGGCAATTTTGCATGACAATCAAACTGTTGAAGCAACGCAAAGCAATGCCAATACCAAGTACACGGATACTTTCGTCACGACTATTTGTAGCGATAGTAAGCAGGACACATACTAGTAAAATAAAAAAGGAGAGTGAAATTCTTTGCTCGACATTGTTTTCGAGTAATTGTCACAATGTCACATATGGCCGCGACAGCGCATACTTCGTAAGTACAGGATTACCGATACAACCTTGGCCTAATGCAAGTATTTAACATAGTTTCAGATTATTGTCATCTTCGATTAATTTCCTATATCCTTTGGATCCAAAAGTATGATCGACAACGGATTGCGAGAGCTAACGCGTGAAACAAATCAGAAATATTGATTGATATTATTCAATCTCGATTACAAATATTATGCAAACTTCTTCATTGAAAGGTACACGTTTTCTTAACAATCTTGTTCCCTCTTGTACTCGTACACTTGAAACACATTCGTATTCAACAGATCGCCTATTATTGGTAACAATCAAATTTTTTTTTTTCCCTATTATCAACGTAAATATCAACAATCTCTACTCAAGAATACCGTGATTTTGATTTCACTATTACAACGTTCGCGCATTCGTTTTGAATTTAAAAGACAACGAACCTGACCGCCTAAAAAGGAACGGCAACGCTTCGGTCACCTTTAACACGTTCAACTGGGATCAACAATTCAAATGGTGAGAGAGTAAGTTCGATTTTAATTCCCTTCTTTTGATTCTTGAAGAAAAGTGAAGCGAAGCTTGATTAGAATGCACATACAAATGTATCGTATTTCAGAAATCTGCGGATACTTTGAACGGTAGCATGCTAATGCCCATTCGCACCCTATTCAGAAGCTCGAAATAAGCACAATAGCCAGTGGAACCATAGCGGCTTGTAAGGAAGAACAAATTTTCACGGTTTTCAACAATCGCCGATCACGGTACAGAAATTGAAAGCGAATTCGGATGAAAATGATAGTTTACCTGGTACCACTTTTTATTCATGGCGAATCTTTCTAGACCTTCGTTGGCGCTATTTGAACACTTGTTTTTTTTTTCTTCTTTTTTTTTTTTTTTAAAGAGACGTTTACGTTTACGTTCGTATATTGACACAGGTTCGAATCGAACGGACGTGAAAGGAAAGAGAACGACCGAATCGTTCCGTGTCACGGTTGTGTTTGAAAGCTACTGAGCGATATTCGTGCGAGTGGACGAAAGCCGGTTTTCGAAACCAGTCGTGTATCTCCCTCTCCCCCTTGTTTCTCACGAGGAAGCTTCGAGCAAGAAGACCCCCGACGAATCTCATTGGGCGATACCGAGCTACCTCTCTCTCGCCAGTCGTGCATTTCTCCCAACAGTACTCGCAAGAAAAGGAATTTGTTCATGCCCGTTTTCAATACCCTTACGATACCCGTTTCCACCTTTCTCTCGATTCCAATACCGCAGCACCGTTCTCGATGCATACAGCATCGAGATTAACACGTTAGACCGTCGCCTAACCGAGCCTACGATTAATTGCGTTTGCGCGTTGATTTCTTTTTTTCGCGGGATTCGATTCGATTCGATTCAAAATCGAGAAAGTACAGAGAGATTCAGTTGAAAAGCAAAGGAAGAATTAAAATTGTTGCTGCGTATCGAAATACGTAATCAGGCAACGATACGGTTTAAACGTATCAAATACTGTATCAATGGATCTTGATTTCTTACGTTTGTCCTTGCCTTCCGGAATATTTATCCGCTTCTCGATTTCATCGATCGCAAACCAAAGTTTTGCTAAACAAGTTTATGTTTCATCCGCGTTGTGTTAAGTGAATATGTTTTTAAAGGTCGATTAAAATAAACAGCTTCGATATGAAAGCTGTGCTTGACAAAGTATTTGCGTAATAACGATTACGAATAATGGAATCGAACTAAAATAACTACCGCTTTGTAAAACAGATGTTACACGTTACCGTCGAAAAAGTTTCAAACTCTTCGTGTTTCTTTTAAAAAAATTATTTGAATAATCCTAAATTATTCTGTCAATGATTAAACAGTGAAGAATGACTAAGAGAATTCGAAATCACTCCAGTGATAATATTATATTTCAGTCTGGCCCATTGTTGTCACTGGCTAGTACCGTCTCAATGCAAAACCGGACGCTGCCTGTTAATCATGGCGCACACGTCGCGTAGACTAATTTTACAATTAAGAACATTCAAGTCAAAGTGCTTGTACAACCTGGAGAACGTTTGAACGACGCATTACCTTTAACCTTCAGCTACTCGGTACTTTAAGCACAACGATATACCCTCTCCTTCTCGGTCATAGGATCGAACGTTACTCCAGTTTAAGCACGTATTAGTCTCGTTCAATTATTCTGTAAAATTACCACCTCCGCGTTTAATTTTTCTTTTTCTTTTTTTTTTTTTTTTTTTTTGGTCAACAACCAAAATGTTTCGGGAAAATAAATAGCGTTCCAGACAGAAGGTTTCCGAGATAATTGAAACACGGTTCATTGGACTCCTTATCGCTGATTTAAGAGGAAGCTACAGTGAGTCGTATTAACCCAAGAATTTCTACCTTTTCCACCTAATCTTTTATTACTAACCATCACTCATGACTCACCGATTGAAATTCTAAAAATATAATTTTTTGGATAAATATGTGCAGCAGAAAAAATGAATGCGTTAAAGGTGCAAGACTTAGTATTCTTCTTAGTATTGATACTCGAACGGCAACGAAATAAAAATTAATTGGACGACGATTTTCATCGCAGTTTCCTTATTGAGAACAATTGTTGCTAAGTGGAACAACGTAGCCGCTGGTAGCGTAAAATTGTGATAAATTTATAAACGACGTCTGTGTCGTTCGCATCGCAAAAATAAACATTGATAAGGGAGTGAAATCGAGAAAACAACGAAGCGACCTTTATCAACTCACTGATTCTCTTCTATTCCGAAACTGTATGTATTCTGTAATCGTCTACCACTTTCAACACTATCCAAAATTTGAACTTTAAGCCAGATAAAAAGTACATGAAGTGCTTTAATCTGTCTAAATTCATAATTCAGAGATTACAATTTTTTATAATCTCATAAAAAGACTCCTTTTACATCTCATGAATTACACTTTAATACTTTTTTATATGGGAAAAATTTAATGCACTTTCGTGTTAACAAACTCTTGCAAGAAGATCATTTAGTAAAATTGTTATTCGCTTTCTATTGCATACTCACCAGTTGTTTATCCCCCTCGATAGACTGCGTGTAGGAAAAAAGCAAATAGAAAGAAGATGATTAATGCTATTTGAGAAGAGTTGAAAAATTTCGTTACCTTTGGTGCCGGGGTTAAGGCTGTTGGTGTCGTAACTTGTTCCTGAATTTCGTTGTTCGACTAAAGTGAAATTGTTAATTGTGTTTAAAATACCCTTTGATTTTGTTAATTTGCTAATTGAGATTACACAATACCTTATCCTTTTCAGTTGCCATCGTAAAGCAGCTTGCAAAAAGGAGAGACCATGAATTAAGTATTATCGTAATGTCGGCGATAAAAATGAGTACTTTACGAAATACTATTTATCAATATTGGCAAATGAATGGAGATTGTGAAATTATTCAAATAAAATTGAGAATTAAGATAAAAAAATGGACGCTCCAAATTAAATTACAGATAATGATTCTGTAATGAGTCGTGTTAGAAAATGAAAAAATAATTACAAACTCTGCACGAACGGATATACTCGAAAAGGACTGACAGTGATTTGTCAATAATATACGTGAGTATTTCTTTTTATTATCGATTAGTTCATGTATGAATTGACATGACGCGGACCAACTTGGTACGCAATCTTCTAATCCGTTTTTATCTGTCTCTGACCAATTAAATTGCAATAAAATAGAACACTTAAATTAAAAACTCATAAGCTCGTTAACTAAAGCTCAGATTAAGTATTCATGTTTTATTTATTAAAATTAAATTTAGGAAAAGATTGTTATACGGTTGTAGAACAGTATGAAAATCGAATGAAACCACATTAATCGAGAGCCTGTGCGTTATTAAAACCCATTTAGCATAACACAATGTTGTAACGATAGATATAGACAAGTATCGTGAAGACAAGGATTGAGAAGGTCACGCAGAGGTTATCGGCAAGGCCTCTTGCTTGTACGTAAATTGTAAAAGAAAACAATATCATTCAATATTATATACAAGGGTCGTAACCTGTGATAAATAAATTCGATATATCGTTGTGAACCAAAGGATGAGATAAATTCCAAACAAAGTAATCATTAATAACGTGTTTCCTCTAGATAACACGTTGTTTCTGCATATACAAGTGTTCAATTCCTTCCGTACAATTACAAAAATATTTATCCTATTAAAATGTCGAAGACATTTGAAAGCAATTCATTTTAAAAATAATATAATTATCTATCCATACGTTGATAATTATTTTCATTAAGAACACAACAGTTTGGTGTACTATAACATGGCGTACGTGTAACGTGTATCGATTGTAAGCGGATATTTTTATAAATTCATTGAATGGTTCTTAAAATCGAAAGAATCGGTTCCAAGAATTGCCGCGCGAACAGAATGCAGTCGGACGTGTGAAGAAGCATGTAAGCAAGCGGGTAGGGTATGTACTCACTGACGATGACGTAGTCGAAGGAAGCGCGGGCTCGACTATTCCGAGAGTTCGTGTTCGATCCTCGTGTGCTTATACACCCTGGATAAACGCACAGCCGACCAAGAAGTCCCGCTTGTTGTATTTTCAGGCGCAGGCGCGACGAATTTACCGGCCGCTACTTGCACCTTCCATTGCAATTCTAAACCTAGGATTGCTTCATCCCTAACTGGACCGCCGTAAACTCATATACCGGTTTAACCTTACACAAACCATTCGACGATCCACCTGATGAAATAATCTCACTGTTTTACGATCTTCCAATCTTTTCCAGTAGTTTTATCCAATTATTTCTCAAAGTTCATTCAAAATAATGATTCAACTTGAAATATTTATATATCGTTTAGGATAGATAACTTGCTATCCTGATCGTATGGTTACACATCTTAAAATTAAAATAACGTTTTAGCTAATTTAAGTTCGATATCTCTACGAATATTTCAATCTAACTAAATTTGATTACTAAAAGTAATCTTTAACCGTTGATATATAATTTTCATCACTCGAAAAATAATTAACCCGAAATGTTATCCATTGTAAATATTACATCATATTTTTTACATTAATAGCGATTCAAGTGTTCATATCTATACGACTACTTCCCAATTTTTGCGAATATCAGGTTTTACGTAACATATTTCGTTCAAGATGTTTGTTTTGCCACAACTAAGTCAATCGTAAGTTCTGATACACAATCACAAAGTAGGTATTTCGAAACGAAACTAAATCGCAAGTTTAGTTGCTTATCATACATTTTTTATACATCGAATAGTGTATTAAATAATACTCTGTGAAATGTAATACACGTATTCGCGTAAGGTACAAGGTATACTGGTTTCTGGTTTCGGCTCTTTTTGTCGAGCCTGCGCCTCCACAGATTCCTATTTGGGACAAACGCGGTAGATCGATATCCATTGAACTTAAATACAAGGAGAAACGATTCCCACGCATTTTTTTACCATTTAAACTACGCTGTAATCTTCCATTTCTTTTAATCAAAACAACTTCCGTTGTGTCATGATGAAATGGATCTTTCTGTTATAAAAAAATGATGTTCGTGTTCCCTACGCAAAAAGGATGTAAGATACGACGTTCTAACCTCGTTTCAAGTACTTAGATAAACAATTGTTCCGTGCGTGTATAAAAACCAAGTGGAATTCACTTTTAACGGCAAATGTTTACCGAACTATCGAAATATAGATAAAGAGAAAAGCACGCGAGTAAATATTGAAACGCATTTGGCTATCTTAACTCAGGTAAAAATGTATGACGCTAAAGCGTGGGCGTCGGACGATGGCTTCGTGCTCGAGAGATGGCGAGCCCCCAAGAATCTTACTCTTTTTATTCTTTTCTAGATATCTGCTTTTAATGCAACCAGTGAAACGCAATAGTATTAGTAATATTATTGGACTCGTTTTACTTAAAATATTAACTTCAATACTCATAATTCATGCAAATCGACACACCTCCTTAGCAGAGAAATGTAGAAATTGTTGGAAAAATGTTTCAATGTTAGTATATGTACCTTCTTTATGAGCGTGTGTACATTTGAAAAAAGTTCAAAGTCATTTCCTTTAACACGTTGATGGCGTAAAACAATTATTTGCATTTCAAATTATATTTCATTACTTTAAAGCAGTGACGTTCATCGGTATCCAAAGGTACTAAATATTCGTCCCTGCATTAATTCTAACTTGTGATCGTACAATGTTCTTTATAGCGACATTCGTTTTGAATGAATAATAAGAATTAAGAACTTTAAATGACAGCAAAACGTATTAATACATGAATCATATATGGATTTAATGGATTTCGTAACAAACGCGTCATTCATCATCTTGTACTGTTGGTTTTCAAGTATCTTTGTTATAAAAATGATAAAATTAACACTCTCTTTCGAGAGTTATCATGTACTTCTTATATCTATGCACTTGATACTTTGATAAGTCAAGTATATACATGTAATCTGAAGTACAAAGAACGTACTTTACGTTCATTCTATCGTAATTTTCATATCCAATTGCGTCAGACGATATTATATCTCGTGGAATTAGAGGACACCGACAGGTGACGCGCCTTGCACACACCCACTGAATCGACCAATAGTTTCATAGGTTACCAAGTGTTCTCAAATCGTTCTCTACGCACAACTTATTTACCGACTGTGCTTCAAGATAATGCATTATTTATAGAGAAACGATTATCATTTTTAAATATAGATAAATAGGAAATAATGTTTGAAAACGATAAGACCGACCAATGTCAATACAATGGAATTACTTTTGTAATGCAATGCCAACATGGCAACCACTGTTTGGGTCAATAAGTTGTCCAGACTTTTGCCCCAATACAGAACTGAATGAAAGGGAAAATCCACCTGTTGACGATCGTAGAAGGTTCAGAACTTTCCTATTCTATCGAATACCGTATTATTGACGCTTATAAAATTAATAAAAATATTTTATAACCTTATACGTGGGGAAACGAACAATACTTATAGCTTTATAGAGAACAACAGGATAAAATTTAATTCAAAAACTTCTTATCGTGCATACCTTTTTAAGGTCACACGTTTCGTATAAACTCATAATCTTACGGCATTGACACGCATTAACATGCAAAGAATCTATTTCGCGAGCGGTAAGTATCGTTTAATTATCCGATAGGTACTAAGGGCATATTAATTGAATGCTTAGAATTCCATTAACTAGGGTCAAATACGTATCTACGTGCAGTAGTTTAGAGAACGTCTTGCGTCATTCGAAGAAACTGCGGATCGTTCGATCATGAAAGTATGTATTACTCCAAGCAACGATATCCGCTTGGGAACTCGAAAGAGAATCGATCAATGATCTGCGATGCGCAAGGTCAAGAATAGTTACTTCAAAGAATTCTGTCGATCGTTTATCTTCCAATTTCCATTATCGTTGAAAAACAATAAAAATTCAAAAAATTGTTCAATCATTATTAATCTACAACCGCTGTTGTACGCGTACAATGTATCATTTTATTGCTCATTTATCAAAAATATGAAGGTTTCATGCGTTATATATACCCCAATCTATAATATCCGTATCAAAATAAATGGTGATTCGACAAACGTCTTCGAATAGATAAAATTTCAACGATTATCTAAAAATATACTGTCTGCGTGTCATTCTTATTTTTCCCCTGTGAACGTGCACGTAAGAGACATTCGTGTTTGCACATGTCTATTGCCAATTACTATATCATTTAGTATCATTTACATACTTGCAAATTTCAGTAGCCAAGTATTCAAGATCAGCTGTTACCTACGCGTGTTTGCGTATGTATTTATCATCACGCATTCATTCAGGTTGATGTTTTCTGTTACATTGTTGCTATGTTATATAAATTAATTAATCACCGTAGATATGCTGATGCATCGTGCAATTTATTAGTTACATGTTACGTATATGTACAAGATATGAAACGTACTATTAGTATTAAAAAAAAAAAAAATCAGAAGGGCAGGAAATGTTTCGGTAAGAAGCTTTGATAAATTAAAATATTTTATTACATTTTTAGTCCAGTGACGCGTGAAAACACGAGGTACTTACTCTCTGGGCAGAAAGAGGTATAGTAGTTTCTCTGGTATAAATTGGAACATCCAAATCACTGACACTGCTACTGATACTAGGCGCCCTGGAGTCAGGTCGTCCACTAAGAGGAACCGAAAGATGCGTCGGCCTAAGTGGATGGGATTCGGCAATGAAACCCTCTCCAAAATCCTCGTCATCTCGGTCCATCTGTAGCAAAATCACGCGAGATAAATATACTTAAATCATCTAAGCGTAAATTAACGACTTAACGAAACTAGCATTACTAATTTCCTCAATAGGAAAAAAGTATGAGTATCTTGTTTATGATATGAAGTTTACAAACTGTTATAAAAGATATTGTAGAAAGTATTCTTTAAAATGGCAGAAAAAGAAGGAGAAAGCTTACGAAAATCACGTTTATACTTCGACCGGAAACATTTTTTAAATTAATTATTGAAGATACATAAATACGTATCGTGATAACAATTACAATTATCAATTATACGTCGTAGATATTGTACGTAAAATTAGCACGAGAATGTGACAACGGTACGCTTTCCCTATCAATTATTTGGCAAACGATCAAGGCTAGTAACTCGATGACATACTCCCCACTCCGATTGATAATTTCGTTCTACGATCAGTGAAGAAAATTGATAAAAAACGAAACAGTCATCAAGAGAACTATAGCGTAAAATGCATTCTATTTATAGTTCGAACCTGTTATTTGCTTGTAACATCATAGTGATATAAACGTAAAATGTTTAGAAACGGATTAACAAATACAATCTCACTTCAAACGTAATTTAAAATAGTACGTGTCGTTATTGAAGCAAGATCGTACATTTTTTTTAAATGGCTTGAATTTAAAAAATAAATGCCTGTCATAAGCTATTAATTGCATTAGTAATTACGTCGACGTTTTTCACGCATCTTTCAAAACGAATCAACAGAGATCTCTGATGCAATGAACTGTCATTTAAAAGTGAAATTTCGGGAGGAAAAATGTATATTTTCCTTATCTAAATTTGTTCTGCATGTCATAAAATATTAGTCCGACCGAGCCAATAATATCAACCGCGAAAAATCGGGACACGGTCCATTGACGTCAACAGGGAGTCTGAAATGTACTACAAGGAAAGCATGACATTTTTTGTTAATTACCTCGTATCCGAGCGAAGGAAAAGTGAAGAAAGAAGTAGCAGAATGAAGAGAAGCAAATCGGTATTAGATTGTTCCTAAATAACAGAAGCTGCACCTTTTGCGTCGCCAATTACGAAAGCAAACGTCGAATCTATACCGATGTAAGCACAAAAATATGAGAAAAAAAAAAATTTGAAGATTAGAACACCCGTACTCCCAGGGTGTGCTCTTGAGACTGAGCTAGAGGACGCATCGCGTCGCGACATCGCCGTCGTCGTCGCCGTCGGCAAGACGTAGCCGTCGGCCTCCGGCTGGATTTAATTTTAACGCGTACGTTGTTAAGACGAGCCTCCAACTTCCTATAACAGCGAACACAACTACGTTAATGCATTACCTCTTCTCCCCGTTTAACTTCTTCCTATCTATGTTTGTACATCAATTGATTCTTGCTAAACTTCGCAATTGATTTCACTTGACCTGGTGGTATATCCTACCGGCAACTTCCAACGATCGGACTTGCAATTTAAACAACTTTTGATATTCACAGTTTTTTATTTATGCATACATTTCTTGAAGTCGTTGGATATTCGGAGTTAACTTTGCTAGAACAAAGACGATGCAGCAATTAATATGTAAATGCTACTAAATTGTGTAATTTTTTATAATTCATTGAAATTATTGTAACTCCTTTGATGTTAAATTAGAATGCTTGTTTAAACAAGAGATCTGTATTATTTAATCGCGTGTTTCTACGAATATTTTTTTTTAACTAATGTTCCCGATTACATAAAAATGCACTTGATTTTGATGCCAACTGTATGCATTAAAAATAGTTTATTTAAAGACGTTCAATTTATACGACAATATTTCTGAAATAATGGCGGCTTATCAATGCTGAAATCACCTAAACAGTTTAATTTGCAATAAAATGAATACTTGCTTAAAATATACATAATATTATCAATAAAGAAATAAAAATTGATTTTTTGCTTGAGGATCACTAATATGATCTTAGCGTTTGTATTTAATACGTGTTTAATAATAATTTTCCGTAGAAATGAATAAATTCAAATGGTTTGAAATTGTTCTATATACCTGCACACTGGGATTGGATAAATTTAGCGCCATCTCTAAAATATTGTTTACGTTTAATTTTCTATATACGTTTTTGCAATTATAGAAATTTGATAGGAATTAATATTATAAGAATAATATTATAAGATAAGAAAGTTTACCACAGATATCAATGATATATATAAATTTCTTTTGGTCTCTCTTTGTGAACAGAACATTTTTATTGGAGAAGAATGGTTCTGCTAACGCGAGTTTTAGGTTATTCGAGTAAGGTAATTTATAACTTATTCAATGCAATAAAATTCATATTTATTTAATTTAGATATGGTAATTTTAGAGTGAGAAAACTATAATAGATTAATAATATAAATTTTTAATTAACTAGCTACCAAGGAAATATAAACGCACAGGATTTATTGACAGTTTACGTATTTATGTAAGCGCTGGTTCTGGTGGTTCTGGGTTACATCGTTATGGTGGTTTAGGCGGAGCTGGAGGAAATGTATGTGTTGTTGCAAAAGAGGACTTAACGTTAAGAACTGTTAAAAATAAGATAGAAAATGTAAAGTTAAAAGCAGAATCAGGAGGTGAAAGTACCAAAAATGGAATTATTGGAACACCTGGAAAAGATTTAATTATAAAGATTCCAATTGGTGTGACTGTATATGATGATAGTCGCATTAAACTTGGTAATATACCCTTATAGTATAATATACACTTGGTAAGACTAATAATAGTTGTTTAAAAAAAGTTTATCCTTGTATGTTTATGAAAATTTAGGGGAACTAAATTCTGAAAATGAGAAATTAATAGTTGCAAAAGGTGGGCTAGGAGGAAGTGAAAATACAGGATATTGTGGACTTAAAGGTGAAAGGCGTGGCATAATACTTGATCTTAAGTTAATTGCTGATGTTGGTTTAATTGGTTTCCCTAATGCAGGAAAAAGTACACTTTTAAATGCAATTTCAAAAGCTAAGCCAAAAATTGCTGATTATCCATGTAAATATTATCTTATACGATACGTGTTATTTTTAAATAATAATTATCTAATTTTATTTATCTTATACATGTTTGTTTTCAGTTACAACTATTAAACCACAAATAGGTATTATAAATTATAATGACTACAGACAAATTTCTGTTGCTGATTTACCAGGTTTAATTGAAGGTGCACATGTAAATAAAGGAATGGGTTTTAATTTCTTAAAACATATAGAAAGAACAAAATTACTACTATTTGTTATAGACATTCAAGGATTTCAGATTTCTGTTAAACACCAATATAGATCTTGTTTAGAAACTGTACTTCTATTGAACAAAGAAATTGAGCTTTATAAACCTGATTTGTTAGATAAACCTGCAATGATTGTAATAAATAAAATGGATACAGAAGGGGCAAATGAAATTTATAAAGACATTAAACCAAAATTAAGTAATTTATCAGAAGCTTCCTTAGAATTTGATGAAGCTATGCAGTCAAAGAAGTTCTTGCAATTTGATGATATTCTGCCTACAGCTTTGATTAAAAAAGACGCAGATGACGTACAACGAATCAAAGAAAAAATACGATATATTATAGATAAATATGAAGAAATAAAAGCTTCTGATCAAAGTAACGAATCAAACGAAGATCGTTTATATGAAAAATTGAAACGTCAAATAAATCGACATGCACCTACGCTTCTATAATTTTTTGTCGTTTTAAAATCAGAAAACCTTTGGAAAGGATATAAAAAAACATACCATTTTGTAAGTTAAAAACAATGATGTAATAACATGCTCTAATCATCTTACAAAAATGTAACAGTAAATGTTATCACTTAAACTATCTAGTAAAGTTTTCTTTTTATCGGTATCCATTCACATTTTACATTTGCTGCTTGTACTCTTTGAATCCAATTTTCTCCAAATGAAGCTTTAGGTTCTATTTCCACTTTTTCAATTTCACATGGATCTGTAATAATATCTGTACCTGTAATCCATTTTTCTACTCCATTCCATGCTATCATTATCCCATTATCAGTGCATAATTTTGGTGGAGTTCTTATAAATTTATAACCTAATTCCGAGCACACAATACTTAATGCTTTGGCCAGTAAATTGTTACATGCAACTCCTCCAGAAATAACCTAATTAATAAGAAAAGAAAAATATTAAATTGCAATGTACATCATAGAACCTTCTTAATAATTTTCAAACATACCAATGTACGTTTGTTTTCAGGAAATAATGACATTTTCTCAATAAATTTCATTGCTCTTTGAGTTCTCTGACAGACATGTGTTATAGCAGCTAATTGGAATGCTGCACACAAATTATATACATCAGGAATCAGCATATCAGCAATTATATTATGTTTCTCTTCTTCAAATTGGATGTACCTTTTACATGTACTTTGTATCCCAGCAAAACTAAAATTACAATCATAAAGTCTTGTCATTATGGGTGAAAATGCAAACTGATTAATGTCTGTTGCTTTACTTGCTGCAATCTCTAGAGCTTGGCCTCCACTTAAGGTATTAAATTCTGGAATATTTCTTAATTTCAGTCTTCGTGCAATCTGTAAACATACCTCCCTGTTAACATTAGGTATGTATACCGCAGTTCACCAGAGTCCATAACTGCGAAAAGACCAGTTTTCGTTCTTCGCGCATCTCCAGTGCGCATCTTCGCCCTGATTGGCAACGAAGTGGAAAGCGATTGGCGGAGAGCTCGCTGCGTTCCCCCACCATCTTTCAACCTGCGCGTCGCAGTTATGGACTCTGGTGAACTGCGGTATATGTATATTGTAAATAATAGGTTAAAATAAATAATTGTTTACCTTATCAAACACTTCTCCAGGTGCATTGTCCTTAGTAGTTCCAAGTAAATAAAATTTATTTGTACTCTCAACAATTCCAAGTAAACAGTGACCCCCAGAGATTAATAAAACAAGATATGGAAAATCAACCTATACAGATAAAATAAAACACTTTAAATTTTATTTATTATTACTGTTTTATTATATTAATAATATTCAATAAACCTTTTCTTGTATTCTTGCTGTCAAAGCATGAGCTTCCATATGATGTATCGGTATAAAAGGTTTATTTCCAATTTTTGCCAAATATTTTCCAAACTTTGTTCCAATACCAAGAGACGGACGAATACCAGGCTTTACTGTTGTAGCTATAGCATCAACATCTCTTAATTTTAAATTTGCACTTTGTAAAGCATCCTCACAAACTTTGGTAATGTTATCCCTATGCAACATTTGGGCAATTGTAGGGATTATTCCTCCAAAACTAAAAGACATAAAATGATAATTATAGAAGAAGTAATGATGTTATATTAAGCTTATAATATTATCTGTATTAATATTAATTACTTTAAGTGGTTAAGCTGTTGAGAACTAATAGCTTCACCTAATATGGTACCTGTGCTATCAACAATTCCACAGCCTGTTTCATCACAGCTAGATTCCACTCCTAATATTATAGCTGGTTTATCAGGCTGAGAATTTTGCACCCTTTCTACATCATTTTTATATGAATGTAAAAATGCCCGTGTATTTATAAAATGTTTCTGTTGACATTTGTGAAATAAACGTATAGTCCAAGTCATGTTTCTCTACAAAACTAACTTCTTACAGCGTTGAATATTTTTACTTTTACTTATACAAGCAAGAATGTAAGTTTATAAATTATTGTCATGTCATAATCAGAACATGTAAAACCGCATAAACCATTTGCGTATCAAAGGTTATAATGAAATGTTTATGTCTATTTAAATATACATATACACATGTCGAATTCGATAGTGAATCGATACAAATCAACTTCAATTCGAGATTTGTTATCGATATGTCGAAAATAACAATCGATACAACCCACGCAAAGTTTGCTGTCGCGCAGCCATCATAGATATTGCAGCTTTCTCCAAAGTATCGGAAGCAATCGGAAGTTGGATGTACAATGTCGGAACAGTAAGTAACTACTTCTTTTATCATGATATATAAATATGTTTTGTAATTTTTATGTTCGTCTTAATTATCTGCTTACCTTACGTAATCCCAGTAATAATGTTTCTTGTTGAAAAATAGGTGTTATCTATCTTAATAAACATGGAGGTTAGAGTTGCCACCACAAGTTAAAATGACGTATATTGTGTTTCTTCAAACATTATTCAATACACTCTTTTCTTTAGTTAATTTGTTTCTCATATATAATCGTATTTATAATATACAATATTATACCTTGAATATTTGCTACATACTGTTAAGATTTATTCCAATCTGAGAGCACCATTCGTTTGGTAAATCACTTGTTTGTATTGATCTCGTAAATTTTTTACCGATTTAAAATTAATTGTTTTGTGTGTGAATTGCAATTGAAAAATTTGTAGTTGATTAATATTATATTACATCATGTATACATATACCGTAAATATGGGAATTTCATACTTCATTGTACATCAATGCATTGTAACATTAAACAGTTGCTGTTTTTCTTTTTGGTAATTGTTAATGATTGTTTGTCTAGTGATGAAACTATATTGGATGAGGATCTTGGAGACGAAGAATATAATCTAGGCAATGATGAAGAAGAGGCTCTTTTAGCAGACGACTATGAACTGGATAGGGTGAGCATATTGCTGGACCATTATTTTGTTATTAAATAAAAGTTAGAGTATTGTTATATACCATGTGATACATATGATACTACATTAGAAATTCTATAAAAGCTTAAGTTTTGATTACAGAGTCAAGAATTTTTAATCCATTTATGGTTCCATTATTTTGTGTAGAATTTGTTAAAATAGTTATTAAACTAATATGATTATTGAAATTATGAATTTATTGAAATTTTTCTTTTAAATCTTTTAAAAGATAATGGATTATTTAACATAAATGGATTAATTGCAACATGAATTATTTCCATGTGCTATATAAATAACATATTTTGGTGTAGAAGAAAATAATTTAATATTAATAACATTTCTTTATTTGCTTATGGCTTATATACATTGTGTGTAAGGTTGTAAGATATTAAGATGTATGGATACATCTTAAATTGTAACTTCATACTACATACTTTTTCATTGTATAAGGCTATTATGATTAAAACAAATCATTATTTCTTTGTATGTGCAGCTGCTTTGTGTATGAAATTTATGTGTTTATTAAAGTGTCCTATTTATGATATTAATTAACAAAGGGATTCCATCAAATTTGTAAATTTACATTGTAATATGTTTACTATAATAGATCATAATATCTAATATTGGAAATAAATGCGTGAAAATTATTCCATTTTTGCATAGCTGAAAATGTTGTATTTCAAATGTTATTGAATATTAATCTTGGGTTTATAAAATTTTATTGTAATGTTTTTTGATACAACTGTAACTAGGAAAACATGAAAATCCACTGTGAAGATGAAACATGAATTATGTAGAATAAGAATATAACATGCTCAGAATCAATACAGGGAAAATGAAATGCAATTTAATGTAAATTATTTTTGATATTCATATTGCATTATTAGTTATTGTGTTTCAGTTTACATGTTATGCAATGTAAATTTCATATTTAGATTCTTATTTTCTAGCAGACTGGTACAAATTCAACATTTTTTCTGTATCTATAAAGTTAAATATACTTATAAATAATCAGACTTTTATTGCATTAAATGTCCTGGATAATGTAAGTTTAATATCTGTTTAAAACAAATGTATGTTTTGTCATATATTTCCTTTCCCCTGTTGTTTCAAAAACATAATATTAAAGATTGTAAACAAAATTGTTGTTAACAATGGGTCAGACCAATGGTATTATATACCAGTATTATATATAATTTCGTTAAAATGTTATTTACACAATTTCAACAAATTGTAGTTCAAAATATTTTTGAATTCTATTACTTACAATGTACATGTTGGTATACACATGTCCAGGTATAAACATCTTTGTTCCGAAGAATGTTTTAATGAAAATTTCGGACTCGGGGCAATGATACATCGTGAATTATTTCATTAAAACATTGTTTAAAAGTACGTCCAATTTTTTATACTATTAAAATAATATTGTAAGAAAGTTATACTGTTAATTTTCTAAAAACGGATTGTACCACTTTCTTTTTAGCATTTAAGATCATTTATCTGATTTTATTTTCATAAAAAGAAACAGTAGTATGAAATATTCTTAGTATTTATAAATGTAGCTGTTTATTAACGATAATGTTGATTGTTAAAATCTACTCATCATATGAAATAGTGTGCAAACGTAAAATGTATCATATTGTGATATATCATGCTGCTGTATTCTGAAGTTGTAATCCATTGTACTAAATATTTATAATAATTCTGTATCACGAAGTGGAAGACACGTTATCATTTCACTGAAGAAACATTCATGATTGTTCTAATCATTTGTTCGTATAGTACTACACCACTTCGCATATAGCTAGACACATATGCACACCTGTGTTTGATTACTCATCTGCATGAATTGAACTGGTGTTCTATGACGAGCATTAATGAAATAATTGCGTTTAAATCTTAGCGAAGTAAACTAAAACAAGAACAAAATAGAAAGAAAGAAAAAACAAAGCGATAGAGTTACAAGAAACTGGTATGGTGATGTGAAACCCAAACCTCTTGCGTATATCCGTTTTAATTATGAAAAAAAAAAAAATAATAATAATAATTTCTTATGCATTTATAAATATATATTTTAATTAAGCGTAGATTGTAACGATCACGGCTAAATATCATATTTTCATTACAAATATTTGGCAATTTAATTCCCTGAGCAGCAGAATAGCTATAAGGGAGAAGAGGAGACAGATGATGTACTGGACTTAGGAGTTACCGACGGACTCGACGACTTAGATGGCGAAGATGAAAATATAGAGTTTAGTAGAAGCAAAACCGATAGACGCGATGATAATGATTTTTACGAGGACGGGGATCAGCTAGAGATTCAATCAAAGTATTACGAGCAAGATGAACTTAACGAGTACAAAAGCGAACAAACGCGTCAACACGATGAACATTCTGCGATCGATAGCGTTAACACTTCAAGTAACATTGGAAAGGGGGACTTGCGAGAGAAGTTGCAAAAGAATGCAAAAATCTATTCTGGAAATGGGCAAGGTTTGGAAGACGATGAATGCGAAGAGGCCAAGGAAAGAAGGAACAGATTTCAAAATGAAAGAACTATTGTTTCTCCGAAAATGAATAATAACATACCAGAAACTTTGGAGAACGTAGTAACAGCCGAACGTTCGTTCAGAGGCCGAGGAAGAGGTCGAAGCACAAGAGGAAGTCGCGGTGGAAGATTTAACATACAAAATACTGGAAATTTCAATCCAAGGTACACCTTTCTCTTTACTTCTGTTATACTAATTAGTTGTCGCGTCGGTCAACCTGTAAAGCTTATAGAATATATTCCAGGTTTAATAATGCGCGTAGCACAAACTTTGATGGTCAACCACCAGTGTGCAGACCTCCGCTGCTTGAAACGAGACCACCGTTTCTCCTTGGAGTACCAAGCAACATGCAGAATCAACAGATTATTTATCAACAACAAAATTCTCAAGTACAACCTTTCCAGCATTATTCTACAAATGGTCCACTTCCACCAGGTCCGACACATTTTCTAGACAACAGACCACAATTGAATCCTAATCAATTTCAAGGTCAAGTAGGAGGTCCTAGAGTAATTGGGCCGAGGATAGATTATGGGCACCGTGGTGGGTTGGCAGGACCAGGACCAGGAGCATCGTACAATCATCCTCCTAATCAACCACCATACGTCCAAATTCAACCGGGACCGTTTCAAAACTCCGGCGTGCTTATGCAAGACAACCAGCAACGATTGATGCAAAATAATCAAGGTCCGGTGTTGCAAGGAAATGCTGGAGGATCGCTTCTTGGAAATCTGAATTCAGTGGTACCACCTGGAACATCGGCGCCTTTGTTACAAGCTGGAAATCAGCCATTACCTATGCAAGGCTTTCCACGGCAAACATCTTCCCAGGGTCCACCGCTTATCAATCATCCAAACGTGCAAATACCCAATCAATCACCATTCGAAAATAGACCACCTTTTCAAGAGCCTCCGTTTGAAAATCGGCCTGTATACGATTCGAGGTCCGGCTATTCCGATCAAGTACCTACCAGCCAATTTAATACTAATACGTTACCTGTACCGCAACAGTCCACTTCCAATGTACCCAATGTACCTTTACCTCCAGGGCACAAGATTTTAATCAATCCTCACTTTCGAGGATCTGTTCAATCAACGAACGATGGTAAGTGCTTTAAAAAGCTTCTATCTACAAAATCATTTAATTCGTTGCTCATTTCACTCACGGTATTCTCTTCTAAATTCTAAACAGCAAGACTCATATGGGATTCCACCCAGCAACAGCAACAACAACCATCTTTGTCGTCTCAAATTCCTGGTAGTCAGTTTTCCCAGTCTGCTATCTCTTATCAAAATCAAAGTTCGTATAATCAAACACAACAAGGCTCGTCGCATTACCAACAAAATTATCAACAAAATAAGAGCGATGTAAGTATTCGTGACCCGTGTGTTTCCCAACGTTTTGGATAACACTCTGTAATTTATTTTACGTAGGATCCGTATGCATACTTTTCGGATGTATGGCAGGAAAACAAACCTCAGAAAAGTCAGAGTTCAGCACCGAGTAAGCAATATCCTTCGGATAGTAATTACCCACGGGAAAGTAGCTATGAATACAGTTCAAAGTATAAATCAGATCAGTGGGATCAAAAGGACAGTTACCAAGATGTAAGTAAAATAGAAATTAGTAAAGAGGAATTTTAGTTGAAACATTTACTATTAAACACTAGGATCATAGAGGAGTTCATCAAAGTTATCGTGATCGAGATTTGTCATCGAAAACCAGGAGCGATCATGTTTCAAGAAGTAGAGCACCTTCGTCAAACTCATACCGTGATAATTACGACCAAAATCATGTACAGAAATCAAATAACAGATCTGCAAATCCATCGATAAGACCTAGATTACCGCAGAAAAGAATTCCCGACTCGTCGGATAGACCTTTACGAGATTTGAGCCCAAAGCGAATAAAACCTAGCAACAGAAATCTTCAAGAAGTACGAACGGTGGATACGTTGAATACTGTGGGCAATGAAAAAAAAGTATGCGCTTTCGTATGTATAATTTTGTTTCTTTTAGTATGATATACAGTTTTTCTATATAAACCATTTTAGGACGAAGATAATGACCCGGAAATGCAGGAGTATAGAAAAAAAATGGAAGAACAAAAGCGGCTCAGAGAAAAAATTTTACGTGAGAAGGAAAATAGGCGAAAAATGGCCGCAATGGAGAAACAAAATGAAGAGGCAAAAATCGACAGTACTACGCGTATGTATTATCTTCCCATAAGCTGCAGAAACAAATAATAATACTCAGAAATGTACTTACTTGTACGTGCGTATTGTATTTTCTAGCAGGTGAAAATACGCAGGATACAAAATCTACGTCGACGCTTATGGGAGTTGTAAAAGATGCTTCCGTAAATAAAGGACACACCGGTGTTGGAAGAGTACGTGGTCGTCCTATGAATACACAAACTACAGAGGTACAACACTAAAATAGTCACTTCTTTTTTCAATTGTTAGCTATGTATGAAATTTGAAACGAGTGTCTTTTTTAAACATTTATTCTTATAGAAATAGCTAATAGTGTACGCAATCTCCATTTTTTGGGAGACAATTACAAGCAGTCTCTGCTTAATGCATGAATCAAGTAAAACGTGTTCACGTAGTAAAAATTTTATTTGTACATAATACGCGGAAATGGTATTCGTTTTTTGAATATATTGTACATAAATCTTAATATAGTGTACATATGTATTTGACGTATGTGCACACACAGGCGCATGTATATAAAAACAAATTATTTTGGTAATTACCAACTTCAAAGTTCTTTTTGTTGAATAGCAGAATGCGTTGTTGCATTTTCTAGCCACTAGGAAAAAAGGGTAAATCATTCTTAAGTATTTATTATTGTTCAAATGACAGCATACAAATTTTAAACAAAATATTAATAAATAAAATATGTGTATATATATATTTGTATATATATACATACACATCTATTAGATTTTTCTGTATATTTTTTACACATGTTTCAATAAAATATATATTTTTAAATACTTTTTGTTCCTTTTCATTTCCTCCAAGTTTTGAGTTATTTCTTTTCTTTATATTTTATATCATCATTTCTTGTTCATTATGTGTTGCTAACATTTATTCATGTAGTATAGCGTTTAAAACAAATGTTTATTCAATCGATCAATTCTTTTATTAATTAATTAATATAAATTTATATCAAATAATAATTAAGTATTTTTGTGTGTAAATTCATTAATTATGTTTTTCTGTTTAACGAGATTTAGTAATTTAACACATACATCTTGATTATTTTTGTTATAGGCTATGGAGAAACCATCGTGCATACGAATCGTTCGAACAGTACAAACTGTACAATCCAACGATTCTGTCGATTCTGCAAAAGACAGTAACGCAGGACACACGATTAACCAAGCCGGTGAACATGCAAAAGTCTTGAATTCTCAGACTGGAGCTAGAAGAATCGTAATCCAAAAATCCTTATCAAATACACAAAAAGTTGCTACCAGCATACAGAAAACGGTATCAAATCTGCAAAAGGGTCAACCGCCGGTACAAAAAGTAATTAATACTATGCAAGGTGGAGTTCAAAAAGTTGGACAAAGTCAGTCTGATGTGTTAAAAAAAATAACGAATACCGGGCAAAGAATTGGAGGTAATCCGCAAAGAATTGTTAAACAAAAGTCACCAGGAAATCTGCAGAAAAATGTAATTAACGTACAAGAAGTAACAAATGCTAATGCGCAAAAAGTTTTTGTTAATACACACAATAATCAAAGAGTTGTACTTCAAAAAGCGTCGACTCAACAAAAAAAAGTACCAGAAATAAAAACAAATACCGTGAGAGTAGAAAATTTAGCAGCAAGTACTTCTGAAGCGCAAATTAGGCGTATGTGTCAAAGCATCGGGACAATCGAGGTGACTATTTTTGCATGAAAACAAAATTTTAATGCTTATTGGCGATAGTATTGCAAATTTATAAAGCTTTGCGTATGGTGTTTATTTTTATTTTTAAAACCGTTTCTTTTTATAACTTTATTAAACTTTGTTTTTTTAATTATATTTTTGATCATTTTTGTCATGCTTGTTTTATTTGAAATATTCAATTATTTGTATTAATGACTATAATGTCCTTAAATGTTCTGTAAATTTCTTACCAAAGTATATTTAGTACAAGAAGTTGTATCCCAGTGTAATTGCAATAAGATCATTGTCTTAATTTCATTTTATGTTTATTTTATATTTAATAATGTGCAGTTATTTTCATAAGAAAATTAAAATGAGTTTTTCGTTTTTTTAATACAGTATCCTCTCGATAAATAATAAAGTTCAGGAATGTAGAGACCAGGTTTTTCAAGAAGTGGTTATTTATCGAATAGCCAGTATGCAAATTAAACGTAACGTTGTATAATGATAAAACAAGTTACGCGTGCACGAGTTTATAATTTGTGTAAATGTGAGACGTTCCTAACAATTTATTGAGCGGCTACTGTATTTTTTAATATGGTCTACATATAAAAGAATATATTGTTTGATTCCTACGATTTTGACTCTATTTTCTGTGATTTATCTCTTGACAATGGTATTAGTCATTTTTATTGCTTAATTTGTTATTATAATTTTATTATATTTGTAACCAATTTATCATATTGTTTCTTTTTTATTTTTATTTTTTTTAATAAAAACTATATTTCTTAATTTAATAATTATTTGCTTCTATTATTCCTGTTGTAGAGCATACAAATGGGCGAGCGTAGTGCAACAATTGTGTTTAAGACGCAGTCCGCTGCTATGGTGTTTCATAAAAAATACCAACGTAAAATGCTAGACCTTTCGCTGATAACAGTTCGCCTCGTATCGCAATCGAGCGGAATAAAGACCACAACTGGAATTGCGAAAGTTTCTTAAGGAAAATATCAAATGCATCTCTTCTAATATATCGCAACCAAAAATAAAAAAAAAAAAAGAAGAAAAAATATATAGTATTATTTGTAATTATGTTAAGTAAATAACGATCTTTCGATTCATTGATGCAGCCTGCATATAATTTAACATGCATTTTATATTTTGCGAGTTCTTTGTTCAAAACATACAATATGCAAAGACTTCAAAAGGAACATATTTTTGGCTGCAAATAAACTGTATAATATACCTTCACGAATGAAGGTAGAATAATTCAATTTGTATATATGTCAAATGCAATGTATATTTCATATGGAAATACATGTGGTAGATTTAATAATATATTATGCATTTAAATGCTACAGTTTAATGTGTAGCACAGTGCTAAGCTAATTAATTTATAATTTTAAGCACAGAAACATAACACATGTCATTATACAGGACATAAATTATACTTATAAATGAATGATGTGTAATACTTTAAATTTAAATATCATTAATGATAATTATATTTACAAAGCGTGTCTGTTAAACACTAATCATAATCCTATTTTAATGTGTACGTGTATACACCCTCACCAATCTTGTGTCGTAATATCACTTAAAAGTTAAATATTTTCTTTAACTTTAGTTAAGTTTATCGCCATCAGATGTACAACAATATTTTTAACACATTTATTGACGTTTTGATGGAATATATTTATTTTACGCGAGTAATGAAAGTCGGGCGGGGTGGGGAACATAAATCAGCCGCTTCACGGCGAAGCGCGTCAGTATGTCTTCTGACGCCGAAGAGGTAGGAGTGCGCTCCTGCTTTCGATCGCAGCGCCATCTATACAAAAATGGCGGAAACTATTCGACAACTTACCTATCGCCATCGGTCGGGAAAATATTTATCGACTGCAATCGGTAAGTAGTTTCCATCACTTTGTATAGATGGCGCTAACCTCACTCTGGGGTGTCTGAAACCCCAAAAATTATGACAAAGGCATACCCGGTCCTTTTATATGTCTAATCACGGATTAGACTCTATGTACAAGACACTTCATGATCTTTTATGAAAAAAATACTTAGTAGATCAGTATTTGTCAATTTAATGTTTTAATTAAAAATCCGGGTTTCTTGAATTATTGTAAATGTACCAATATCGATATGGCTTCATCTGAACTTGATTGGGGTAAATATGTAGACGAGCAGGAAAAGTTATCTGCGAAGGTAATGTTTTTCTCCATATACACCACCGGCTTAACCTTATTTCTGTTTATTATTGTATGTATATATATACGTTCATCATTCGAGAAGATACTTTCATTCCATATCTCTATTGCGTGGTTTCATATTACTGCCATTTATTTAATAATCAAATTGATTTTAATTATTTTAAATGAGACAAACTTTTACGTTTGAATGTTGTATTTCAAAATCCTATATAACGACGCTTTTTTCTTGTACTGAAATTTTGTTGTTTCTTTTTTGTTTCATTCGATGTTTAATTCATTTGGTAGAAAACCATGTTGTTTGTTATTTTAATCATTATCAACAGGTGTCCAGCTTAAATTTAGACAAACCTGTTAAAGACAGCAATGCAAGTACAGACTCCAAGAGCGATGATGGAACAGACGAACAGATCTCTCCTGCAGAAAAATCTTTACTCCAAAAAATTATACGTAGGGGCTTGATGGAAACAACAAAGGATCTAGAGATACAAAGAAAAGATCCATCTTCCCCATTATACAGTGTCAAAACATTTGAAGCACTTCATCTGTTAGTATTTTTAGCTATTAACTCCTTTATATTAATACAGTCCTTTTTGAATTATACATTACAATATCCATTATAGTAAACCAGCCCTCTTAAAAGGAGTATATGCTCTGGGATTTAATGCCCCATCAAAAATTCAAGAAACTGCATTACCTACTTTGCTTGCTGATCCGTAAGTTTCTTTTGTAAATTAAAGTTTGTTTAAATATATATTAGATATAGAAAATATATGACAGATATAAAATGTGAAAAATTATTTGCAGGCCTCAGAATATGATTGCTCAGTCACAATCCGGAACTGGTAAAACAGCAGCCTTTGTGCTAGCAATGCTTAGTAGAGTTGATACTACTAAGAATTACCCTCAAGTACTTTGTTTATCGCCAACTTATGAATTAGCTATACAAACAGGAGAAGTAGCAGCATGCATGTCTGCATTTTGTAGTGAAATAAAAATAAAATATGCTGTTAGAGGAGAAGAAAGTAATATACGCTTAATATTAATTTTATCATTTTCAAACATGCTTTTTAAATAGAAATTTAGTTTAATCCTTTTAATTATTTCAGTAAGTCGTGGATCAAAAATTACAGAACACATTATTATTGGAACTCCGGGAAAAGTATTAGATTGGGCTGTTAAATTCAAATTCTTTAGTTTAAGTAAAATATCGGTTTTCGTTTTGGATGAAGCAGATGTAATGATTGCAACACAAGGTCATCAGGATCAGTGCATTCGTATTCACAAGTAATGACTAACAGTACATTTCAGAGTTCAGATGTCACGTTTATCTTTTCGCATCTTTTATATTAAAATAATATTTACAGGCAACTCCCACGTACATGCCAGATGATGTTCTTTTCCGCAACTTATGAACCAGAAGTAATGAAATTTGCAGAAATTATAGTCAATAATCCTTTGATAATACGATTGTTGAAAGAAGAAGAGAGTTTAGATAACATTAAGCAATACTATGTGAGATGCAAAGATTTAGACGAAAAATATGCAGCTATTACTAATATTTATGGTGTAATAACAATAGGACAAGCAATTATTTTTTGTCACGTAAGATATTTCTAAATTTTCCATAGTTTAATATTATATTTACTTCAAAACTGTAAACATTATTTTACATTTAAATATAGACCAGAAGGACAGCCAATTGGTTGTCGGAAAGAATGACAAAAGATGGTCATGCGGTAGCTGTTTTATCCGGTGAATTAACTGTAGAACAAAGAATAACAGTTTTAGATCGATTTAGATCTGGTCTCGAAAAAGTTCTCATCACAACCAATGTCTTGGCCAGAGGTAATAACCAGCTGTTCATTTGCAGTTGTTAAACGTTTAAAGAATCATAACCATTTGGTATTGTTTATAGGTATCGATATTGAACAAGTAACTATAGTAGTAAATTTCGATCTTCCAATGGATCAAAATCGACAGGCAGATTGTGAAACGTACTTACACCGGATCGGTCGAACAGGACGATTCGGTAAATCTGGAATTGCTATTAACCTAATAGATTCACCACATGCAATGCAACTTTGCAAAGATATAGAAAAACATTTTGGAAAGAAAATACATTATCTTGATGCGGAAGATGCAGATGAAATAGAAAAAATTGGAGCCTAGATTGATATGTAAGAGATACAATTATGCTTTCTATTAAATAGGCGTAAATATATTGTAATACTTCTTTTAAAAAATAGACATTTGTATTCTTAATATCTGATCTTTGTATGTCTTTCCAAAGCACATTTTTGGTGAATATTACACATTTATTTTTCACGATAATTATATAACTCCGATTGTTGTCTATTGAATTAAGATGCTGTAATTAGATGACAAATATTACAGAATAATAAAAAAATATACACAATAAAGATGGTATTTTTATATGTTACATAATAAAAAAAGAATGATTTGTGCAAGGAAATGTTACAGTATACGTGTTTTGGTACGATTATGACTTATTTAATTAGATTTTAATCATTATGCATTCTAATAAAATATTTATATTGAAAGAATATCACAATGGCAGTGATAAGAGGGAAAAACTTGTTTTTAATAGGAGGGTTATTAGGCTCTTTAAAAAACAACAATAATATTACTCTTTAAACATACATTTATTAAAACTAAAAAATGGAAAATAAATTGCAATATTTAAAAGAAATGCATCAGACAATGTGGGTTTTTAACTTATTGCAATGCATACGTTTGTACACTTGTATTCTATTTCACCCCTACAGATGAAAAATTATATAAAAATGCATCAGAGGATATTGGTATTTCGACCCTTCTTATGATTTCCGAAGAATATTTTTTTACAATTTCTTACTAATAGAGTGAAAAAATGCAATTAATTTAATAAACATTCTAATATAATAGTTTTTTTACATGAAGAAGACAACGGCGAACAATGTGTATTAACTCAAACGTTTCATAGATTTTATAATTCATTTTCTTTTTTTACTCAAAATTTCTGTTATTTCTCTTACATGTTATAATTTGTTACATTATGTTACGTAACGGCAGAGTAAGTTGTTGGCATAAAATATATTTAAGTGAAAAAGTAACTTTCGTTGTAGCATGTATCCAATGAAACGATAATGCTCGAAATGCAGAAAGAAAATACAAAAACAAATGATTCTAGAACAAATATTTTAACGCACAGGCAAAAACTTAGTCTCTATGTCTTCATCTTCTGTTTTAAAGTACAACTGTTTCTAAGCGTTCCGCTTTTTTCGATTATTCAATCGGCACATTATAGTCGTGTTATTTGCAATACGAACCGCAATGTATAACACACAATTAATATCGTGATTGAATTGTAATGTTGCCAAACGTTAATTACTGTACGAAATTCAGTCTTTGTACGGGATTTCACTCAGTTACATGCCCATGCCTCCCATACCACCCATACCACCCATTCCACCCATTCCACCACCGCCCATTGGCATCTGAGGTTCTTCTTTCGGCAATTCAGCCACTACCGCTTCCGCCGTCGTAAGTAACGACGCAACACCCGCGGCATCGGTAAGCGCTGTACGGACTACCTTAGTTGGGTCAATGATACCTTTTTCAATCATATCAACATATTCATCATTCAATGCGTCATAACCGAGATTGCTTTCACTGACTTTCGCTACCACAACACTAGCGTCCACTCCTGCATTCTGAGCAATCTGCAAACATGGCATACGTAATGCACTTGCCACTATCTTAATACCCGTTTCTTGATCACTATTTAATGCTTTCATACTACGAAGGGCTGGAATACATCTCAAAAGGGCGGTTCCACCTAATAAAACAAAGATATTAAAATTTTAATTGTTAAATAAAATTATTCTACTTTCAGATATACTTTTCGAGAAAAGGAATATTTACCTCCAGGAACAATGCCTTCTTCCACTGCAGCACGAGTAGCATTAAGAGCATCGTGAACGCGATCTTTCTTTTCATTAACTTCCACTTCGCTGCTTCCGCCGACTCTTAAAACTGCAACTCCTGATGCCAATCTTGCCAAACGCTCTTGTAATTTTTCTTTTTCATAGTCAGATGTTGTATTGGCAATCTGATCTCTAATTACATCTGCTCTGTGTTCAATATCATTCTTCTTGCCTTTGCCTTTCAGAAGGAGCGTATCATCTTTTGTAATTACAACTTCGCCTACTTCACCCAAATCAGATAACTGTACATTTTCTATCTTAACGAGATTCGCATCATCGCCAAACACGATTCCTCCAGTCGCGATAGCCATATCCTGAAGCGTCGCCTTTCTATTATCTCCAAAACCAGGGGCTTTAACTGCAGCTACTTGCAAACCGATTTTCAATCTGTTCACTACAAGCGTCGATAAAGCCTCTCCATCAATATCTTCTGCTATGATAACAAGTGGTTTTCTCTGTGAGTTTGCTAATTCTAATGCAGGAATAATGGACTGTACGGAGGATATCTTTTTTTCGCTATAAAGTAACAGTGCATCCTGGAATTCAACTTTTGCTCCTTTACTAGAGTTTATGAAGTAGGGAGATATGTAGCCCCTATCAAATTTCATTCCTTCTATAACTTCTAGTTCGTCGTATAATGTTTTACCATCTTTTACAGTGATCACCCCTTCTTTTCCAACTTTTTTCATAGCATCAGAAATAAGATTACCAATGGCTTTATCACCATTGGCTGAAATAGTTGCTACTTGTGCTATTTCCTCTGGTGTTGTCACCGGTTTACTCAATGCCTTCAATTCATCTTTGACTTTATCAACAGCCAACATAACACCTACAATACATTTATTATTTGGTAAGAAAAACATTTTATGATAAAAATGTAAGAACAATTCATATATATATATTGTTACATTTACCTCTTCTTATTTCTACAGGATTGGCACCTTTACTAATTTTTTCAAAACCATCTTTAGCAATGGCTCTAGCCAAAACTGTCGCTGTAGTTGTCCCATCACCTGCTTCTTCATTTGTGTTATTCGCTACGTCTTGCACCAGTTTTGCTCCAATATTTTGGAACTTATCTTTTAGTTCCACTCCCTTAGCTACCGTGACACCATCTTTGGTAATTTTTGGACTTCCCCAACTTTGTTCTAAGATAACATTACGTCCCTTTGGACCCATCGTTACTGCAACAGCATCCGCTAATATATCTACACCTTGTAACATAAGAGCCCTAACTTCTGATCCAAAACGGACATCTTTAGCATATGAACGGGCTTGTAGTTGCCGCAAAGCTGTGCTACGCAAAACAGTTGGTAATCTATGCATCTGAAAAGAAAAAGAAATAATTGTTTTATAAAAATAATTATTTCGAAATATTTAAAAATGCATAAATATTAATTTGATATAAATGATCGTAACATTGAAAAATTAAAACGATGGTTTTCGTAAGCAGACATGGTTATGTAAACTACCGCGTGGATAATGAACAGATAACGTTTGGCGTCAATTAATTTAAACAACTTAAAAAATGTTTCTCTTGAAGATTAAAAAAATTATTTCTTTGCTTTTCGTCCATTTTTTTTTTACATCATACATGATTTATAGCGTAATATTACATGTATCTTACATCGCCGGTTTGCTGGAGAATAAATTATAAAATAAAAGGTGATTACAGCACAAAATATCTAAGAAATTTAAACAAACTAAAACGATCAAAAATAATTTTAACCGAACGTACAATCATGAGCACATTCTTCTCGTTTTTTATTCAATATCTTTGGTTATACTTTTAGAAGCATGCAACATCTTTAAAAGAACACGAAGTCTTAATTTATCAAAGGAACAAATTGCAATGTAAGATTATTTTGATAAAAGAATGCATTAAGATATAATAATAAAGAATATAAAATGAGTATAGGAAAGGTAAGTTACTTCAGACACAATTTAGCCGGTTAATAATATTGATCAATTGATTTACACTTTACACGAGAAGAACGAGCAAAATTTTCCGAGAAACATTTACCTTTATTTAATGGAAAAGGAAAAGTTGTTGGTTAAGATATTCTAGTCACAAAAGTAATTGAAAATCGTCGCAGCGTGATCACACGTTGTCTTGCCAGCAGAATGAAATGTGCGAGAGCTTGCGCTATCACATGGGATTGCTCCCCTCTGCTCCCCTCTTTCTTCATCCCATTCTAACCTAACCCCAAGAGGTATTTGATTAAGAAACTTATCAAAATTCTCGATAAATTTAAATGAAATAAAGTAGGAAATCAAATGAAAATTTCATAGCTAGTTTTATTATTTTTTACGTAACATTTGATACATCAATCCCATCGTTACATTATTTTCTTGGTAAAGAATTATGTTTCTAGAATGTACGAGAACAAGTGTGATGCAATCGTTTAGCGTACACCAATCACCTTCGTTGATATACCGGCGATTCATTCTTAACCATGCTGCTTTTTAATCTTAAAACCGGTATTATCGACCTATGACCAAATATAAAACGATTTGAATTTTACCAAGGAATATACATTCGTTTTCTATTAAAATATTGAAAGCATTTTATTCATTTCAAATTACATATTCTCAGTTAACTTTGCGCCATTTAAGTTTTATTTTCTTCCTTTTTCATTCTTTTGTCTTACTTATTTGGACAAACAATTTGTCGAATGTAATATAAAATTAGATTGAGCAAGAACATTTTTTTCTGATTACAGAGTACAATATACATATATAGTCTAAATATAGAGGTTAATATTTCATGATATTTTTAATATTCTCTGATATGTCTTATCATTGATACATTTGTTATTGAGACGCAAATTTAAATAACATTATCATCCAACAAATAGATCAAGCTTTATTTTATGTTATATTTTATTAGTAACTTAATTCAAGAACTTCTAGAATAAAACAGTTTATAATAGATATACAGAATTCAAGTAAAACTCAGTGATAAGTTGTTTCCCAAATTTATAGACTTCAATAGAAGATATTGAGTAAGAATTATAAAATCTGTAAGAGGTAAAATAGATATTGTCTTTCTTTATTCATAATTATTTTTTTTTATTTGTCACAGTAATTCGTGTACGTTTTTCATTGATTCGAAATAAAAATGATTTACAATGGCATCCACGTGGTCAAAGATATTCGAGCGTCATCTTGTGGCAGACTTCGACCGCATGTGAATAAATACTTTTTACGTAACCAATAGACGGAATTCTTGTTCGAATCGATGAACGCATGGCGGGGCAGAAATAGAGAGGGGGAGAGTCGGAATCTTCGAGAAAAGCAGAGCACCGCTCGTCTTTGCCATATAGGTTGCACAACGTGCTCGACCACGTTTGCCGGATAGATCGTTTTAATTCGTATCTTTGATAACACGTTTTAAAGCAATGGTAAGAATACATCATTTTTGATATTTTAAATTATTTATCTATGATTCGTATGTATAGAATAATAAGTTATTTTTGCAACATTTCTGAAATATTTTTTAAGATAACCTTCAAGGAAATTATTAACTAAATAGATATATTTTCTATATTAAACTTGTTAAGTTTAAATTTATAGTTGATATATGTAAATGTGTTCATGATATATGTTTACGATACAATGTTCTTTTGTTTGAAGTAGTAATTTCAATGATCTTTTGTTTTATAATCTTTATTCCATGGCCGGTGTCGAATATTTTTTGTTTAAAAAAAAAAGAAACAAATGACGGTAAAACAGTCGATAAAACAAAAAACAAGAAATTGATTTTATAAAATTGTGTTTCTTGTTATTGATTTGTTGCTTGCTGTTGTATAATTTCTTTCAATTCAGCACGTTTGACCAATTTTAAATATTACGAAAAGCTACACAGAATTGCACCATGCAGGATCTCAAAGTAATTAATTTTCAAGAAATGTGATTCAAGTACATGCTGACTACATTTAATTGTAATTTCTATATTTTCTGATATTTTTGTTTTCATTTGAATATTTCTAGGCTGCAGTCAGTGCCATTAAAAGGCTTGTACCTCTCTTCGATAGAGTTCTTATACAAAGAGCAGAAGCTGCAACAAAAACAAAAGGTGGTATCGTCTTACCAGAAAAGGCTCAAGCTAAAGTTTTACAAGGAACAGTTGTAGCAATAGGACCAGGACAACGAAATGAGGTATGCGATAAACATTTTACATCAATAAAAATAATGAAATTGACATCATAAAACTAATAGCTATTGTTTATTTTTTAGAAAGGAGAACATATTCCTCTAACTATCAAAGTTGGTGATGTTGTTTTACTGCCAGAATATGGTGGAACCAAGGTGGAATTAGAAGAAAATAAAGAATTGCATTTATTCCGCGAATCGGATATATTGGCAAAATTGGAAGTTTAAATTTCTGTTAGGTTTAAGTTTATAATTTTCCAAATGCTACAAATTGTTCCCTAAGAAATCCAGAGATAAAAAATAAGATGCTAGTTAATCTTATGTATAGTTTAGCGTTTATCTTTGAGTCATAAAATTGTATTATTCCTACTGTGTCTGTTGTTTAATGTAAGTATCATGATTTCATATTTACATACATACAAAAGAAAGAATAAAACATTCGTTGTTTATATAATTTCTTAACATATTGTTTTTAATTCTGTTCTTTTCAATCTTAATGATCTGTTCAAATGAAATAGAATAAAGCACATTGATATTAACATAATAATAATTATTGCATTTGTTATATTTACATTTATATTTGATAAAAAGGACATGTATTTTAATAATAAAATTTATTATTTCTAATGTAGTCTCTAATAGTGATACAGTCTGATTATTTTAACTTTATACTCTTCTTAACACTTGCTTTAATACCAGATATTTCTCCAGCATAACGTGTCACTTCTTTCCTTACTTCTCTTACCTGTAAAATAAATAATTATATTTAAAAACTATCATTATATTAAACAATGATAAAAATGATATAAATACGTACAGCTCCTTTTCTACGAATTTTAGCTTTGCGATATTTGTTTCTATGTTTCACTCTGGGATTTCGTTGTTCTTTTTTACGATGCGGTGTTAAACCTTTATTCTTTGCTATTTGATATGTAATTGCTCTCTTTTTTTGACTATCAATTACAGTATCAATAATTTTAATATCTTTCACTTGGTTTTCTTCCGCCATATCTTCATCATTCTCTAAATTCTCTTCACTTACAGATTCTTTTTCTTCTATTTCAAATTCAGGTTCGGCTTCGGCTTCGGATTCGAATTCAGGTACAGACGAAGATTTAATTTTTTTTGCAGATTTCTTTGGATATTTTGATTTTTCCTTGGAACTATTATTCGTTTTCTGTTCATTACCGTTTATTTCAGCACCATTAAATATATTGTATAAAGGTTTGCCTTGTTTTTGTGCCTTTAATATCTCTTGCACTTCCTGCATCAGATTTCCTTGCCCTGATTCTAACTGATTTAATAATTGACGATACTGAGCTAAACGTTTTATAACTGGATGAGAATTTACAGGTAACCTTTTAGCTTTGAGCATTAAGTAAAACGAAATATTGATACAGTAATTTAATAAAAGGTGATATTTTGTCTTTATGAAAGAAACAGCAGGACAACTGGGAAGTATATCCTTATTGACTAATCTCATAAATGGTGTTAGTGTGTCCCTTACTTCTCCCATACGATCTAAATAACATAAATTTATTCAATTTAGCTTACTTAATTGTAATTTATGAACTTTAGCAATTATTAATTGTACATATATACCTTTAAAATCATTTACAAGAGCCACAAATTCAGGACTTTCCTTCTGCATTAATGCTTGTTTCTGTCTTTTACTAAGTTTACTAAAATCACTTTTAACAAGCTGTTTAGTATCCTCATGACTTTCTTGCTCATCACTCTTTTTAGACTGTATAAAATCTAATCCAAAATCAGCATCATCTAATTGTTCTGCCAGTCTTTTTTGGATATTTCTAGCTTCTTGCTCTTCCAGTTCCGCTTCAGCTAAATCTTTCTGAGTAATGCTGGCAAAATCAGCATCAACATAATCTGTGGAATAATACGCTTTCTTCTTTTTACCCCAAGCCTTTTCATTTGGCAAATCAAAATCATTGTCCAATCCTTCGATATCAGATTCCATAGAATCTGTTTGCGCTTCATCTTCGCTATTAACTTGATCCTTTCCATTATCATCATTTAACTTATATACTTCATAATCACTGTCATAACTTTCTGAAGAATGTCCAGATCGTACATCCTGAAGTAATTTCCGTTCACTTTCTGAGTATTCTTCCTCAGAATCTGTAACCTCATTCATATTTACATCCTCTAAATCCTCAGGTTCATAGTGCATTTCTGCTAATTTTGTCCTATTAAAAATAAATTATAAGAAGCAAATATAATTACATATAATATAAGTAAAATGTTATATTTTTATTTTCAAGTTAAAAATATATACAGCTGGGGTAACATTTCCATAATCTTGTACTATTTTACAAATATTTCACCTTTTTCGGGTTTTCATCTTTCCTTGCTAAATAAGTGTTACTACTATAACTTTAAATCAAAGTATAATTAACTTTACAGCATTCTAAACAATAAACGATGCAAATAACACAAAACACGAGGGCTCAAAAATTCATGAACCCAATTCATGAAGTCATGATGTGAGCCGAAACTTTTTAGTAATTTGTTATAATAAACAGATTTTGTGATAACTGATAACTGTAATTGATTGGAAATCGTTTGTGATTTACAAATATATCATTTTCATTGTTTGTGAGTGAATAATTTCTTAATTATTTACAAGCTTGTTTTATAATAAATAATTGTAGTGCGCATGCGTTACAGATTCGGTCGTACCCATCACTAACTCGAACAAGTGAGTTCCACGATTTGGTCATTTTTAGGTCTTATATTTCGCTAGATCCGGTCGTACCCATCACTATTCCGAACAAGTGAGTTTCAGGATTTGTTCGTTTTTAGGTCTTATATTTCGCTAGATCCGGTCGTACCCATCACTATTCCGAACAAGTGAGTTTCATGATTTGTTCGTTTTTAGGTCTTATATTTCGCTATTTGTTGCGGGGTCCTTGACACCCCGGTGGCAAAATATCGATATGCAGCGTCGCGGTACCTCGGGGTCTCAGATACCCCAAATGCCGTAGTGTCGGTAAGCAAAGTGTGTCATTGGTGCCTCGGGGTCTCTGATACCCCGGATGCCAAAATGTCGGTATGCATATAGTGTCGCCCGTGCTTCGGGGTTCCTGATACCCCATGATGATATGTCGGTATGTAGCGTCGCCGACACTTCGGGGTCTCAGATACCCCGAATGCCGAAGTGTCAGTAAGCAAAGAGTGTCATCGCTGCTTGGGGTCCCCGACACCCCGGATGCCAAAATGTCTGTATGCAAACAGTGTCGTAGGGGCTTGGGGTTCCGGATACCCCAAGATGATACGTCGGTATGCACAGATAGTTATTGGTGCTTCGGGGTCCTTGGCACCCCAGATGCTGAATTTATGGTATGCAAAGTTAGTCACCGGCGTTTTGGGGTCTATAGTACCCCAATATGATATCAGGTCGGTCCGCAGAGGGTGTCATTGGCGCAGCGGGGTCCCTAACACCCCTCGATAAAATCAGGTCCGTATGAAAAGGGCACAACCAGTATAATTTTTTTCCAGAGTTTATTTAATTTACTTCATTTATTTTTTTTGGCTTATTAAATAAATTCAATGAAGGAGAATAACATTTATAATCATATCCCTCTTCTGGGTTTCGCCGAGGACCCCATTTATTTTACTTTCTCCGGTTATTTGTATAATTTTATCCCTCATTATAGGTTAAGGCCATCTCAGCATCCCTTACATCCCTGCAATCCGTAAACAACCCCCTTTTTTTTTTTTTTTTTTTTTAACGTGGTGGAAATCTTCAGAAAGACACCTTCAGCCCCCCTGGGGAGGGGCCGGAGGTAGTGTGGGATTTTTACCCACTAAAACCACCACGGTGGCCTGCAGTAGGGCGGCAGGGAGAGTCCTTTGACCCTGCGCCATTTGCCAAAATCCGCCGACATTGGGGGCCACACCCGATGCCGGCTCTCCTCGGGCCGCGTGCAATTCCTATGGAATTCCTTTACACCCCTCGTTCCGTTACATCTCTGCATCCCTTACATCTCTGCATTCTTTCCATCCCTACATTCTTTTCATCCCTTCATTCCTTTCATCCCTACATTCTTTTCATTCCTATATTCTTTTCATCCCTACATTCCTTACATCTCTTCATCCCTACATTCCTTACATCTCTTCATCCCTTAAATCCCTACTTTATTATCATCCCTTCATTCCTTTCATCCCTACATTCTTTTCATTCCTATATTCTTTTCATCCCTACATTCCTTACATCTCTTCATCCCTTAAATCCCTACTTTATTATCATCCCTACATTCTTTTCATCCCTACGTTCCTTTCATCCCTACATTCCTTACATCTCTGCATCCCTTATAATAAATATGTAACATTTGATACATCAATCCCATCGTTACATTATTTTCTTGGTAAAGAATTATGTTTCTAGAATGTACGAGAACAAGTGTGATGCAATCGTTTAGCATACACCAATCACCTTCGTTGATATACCGGCGATTCATTCTTAACCATGCTGCTTTTTAATCTTAAAACCGGTATTATCGACCTATGACCAAATATAAAACGATTTGAATTTTACCAAGGAATATACATTCGTTTTCTATTAAAATATTGAAAGCATTTTATTCATTTCAAATTACATATTCTCAGTTAACTTTGCGCCATTTAAGTTTTATTTTCTTCCTTTTTCATTCTTTTGTCTTACTTATTTGGACAAACAATTTGTCGAATGTAATATAAAATTAGATTGAGCAAGAACATTTTTTTCTGATTACAGAGTACAATATACATATATAGTCTAAATATAGAGGTTAATATTTCATGATATTTTTAATATTCTCTGATATGTCTTATCATTGATACATTTGTTATTGAGACGCAAATTTAAATAACATTATCATCCAACAAATAGATCAAGCTTTATTTTATGTTATATTTTATTAGTAACTTAATTCAAGAACTTCTAGAATAAAACAGTTTATAATAGGTATACAGAATTGAAGTAAAACTCAGTGATAAGTTGTTTCCCAAATTTATAGACTTCAATAGAAGATATTGAGTAAGAATTATAAAATCTGTAAGAGGTAAAATAGATATTGTCTTTCTTTATTCATAATTATTTTTTTTTATTTGTCACAGTAATTCGTGTACGTTTTTCATTGATTCGAAATAAAAATGATTTACAATGGCATCCACGTGGTCAAAGATATTCGAGCGTCATCTTGTGGCAGACTTCGACCGCATGTGAATAAATACTTTTTACGTAACCAATAGACGGAATTCTTGTTCGAATCGATGAACGCATGGCGGGGCAGAAATAGAGAGGGGGAGAGTCGGAATCTTCGAGAAAAGCAGAGCACCGCTCGTCTTTGCCATATAGGTTGCACAACGTGCTCGACCACGTTTGCCGGATAGATCGTTTTAATTCGTATCTTTGATAACACGTTTTAAAGCAATGGTAAGAATACATCATTTTTGATATTTTAAATTATTTATCTATGATTCGTATGTATAGAATAATAAGTTATCTTTGCAACATTTCTGAAATATTTTTTAAGATAACCTTCAAGGAAATTATTAACTAAATAGATATATTTTCTATATTAAACTTGTTAAGTTTAAATTTATAGTTGATATATGTAAATGTGTTCATGATATATGTTTACGATACAATGTTCTTTTGTTTGAAGTAGTAATTTCAATGATCTTTTGTTTTATAATCTTTATTCCATGGCCGGTGTCGAATATTTTTTGTTTAAAAAAAAAAGAAACAAATGACGGTAAAACAGTCGATAAAACAAAAAACAAGAAATTGATTTTATAAAATTGTGTTTTTTGTTATTGATTTGTTGCTTGCTGTTGTATAATTTCTTTCAATTCAGCACGTTTGACCAATTTTAAATATTACGAAAAGCTACACAGAATTGCACCATGCAGGATCTCAAAGTAATTAATTTTCAAGAAATGTGATTCAAGTACATGCTGACTACATTTAATTGTAATTTCTATATTTTCTGATATTTTTGTTTTCATTTGAATATTTCTAGGCTGCAGTCAGTGCCATTAAAAGGCTTGTACCTCTCTTCGATAGAGTTCTTATACAAAGAGCAGAAGCTGCAACAAAAACAAAAGGTGGTATCGTCTTACCAGAAAAGGCTCAAGCTAAAGTTTTACAAGGAACAGTTGTAGCAATAGGACCAGGACAACGAAATGAGGTATGCGATAAACATTTTACATCAATAAAAATAATGAAATTGACATCATAAAACTAATAGCTATTGTTTATTTTTTAGAAAGGAGAACATATTCCTCTAACTATCAAAGTTGGTGATGTTGTTTTACTGCCAGAATATGGTGGAACCAAGGTGGAATTAGAAGAAAATAAAGAATTGCATTTATTCCGCGAATCGGATATATTGGCAAAATTGGAAGTTTAAATTTCTGTTAGGTTTAAGTTTATAATTTTCCAAATGCTACAAATTGTTCCCTAAGAAATCCAGAGATAAAAAATAAGATGCTAGTTAATCTTATGTATAGTTTAGCGTTTATCTTTGAGTCATAAAATTGTATTATTCCTACTGTGTCTGTTGTTTAATGTAAGTATCATGATTTCATATTTACATACATACAAAAGAAAGAATAAAACATTCGTTGTTTATATAATTTCTTAACATATTGTTTTTAATTCTGTTCTTTTCAATCTTAATGATCTGTTCAAATGAAATAGAATAAAGCACATTGATATTAACATAATAATAATTATTGCATTTGTTATATTTACATTTATATTTGATAAAAAGGACATGTATTTTAATAATAAAATTTATTATTTCTAATGTAGTCTCTAATAGTGATACAGTCTGATTATTTTAATTTTATACTCTTCTTAACACTTGCTTTAATACCAGATATTTCTCCAGCATAACGTGTCACTTCTTTCCTTACTTCTCTTACCTGTAAAATAAATAATTATATTTAAAAACTATCATTATATTAAACAATGATAAAAATGATATAAATACGTACAGCTCCTTTTCTACGAATTTTAGCTTTGCGATATTTGTTTCTATGTTTCACTCTGGGATTTCGTTGTTCTTTTTTACGATGCGGTGTTAAACCTTTATTCTTTGCTATTTGATATGTAATTGCTCTCTTTTTTTGACTATCAATTACAGTATCAATAATTTTAATATCTTTCACTTGGTTTTCTTCCGCCATATCTTCATCATTCTCTAAATTCTCTTCACTTACAGATTCTTTTTCTTCTATTTCAAATTCAGGTTCGGCTTCGGCTTCGGATTCGAATTCAGGTACAGACGAAGATTTAATTTTTTTTGCAGATTTCTTTGGATATTTTGATTTTTCCTTGGAACTATTATTCGTTTTCTGTTCATTACCGTTTATTTCAGCACCATTAAATATATTGTATAAAGGTTTGCCTTGTTTTTGTGCCTTTAATATCTCTTGCACTTCCTGCATCAGATTTCCTTGCCCTGATTCTAACTGATTTAATAATTGACGATACTGAGCTAAACGTTTTATAACTGGATGAGAATTTACAGGTAACCTTTTAGCTTTGAGCATTAAGTAAAACGAAATATTGATACAGTAATTTAATAAAAGATGATATTTTGTCTTTATGAAAGAAACAGCAGGACAACTGGGAAGTATATCCTTATTGACTAATCTCATAAATGGTGTTAGTGTGTCCCTTACTTCTCCCATACGATCTAAATAACATAAATTTATTCAATTTAGCTTACTTAATTGTAATTTATGAACTTTAGCAATTATTAATTGTACATATATACCTTTAAAATCATTTACAAGAGCCACAAATTCAGGACTTTCCTTCTGCATTAATGCTTGTTTCTGTCTTTTACTAAGTTTACTAAAATCACTTTTAACAAGCTGTTTAGTATCCTCATGACTTTCTTGCTCATCACTTTTTTTAGACTGTATAAAATCTAATCCAAAATCAGCATCATCTAATTGTTCTGCCAGTCTTTTTTGGATATTTCTAGCTTCTTGCTCTTCCAGTTCCGCTTCAGCTAAATCTTTCTGAGTAATGCTGGCAAAATCAGCATCAACATAATCTGTGGAATAATACGCTTTCTTCTTTTTACCCCAAGCCTTTTCATTTGGCAAATCAAAATCATTGTCCAATCCTTCGATATCAGATTCCATAGAATCTGTTTGCGCTTCATCTTCGCTATTAACTTGATCCTTTCCATTATCATCATTTAACTTATATACTTCATAATCACTGTCATAACTTTCTGAAGAATGTCTAGATCGTACATCCTGAAGTAATTTCCGTTCACTTTCTGAATATTCTTCCTCAGAATCTGTAACCTCATTCATATTTACATCCTCTAAATCCTCAGGTTCATAGTGCATTTCTGCTAATTTTGTCCTATTAAAAATAAATTATAAGAAGCAAATATAATTACATATAATATAAGTAAAATGATATATTTTTATTTTCAAGTTAAAAATATATACAGCTGGGGTAACATTTCCATAATCTTGTACTATTTTACAAATATTTCACCTTTTTCGGATTTTCATCTTTCCTTGCTAAATAAGTGTTACTGCTATAACTTTAAATCCAAGTATAATTAACTTTACAGCATTCTAAACAATAAACGATGCAAATAACACAAAACACGAGGGCTCAAAAATTCATGAACCCAATTCATGAAGTCATGATGTGAGCCGAAACTTTTTAGTAATTTGTTATAATAAACAGATTTTGTGATAACTGATAACTGTAATTGATTGGAAATCGTTTGTGATTTACAAATATATCATTTTCATTGTTTGTGAGTGAATAATTTCTTAATTATTTACAAGTTTGTTTTATAATAAATAATTGTAGTGCGCATGCGTTACAGATCCGGTCGTACCCATCACTAACTCGAACAAGTGAGTTCCACGATTTGTTCGTTTTTAGGTCTTATATTTCGCTACATCCGGTCGTACCCATCACTATTCCGAACAAGTGAGTTTCACGATTTGTTCGTTTTTAGGTCTTATATTTCGCTAGATCCGGTCATACCCATCGCTATTCCGAACAAGTGAGTTTCACGATTTGTTCGTTTTTAGGTCTTATATTTCGCTATTTGTTACGGGGTCCTTGACACCCCGGCGGCAAAATATCGGCATGCAGCGTCGCCGTACCTCGGGGTCTCAGATACCCCAAATGCCGTAGTGTCGGTAAGCAAAGTGTGTCATTGGTGCCTCGGGGTCTCTGATACCCCGATGCCAAAATGTCGGTATGCATACAGTGTCACCCGTGCTTTGGGGTTCCTGATACCCCATGATGATATGTCGGTATGTAGCGTCGCCGGTACTTCGGGGTCTCAGATACCCCGAATGCCGTAGTGTCGGACAGCAAAGAGTGTCATCGCTGCTTGGGGTCCCCGACACCCCGGATGCCAAAATGTCTGTATGCAAACAGTGTCGTAGGGGCTTGGGGTTCCGGATACCCCAAGATGATAAGTCGGTATGCACAGACAGTTATTGGTGCTTCGGGGTCCTTGGCACCCCAGATGCTGAATTTATGGTATGCAAAGTTAGTCACCGGCGTTTTGGGGTCTATAATACCCCAATATGATATCAGGTCGGTCCGCAGAGGGTGTCATTGGCGCAGCGGGGTCCCTAACACCCCTCGATAAAATCAGGTCCGTATGAAAAGGGCACAACCAGTATCATTTTTTTCCAGAGTTTATTTAATTTACTTCATTTATTTTTTTTTGCTTATTAAATAAATTCAATGAAGGAGAATAACATTTATAATCATATCCCTCTTCTGGGTCTCAGCCGAGGACCCCATTTATTTTACTTTCTTCAGTTATTTGTATAATTTTATCCCTCATTATATATCCCTCGTTATTATTATATAATAACCCCCCTTTTTTTTTTTTTTTTTTTAACGTAGTGGAAATCTTCAGAAAGACACCTTCAGCCCCCCTGGGGAGGGGCCGGAGGTAGTGTGGGATTTTTACTCACTAAAACCACCACGGTGGCCTTCAGTAGGGCGGCAGGGAGAGTCCTTTGACCCTCCGCCATTTGCCAAAATCCGCCGACATCAGGGGCCACACCCTATGCCGGCTCTCCTCGGGCCGCGTGCAATTCCTATGGAATTCCTTTACATCCCTCGTTCCGTTACATCTCTGCATCCCTTACATCCCTGCATTCTTTCCATCCCTACATTCGTTTCATCCCTTCATTCCTTTCATCCCTACATTCTTTTCATTCCTATATTCTTTTCATCCCTACATTCCTTACATCTCTTCATCCCTTAAATCCCTACTTTATTATCATCCCTACATTCCTTACATCCCTTCATCCCTTAAATCCCTACATTCTTATCATCCCTACATTCCTTACATGGCTTCATCCCTTACATCCCTACATTCTTTTCATCCCTACATTCCTTACATCTCTGCATCCCTTATAATAAATATATTATAAAGACTGCTTCGAGTAAAGGTAAGTAAAGGTAAGTAAATGTAAGTTAGTTCCTTTTTCCGCCGCCAGAGGGCGCTGATTCGACATCGAAATTTTAGTTCACATTTTTACCGCAAGAGGGCCAGAAATGGAGCATGATATAGTCCCTTTTTCCAAAACCAGATGGCGCTGATTCGACATCGAAATTTTAGTTCACATTTTTGCCGCCAGAGGGCCAAAATTTCGGCATGCTTTAGTTCCTTTTTTCAAAACCAGATGGCACTGATTCGACATCGAAATTTTAGTTCACATTTTTGCCGCCAGAGGGCCAAAATTTCTGCATGCTTTAGTTCCTTTTTTTAAAACCAGATGACGCTGATTCGACATCTAAATTTTAGTTCACATTTTTGCCGCCAGAGGGTCAAAATTTCTGCATGCTTTAGTTCCTTTTTTCAAAACCAGAGGGCGCAAAATTTCGATTTCGAATCAGCACCATCTGGTGGCGAAAAAAGGAACTAAATTTGTATAAAATCGCAGGCCTTATAGCCGCAAAAATTTTAACTTAAGTTCAGGGAGGTACTGGGATGTATGGAATGCAGGAATATAAGTGATACAAGGATATAAAGGATACAGGCATGTAAGGGATGCAGGGATATAAGGGATGTTGGGATATAAAGGATACAGGCATGTAAAGGATGCGGGGATGTAAGGGATGTTGGGATATAAAGAAGGCAGGAATGTGAGGAAGCAGAGATGTAAGGGATGTAGAGATGTGATGAATGCAGGAATGTAAGGGAAGCAGAGATGTAAGGGATGCAAAGATGTAAGGGATGAAGAGATATAAGGAATGTAGGGATAAAAAGAATGCAGGGATGTAAGGGATGAAGAGATGTAAGGGATGCAGAGATGTAAGGGATGAAGAGATGTAAGGGATGAAGAGATGTAAGGAATGTCGGGATGTATGGGATAAAGATATGCAAGGGTTGCGGGGATATATAGAAAGCAGTGATGTAAGGGATGCAGGGCTATAAAGAAAGCCGGGATGCTGTAATGTAAGGGAGATGCTGATTTTGACTGATTTCTGAGAAAAACAGAATCATAGGAAGTAAAAATTGTGACTTCAGTTATCAATCGACCTGGGTGTCTGGGATCCCCAGAATCACGCCCTCACGAAAATAGGAACTCGGCCAGTCTTTTTGTATCTGTAGTCACTGCTGCCGTCGATGCTGCGGCGCAAGGAGGGCGATAATGGCTGTCAGGGCTTTGATACCTACTGCGCGGTCGGCCAAAGGACTAGTTGGATTATGGGGCGAGAAAGGAATTCTCGCTGCTGGCAGGGCAGGGGCTTTATGCAACGTCGAAAGGTGATGTCGATTATACAAGTTTTGAGAAAACTAGTAGCGGTAATTGTGCAACGTAGATTATTGGTTATGTAATCATGTCCTAACCTATAAAAGTATCGAGTATTCTATATACAAATATTATGAATATATTGTAGCCAACGTCGACACGGACATCAATGGCTACCGGATATCAAGGAATTCGAGGCGTTGCAGGCTGAGAAAATATATTATGGCGTCGAGGACGAATGGATACCACCGATGATGAGGGATGACGTACAGAAACAACCAGGAATAAAAAACATCTCGTTTAATTTCGGCCCGCAACACCCAGCGGCTCACGGTGTGCTGCGATTGATCCTCGAGATAGAGGGTGAAAAAGTGGTACGTGCTGATCCTCACATAGGTCTGTTGCATCGAGGTACGGAGAAACTGATCGAATATAAAACGTACATGCAAGCTTTGCCATATTTCGATCGTTTGGACTATGTCTCGATGATGTGCAACGAACAATGTTTCTCCTTGGCCATCGAAAAGTTACTGAATATAGAGGTGCCGTTAAGAGCAAAGTATATTAGAAGTAAGTATCCGAACAAGTTATTTTACCTGTTCGTTTCCTACTTATTTTTGTTCTTTTATAGCAATGTTTGGCGAAATAACGAGAATCTTGAATCACATTATGGGAGTGGGAACCCACGCGCTCGACATAGGAGCTCTGACACCGTTCTTCTGGTTGTTCGAGGAGCGAGAAAAATTGATGGAATTTTATGAACGCGTGAGCGGTGCTCGTATGCACGCAGCGTACGTACGTCCAGGCGGTGTTTCCTTGGATCTGCCGTTGGGCTTGATGGACGACATATACCAATGGTGTTCGCAATACGGAGAACGATTGGACGAAACGGAGGATCTGCTGACGTCGAACAGAATATGGATGGGACGTACGCGAGACATAGGAGTAATATCAGCGGAGGACGCGTTAAACTGGGGATTTAGCGGGGTGATGCTGCGAGGATCAGGAATCAAATGGGATATCAGAAAAGCGGCGCCCTACGACGCGTACGACCTCGTCGACTTCGACGTACCGATCGGTATCAACGGAGACTGCTACGACAGGCGAGTGAAGGAAAAAAAAACCATTTTGTATCTATTTGACATCGAATTTGTCGATCGCATTTAGCGGCATTCTAACCGATCGTTAATGGATTCTTTTTAGGTATCTATGCCGTATAGCGGAGATGCGTGAATCTCTAAAAATCATTTATCAATGTCTGAATCAAATGCCCGAGGGCGAAGTGAGAATAGATGACGCTAAAATCGTACCGCCTAGACGAGAAGAAATGAAGACCAGTATGGAGGCGTTGATTCATCACTTCAAGCTGTTCACTCAAGGCTTCCAGGTGCCGCCTGGTTGTACGTACACCGCGATCGAGGCGCCGAAGGGTGAATTTGGCGTTTACCTCGTGAGCGACGGTACCAGCAAACCTTACAGATGCAAGATCAAAGCACCTGGTTTCGCTCACCTGGCTGCTCTCCGTCACATAGGTCCATCCTGTATGCTTGCCGATGTCGTGGCCATCATCGGTACCCTGGATGTGGTGTTCGGTGAAATCGATAGATAATTCTTATGCGCGTTTTAGAGCAAGTTAATCTAATCGTCACCGTTCTATAGTACCGGTATATATCGTGTTTTCCATGCTCATACGATTATCTCGTATGCGAGGATGTACGCGTTAGATGAAACATACAAATAAAATGGATTCTTCGCTAATTTAAAAAAGAAAATACAATTGTTGGCATTCGTTTATTTTCCTTTCTATCGGAAATTCGGTCGCGCGAATGAATTACCGGACGATGGAAAAGTCGTGTTAGACGAAGTCCGGTTGGTGTTTGTCCAACGAGTTGGCCCTTGTCGAAGGCTATAGAGGTAAATACCACGGGCGACGATGTTGCGTAATATTTACACAATCACGAATCTGCAACTAATCCGAATGTAACCTGTCCAAGATATCAAGGAAACGTCTTTTCGTGACGCGAGATTACAGAGATTACCTACCAATTAAAGGGTCAAGGTTTTGGTAATCCGTAATCTCGTCGTGTCCGGAGCAAGGACAGCGCGATTCATTATACAATTAATTGATAGCAATTATGTACTCGTTCGCGCCAACAAACGCGTCGTTTTACTCCTCCCTTTTCCTCATTCCCCTTTCCGCCCAACCGCTATTGACGCATCGCGTTCGCTCGCAACACTGTTGAACGAGTTATTTTTTTCTCTAATTGTAAGTAACGTGAATCATTAGATTACGTTTTTGCCCCCTCCTTTTCGGTAAGTAATCGATCGATCGATCGATCGTACGATAATTACCTGGTTGTCTAGATACGCTGATTAAGTCCCGAATTGAAGAATACACTCGGGGGGGGGGGGGGGGGGGGGGGCCAGTAATCAGAGTCGTTTAAATCTTCTTTTTCTTTAAACGCAGTATTTTTCTCTGCGTAATCCTCGGTAAAATAAACAGTAGATCCGTTTGTTTAAATAAATAAAAAATGAGGTAACGAGTAACATGGATAAGTTGAGGTTGTTGTCGGCGACGCGGAGGACGGCAGCGGTGGCGGCGGTGTAGAAGGTTGACAGGGGCATGTAAGAGCGGGGATTAAATGGGTGTGAGAAGCAGGTGGTAGGAGGCGTACGAACCGATGGAGAAGAGTATGGATGGACAGGACGAGAGACGGTGGTACACGGGAGCGAGAAAGAAAAGTTGAATCGTTTCGTTGGTGGGGATCGTGAGCATAAGGTAAAAGGTGTAAAGATGGAAAGGAGAAGAAGGCGAATGGTAAGGGTGGGGCGAATCGGTGTGTATAATGTAATGTAATGGAATGGAAGGAAGGAGCGCGATGGAAACGAGTAACGGAGGAACGAAGGAACGTAGGAACGTAGGAACGGAGAAGTGGAAAAGAAGGAACGCGAGTGGGGTAATAATAAATCGTTCACCTGAATCGCGTGCTCACCCGTTCACGATGCAGTCGAACGGGAAGAGAGTCGCGTTCGTTCGGTCGTTGCCGCAGTGTTTCGGTTGATCTCGTAGCGATCGATTCGCTACGTTCCGTTTCTCTCGATCGGTATCTCCGCTTCGACGCGCGCGATCGATCCGCTTTGGCCTGGCGTTTGACGTGATCGAAAACGCGAGTTTTCTCGTAGGCCGTAGGGACACCCGCGTGTTTTTTTATTTATTTTTCTTTTATTCATCAAGTTAGACGCGCGCACGCGCTACACGGTTTCCTCGAAAAGGTTCGAAAAGTTAGCGCGCAACTTGTTGCCCGTCGAGACTAGGGAACAAGGAGTGGTCGTGATCGTGATCGTGTTTCGCGATCGGTACCGTCCGTCGAACGGAATCAATAAAGAGGAAATTTGTTTTACGGAGAAAGGTAAATCGGCTAGCGTGTAACCGTAGTATCGTTGCTTCGTTGTCGACGAATCGCCAGTGGCACACTTGTCGCTTGGAAAGCAGCATAGACTTTCTCCTTCTCGTTCATCGCACGACCGCGACGTCTTTCGTCTCCTTTTCCTCATCATCTTTTCTTTCTTCTTCTTCTTCTTCTTAGGAGAGACTCGCGGTTGGAACGTACGACAGGGTCGATTGCCTTAACTACGAGGTGAAGGAGAACGACGAAGAATCGGGAGTACGAAAGGTGAACGATTTGTAGAAAAAGTATCGCTGGTGACAAAAGCGATACGTGGTTCGGTCAGCCGTGGAAGGAGCGGAGGCACGAATTAAGAGAGAAAATAAGAGAAAGAGAAGGAAAAGGAGTAGAGGGGGCAGGTGAGCGCGTGTGCGCGCGCGTTAGCGTTTAAAAGGAAGAGGGAAACGCTGGGCAATCAAAGAAAGAAGAAGAAGAAAAAGGAGGAGGAGGATAAAGAAAAGAGCGTTCCGTATCAGCGTAGATCCACGGTGACCGATCAAGATGAGGGTGCATCGTGGGATTTGCGCGAAACTTCAGGGAGGATTCCTGCGACGATGGTGTAAGTATGAAAGGAGGCGAGCGCCGTTCGTTAGGCAGCCAGGGTGCGCGTTAACGAGGTCGTTAAGCACGTTACCGGCGACGGAGAATCGGCGCTCACGCTCTGCTACTTTCTTAATTCGATTCGAACGACGTGTCATCTGTACGTTAACTCGATGAATCATCTCTGAACGATTCGATGCGACGACGCGTCGCGTCGCGTCGTTTTGCATTCGACGCTCGGTGGTCGATCGGTGTCATCGTTGTTTTTCGAACGCGCCGGTCAATCGATCTGGCCGTCGAGAATGCGAGCATACTCGAGCATAACCGCTTCGATACTTTCACTGAAAGACGGCGGCGAGTATACTCGTTGTCGGTGCTGACCCGCGAGCAGACGGTAAGCAATGGATTTTCTCTCGTTTAGCAGAGTTACACGGAGGTATCGATAATAAACCGCTAGCGACGAAACGGCGAAGCGACGGAGTCGACGAGAACCTGGAATTTTTTCCGGGAAAAAAAACGATAGAGGACGAGACGAGAACGTGGTGCGCGCGAGGTGAGGCGACCATCGACGCTACGCGACGCGATGGCTCGATCAAAGTCGAAGTCGATATCGAGCGGAAAAAATGGATTAAAATAAAGGTTGAAATCCGGATGGGACACGTTCTTAGCCGGAGAACCGATAGCCACGATCTCGTAATCGTACAGCCTGGGGATATTATTCGCGCGTCAGAAAGTGAACTTTGCTACCATTACAAAGACCGGTCGAGAGGGGATGATACCTGCCGATTCCGGGATCGTCGTTGGGTTCTTTTTCTAGCTGATTACGCAACATTTCGACGCAATTTCCATCCTCGAACGAGTCCTTCGACTGGACAGGTTGCCGTTGACCGATTCGCGTCGTTCGACTCGACTCGAGAAGCCGTTTCGTTGGTTACGCGCGAAACTTTCCGAGTAAGAGCAGGAAGCACGGTCTTATATAATGCCGAGTAATTGCCGACAAGTACGCATAGGTTTGTACTCTAACGGGTGGAAAACGTCCTCCTTAGCGATCACGATTCGAAGAAGAAAATGGCGAGATCGATGAAAAAAAATAAGCGTCAAGTTTTCGTATCGCGACACGGTTTATCGAGCAAACGTTGCATTCCATTCGAGTTAATACCGAACAGAGGCGGCGGGGTCCGCGAGCGAGCGAGCGAGCGAACGAGCGATGGCGGCCGACGGGTTTTCGACGTGCCTTCAAGGAGCTCGCGGAGAGGCGAGGCGGGTACATACAAGGCACATGGCTATGCCACGCTACGTTTTCGTGCGACCAGCTGTTTGCGCGTTTCTGCTTGGAAATTCGAGGATGACCTCGGTCGGTCCTGCTGGTCGAGGCGAACGGGCATCGCGAGGCCCGATAGGCGACTCGCGTCGACCGAAGGTGAACCGCTCCGATAGTACGCGACCTACGAAATTCCATCGGCCGCGGGACTGAGAGCCGTCGCCTCGTTCGCTAACGACCGTGTATAATTTCTGTTTTCTTTCACGCGCTCGAGCTCGCGTATTTAACTCTTGACCGCGGTTTCGCTCCGTCGCGTTTTCAGTCGACCGCGATTCGCTCGGTTCCCGGCCAACCGAGTCGCAACGAGATGTCTCTTTACCAGTAAAAGTAAGAGCTACGCAAATAACGGTAATTCGAATACGAAACGAAGCGAAACGATTACCGGGAAAGAATAAGTGTTTGAAGAATTTTTACGCTTACCGTAAGGTAATGAGAAACACGAGCGATCGCGCGATTGTTCTCCAAGCAAAGTATCCGCGAGTCGCAATCGATCGCCGCCGTGGTCGGTTCGCCTCGAGCAGCAAGGACGTTGGCGAGTTTCGAACGTTCGTGCGCGAGCGTTGATATCTCTGCTCCGTGGCTTCGTTTCTCGAGTAGATTACGCCAGCGGAGAACTGGCACGCCGCCTCTCTTCTCCCTTCCCTCCATATCCTACCCAATCCTTCTTACATATACGTCGTCGAACGAAAATTAATCGCGAACCCGGCAAATTTCCTCGCCTTCTTTCGATTTCTCAATCGGTTGATCGAGCGAATCGATCGGCGTTTGCATATAGGCGCGGTTGCTCGCATTCCACGCAACGCCGCGAACGATCAGCTCCGCGCGGACGAGCGAAAATATTTTCGAAATCCTTCGAGCATCGAACCGTCGCACGTACGCTGGAAAGTTTGACCGAGGACTCGAGGTCGCGAGAAAGATACTTGGCCCGAAGGATTTTGTAAGGTCGAGCGCGTGACGCGAACGGTTCGCCGGATCGTGCCTCGCATTTCCGATTGGCGATGGTTCGCGGATCTCCGCGACGCGACGAGGCGGATGGAATAGGATCGCGTTTCTCGTTTCCTCTGGGAACGTTCCCTCGATTGTCCGCGGAGAAACGAGCCGAGAGTTCGGGCTACGTAATTGCGCTCTCGAGTTTACGCGGTCCACGAGATCGGCGAAACTAAATCGGTGATCGCGATGCGCCTTAATGGCGCTTGGTAAAGTAGGACCGCCTGTTTCGAAGGTCGTCACTCATGCCGCGTACGTGACTTTTCAGCTACGTGACTGAAAAATTAATCGAGAAGTTGCTAGATGTTTCCTCCATCGATCGCCGATTGTTTCGACGCGACTCGATTCTCGGCGTCGAGTTTCGTTTATTTCGATCGATCGTTCCGATGCAGCGACGCGCTCGCGGAAGAATCGTTCGGCGAACGATGACTGGTAAGACCGCCTTCGGCCTCGCTGCTTTTTCCGCAACATTTCCGCGGTACCTCGACGGAAACTCGACGACGCGTGGGTAAAACGAAAGGGAAAACGCGATGATTCCTTCCGGTGTGCGGGCACAACGCGCAGTTCGCGTCGCGGTAGAAAGCAAGGGGAGCGGTGGAGAGGCCGGGATCGTGACCGGCGATCCGGCTTTCTTTTTCAACTTACGTCTGTTTATTCGATAACCTGACCAGGACGATTCGACCTGATTTCAGGGGCAGCGGTTGCCGTTGGAGCGTTGATGATCATCGTGGCGGCAATTTTGGCGGCGGTCTTTCCGAAATTGGTCGACGTTCTGTTGAACAGGGAGATAGCGTTGCGCGATGGCGGTCGCACCTTCGGATGGTGGAGGGAACCCCCTGTTTCGCCCCAGCTGAGCGTCTACATCTACAACGTGACGAATGCCGACGGATTTTTGAACGACGCTGAGAAACCTACCCTCGAGGAGCTCGGTCCGTACGTGTACTTGCAACACTGGGAAAAGGTCGAGGTGAAATTCAACGACAACGACACGGTGTCGTACAGAGTGAAGAAGCAGTTTGTCTTTTCACCGGTAAGTGCTACCTACTGTATATATATTTCTTTATTTCCTTCGTTTTACCAACGTGTAGAAAATCTGTAACGATGGAAAGATCGATGGATCGCGGTAAGACGGGGTCCCGGGGAAAAGGGAAACGTGAAAGATAGGCGGTTTCTGGTCTCGTAAGAGGCTGCAGAGTAAGTCGTTTCGCGCGGTGTGACGCAACGCAGCTTGGTAACGATACGCGCGAGTTGAGTAAGATCGTAATAGCGGAGCAACGCGCTTCCGTGAATTAAAAGCAAAGCTAGACGGTTGCTCGACGTGGCACCGATTCGCCGAGTCTGTCCGCGCGACACCTCGTTTCCCAGAATTGTTCTTCTACTAAGCGGCAATGTGGGTCGAGCGGCAACGATCGGACCGATATCTTTGTTGCTTTCTACAAAGATGCGCGTCTCTGAACAAAAGAAGAGAAAAATAAAAAAGAAAAAAAAAAAAAAGAAAAGAAAAGGGAAAGTAAAGAGATACACGGTGTGTAATGAAAAATTTCAGGAACTGTCGGTCGGCTCGGAGGATGATCTGGTGGTGGTGCCGAACGTGCCGATGCTTTCGGCTACCAGTCAATCGAAGCACGCGGCCCGATTTCTTCGATTGGCGATGGCCTCGATCATGGATATCCTTCGAATAAAACCGTTCGTCGAGGTATCGGTCGGTCAGCTGCTATGGGGTTACGAGGACCCGTTGCTCAAATTGGCCAAGGACGTGGTGCCGAAAGAGCAGAAGCTACCTTACGACCAGTTCGGTTTGCTGTACGGTAAGAACAGCACGATGCCGGATTGGTACACCATCTTCACGGGGCAAGGGGACATCGGCAAGTACGGGGTACTGGACAAGTGGAACGGAAAGAGCAGCCTCGGCCATTGGACCGTGCCGGAGTGCGACGGAATCGCCGGTAGCGACGGCAGTATCTTTCCTCCGCGCATCACCAAGCAGACGGTCCTGAAGATCTTCGACAAAGATCTCTGCCGGGCTCTGCCTCTCACCTTTAAGGTAATCGACCGTCGACGTTTCGAATCACGATGATTAATCGCGAGGATCGATCGTTTCAGGAGGAGGTAACGACCGCGGGTGGTGTACCCGGATACAGATTCGTTCCGGCGAAGGACGCGTTCGCCTCCCCGAGCAGATTGGAGTCGCAACGATGCTACTGTCCCGCAGGGCCACCCTGCGCACCCGAAGGAACCTTCAACGTGTCCCTTTGCCAATACGATTCACCGGTTCTCATCAGCTTTCCGCATTTCTATCTCGGTAAAATCCCAGCAAAGCGTATCGGTTGACCTCGTTCTCTCTCTCTCTCTCTCTCTCGAAAATTCAGCCAAACTGTCGTGAGAACCGCGGTGAGAACGCTTCTCTAACCAACAGAGAGACGTTCGCTTTCGCAAACGAACAACCGACGCTGAGAATTCTCTGCCCCCTCCCCATTTTGGACCATTACTCTACCGTTTCTGATTTTTCAGCTGACCCACGGCTACGAGAAGCGGTGAACGGAATATCCGCACCGGTACAAGAGAAGCATCAATTCTTCATCGACGTACAACCGAAGATGGGGGCGGCGCTGCGTGCCAAAGCGAGAGTGCAGATCAATCTAGCAGTGAGCCAAGTGCGAGACATCAAGCAAGTCGCCTCGTTCCCGGACATTATCTTCCCTATCATGTGGTTCGAAGACGTGAGTGTCTATGATCGCTTTCAGTCAACTTTTCCGTGGTCGCGTGGGCGGCGATACTTATCGCGATAATAGGGTGTAACGACGGGAAACGGTCGACGAGATAATTTAACACGCGTCCTCGCGAATTCACGGAACGCGATACGAATTCTTATCCGACCATTTCCACTGTTCCAGGGTATCGACGAGCTTCCAGCGGAGATGCGAAGCCTGATGAAGATGGCCGTGGACGTACCGCCGGTGGCGCGAGCCGCGGTATCCGGCGCACTGGCAGCGATCGGAACGATCGTTCTGATAGGCGCGTTGGTGTGCTTGGCTCGCGCCGCGAAACGCCAGGAGAAGCTTCACCTGAGCAACCCGTTGCCCTCGAACGCCACGTCCGGGAAGAGCGGACAGTTGAATCCGGCGTTCCAAAACTCCTCGGCTTCCAAGTAGCCACCGCGCGATCGTTCGCCGTTTATCTTCGAATTTCCAGCGAGATCTTGACGCGCGGCGACCCGCCTACGCGTCGGCCGGTTCGCGGTTATCGTACGCGACGCGAATCGACGCTATTCGGGTCGACGCGTTACCTGTACAAACTAGACGGACGGGATACCACTACGCTTCGCCGCGTAACGGTAACTCACCGGTTACGACGACTTTTATCTCTTTTTTTTTTTTCTTCTTTTTTCTCGAAGAGGTTACGCGTTCTCATCTTCGGGCGGTCGCAAGATCGGGACCGTTTTTGCGCGTAGAAATATAAAGAGGATGAGAGAGAGGGTTGAGAGGGGGACAAATGTAGGTGAAATTTCGTCGAGGACTGTCCTCCGTATTGCGGTGGCCGACCAAAGAGTGTACGCGTCGGTGATGGATGCTGCCGACGCCGGGCAGCGTCGCCGAAGAAACAATTCCGTCCAAGGATCGATCGATCGCGGCTCGTCCTGGCTGCGATCCATACCATTTTCTTATTGTTATCGGTTGTTCGTTCGTCTCTATAACTATAAGTACACATGTATGTATGTATTCCGTTGTAAACGCGTTACTCGACAGATAGATTACGATTAGATATTTAGGTGAATTTAGTTTTGTACAACGGGGCGCGATCATTTAAACGATAGATAGCGAAATATCGTGTTAGCTTGGAACACGTGTCGATTCGCGATGAGTAAGAATCGACGCGGCGTGGAAAGTAGAGAGGAGTGGAAGGCGTGCGAAAAAGATACGAATCTCAGCTGAACGGTTTCGCGATAAACGTCCCCGGCGTCGGAAGAGACGCTTCGATTAATTGCGCGTCGAACGAAAGAAAAATGCGAGATCCACGTTTTATCTCGCTTCTTTGAAAGTGTCGTTCGACCTAGGTTATCAGCCTCGTTCGAGAAGCATCGCGAGAACTTACTCGTGCGTGCAACGATTCGTTTACGTTTAAGACTTTATCGCGAATCCGATTCGGTTAACCAAAGATTGCTTCGCGACCGTACGCTTTCGCGTTCGCCGCGAAACGGACGGATGAAAGGGAAGGCATTCGGAAACGGGGGGAGGGTATATAGAAATCGAAGAAACAATAAATATCTTTCAGGCGAAACAACGAAAGAAACGTTGGATTTTTTTTTTCTTACAAACAACAGGCTTTCGAGATCGAGGCGGAGATCGAGACACGGAGATCGTAGGCGGAGATCGAGATCGGGAGAAGAAATCGCGAGTCTTACGGTAGGCTGAGTTCGCTGAGTTCGCTGAGTTCGCTTCGATCGGTTAACGGCGTCGCTGGTTTCGATTCTACCGGTCGATCCCTCTTCAACGCGGTGAGGAACGCGCCGAACGAGAGGATCGCCGCGACCAGACTGCACCATTGAAATCCCGCCTCGATCGCGTTCACGAGATAATGGCTATGATAGAACATCTGTTGCATCGCTTCGGGCATCTCGTCGATCCCTGATTCCATCCAGATTAAGGGTAAGATCGAGCCGTCTTCCATGTTCCCGGAGAAAGGCACCCCGACGGCTTTCTGTACCTCTAGGTTCAACTGAAATCTCATCTTCGTGTCGACGACAATGCCGAGTCGCTGAAACGATAAACAGAAGAGAATGAGAGATCGATCTAGAGGTAATCGAAAGAGAAACTTACCGGATGAAGCTCGATGTAACTCTCGTGTCGTTCTTGGTCAGGTTCTAACCCATCGATTCTCTGGAACAACGACTCGTCGCCCGCGTAAAAGTGAGGAAAGGAGACGAGCATCGGACTTCCGAAATTACAGGCGGAAACGTTCAGCGTTCCGATCGGCGGGCATGTTCTGCGGAGCGAATCGTGCGATTCCTTCGGGCAAAAACACGAGTCTTTGTTGGTTGTCGGCGTAAAAACGTTGCTCGGTAATTTGTACCTACGATCATCGGACTGTTGAATCGATATCTGCTCGATCGCCACGCGTTTCTATCCATGATCGGTGGTAACGCGTGCGTGCACGGGTCGAATTTTCCAGGGAAAAGTAGAAGTGATTTTGCTCACCTTAGAGTGGGAATTCCGTTAGCGAAACCGCGACGCTCGTAGACGAGGGGTAGACGTCTGCAGGCGTCTTTCACGTAGACGTAGAGGGTGTTATTCGGCTGCTCGATCCAGTGGGGAGGAAACATGCTTCCATCGGTGCCGTATATTTTGTCGCAATGTTCGTCTTCCCAGATGTGCTGGTCCTCCATACCGTTGATCCTTTGAATCATCCCGAGATTCCGAAGATCGTCGACTCCCGTGTGCATCGTGATGCGATCCGCGCTGACGCCGTTTTTCTAAAAGCAATTCGAACGATTAGAAACCGACGCGTAGCGATACGATTCAAGAACGCGACCTTGTAACTCGTTATCGTTCGGCAAACCGGCGCGGCGTCGACGTAACGCTCTGCTATATACGTACAATCGCGAGGATGCCGAATTTGTAGGGCATAGGCTGCTTCGGGGACGCGACCAGTTTTGCCATTTCGAACAGCTCGTCCTCGTATCCCCAGAGGTACTCTCCGACAGTCAACTCGAGGAACGGTTTCGCGCCGACGCTCGAGAGCATGGTGGTCATGAAGATCTGCATGATGTACATAAGATTACGGGATTTAGCGAGCGCCGAGATCAGCATAACGTTCGGCACGATCACTTTCTCGTTCTCCGAGTGACCTGAGATCCAACGGAAGCTCCTCTTCTCTTGATACGTGACCGTTTTGTTTTCGTGCAACTGCACGTTTACCCGACGAAGGCTTTCCTGATAGACGAACGGGCCAACTTCTTGCACCTGTAGCTTGGTCGCGTTTCCGCTCTCGAACTCCTTCAGGTTTGTGTAGTTGAAGACGTAAACCTTGACGGTGAGATCGACCGGGGGTTGCTGCCAGTACAGAAAGGTCGGCGTCCCGTTTCTCAGTTCCAGGTTCGAGAGTATCGCGTCGTGAAACACGTTCGTGCACCAAAACAGTATGAATATCGCGACGCTGATCGACGCGGTGAACGCGTACAACCAACGGATTCGGCTGTCTCTTTTTCGTTCGAACCTCTTTCGGATCGCTAGCGCTAAGCTCTTCTTCTTCTTCTTCTCCATTCTGCGAACCGCGCCAATTCTTGTCGATTATCCAATCGAGAACCACTCGTTCCTATTCCCGTTCGTCCGTTTTCCACGCGTTTCCGACGATCTACTGAGCGACGAACGACGGTTCGACGAGGACGCCCAAAAATCCCCCCACTTTACCACCGGTTCATCGATAACCTCGCGTCAACGACAGCGATGACCCTTGCACGCTACCGAACCTTTCGGTCGCTCGCACAACCCAGGCACGATATTCCTCCTCTTCGTCTTTACTTTCCTCCCTTCCACCTTTCTTCCTCTATCCACTACTTTACTACATCTCTTATCGGTATATCCTACCGTACGCGTTCTTTCACGATTTTTTTCTTTTCTCCTCTCCGTGAACCGTGAATTGGATCGCATCCTCGCGTCGACACGGTTCGCGCTCGATCACGCGCGATGATTTGCATCGATCGCCGCGAAGGGAAACCCGGTTTTTCCGTCACGTTAAGAAGGGGGGAAGGATCGGCGACCGTGTCGGAGAAACAACGTCCGTCGCTCTTATCGGGTGTAGACGAAAAAAAACCTGGTCGAACGATCGATAACTCGACGCACAGCGACCACGCGTTTCTTCATTCGAGTCACCGAATTTCAGACGTTGTCGATCGAACAAAGAGAGAAACAGCGGTGGCAAAGGGGAGTAACGCGGTCATTGACGATCGATCGATCGATCGTCCGTGTCTAATGATTCGAACGCGTCGCCGGCGATTCGATTTTATCGGCAATCGTTCGGTATGTTGTGACTGGAAGATGCCCTTTTCACCCGTTTCTTCTGCGTAGTCTAGTGGCCTCCTGTTTGCGGTTCGCCGTTTCGCTTTTCAACGGAGACGTAACGACTCGTACGACAGATACCAGGCGCCCCCGTCCACGCTTCTTATCCGCTTCGCTACGATTGCGCGAAGGAAAAATTGCCCGAGCATTTTCCTCCTTTCGTTTCGCGAGAAAGTTGAAATTAAACAAAAATTAGCGACCACGCGACGCGCGGTACATTGCAATCGTTTGTAACTACGCTTCTGTGTCTACCTACGTACAAACGCTATTTGCGTAAACTTATCTATCGTTCTTCCTTCCTGCGATAAACTCGCACGATCGCATGAGAAACGTACGCGTACGGTTGAATGAAACCCGTGTAAAAGGTAGTTGTACTCGAAATGAAAAATGTTTACTTCGTTGCTGGTAGAAGGACGAGGCGTCTATTCGCATTTTTGCTTCAATACTTTTTTTAACCACAATCGAGTTGTTTAGACTCGAGGGAATCTTGAATCGTAAAGCTTATCGATTATCCCGTCGTTCGTGTTTCAAATGGAAAAGTTTGCTCGTTAACAACCAGCAATCGGATCAATGTTTATCAATTTTTGCTTTTTTCATAAATAAAGAGTCGGTAAGACGCAAAGATAATTCGCAGAAGAGCGCTGGTCTTCGTTCGAATTCAATTTGTTTTGATTCCATTCGATTCGATTACGATCGAAGTCAACCGTTCGACTATCGAACGATACGGTCGAGGCAAACTCCTACGCGCTGGCTAGTTTGCGCGTCCCACGATAGATCGCGCCATGGAATCCCCTGTTTTTCAATCAATTTTGTCACAATTCGACGAGACAGAAGCAACGATAACAAAACAGAGTATTTAGTGCCAAGGAGAAAATATTTGTGTATTTTAACCGATCTATACCGTTATGTTTTTCGAATAAGTTACAAATAGTCGCGAGAGGTACGGTGATTGTAGAAAAGGTCGACCGAAACACCGCTCGGATAACCTCAAAGTTTTGCTCGTTTTGCTATCGATTCAGAGCCGATCGAGGGCTGTATCGAAGCTGGAGTTTTGATTAAAAAGAAAAGAATTACGGTGCCGAATTGAAGCGAAAACAACTGAAAAGTTAATACTCGAAGGATGAGTTCGCAACAAAGCCCAGCCGCGTTACAGTCCACGGTCGATCGCGAGAAAGTTTATACATGGATAATCGAACTGTCTAATCCCGAAACTAGAGAGAACGCATTGTTAGAACTGAGCAAAAAACGAGAAGTTGTGCCCGATTTGGCGCCTATGCTATGGCACTCGTTTGGAACAACCGCGTCGTTGCTCCAGGAGATAATAAACATTTATCCGGCTATCAATCCGGCTACTTTAACCGCGTATCAGAGCAACCGTGTATGCAACGCGTTGGCGTTATTACAATGCGTTGCCAGTCATCCAGAAACCAGATCGGCGTTTCTACAGGTAACAAAGTGAATAAACAATAACCGCATATTAGGTTAGGATAGTAGGTGGCGGTCCGATTCGCATGATCCGTTCCGTTCCGTTTCATTCGTTTCAGGCCCACGTTCCGCTGTTCCTCTATCCATTTCTACACACGGTCAGCAAAACGCGGCCGTTTGAATATCTAAGATTAACCAGTTTGGGAGTGATCGGTGCGTTGGTAAAAACCGACGAACAAGAAGTGATCACCTTTCTACTCACCACCGAGATTATACCGCTATGTTTGCGCATCATGGAGAGCGGTTCGGAGCTCAGCAAGACTGTTGCTACTTTTATCTTGCAAAAGATTCTGTTGGACGACAGCGGACTCTCGTACATATGTCAGACCTACGATCGGTTCAGTCACGTTGCGATGATTTTGGGAAAAATGGTCTTGTCCCTGGCCAAAGATCCCTCGGCGAGGTTACTTAAGCACGTGGTCAGGTGCTATCTGAGACTGTCGGACAATCCTAGGTGAGTTTAAAAGGGTGATTAATTGATATTTTCTTTCTTTTGTATATAACCATTTCGTTTTCAGAGCTCTGCTGGCTCTCAGACAGTGTCTGCCCGATCAACTGCGAGACAACACCTTCGCGACGTGCCTGCAGGAGGACGCGTCGACGAAGCACTGGTTGAATCAGTTGTTGAAGAACCTAGAAACCGGCCCCCAGCCAGGTCCTCCGGCGCAACCGGGCCAACAGGACCCGAGAACCATCGGCATGTCGCCTCTCGCCTCTTAAGTCACGATACTGGCCGGATCGGACCAGAATAATGCACCACGCGCCAGGCAGGAGGTCTGGAACTGAACTGAAAGCGAAATCTCGCAGAGATCTATAGATCTCGGAAGCGTTGGAAGGTTGGAGCCTTTGGGAAACGGCAGGTCCACGTCCCCCTCGGTTGGGATCATCCCGCGCACGATACGCGAAAGCGTTTCTGTACATTTCTTACTGTTCCTTTTGCGTAAAGGTTGCGAATTGAAAATACAAATATACCTATGTATATATATATGTATCTATGCCCGTGTATGTCTCTGTACGTATACATATATAAGTATTTTATTACAGTTTGTTCGTCGTTATTCCTTCCCTGATCCTCTTTATTACCTATCAAACTACTAACGAGAATCGATCAAACGGGGGCTACTATAGAAACTTAAGCGTTGTTCGCGTTAGTCGCGTTCACGTTCTCCATCTCCGTGTTCTCCTGCAAATAAACACGATTGCTAGCCGTAAGAAAACCTGCGAAATTATCGATCGCAACATGTATACCTGTTGTTTCGTACGTAGACTCGCGTCGCTTAAGAATCTTCGTATCACAGGCGCGTAGAGTTTCTCGTCTCCCTGTTTGCGCTTGTTCGCCCCGCTGATCCAGGAGACGAACAGACCGACGAGGATCGCGGTGAGAAAACCGACCCAGGTGTACCAGAGATAGGACATTCGATAGAGGAAGAACGGCTGTTCCCTGGAACGTAAAACGAAACCCCGAGATTAATTTCGTTAAAGCTACTGAGAGATTTCTGAAGCGTGAATCTCACTTGATCGCGGTTTCGACGACGAGGGTAAGGTTGGCGGTGTGTTGCTTCAGCGAGTCCGGACATCCGTCGACCGATACCGGTTTCACCGGAAAGCTGATCTTCCCGGTTGAGATGGCCGCTTGGGTGCCAAGGGAGATCCAGGCGACGAGATTCAAGCTTACCAGACCGCCGACCAGCGCTCCCTGTTTCGGGCGATGAGAAGAGCAGAGAGGGAGACGTGTAAAGATAAAAAGTACAAACTTACCGTGGAATTAGCGAAAGGGAAGAGCATGCCGAGGGTGAAGATGCCGAGCAGAGGACCAGCCGTGATGCCGGACAGACTTTTGCCAGCCTGCGAAACCAGACGATGCGTAACGAAACGCGGAACTCGCGTAACAGATATGCACCGATACTTGCCTGGATAAGTCCGCCGAGTTTCTCGACCAGAAAAACGAGGGTGACGCAGATGCATCCGGTCAAAACCACGGTCGCCTTCATCGTTCGGCTGGCCGCCACTTCGGAGAGGGGAACGCGAAGCCACGGCTTTATCATGTCCTCGTAAATCACGCCGGCCATGGAGTTCAAACCGGTGGACATGGTGCTGTGAAGAAAAATCGATTTCTTCGCATAGACAAAAGAGAGGAAAGAGGAAAACAACGAAACCGATTTACCTGAGAGCGGCGCTGAACACACCGGCGACGAAGAGACCGGGGAGACCTGGGATCGACGCGGCCATCTCCATCACGAAGAACGGGAGCAGTTGGTCCGGTTTTCTTATTTGCTGAAAATCAGACGGGAACGTGAAGTAATAAAACGCGTAGAGATCGGCGGAATCGTTACCTTGGTCGTGATCGGATCGCAGTCGTAGAAGTTTGCGAAGATGACGATACCGGTGTAACAACTTAGCGAGACGATGCTTATTATACCGACTGCCATAATCGCAATCGTTCTGAAAGGAAAAAGAAAATTCGTAATGTTAGGATAATTTTCTGAGGAAAGGAGAAAATGATGTATAGAATCCCGTACACGTTGGCTTTCTTCAGGTTGGGCATCGCCAGGCATCGTTGCACCATCGCTTGATTCACCGAACAGCTGGCCAGCCAGTTCAAGTAGTTGCCGATCACCACGGTCCAGAAGGTGTGCCTCACCGTCGGATCCGGGTCCATGCTGTCGATCGGTAATACGTAGCGAGGATTGAGTCGATTCGATTCGATTCGATTCGGGTTGAGTAAGAGAGCTCGTTTTCGTTAAATCTCTTACTCGAAGAATTCGATTCGCTCGGTGTCGCGGTTTCTCTTCCACACATCCTCGAAACCGCCGGCTCTGTTGGTGCCGAGTACCGCCACAACGATCACACCTCCGAACATCACGATCGTCTGAATCGCGTCGGTCCACACGACCGCCTTCAATCCACCCTGAAAATAAACGCGCGTCTTCTATCTCCATCGAGATACGTGAACTATTCTCTCACCAGGGTGGTGTAAAATATGCAGACGGCGCAAACCAACAGGGCGATCGCGTGAAGATTTATACCGGTCACTTGATTGAACGCCAGCGCGGGTACGTATATCACCAGGGGTATGTACAGCATCTGTAAGCGATCGTCTTTCATTCCGCTGATTTATCCTTTAACAGAGACCCCTCCGTCACTTACCATTTTGATGAGGAATATCGCGCAACCCATCAGTCGAACGGCGTCGTTGAATCTTAGCTTCAAATACTGAAATCGGGGTTTCGCGTAGTTCAGAGTATATAGTAAAAAAGAGACGAACAAAAGTCGGACGTACCTCGTAAGAGGAAGTGATACCAAGACCATAAAACACCGGTAGATAGACGTAGGCCATCGTCAGGGATACGAAGCAATCACCGATCACCACGCACCATAATTGCGTCCCATAGACGTACATCTCCGCAGGCAACCCTAGGATCGCTATTCCCGATATGTAACTGAAAATCGAAAATGTTTAACAAGTGAAACGGACAAAGTATCGTATCGACGATTTACCTGGCTATCAGCGACATGCTTATAGGGAATATGGACATGTTTTGTCCTCCTACTAGATACTCCCGCACCGCGTCGGTGTTTTTCCGCGCCTTGTACGCTTGGTAAACGCCGACGATCGCTGATATGGCCAGCATGCCGGCGAACACGGCGCAGTCGATCAGATCGAACGATTTCTGCGGCGAATGATTTTTCTGACCGTCCATCGCGTCGGATCGATCGAATGGAAGAGGAAGTCGGCGGAGTCGGCTGGCTCGAAAAACGTTTCGTTTCAGAGTCACGGAACCGAATACGAGCGGGACGTTAAACGAACCGACTCGGAGAGACGATTGAATAATTGGAGATTCCCTCGTTATCGTTCCCACTCAGCTTCCTCTCGGCGTTACCCTCTCCTCCGTGGTCGTCCTCGCGTTCGCGACCCTGCATCGTCGTCGTCGCCGATCGGTTTCGTCTTTGCCACGCGTAATCCGTGGTAACTGGTGACGCGTGTCTGGCGAAGGGCAGCCAGATAGAGCGCATTTAACGAAATTGCTCTTTGCCTGCCCCTCCGTTGTTTACCCGTCCGATTCGTTTACCTTCTCTCGCGTGTCGCTTCTTTCCCGTCTCCGCCTCCGCCCTTAAACCCCATCGATTTCCGCTTTTCCCGATGCGCTCGAAATGCCGCGAATCGGCCACTCCCTCGAGCCAGCTCGGTCTCATCCAGCCGAAACGGAGATTCCCTGTCTCGACGGGACATGATACGTACCTATCTCGCGAGCTTGCTCGCCTTCGGTTTGTCCGTCAGACGACCGAGCGTCGGGGACGGACGCGGCATCGCTTACGCCAACGTGACCGGCGACTTCCTCTTGGGAGGTCTGTTTCCGATTCATCGGAGGGGCACCGGAGGCGAGAGCTGCGGTGAGATTCAAGTGAGTAGAATAAACCGTTTCCTTTCGTCTCGATGTTACTTCTTCGTCTTCGTAGACGGAGGACGGTGTTCAACCGTTGGAAGCTATGCTCTACACGGTGAACAGGGTCAACGAGAACCCCAAGATTCTTCCCGGTATAAAACTAGGCGTCCTGGCTTTCGACACTTGCGACAATCCAAGTCACGCCTTGGAGCAAGCCTTCTACTTCGTCAAAGGTAAGGATAAACTGTATTCTCCTGTTTGGTTCCTAGAGATATTCTCCTTTGCAGGCTTCATAACGAGAAGCGAGGAGTTTGGGCAAAGAGGAGGAGAGTACCAGTGCGAGGATCGCAGCGCACCCAAGTTCCTCGACGGTGGATTCGACCGAGTGATAGCGATACTCGGTGCTCAATCGAGTTCGGTCACCATTCAGGTAAGAAATTAACGAACTATTCTTTATTTCCATCATTGATTCATTGGATTGGTAGATAGCCTCGGTGCTGGCGCTATTTCCGGTCCCGCAAATCTCTTATATGGCCACGTCGCCGTTCCTAAGTAGCAAGGAGAGGTATCCGCACTTCTTCCGCACGGTTCCCAATGACGTGAACCAAGCACGCGCCATGTTGGAGATTCTTAGGTAAGTTTTTCTCTTTACATTACATTTAAACTTTACTTAGGCGAAGCCCAATTGCTCAATATTTGTTTTTCTCTTTACAAAGAATCATAATTTAACAGCAGTACTCTAAAAGGCAGACTTACAGTATCCGACATTGCATTTCTCTACAGAGTCGTCAACAATTTTATCGACTGTCCTACTCTGCTTGGGAGCATACAGTTTAATGTACCTATCTATAGCACCAGATATTCTAACTTATTCTACCTTGCACACTTCATCACCAGATACGGACACGATACTCTCAATAAAATCTGTGCTTCTGCCGATGCCTTGCAGAAAAGTATCGACCTTTTCTTCAACACTATCAATAAACTGAAAAAGCTCACATGTGTAACTGCGTTGCGAGAATCTACCGCTCGGTAAGCGTCACTACGAAGTTTGGCGCGCGCTCTCTCTTGTCGCCAACTTCACGCTATTGTATATGTCTCACTCTTTCCTAGGCAAAACTTTTCTATGCGATCGCACACAATAATTTTTAATTTCTAGCTCCGAGGTCTTTGTCACGCCTTCGTAAAATGCAAAACCCACCCGTGTATACTAAATAAATAAATAAATAAATAAATAAATATTTGTCTGTGAATCATCAGGCAATTCGAATGGTCATACGTGTCCGTCGTCTATTCGGACTCGGAGTACGGCGATCATGGATACGAGACGTTGGTTTCTTTGGCCGGCGAGTACTCTATATGCTTCAGCGCACCGCAGCGCATCAGCCAGGACCGATTCACGATCGACGATTACGACAACGTGGTACGGACGATCGCCGAGAAGACGGAAGTCCGAGGTGATTTCCTTTCCTAGAAAACCTGCTTACGAAAGCGCGTTCCTTTCGGAGAAGGAATTATTTTCAGTGGTGGTGCTGTTCGCGGAGAAGTCGACGACGTTGCGCGTGTTGGAAGCAGCACGACGCGTAGGGGTCGGATCGCGATTCGTGTGGCTGGGCAGCGACTCCTGGCCGGACGGACGTCGGGGCATGGAGAGCCAGGAGATTGCGGTACTCGAAGGGGCGCTCGCGGTTCAGCCACTCTACACTCCGCTCGGAGGTTTCGACGAGTACTTCACCGGTCTTAAGCTCGATCACGAGCGGATCGATCCATGGTTCAGGGAATTTTGGAAAAAGTATCACGACTGCGAAGATGATACTTCGCCAACGTGGAAACGGGTGAGTAAAATCGGAGACTAGAATCTAAGGCGGATTACCGTGAATGTAAAAATACAGGCACGCGTTCGTTGCGAGGATCCGCGACTGAAGATCGACCGAAGCACCGGATACAAGCAGCGACGATTTCTGCACTTCGTTCGAGACGCGGTGTACGCGGCGGCTTATGCTCTCCACGACATGCACAAAGACGCCTGCGGGGAGAGTTTCCCCGGGGTCTGCGAGGAAATGCTACCGATAAACGAGCGCCTCTTCTCTCGTTACCTGGCGCAGGTTTCTTTCAAAGGTACGCAAACGCTTGTCGGATCGAAGGAAGTTCCAAAGAGGAATTTATTGACTTCAGACGAAGCGGGAAACGGATTCGGTTTCGTGGACGAGGTCGACGGTCCTCCGAGGTACTCTATCCTGAATTATCAGCGCAAGGGGAACGGCTCGTATCACTGGGTGGTGGTCGGCAATTACACGCGTAAGCGAAATCCCTCTTTGATCAACTTCCGTCACGCGATATCTGCATAAATAACGCAAGAACGTTTAGAAAACGAGGAAGGACAATCGGTGCTGCGATTGGACCGCGAGAACCTCCGCTTCCGGGGCGATAGGCACGCCGCTTTTCCCTCCTCCTCGTGTTCTCGTCCTTGCGGCTCGAATCGCATCATGGTCAGGGTGAAGGAGGATCCCTGCTGCTGGAGGTGTCAGAGTTGCGGTCGCTACCGGTACAAGGTAGACGAACAGAGATGCGAGGAGTGCGAATGGGGGAGTCGACCGACCGCTAATGGGACCAGCTGCGAACCGATTCCCGAACAGTTCGTCGATTATTCGAACCCCTGGGCGATCGTCGCGACGGCGGTGGCCGTCTCGGGTAATTCATTCTTTTCGCAAATCTCTGTTCTTCCTGTATAGCTAGGAGGGGGTGGTTTAACGCACCAGGTGTTTACAGGTATCGCGTTGACCTTGTTCGTCTGTTCGGTGTTCTGGAAATACAGAGATACACCTATGATCAAGGCATCCGGTCGAGAGTTATCTTTCCTATTATTACTCGGTACCTTCGGCTGCTTCTCGATGACATTTGCTGTCGTGGCGAAACCAACCGTTCATAGCTGCGCTGTCGTCCGCTTCGGTATCGGTTTTTGCTACACGATCTGCTACGCTGCCCTCGCCACCAAGATCAACAGGATCCACAGGATATTCAACGACCCTGCGCGTAGTCCTCGCAAACGACGGTAAACCTTATATTAAACCTTATCATCGAGGAAATGAGCAACTTAAAAACGAAAGAAAGAATGAATTATTACAGGTACACTAGTCCGAGGTCGCAGCTGGCGATCGCCTCGATCCTCGGTCTGGTCGAGGTCGCCTTCGACGCGAGTTGGCTGCTGAAGGAACCCCCGGCAGTAACGCACTCGTACCCGAGTAGGGAGGCAAACGTCCGGGTATGTAAGGGTTCCGAAGACGGTTCGTACGTGATCGGTTTGCTATATCCCTTCGTTCTTACCGGTAAGTTAAATCATTCTCTCTTCGATCGGCGTTGATTTATCGAACGATTATTTGTTTTCAGTCGCATCTACCATATACGCGATCAAGACGAGGAAGTGTCCCGAGGGATTCAACGAGACCCGTCGCATAGCGTTCGCCAACTACGCGACGATAATTTTATGGCTGGCATTCGTGCCTCTGTATCTCGCCTCCACCAGCAACGTCGTCAAAGTGATCACCCTGGCGCTCTCTCTGTCTCTGAACGGTATGGTACAGCTGCTATGTCTGTTCCTGCCGAAAATTTACGTGGTGCTGATCAGACCCGAGAAGAACACCAGGGAGCTGGTGATGGCTAGACACGCCGGTTCTTCCCATCCGACCGCACCGGCTACGCCGATAGCACCCATCGCTCCTCTGCGCCCGGTCACCCCGGAAGCCACCTCCCCTTCGCCTTCGCTCGTCCCTCGAGAAACCGTCTAACGTTCTTATTGTTAGAAGAATCGGATTTCGGATATTCAAGTGCACGTACTTGCGTTTATTCGTACAAACTACAATAGCAACAACAACGAAAATCGTCTTAAAATTAAAAATACCTACTGTAGAGGTTAACGAACGATCAGGGTACAAATTGATTCTCTCCTCCCGCACGGAACGACCGGCGATCCGTCTCGAGAACGAAGTTTGCCTTGGAAGACGTCGGTTCGAGGCGAGATCGCTGCTCGTTGCGGGCTCGAATTTACTTACGATACTAAGGTCAACGGAGTTTGCGCGAGTCGACGACCAAACGGGTTGAAAAGAGAATGAAAATGAATAAAGGTGACAGGAACGCGCGCTGTTTTCCAAAGGCATAAGGCGATTGAGCATTCGAGTTGAGCTAAACGCGCGCGTTCTTCGGACGATTATCGATCGTCGCACCGCGTTCACCGTCGCTGACCTATGCGAACCGTGACACGGCTTCGCTCGAAAGGCCTTTCGTGGACGGAATGGCTGATAAGGATCTCTGTTAAGGAACGCGTGATTCCTCGCGTAGCTTTTTAAGTACTTAAAATTACTTTGTATATGTACAATACTGGTTTCGCGAGAGTTGCACCATTAGAAGGAACTCTCGCGTTTCGCTCGAAGCTGAGCGGTTTCCGGGCTAGGGGTCATCGCTGGATTATCGTAAGCATAATCCAGCGTGGTGTCCTCGCTCGGATGCCTCCCCGATAAGGAGGTGGTGGTTGTGTTCGGGGTCGCGTGACACGGTCCGCTTCCGCTTCCGCTTCTGCTACCGGTCCCGCTCGCGCTTCCACTCTCGTTTCCGGTTCCGCGTTCGGGCTCTCGAGAAGGAGCCACGCTCGCGCTTATCGTCGGCATCGTCAGTTTCAATCCGTTGTGCTTCACCGTGCCTGATTCCGCGTCCTCCTGCACCTTATTGTTATTATTATTGTGACTGCGCCGATTGTTACCGTTGTTCGCCCTCTGAAAAAAAGGGGTTGATACTTTCGATCCCGATGAAAGACTGGTCTCTCTCCTCACCTTCGTACACTTTCCGGTGAATAATCGAGCCAAGGCGGCTCGCATCTTTACCCATCTCGGGAACATCTTCGCGAGCAGGTACATCGAGGAGAGTAGCGAGAAAACCGCCGCGGTGGTCGACACCGCCACCAGGATCCATAATCTTCCGACTTCCCCTGTGAATTATAAACGACCTATAGTAACCTATAGTACACCCTCGAGTGAAAAAACCTTACCTCGCAGATCGTTGTACTGTTCGAGAAGGACGTATCGTTGATCGTGCAGGTACTCTGAAAAGAAACGGTATGGATTTATTGGATCGTTACGGAACAGGTTCAGATTTGACCGCGTCCGTTTGGAAAAGGGACACCGAGAGAATTTTCCTTGAGTATAGGGCACGGTGGTATGAGAAGGGCGTCGGGGGGAGAGAAGAAGAAAAGGAGAAGGAAGGAAGGAAAAGAAGGCAGTCAGGCAACTGTAGGGATGAGTCATCGAGGTTGGTTGCGTGTGGGAAGGCGGAGGGAACGGGTGAAGGAGGGGGAGGTGGTCAGGTGTAAAGTCAACGGACTCGAAGCTACCTTGTCTCGTACTCAGGTGTACGGGTCTCGGGAAACGCTTGGCCTACTACCTGGGCCAAGTTTCCCCCCTTTTCATCGATCCGAAACGCTCTATGCCGCCGGTTCTCGACCGTTGGACCGTAAAGGATACCGATGCTATCGTACAATAGCTGCTCCGTTCGCTTACCTTGACAATCGGTGCTGCATTCGACGGGCTCATAGTTGCGACCGGTCACGTTGCAGATGTTGGAACAGGGTTTGCAATGTTTATCGTGGTGGCTGCAGTACTCGACGGTGGTGCAACGTACGTCGCCGCACAGGACTCCATTCGGATTCAAGGCGGCGCCCGCGGCTCCTATGGTCAACAGTGCCAGCGCGAGCAAACCGATCGGTGCTTTCATCGTTTAACGGTGATCGAACGGGACCATGCTCCACTCGATTCTGAAAACCATTCGTCCAAGCTCTAACTAGTGTAACGGCATAGTTAAGACGATAAGTTCGGTAAGAAGGACGAGGAGAACGCGACGTGACTCATCACAGGTATCGCGAGTACACGTAGTTGGTCGTTGAACAATCGTTTGCCAAGCCGGGCCGATTCGACCTCGCCGCTTTTCGATCGACTCGCTCGCGTCTCCCGTTTCTATCGCGGACGCGTTCGATCCGTTTCGCCGAGGAAATTCCGACGCGTCACACGGTACCGATCGATTTTAGCCGACGGCCTCTCGTCGATCTCCGAACGATCCGAAACTCGACACGACGCAGCAGCGTGTTCGACGCGATGCGATGTCACGAAGCAGACGAGAGGGGGAGAAATAACGAGGGGGCAAAGGAGATGGAAGGAGTTTGGAGAACGAGAGGGAGAAGCGTCGCGACTGGTACCGCGGCGAAATTCACGAACAAGCTGTGGTCCTGTCGATGGCGCGCGCCGGAAACGTAGAAATCCTAGTTCGTTAGCTCGAACGCGTCGGCCGAAGGGAGAAACAGTTTCGCAGTCGCGTGGGCGATCGACAGGAATGCGACCGGACAGGTTTTCGAGTCTGCTTCGACCGCAAGTCGAGAGCGTAGAATCGCTCCAACGTAAATCGAACGCGATCCATTGTTCTTTCATCACCGATGCTCGACTCTCGCGCCTGCGCCCCAGTCTTCTCCAATCTTTCGCTCGACTGCGTCCAATTCCTCCTCGATCGCCGAGGATCGGACTAAAACGATGCCTCGCATGGCTGTCGACGCTTGGAATTCTCGATCGATCGCTTCTCAACAGGTAGCAGGTGGATCGTTTATTTCGCGACTTTGAAAATCGCCGAGCGATCGCGTGTTTCGAGATCGAACCGAACTGTGCATGCGGATCGTCGACTTTGAAACTATCGAAAAATCACGTGAAATGGAAAGTGGAAAGCAGCGAGGAACGGGAACGGAGTGAATAGAAAACGAGAAAGTCACCTTGGTCGGCTGGACGCGTCGATTGGTCGCGGTAAACTGAGGATCCACGATCCAGGAGGCAACTACTACCGCCGCCTTTTCCGCTAGCCTCCTGCTCGCACCTGAATTCCACCTCTCCGCCTACGTGCCCCTCCATCCCCTCTTCCGCGCTGCTCCTCCTCCCGTTCAGTTACCCGATGCCCGTTGGCACGCTCCTCGTTACCTCTTACCTGTTGCGATCCGCTGACACAGGTACCCTCTACTTCCCCTGAGATTCCGCTACCTTCTCGACACCGGAATCCGAAGGGAAGCCTACAGACGGCGCCTCTCTATTCGTTCCGTCGGTACGGAAGTTTCGTTCGACGCTAAAGGGAAAGAAGTGCAGGTACAAACGGTTCGTAGTCGTTTGTATTTTCTTTGTGTTTATTGTTCTCAACGGACGCGGATCTCCGACGGAGCTCGCGTCCACTTTCCGTCTACGTTCGTACAAAATATATTTATTTTATCGCAATTTGTATCGACGATGATCGCGCGAACAGAGTAACGCACCGATCGCAGTCTCAATTGTGTTAATTCCTTGCTCGATGTTTATCGGTGCTGGTCGCGTCCGCTCTCCGTCGACGGCGACGCGTCGCGCGGCGCCGACGTTAAAAATCGATATTGATTAACCGCTGTCAAAGTCGATTTTTGAACCGCCGGTTTAACCACGACTGACGCGATGCTCGCGAAGCGAAGAGCGGACGAGTCGCGTGCGTTCCATGCGTGTTTGGTCGATCGACGACGAATCATTCTACGAAACGGTCTCCGTCTTGTGTAGCGTCGAACTAACGCGTGCAACGTCGCCGTTCTCCGGCAAAGTAGCTTTCTATTCGCCTCTGGCGCTGGCCTTCGAGCCGAGTCGAGCAGGAGCGGGGCAGGAGCGTTACAAGTTCCATTTGCTGTAGCTGCACAGGCACAAGCTCCAGCAACCCGATCGCGTCGAGCGAACGTTCGTAGCCTCCCCGGACCGTTCAACGGTCCCGTTCCCGTTCAGAACCGGGGACGCGTGCTCGAACGTGGAACCGACGCTAGCGGGTCGCCGGATATCCTATCCTCAGATGCTTCTGTGACCGGCGGTGCTGGCGAAACCGGTGGCGCCTGTTGCGGTGACGTTCGCGAAACGATGACCGAGTTCGGGAGGCGACGGCGAGGCACCGCCGTCTTCCGGTCGCGGCACCGCGGCCGGCACGCCGTTCTGCACGTAATGGGTCAGTCTGGTGGGCAGGCAACCCGCGTTCAGCTGGTAAAACTCGATCAGTTGCAGCAAATCGTAGAACTTGGTTATACCCTTGTCCAAAGTGTACAGCCAGCAATTGCATCGTTCGTCGAACACCTATCAAACGAAAGAGTTCTTTACTCTATTCTCTGCACTCTTATCACTGGAGCAGATATCGCAGATTGGTACTTACGGGTTGGATCTGCGCGTGGAACACCCTGTCGCTGTACTTGTACGTCAACACGTAAGCGCCTAAATTGCTTTTGCTCTCCCGGACGAGAAACACTCTGGAACGATAAAACGATTCTTCGACTGCTTTCGATTCGATTGAAAATACACGAAGCTTACCCGTCCACGGAACCGTGGTCCCTGACGATCGCTGCAGCCATGTCCCTCTTCAATCCCCTGTGAAACCAGGGCTGCAACACGTGAATACCGTCGTCGAGTCCGTGAAGTCTAACCACCGCGCAACCAGGTGGAGTTCTAGAAAACGGCCTCCAGGTTCGCCGCCAATTTACTCCTTCGCTCTCGGCGATGTTCTTCGCCTCCTTTGGATCCTCCACGATCCTGCCGACGCTTCCGGTGAAATCCATCGCCACCCGGGAACGCGCCGATTCCTGTCAACGATCAGACTATCATTCTTCGGAACTTTTTTTAAAAATTTTTTTTATCATCTCGACGTATCGAAAAGATAATCGGTGGATCGGAGGAGGGTTGACAACCCCTGACGCCTGTTGCTAGGCGAGCATCGAGCGGCGCGGACAATCGGCGCTGCGCGTTACCTACCTCGCGTACGTTTCGTCGTTCCGCGGTTGCCCGCCACCTATCCCCCTTCGACGATTCGTCGCCGCGCTCTAGTGACGCGATCAGCTGCTTACGTAACGATCCCCGCTACCATTCGTCGTTTCCAAAACCGTCAACGCGTAGCTAATCGATCAACTGATTCCGCAAAGGCGTCTATACGCCTCGACCATCGCTATCGACGAGAGCTTACCTCGTCTTCCATTGCTGGTTGAAAGCGCGTCGTCGCCGTCGAAGGGTGAAGAAGAACGGAGGCCAGGAGGAGAGAAACTGCGAGACCGGAAACGAGATCGGAACCGGGGAACGACGACGGGTCGACTCGATCGCGAGACGACGGTGGTTCAATGTCAAGGTTGACAGTACGCAGGCGCACGGAATCGACCGTGCGTGGTAGACGGTGCGCGACGAGAGGTCGCGCCGCTAGCGGATAGAGTTCCAGAGAGACTGGTCGAAGGGTGGATGGTTGGTCAGCCAGGCGAACGGATAGAGAGAAACGAAGGAGAGGGATGTTCTGCGCGAACACGGCAACGGTGGTAGAGGAAGCGTGAAAAAGGGGGGAAAAAGAAACGGAGTGGAGGAGCGCTTCCGGTGGTCCACGGTATATACGACGCGACGGAAAACGCATGGACGTTGGAAGCGGTGGAAGAGAAGCGTAGCGACGCGGTTCGCTCTCTCGTCTAGACCCCGCGTGCATGATCGATAGTCGCCGCCGCGTAGCAACAGCCGACCGCCTCGGGGTTTTTGCTCGATTTTCGAAACTCTCTCGCCCGCTTTCTTCCTCTTCCTCCACCACCCCCGGCCCACCCTTTTTTCCCTTCCACTCAGCCTACCCCCCCGTATCCCGCAACTTTTGCGGTCGCACCTTTTTTTTCTTTTCTTTTTCCATTCTTTCTCGACGCGACGTATCGCGAAAGGATTCACCGCGGGATCATCCAAGCAATTTCGAAGATACGACACTCACGTTGGACACATTGTAGTTGACGTACCGCTCCTTTGGATTCTCCCCGCCGCTTTGCTCGCACTGTTTGTTCTTGAAAGCTCTGTAGTTTTCCCTGAGTTGTTTGCCATACTGTAACAGGGTGAAAACACGGATGGGAAAATGAATCCAGGGGATTTCGGTGTCGCGGTTAAGGATGCTGAGTTTTTCGGGTTACCTTGGCGAGTCTCATGGCCGTGAGCCAGCAAACGCGGGACTTTTCACTGTGGAAAGCGATGACCTTGAGGCCGGATTCTCCAGCCACCGTGCTTACGGCTTCGGCGTTGCAGGATGGCCTCAGGCAAACGCCCCACTCGAAGGGCGCTTTGAACCGTTTCTTCGCGTTCGTAATCTTGTACACGACGTAATCCAACAAGTGAGCGAGGGGTATCAGTTGCTCGTTTTCCTGAAATCATTATCGTATCAAATACGTGATCGACGGTGAGGGACCACGAGGAGGAATAACGTAGACGACGAGGAGGAAGATGGAACCGGTTTACGAGTAACTCCAGAAGCGCGAGAGGCAACGATTAGGCAAAGACCAGATAATTCCCTGTTAAACTCGACCGGAGCTTCGCCCCCGGCGTTTATTCTACTTTGACGGTTCCGTGGAAAAACCGAGAGTAGGAGCGAACTAGCGAGATCTGGAGGATCGTGAATCGAGGAGCGTATGTGGGCCACGGAGCGTCGTACTACGATTACGGTGCAATAACGCGAGAACGCGTAACGGTAGGAGCTCGTGAAAGGAGAAGCACCGATCGAGTGGGTGGATCGGTCGAAAAAACATTTACTCGTCCTACCTTTCATTCTCTTATCTCGGCCTCGCGTCGCTTCGTTTGGTAGACCGCGTAAGCGACAAACTCGCTGAGCTTGCGAGACGCGAGAAGAAGCGCGCGTTACACGCTCGTCATCGAGCAAGGTCCTCGTCGAAGATAAAATAAAGCTTTAACGACGTCCGAGAAGCGGACTGGTTTTGGCTGGCTGGCGTAGGCGGAGCGCCCTATCGTTACGCAAACTTCGAGTTTCGATAAACCGAAAGAAATCCGGGGATTCCCCGACGACGGTCGCCGTCGGGACGCTGAATAACGGATGGAGAACGGATGAAACGATGGGTTTCGAAAAAATTTCAGAAGAAGAGATCGAGAAGATTCGCGCCAAGCACCGTACGATCGGTCAATCGATTTCGTAGATCCTCGTTCGCTAGTATTCCACCGAAACTTTCGGTCTACGCTTGAAACCTAATCGAAGTTTCTTCGTCCGTTTCGATGGATTCATAGTTGCACTATGAAAACACTTTTGCCGCGTTTAATCGTCGCTCGGCCGATGAGCCGTTTAGTTGGGCGTACGGCGACGACCATTACGACGATGCGAAATTGCATCGATTTCCGCGAACCATCGGATAATTGAAAAGAAAGAAAAAGAAAAGAAAAAAAGAAAAGGAAGACGAACAGAAGCGTCGATTGGAAAGCAGCAACGCGCGGACGATGCGGTGAAAATTCGTGTGGGAAAGTGAAAGAAACCGATTCGATTGGGAACGGTATGGTTCGGTCACGAGACGCTTCCACTTACCACGGTACGGCCGATCGACGATTCTCGCGTCTCGCAGAGGCTCGGTTTTCTTGCTCGATATCGTCCAGCCGAATCCGAAGCTTCGATTTCTCTGACCAACGGAAATCGAGACTTTCGATGACTCGACGTCGATGTACATGTACCACCGCCGTCTACGAGACACCAGCGTATCTTCCTTCCTTCCTTTCTTTCTTTCCTTTTCCCTGCGTCGTTCGTTTCTTTAGCGCGGCGAAAGAGAAGAATTGGTATAAGGCGAGAGAGAAACAGCGACGGGCAGCGCAAAGAGGAAGGGTTTGACAGGTAGGAAAGACGCGACAGGATGCGCAGAGAACGGAGCGAGTTACCGGCAACGAGCAGACTGCACGACGACGACGACGACGACGACGAAAACGATGACGATGACGACGAGGGAGAATTTTTTCTTTCCTCGCGTAATCTGCCGTTCGGCAGTGTAGAGTCGCGTCGATTTCACGGGTAACTCGTTTTTACTGGTTCTCGCGATCGCGAATTAAACGAGGAGGACGATAGCGATCGAGTCGAAGGGGTAGGGGACGCGATAGTGACGCATCGCCTCCCCTCGCTGTCGGAACGACGACTGACGGAGCGGCTGCTCGTTCGCCGGTAGCCTCGTGCACGGCGACGGACAAAGATCCGAGGATGCCCGAACGAGATACGGAAACGACCGAATCGACCAGTCAGCTGGTTTCCCGGCGGCGGCGGCAGCGGCGGCGGTGGCGGTGGCGATGCTAGCAGACTGCATCGGTCGTGCGCCGCTGCGCCGCAGCCACCGACGCCACCTCCTCTGTTCCTTCCTTTCGATCACGGCCGCTGACGAACTCTCCCGAATCAGCTGGCCGACTACCCACTTCGCCATCTCTTCCTTCCTTCCGCTCTCCGCACCTCGCCTTTAGATTTTCGGCAAATTGCATTCGACGATAATCAATTTCAATTTCTTTCCTCGTTTCCTTCGCCACTGGCGTCGATTTCGAACTCGGAGCCGTAAGCTGGAAGGAGGACTTCTCGAGAAGGCGATTACGCGACGGCTTTGCGAAGCCCCGCAAACGCGGAAGACGCGTAGTCGGTTGTTAAACCGAGTTGGACGATTTTAAACCTGGTCGAAAATGAACCTACCGGTACGAGGATGAGAAGGTTCGTTCGCTAAGGCGAACCGTTGTCCTTTCTGAGAAACCGAGATTTCTACGGATTAACGAGGATACCTGCTCGAAAGGTAGAGGTAAAAGCCCTGGGCCGAGGGATTTAAGAACGGACACAGAAAAGGATTCGAACGGATGGGTGTGGAAGAGAAAGAGGCGATGTTGCAACGGGCCAGCGATCGAGTGGGAGAGAAGAGAAACGCTCTCGCCAAAGTTCCTCTCGAGCGTTTTACGAGCGTACGCGCGTCCCGCTAGCGAGGAAAACGATGCTTCCCTAGGCGATCGATTCGCCGATTCGATCTTAAGCCTTCCATACGATTCCCCTTCCGCTTCGTCCCACCTTTTCATCTCGGCACGAAGCATCGAGCAGGGTTATCCGTTTTCAGTTGTCGACTAGCGTTGCTTCTTCCGCCGATGGATCGATATGCCACAGTGAACCCCAACCGAGCCAACTTCGCTCCTCTCCGCCTTTTCCTCGAATCATCCCCCAACCCTGAGTGCCTTCGATCGGTTCGACGACTCGCGAAATCGGCATCGCGTGCCGTTCCCTCCTCTCGATTACGAGATCGTCTCGAGCGCACTGGTGGAAAGGAACGGATAAAGAAAGAGGGACAGATCGTGTATTTCGACCGATGACACCGAGAACGTCGGTTACGCGGTTGGAAAATCCACACCTTTCGGCCGCGTGCCAGGAAGCAGTAACGTGGATTCCATCTCGACTACCTTAACCCATTAAATCTATCCCAAGAATCGAAACTTCTCGTTTTCTCGCCAATTCTCTAACGGCGATCGATCGTCGCGTTAATTTTTCCAATTCTGTTCGTTTACTTACCGGTAATCGTGAAACAGAAATCGAGGTACAATCTCTGGAAAGGAGGTAGAACCTTTCAGGACGACGAGAACGGAGGGAAAAGTGTATCGGGAAAGGTTGACGGGGTGCGTCACGCGTGGCGAACGCTAACAATGACGTGGATGCAACGGACGTCGTAATATCGTGTGCATTGCGAAAGTGCATTGTGTTTCTCCAACACCCTGAACGGTGAAACGAACGGGTGTAGAAGCGGCGACCGGGTGTGTATGGTAGGGGATCGTTAGCGATGTGGATAGGAAAATAGAATAGGAAGAGCAGGAACGGACGGAAGTAAGTTGGAAGGAAAGCGGTGCAATTTTCGGAATTCCGAGTTCGCGTTCGCGTTACGTTTCGCCGAAAGAAAGGCCGCAGTTTTGTTCGTTTTCGGAGCGCATCCGGCCACCGAATATCCGGTTGTCGCCAAGCGCACCGTTCCGGAACCGTGAACGGTTTCGCGACCAGCGGTGATGCTTGATCGTACTCGCGTGACAAAGCGAAATGAAGAGAGAGAGAAAAGAAAGGAAAAGAAAAGAAGGGGGTACAACGTTTCGCGAGCAATGTACTTGACGCAGGTGTATGTACAACATTCACGATTCTGTTTCTATGCCGGCTGTCCCGCTTTTGATCGCGCGACGAACCAAAGTTCGCCAACTCGCGTCCATTTGTCCGTCGTAAATTGGACAGCGAAGAGATGGATAGACGAACCGAAACCGAGAGCGAAGTAATTTTTCCCAAACATCGATCGAAACGAAAGGATGCGGCTGAATGGACCTGATGGAATATAAAGAAAAGCGAATCGACGTTGGACTAGGGCAAAGTGTAGGAGCGAGAAGAGAGAACGGTGATTCGGCGTGTCGCGAGTCGAGTCCGCGAGCCGCGAACCGCGAAACGCCAGGGGAACGGGGACGTGCTGGCAGAAAGGAGAAGAGCCGAGCGAGAAGGTGATGGCAGAGGAGGCGGCCGAAGGCAGGTCGACGACCCGGGTAGCGGCGTTCCTAGCAGAATAGCTCTTTTGCCGGGGCGAATGTGTGTCACGCGCGGCACACTCGCTTTAACGCGGCAGGCTCGTTTCTCGTCGCATCGATGCGCTCGCGCCAACTCGCGTTTCGCTCCACCTGATCGCTACCTGCCGCGGAAATTTTCGAAACCGATGAAAATTCGCGATACCGCCTTGAATTCCTTTACCTTCTTTTTTTCACTTCTCGAGATACGTTAAGATGAAACGATAGAATTCGCTTCGATATACGAATCGAAAGGAAAGAAGCGGAAACGGCGAGAAAATCGTACGGTGATCGCGGTGAAAGCGAGTGCAACGAGACTACGATACAATCGCGTTTCCTCGTTGCTCGAAAACACCTCTTTTCGTGCAACGAATGGAATCACGAATAATCTTTCGATTCGAATTTGCGAAAAGTTTTCGCCGTTCGTCAGAGTCGACGATGAGCGGCGGAGCGAAACGGATTCGAGAAAACACGGAGACGGAGAAAGCGAAGAAACATAGGGTAAAGAGCAACGTATGGTAGAGAACAGCTGGTCCGTGCACGACCAGCGAAAGACGGATAACATTCGGTAAGGTGTAAGGCATCGGTCGGTAGGTTACTGTTGGGTCGCGTGCGGCTCTACCATGCTCGTCGTTGTCAGCTGTCCGTTCTCTCGTCCCAACTTTCCACGACGATGCAATCGCGAAATTACGAGCTTTTAGCCTCGAATCGTTCGAGATCTCTGAATCGATCCGATTTCATCGGTCGCGTGCGAGTCGCGTGCCGCGTACTCTTTACAATACGGATATCACCTCGTGCACGTTATTGTTCCCCTGAAAGGGGCATCGAGGGGCAACCTATTTCCATCGATCAGGATGATTTGCGACTCACCGTGGGAAGCGTTCGTCTGTCCGCGCGATCATCCGTTGATCTTCCAAAATCGATAAGCGAAAAAACAAACGGTTGCTCACCTTCTTAGCGAGGTAGAGCTTCCGATCGCGAAGGAGCATGTGCGTTCTTCTCCACGCGTCCAAATGACCGATCCGTATCCACACCAGACTGAACACTTGTGGACACTCGCCGTTTTCCTGCTGTAGATAATTCTGGAACGTCAACGAAACGATACGTAGCTCGTTACGAGGAGACGAAGGAAACGCGCTACTTACACGCAAGGCGATTTCGGCGTCTGTCACCGTTCCGTCATGGTCCGTGAAGGCGGCAGGAAACGCGACCATGTCGGTGGGAAAGAATTGCTGTAACAAACAAAGCGTCTCGTTTACGGAGCTGTTCCGATTTGAAAAACGGCGCGCCGCGTTCGATCGATGTCGAACGTAGGAAGATCCCTCTCTCGTAGAAACTCCGTCGATAAAGCGGCTCACCGTCGACGAAAACGGTGTCGCTTACCGAGCGAGACTGACGGGTAGAATCGCGATCGATCAAGCGTGAAAGTTTCGTAACGAGTACGTAGCGATTTGCCCAACTTCACTCGAACGTTTCGTCTTTATCGCTTCCGTGTTGATTAATTAATTAGTCGTCGGTTATCTATGCTTAGTTAGATTGACGCAAAACGCGAGAAAATATAGATACGGCCGCGTTGTGGCGTAAAAGCCGCGGCTCTTTCGTAGCCGAGGCAAACTTATTCCTTTAAACTCACCTTAGGATCAAAGAAAAATTCGTACTTGAGGTAATCTAAACGAAAAAAGAATTTCCTCTCGTGCTGGGAGGCGAACATTTTCATCTCTCTGTGAACCGCCGAGATGTCCTCGTGATCCTCCAGCGTGCGCTCTGCGAAATCAACACGCGTTTATCGATCGCCCGAAGCGTCCAGCGGACGGATCGAACAATAGCGATGCTAATACCCACCGATTCCAAGTTCCGGCCACGTTTCCACGATCGACCAATCGATGCCGGACACGCTTCTTTTAACCTTCAGCAGCTGACACAGATCCACCGTGCGTAGATTCCTTTCGACGAGCAGCGTGTTCCAGGTGAGGTCGTCGTTGTAAAAACGCAGCTCCTCCACCTGTGCAACACCGCAAGCGTTTCGCTCTCTTTCATACGATAACGCGATCTTAAGGAAATAATTACCTCCTCGTCCAAGTCGTCGCCGATGTCCACGTATCGATTACGCTTCGATTCCTCCATCGTGCGATCGAATTCGAAGAAGTTGGATTTCCCGCCGAGGCGGTGATAATTTCCCACGCGTGTCACGGATCGGTCGAGGAACACGCTGCTACCGTCCAGGCACGAGCACATTGTCGGTAGCCAATCTGCAAAGAAAACATGCGAAAGTGAGCAAAGTTGAACATAGAAATCGCGAGGTTGATTTGTCGAATAGAATGTTTTTCTCCCCCGGGCAATCGGTCTCGAGCGATTCGAGCAGCATCCTCGATGGAAAAATAAGTGCGTAACGCTGAAGATACGCGTGATCTTTCTCTTTGCTGACGGTATTAGAAAAACAGTTGGTGCCGAATTACGATTGACAGTAGTCGATGCGGTGGTATTAGAGAAACGATTACGAGGTAACGCCGCGGCGCAACCCCGACCGCAACCTTGGCCTTCTCGTACCAGTCGCTTCAATTTTCAGCTTCGTTCCATCGACTTCCTTTCCTTCCGAATTCGTCGCCAAGCTCGTCTTCTTTCCAAGTTGTTATCTATCAACGCGAGTTTTACGGAAAGCGTATACACGAAACGCGTAAATGACGCGTTATTTTGTTCGAACTGATATTTATTGGAAACTTGATCGAAGAGAAGATGAAGTTCGCGGCGAAACTTGGATCGTTCGTCCTTGTACTTTGAACTGCATCGATCGAACGAATCTTACGTAAGTCGATACGTTTCGCGGATTCGTTTCGATCTGACGAAACGAGCGTAATTAATTAGTCAATGAAACGCGCTACGTTTCCCCGAATTTTCATTCCTCGATAGCGCGAGCGTAAACCGTCACGGGTTACTTAACAGCCGCGATGTTCAAAGAGCAACCTCGTCACCATCTCGTTTCGTGTTCCAATAGTTTCTAATCGACGCGACGGCTAAAACTTATTCAGCGGGAATTTAACAGGAAAAACTGTCATTTCCTCGGATACGAACGCAATCTTTCCTTTTCAATGTTACGCGCCATTATTTCATTTTTCCGTCGATTCATTGATTTTCCCGCCTTTCAAATACGACGCGCTTCTTCATCCCTTATTCGCATTTCTTTTATCTAGCAGGAAAAAATTTATCTCGTACGACCACGATACAATGTACAATAATTTAATCAAATAAACTGGAAAAACTGAACTTACCGATTCCCTTTTGAACATCACCCGCTGAATAGCAAATTATATCCTTGCTGTTCCGAAAATAACGTGCCGAATTGAACGTAGTTTTTTTCACACGCAGTAAGAAGATTCGTCGATGGACCAAAAGAGGGTAGACGACAGACGAAGAGAAAACTTACACAATAAGAGGATATAACTTGTTCCATGCGGTGAAAAACCGACGTTCATCCCCGGGAAATCCGAGCAGGAGCGCGTGAATTATTCCGCGCGATTTTCAAACACGGCGATGGAGGCACGATTCGACCGGTACGCTTGCGTAAAATCGAAAAATCGGTTGTCCCGGAGGACTGGGCTGCTTATGCGCCCCCTTCCTTCAAAAAAAAGGAAGGGGACACATGGGGTAAACCGCGGGGGATGAATTTCGAACTTACCGCGGACACTGGAGCATCGTCGACGAAACCGAGAGAACCAGCTGGTTCTGCGATGATCTCTGTGGCAGGCGTTGTCGCTGTAGCTCGCGAGTTCGGCGCAGCATTTTAAAAACGCCTCGCTGTAAATCTTGTGTCGCTCGTGCGTAGTTTCTTCGGCATCGCGACTACTATCCTGGATCCTCGAAACCGTCGTCGTCGCGTTCAGCGTTTCCGTTTCCGTTTCTGTTTCCGTGGTGGTCGAGGCGGGGGTTGCGGTGACAGCGGTCGGGATGGACATGGCTGTCGTTGCGTCGTCCGAATCGTTCTGTTCGTTCCTTTTCGTTTCGAGCGCATCGGCGACCGTGTCTTCCAGGCAAAGAGGATCTTTGTTTGAGAAACGATCGAAGATATCGTGGACGGTGTCCTGTTTCGCCGGCTGGAACACTGTCCCGTTCAGCAGCACTACGTTTCCTATCATGTCGAGCGTTCTGAAACACGCGACAGTATCGTTACGGCGTAGATCGACGCGGCGAGAGAAGCGAGGCTTCGGTTTCGTGTTCGCGTTTCGGCTCCGCCAGCGAGAACGCGGCATCCTTTCGTCCGGCGATCGGTCGATCGGCTAAGTATCGCGAGAAAACAAACGACTCGGCCGGTGGGCGCGTCCAGTGGTAGCGTAAAAATAGCGAAACGAGGCGATAAAATGGAAGAATGGGATAACGCGGTGTGTAGAGATTAAAAGTGGCGCGCGCGGCTTACGATCCATTTAATCGCGAGGGGTTCCGGTCTGTCGGTCGCGACCAGTACGAGATACGCGAGAAAACTAGCGACAGAACGGGCCGCGGACGAATCGAACGAACGAAGATAAAACGATCGGCGTCATCGTTTATTTTACGTCACGATGTTCGAAAGAAAGAGCGATTCGTTGTATCGCGTGGCAAGGTTGTTGCACGATCGTTGCGCAACGTTTCTCGGACGCGGTCGAACCGCTGCTTTTCTTCTTTCTTCCCTCGTCGACGCTCGACACCTTCTACTCCTGAGTAGTCTCTTTCAGAGATTTTTCATCGTTCGCCCGCCCGCGGCCGGGCTGTTCTTTTTTTTTTTTTTGCACGATCACGGGGAGAGCCGACAAGGCTAACGAAGATTAACTCGACTCTAAATTGACGGCGCGTGTCTAAATTGGTCCGTCGATAGTACGCGGAGACGTGTCGGCGAGCACGTCACCGCCGATGCATTTTTCGCGGCCCTGCCCTCGCGTTCGCGCGATACCGATCCTCGAATCTCACTCTATCTACATTTCCAGGGAACGCGCTTCGACGTTCCAACGATCGCGTCCAATTGCTTTTGCCGTTCCATCGTCGATCGATCTTTCGTTGGAAAAGAATCGACCGTCGTAGGCGGCAAAAGTCAATCGTGTTCAATTAAAGGCGACACGGTAGGAGGCCGAGATGTTTACGAATACTGACCTGCAAACGACGACATCCAGAGCGGAGGATGACGACGATTTCGTCGTAGCTCGATGGCAACCCTATTCCAGTGTCCTTGCCTTTCCTCGATCATTCGTGCGTCGCGGTTTCCCGGTCGTCCTCGATCCCTGAAATCATTCGATCAGTCAGTTTATCGAAGTACAGCTTCGTTTCGTATCTTCGCCCTCGTCGATCGGCCCGAAGACAGGGCGTTCGCGCAACATTCGAAGCGGTCGCGTTGAATTTCCGCGCCTCACGCTCGAGGCTGGTTTCATTGGCCGTGGAGGGAAACGCGTTCGCGGCTCGAACCACGGCTCGTCGCGACTTACGTCACTCGAAGATACTCGAATCGGGCCGCGCTTCGACGAACTCGCCTTTTTTCTTTATCGTTATCGTCGTTTCCCACGGTTTATCGCGCGAATCGTCCTGCTTGTCCGCGGCGTAGCCGTAACCGCGGTCTACTTGCCAACCTTCTTTCCGTCTCCTCGATCGCCGACGGTGATCGTTGCTTCCTTTCAGCTGCTTCTCCTCGTGAAAATCCGTGTGCACGCGGATCGCGGCCTCGACGACCTTTCTCGTACGACTAACAGCACGGATGACTATGATCCGGTAAACCGTCAAGCTCGACCGCGAGCTGAACGGAGCGAACTCGCGTTGCGCACTAACCGACCGCCACGCGAGACGCGTCGCGCACGCGGAATCGCGCGATCCGCCGTCGCCGCCACCGCCGCCGCAGCCAGACTCTTGGACGCCAATCAACCGGCCGTTCCGCTCTGACCTCACCTTCGCCAGCCAAACGCCCGAAACGATCGGTTTCCCTTCGTTTCGATTTTCAATCGTTTGCACCGACGGAAGAGAAAAACGCGGCAGCGTTGATTTCAAGTTTCAAACTTTCCTGAAAACGAGGAAACGCGTGTCTGTCGGAAGCGTTTTCGGTGCATGCCGAGGAAGGGCTCTAGAGCGGCGCATTCGCGCGAGAATTCGCGACGAAAATAGCGAGGCGAGCCTCGTCTAAAATTATTCGACCGGTTCGAAAGGGTCGCGAGTAAAGAGTTGCAGTCGGTGCGCGTCTTTCCGCGTGCGGGGTGATCCGTCGCAAGTTTATTGCGAAGAAAAAAGGAGATGAATTGATTTCGAGTTCGAGGATGGAGGGAGGAGAGGAACGTTACCGAAACCTGTGCTCCTCGGAGACACTGCGATCAGGAAAAAAGGGCTTCTTCAGCGAGTTCGGCGAGCGCGTCGCGTTGGTCGCCGGCGACCGATGGATCGCGAAGGTGTTCGCGCGACTGACCAACGACGAGGATCGAATCCGGGCGATCTTCACGGAACCGAAGATAAACTCCGTGGCGTTGGAGACATTGAACAGGACGGAACCCTTGTACAGGGCTAAAGACGCGACCGCGTCGAGGAAGAGCAGACTGGAGGGGTTCGTGGCCGCGACCGCGGCGAAACGCACCAACGCGCTGTTGTGTTTCAGCCAAGCGGTCCTTCGCGCCCCGCTAACAGGTTCTCCATTCCTCCACCCTCGAGAACCCTCGGCGATCGTCGCTCACCTTCTTTCTTCGCTTTCGTTCCAGGAAAATGCGAGGAGGTCGATCGGGGATTCACTTTGTCGCTCGCGTTACTCGCGAGAGCGGAGATCCTTGCCGCTTCGGGTCAACACGCCCTCGCTTTGGACGACTTGCGTTTCGCCGAAGAGCTGACCGTTCCGCAGCAATTCAAGTTCGTTCCTCTCGTTTTCTATACTCCTTACGAAACAGAAAATTATCCGTCTTCCTTTCAGATCGGAACTCGCCCGAAAGAAAGAAGCGTGCGAGAAGGTTATTCGCGAGAACGAGAAGAGTCTAGTTTCCGCGAAGGAACTCGAGCGAAGAGGAGAGTGGACGACGACGGAGAGTAAACGTAAGTTTCCCGAGACCGCGGTTCAATTTTCTCCCCGAACGATCAATTTATTCCGTAGCTTTACCACCGTTGACCGAGGGGGAAAATCCGGGGATACCGGGGGCTTCGTCCCTGCTGGAGATGGAGGAGACGGTTTCCGCGGGTAAGAGGGCGATCGCCGCGAAGACGATCGTCCCTGGCGACACGTTGGTGGTCGAGCATCCAATCGCCGCCGCTCTGTTGCCCGATTTCTTCGGCACTCACTGTCAACACTGCTTTTCCAGGTCGGTTTTCCTTCTTCCTCCGTTCTCTTTAACATCGACGACGGTGGGTGGCAATCGTTTCAGGTTCGTCGCCCCGGTGGGATGTCCGAACTGTAGCGGCGTGGCTTTCTGCGGGCGAAAGTGCAGAGATGCGGCGATGTCGTCCTACCACAAGTACGAGTGCAAGATTCTGGCGCTACTGATAGGTAACAAAATCGTTTGCTCAGGGTCGGGACCCCGCGACCTCGATAACGGCACATCGCGTTGCCGATGACGTATAAGGTATCCCGGATATTTGCCGACCAAATACGCAGATTTATCCCGTCGATGAAACAAGAAAAAGAAAAAAATTATCCACGAATCTTGTTCGATAATTAAATGCAACGATTCGTTTGCCGTTTAGGCTCGGGCATGAGCGTATTGAGCATGCTTGCCTTGCGAATGGTCACACAAAACGGTCCGAACAAGTGTGCGGAGATCCGACACGCGTTAACGTGTCGAACATCGAACGAGGGAGAAGATCGGAACGCGCGATCGTCGACGGAGACGAAGCCGAGTAAATCGGCGAAACGGCGCTCGAGGAAGAAAAAATGGCGAGACTCGCAGCGTAGGGAGAAACTCGAAGAGGATATCGATTTGAGGGCGTACGACTTGGTGGCGCACGAGAAACAGAGATCGGCTAAAGACTTTTTCGAAAGATCGCTAATGGCTGCGTTTATGCTTCGATGTTTGCAGAGAGTTGGTTTCTTCGAGAAGCCGACCAAGGACGAAGGTAGAAGATTCGTCGACGCGATTCCTCTTGGCTCGTTTGTGAAACCTGTTCGTTTTCAGAGACGCCGAACGAAGAGGAAATCGGAGTGGCCGCGTTGCTCTCGAAGCACCTTCAAATGCTGCAATTCAACGCTCACGAGGTGTTTGAAACGCGACTGGGAACGGAGCATTGGTTTCGGGGCAGCAAACCGGTGTACCTAGGGGTGGCCGTTTATCCGACGGTCGCTCGTTTCAATCACGACTGTTATCCGGCGGTGACCAGGTACGGAGGAAAGAAATTTCAACGCGTAAAACATTCTTAACTTTTCTCTTCGCAGGTATTTCGTAGGTCGATCGATCGTGATTCGAGCGATTCGTCGCCTGGAACCAGGGGACGTGGTAGCCGAGAATTACGGGCCGATATTCACCAAGAGAACACTGAAGGAGCGTCAGAACACTCTCGCTGGAAGATACTGGTTTCGTTGCGAGTGCACCGCCTGTCGGGAAGACTGGCCCCTCTTCGACGGTTTGTCGAACGACCTCGTTAGACTAAGGTCAGTAATCGACGCGTCTTACAAAATTACAAATTTTCACGTAATCGAGCGCCATTTTTCTCCGCAGGTGTCCTACCAAGGGATGCACCAAAGTACACGGAACGCCGCAAGATCCGAACAAGATGATCAAGTGCTCCTCGTGTCGACGAGAGGTCGATCTTCGAGGATCACTCGAAACGGTACGCGAATGCGAAACCCTTTACGCTCGCGGTTTCGCCGCGATGGACCGAGAACAGGCCGAGGCCGCTTTGCAGGCGTTCCTCGAAGGAGCGGACAAGTTCCACCGAGTGGCGGTGCCACCCCACAAGGACACTCACCTGGCGGAAATCGCGGCCAGCGTATGCATGGCCGACAATGGCAACGTTTGGTCGCCGCAAAACCCCCCTGTTTGATTCGGCGATATAAAACGATCGGTAACAATACGAAACATAATAAATGCGTGATAGAAAAAGAGAAGGAAAGCGTGGCGGATGCTCGGATAATCGCTTACCTGCCTTAGATCCGGAAGAAGGAAGAGGAATACGAGAGATCGGTGGAGACGTAACAAAACTCGACGTTCGGTTCGTGAGATTTTGCGATTTTTTTGGCATTTATTTTTTATAATGCACATGTTTCGTGAAAAAATTAAATTCCGTATATGAAAGTAGCTTTTTTCGAAATTTCGCGTTTCGGTATAAAATTCACTGGGTTCGAGGAACACAGGGAGAGGACGAAGGTGAGGAGGATAAGCTGGGAAGGAGGAATGGGGAAGGTAAGAAGGTGGGCGCAAAGGTAGAGGGGGTGGATGGGTGAAATTTTTTTTTTTTTTTGGAAAGGAAGGTGGTGGATCGGGATGGCCTGTCGGTCGACGGACACGGTCCGTACGGCCGGCGAGAGATTTTTACGTCTCGGCTTCGATCGAAGATACATTCTCTTCGAGAGACAAGCGTCTCCCTCGGTTTTCTGCTTTTTTTTTTTTTTTTTTTCATTCCGTTTCTTGTCCGATCCGATACCTTCACGGACGGTTCCTACGGCTATGATCTCTTTCTCTCGCGGGAAACTGAATCGAAACTAATTGACTGTCGCAAAACGTGATACAACGCGCGTCTCTTCCTCTTGCTACTGCCTCTCATCCTTCTCCTTCTCTTCACCCGAAGTCTCGTCTGCCGAGGAGAATCGCACCGATTCCCGGCGCCGAAATTCATCGGAAAACGAGACATTCGCGAATCGTTAAATTCTCGGACGCCACGTGTCCACGTATTGCCGAACCGTGCACGTTCGTTCGCACGATTCTTGTTTTGCGCATTTGCTCTGCATCCTTTGCGTTTCGTTTAATTCCGATATTCACTTTCAACACATGCATTCTTCTTTTTTTTTTTTGTTCGCGTGCTTCATTTCAATTACAATGCTCGCCCGATGCGAGTCGCGACTTTTCGATTTAGATTTTATTCCTGCTTCGCGAGACCCCTCTTAAAATACGCTCTTTTTTACTTTTTTTTTTTTCTTGCCGTTCTCCCCAGCTGTTACGCCTCGTGGGAGTTACGCCATCCTGCTTGTTAAAAAAATCGTTTCTTCAATGTTACCGTGTTAATTTACACTTGTTTCGTTATTAATCGATCGCGTTTCTCCCACTTGGCGTTACGCTCGCACACCACTCGTTTCCTCCCCCCATCCCGCGCCACTTTATCACGCTTTCATCCTCTTTCGGTTCTCCCACGAAAGATCCTGCGATCGACTATCGCGAAGAATCTTCTCAGCAAGGAACGTAAAGCGTCTTCGACCACGAGTGCAGGTAAAATAGCGACGAACGACGAGGACGGCGACAAAGATCCGAGATCCAGAGCGCGTTTCGAATGAAAGGTAAAAAACCTACTGCCAACGAGCTTGCGACACTGTTCGGTCGACCTCGAATTACGTTTGGAAAGAAAATTGTACTTTTTATTTTTCCGACGATAGAACTACAAACTAAAATTTAAAAAAGTGGTTTCGTTTCCATGCAAAATCGTATAAAGCTTTTTTTTTTATCTGTGTCTCACCGTCTCATCTTCTCTCTGACACGCACACACGCATACAAAACGCGTGCACTCGCACGCGTTAAACTTTCTCTCCCTCTCTTTCGCTCTATCTCCTCGTCATTTGTCGTCTCGCTTCGTTCGAACGAACCACGGGTGTCGTTACCTTCCATCTTCGATGGAATCGTAACAGCCGCGGATCTGCGCCGAGCATCGCGGCGTTCGATAAACGCCGTCGATGCTCGGTTAGCACGGAGATAACGAATCGATTCACGATTACGTCGAACTCGTAACGCGTGAAATCTCGATAATGATCGTCGGATGAATAATAGGCACGAGCAAGCGAACGCCTTGCTCAAACTTAGTCCTACCCACCAGGGGCATCGATCGCGTCCATCTTATTGCTATGATCGTACGCGAACCCCAATTGTCGCAATCGAATATATCGTACGAAGAATTTTGCCGGACCGTTCCGTCTGTCGCGATTCGACCCGCGGATTTGAGACGAAAAGAAAAAATTTTGACGACGCGCGAGAACGACGACGGACGATCGACTGTGTCGAAACGAATCGAATTTCGCGTTTCAAAATTGAAAAGAAAAAATAAACGGAATAATTTCGAGAAACTAAAAAAACTACTAAACCGATAGACGATATGGCGGGTAAACGCCCGTTCGATATCAATCTGTACGCAACGCGCGTTTACCCAGAACACACGCACGGGACAAGAGAAAAATATCGCGGATCTCGCGTTAAACTCAACGATACGTATACATATACATATATGCGCGTAAAAACGATCGAATGCGTTTCGTTGAAGAAAAAAAAAAAAAATTAAAACATATGAGAAACAATGAATACGCAAAAACAAGAACAAAAATACCACTTTCGCTAATTCGAATTCGTATTACGTATCCCATCACACCGTGTCTGGTTTTTTTTTTCCTCTATTCTTTCTTCTCGTCTCTTTTTACACGTTATTACTGAATTTGGCCACGATCGAGATTATCACCTCGTTATGAGCTTCGTTCACACCGAATTCGTCGCGGTCGCGATTCCCGTTTCGCGAAACTCACGGACGCGAACGAAAACCGTTGCGTTCTCAACTGTACGAAATCGTTGCCCCCGTTTCAGTAGGTGGTAGGCACGGAAAAAAGAAAAATGAAAATAATCAATCGAGCGGCGGGGATCGAACACCGCGCGTTTTACAAATTACAAAACTATATCAACGATATACGTCCAAGTTGAAAATGTTTGTTCGCTCGCAGTCGATCCATCGGTGTCTTTCTTCGTCGCGATCGAAATTGCGGCATTCGCTACACCCTTTCTTCAGGGAGGGTGTGGAGTGGTGTTTCTAGGTTTCTTTCCCTTTCTTGTTGCTTCTTCTTATTTTTTTTTTTTTTTTTAATTTTTTTTTTCAATTGTTATGTTATATTGTTGTTGCTGCTGTTGTTGCTGTTGCTGCTGCTGTTGATTCGGTGTATAACGGGTGTTGCTGTTACATATTAAAAGGAGTGTTTTTGTTGTAGTGGTACCATTACTCTTGGTTAAGCGGTGCTTTCGGTGGTGGTGTTCTGGACCGGTTGACTCTCCTGCAAGATAAACGATATTCGTCAGACGATCGCTCCTTCTATGATAGCAACGCCTACGCGAACTGTAGGGAACAAAAGTCGACGACAAACACGAATAACTATGTATTTACACGCGAAGAATCTAACGTAGATGCTAGGAGGAGCGGTGTAGAAAGCAAGAAAACTGGCACGAGAATAGAAAACCCAAGTGATAGAGAAAATGGTACAGAGAGACACTAATTTCAACCAGGAATAACTAACTTCGAATATGTAAAACGTTCGTAAAAACTGGCGTACGATTGGAGATCAATGTTTTGGTCGATAGGAAGAAGAGAAAGGTTAAAAATGAAAGGAACCAGAGGAAAGAAAGAAAACTAAAGCCACGTTACCTGTGGAGCAGGGGCAGCGGCAGGTGCATCCTTATCTTTAGGTGCATCCGACTTCTGCTCCGACTGAAAAGAGTACAAAAAGATACGTGCAATAGTGTGTGTGTGTGTGCAAGCGCTACGCCATTTAACGAGAATTCGTCAACGGACCGAACACTCCGATCTTCGTCAATTGTATTCGCGCTAGATTAATGGAAAAAAAAAACATACAGTAGAAACAAGATAGACAGCAAGACAAGAAAGAAATCGTACAAACTACCGGACATAAGAAACCTAAAGAAGTAGAAATTAAGAGAGATGATACGAGCAAGAAACGTGCGATATGTGCGATCCGTTGATGATAACGCGAATATTTACAAGCGTATCGTAAATAAAGTAACTACGGGTTCGTAAAACTAACGAATGTAGTCGAGTAACAATGCTTCTTGGAGTAGTAGCTCTTTCAAATTTTCTTTCAAACGTATCTACCTCGTCGGTAACTAAAATCAGCAAAAAGAGCAACAACGACGGGAAGCAACGATTCTCGAGGTATTTCAAATCTACCACGCAAGAAAAATCTATGAAACGAAAGGAGGAACGGAACGATCGCGCGTGAAACGAAGCGAAAGAAAGCGTAGATTGAAGGTTGCTGTGTGTATGTGGAAAGAAAATTAAAAAAAAAAAAAAAAAAAAAAAAAATAAATAAAGGTAGGAAGACGGAGTTAACCATTATACAGACAAACTGCTACGGACTTTTACTTGGCCGTCCTGGCTGCGAGGACGACGCGGAGGTCCGCCGCCTCTTCCTCCACGGAAATTGCGACGGAAGTAACGACGAGTTGGTCCTCCGCGACCGCGGCCACCGCCTCGTGGCACGCCGCCTTCGCCGCCACCCTCGCCACCTTGCTCGCCAGCTTCCCCGTTGTCTCCTTGCTGCTGCGCCGACGGACCGGAGCGTCGCGCACCACGATAATACCCATCGTACTGTCGTCGAACTCTGTAACGTCGTTGCTGACCGCCAGCGTCTCCTGCGTTCGCTTCGTCCCCGGTCTTGCCTTCGCCTAATAAACATTTTCATCTTATATTATCAATTCTCTATCTATCAGCTTCTACTCGTCGGTCTGAAGCTAGAAACGCGAAGAAAATAACAATGAAAGAAATATCGCTAATCACCATCGTAACCCTCTTGACCCTCTCGAGGTCTACGTTGCGGCCGACCGTTTCCACGTCTCTGGTTGCTGTACCAATGAAGTCCGCGGTGTCCGCGTCGCTTATCGGCAGCGTAGGGTGAACCCTTTACCGGCTCCCCGGAAGGACCGGTTACGTTGGCCGCTTCATGACCCTTGTCCCCTACTACCACGTCGAATTCGACCACCTCTCCGTCACCGACGCTACGCACAGCCTTCCTTGGGTTATTCTTGACGATGGCCGACTGTGGATGCATCAATTACCATCGATCAGCAACGTTCATACTCAGAATCAAGAAATTTACCTTTATCCAAAGCGCAGAGAATTAAATCTACTCACTTGATGCACGAACACATCCTCCTTGGTGTCGTTTCTGTAACAAACAAAGCGTAACCCTTTAGAGATCCGGTGCAATGCGGAATAAACAGGCCGGTAGAAAGGTCATTGAACTTTGATCGTTCGCCGTAGACAAGAAAGAAACTAGAAACGCTCGACTACCTTCTCTCCCTTTTGTTCTTTCATTCTTTTCTTCTTTTCTCAGGCCTGCAGCGCCCGAACAAAAGAAAAAAAAAAAAAGAGAGAAGTTTGTGCGTCTCGGAACATGGACCGTGCAGAGGATGCTTCGAAGCACGAACCAATGGGTGTCCGGACGAACGTTTGCTCTACCACCGGTTAAATGAACCGCGAGATCCGCGCAAATGGCGCGAACCACGGTGCGAATTATCGGTGGTGTTCTCTCTCGCTCTTATTATAACCCCTTTCGTTGGCAACGACAAAGGAAAATTGTATCGAAATAAGGAATAAATAAACGATTACAGAACAGAGAAATTTCATTTCGTCGTTCGAAATAGATGCAAATTGAATATTTATTTATTTATTTATAAAGATATTTATATACCGAGTGAAGTAAATCTGGAAATTAATCGCTGAAAATACTTGGACATCGTCCGAAAGGAAATATCCGGAACACTTAGCATCGTTATTTCTTACCAGCTTCGCTACAAAGTTACTCGATTTTCGACCGTGATTCCTGTCTCAAATTTTCCACGACACCGGCGTTACTCGAAAACGTACGAACGGCTTGGCTGACGGCCAAACGCGTCTATAGTCTATGTATCTTTCCATCTACGTGCCCGTGTAACCGCGTGTATTTATACTGCGTGTACACGTAGACCAAGTAGCCGGTCGCATATTAAAAGCGCTTATTAAAGAGATCGAGAGAGAGAGAGTGGGAGAATAGGGGACTAGAAATAGCCAAAGATAGAGAGAGGGTTTGGAACGGGAAGAAAATACTTTGCCCTCTATTTCGCTCTCTTTTGGTAACGTGGTTAACGAGGAACCGAACATTCTTCTCAATTGAGTAAAACGCGTGTGCAACGTGCATCGTTTCAAATCGAACGAGCGAATTTGATATCGGCATTGGCGTAGGTCACGGTAGGTCGGAAAGCGTCTCGATCAGGTAAAAGGTAGCTGGAGGCGTAACGGAGAAAGGATTAGGAAGGGGGAACGGTGAGAGTGGGGGGCGTGGGGAAGAGAAGAGAAAAGAAAAGAGAAGAAGAACCGCGGAAAATGACGGATCGTTACTAACCTGTTGATGAATCCGTACCCACTCTTCACGTTGAACCACTTCACAGTCCCGGTCACTTTCTTAGCTGAAACCCAACAAAAGCGAAACCGCTCTAATTAGATATCTAGCCGCGTAACGTTGCGCCGCTGCGTCCGTCGCTTTATCCGATCAACGCGTCGTCAAATTCGATTAGGCAGCTTCTCGAGAATTCGGAGTTTTCTTCGAAACTCGATCCGCGGTCTGTATCGATAATCGAGTATTATGAGAATTCGATTTTCCAATCGAACGATACACGGATCGACGATGTTTATCTTCGAGACGGTTTTTGTTGGTTATCGAAAGCGGTTAATAATAGGGGTGGCGAGTCGATGTTTACACGCTCGAATTACCAAGATTTTCTTTCGTCGATTTAACGGTTTCCTTCCTCTAAACAATGGCGTTAGCGCGAACGCGTAAGGCATCTTCGACGAGGGATGCTCGTTAACCGCCACAAACATGCCCTCAATTTTCTTTCTCTACTCCTTTTCCTTTCCCTCCTTGCCCCCTCCAGCGTCCACCTTTCCGTAAAACTATATACTTTTCTTCGTTGGTTGAGCTGTTCCTTCGAAATTGCTCTTGTTTTCGCGAATCGAACGGAAGCTGAACGAAAGAACGCGCTAGACTCGGTAACGAACGCCACCGAGTTGTTAGAACGAAGGTGAACGTTAAGAAATAGCCCGAAACTTACGTAATCAGATCGCGTTACGGCAGCCGATTTATGGAAAACGTTTATTAAAAAGGTTTAGAAACAAAATCGCGAATATTTTTGAAAAACACGCGGTATATCGCGATCCGACGATCGCGATGATTCAGGTTATTACTTTGTACTCGTTTAACTCGATGAGAATACGTTCGCGAGCCCGGGGGGTAGAAATAAAAACGAAAAAAAGAATGAAAAGTCAAGGAAAAGAAACGAAAATTAAGTCGAAAACGATACGAAAAGACGTCCGTTGTGTATTCCCTTCCGTCTGCCTGTTTAGGTTGGCGAGGGAAACGTAACGAAGCACGATGGATCGAAAGCGTGCAAACGAACTCGTTGAAGAAAGGTAAGCAAACGAGGAAATAAACGAGAAGAGCGAACGGCCTTTGTGTTTAATCGCGATTCCGATCTAAAAAATATCGAAAGACGCGAAGTGTAAACTGGCCGGCTCGCCGGCCCCATGCCACATGGTTAAACATTCGTTGCTCCAGGACGCCATTATTACATGCGGACGATTCCGCGGAAACGAACCCGCTCTCTCTTTCAGCTGAATTTTTTCACCGTCGAAATACACGCGTATACGATATAAAGTGTAAATGTACAGTTCACTCACCGATGAGCAGCTTCTGCTGGACAGCCTTTGGTTGTTCGGGCTGTTTTTCCGGGTCAGCCATGGTGGTGGTGTTAAGGTGTTAAGACACGCCGCTGCCGAACCTAGATGTTCCCGTCTTTCTGGTCGTGGTGTTGGTTCCCTTCTAATGTTCCCAACATGGCTGCGCCTCCAGGCGACCGTACAAACATCCTTCCTGTCTAACGGGCCACCCGATTGGTCGGCTAGCAAACTAGCCCGCCTATTCGACCAATCGCGCGTAGAGTTTCACGGAACGCGCGTGACGTAACTCACGCGTTACTTCCTCGGTTTCTTGCTCGCTCGTACGTTCGCTTACTCGCTCGCTCGCTTGCTAACCTAGCTAGCTTGTTCGCGCGCATTTTCCTGCGCGTTCGCTTCTTCCTACAATCATAGATTCAGCATTTTCCATTTCCGTACCGCATTGAACTTCACCACTTGCTCTCTTTCCATTTCCATTTTCGATCGTGACAAAATTCGATTCGAGTATTATCGAAAACGTAACAGCTTCACGTTTCGTTCCGTTTCCCGCGGTTTACTGCACGATTCAAACGACTTTCTGAAGGAAGGCACGTTCAATCGTAATAATTTCAATTTCAATCGAACAAATTCAGACTCTGAATATGTGAAATAAAAACAAAAGGCTTGAATCCGAATTATACCGTCTGTTTACCTTTTTTTTCTCCCAATTGCTCGTAAATCCACTCGACGCGTTGATCCAAATCGAAACGTGTCGTTTGAAATGTGCACGAAACTGTAGATTAATTAGTTAATAACGATAAATTAAGGGAGGATAAAGTTTGTTCGATTAAATTAGTAGGAACACGGAGGTTGTGAAAAAGAGTACCAGAAATATGAAACTGAACTCGAACAGTATCGACATTCGTGTTTCTACCATTTGTTAAACTTTACAATACTTTTTTTTTTTAATGAGATACATTTTGCTCGAAGCACTGAAAAAATAATTTTGTATCTCTTACAACATTGTTACGGTAAACCGCGTCTATTCGTCGTTTTCCATCTATCACATCTTTTAATTTCAAACTTAATCTTCTGACTTACTTTTTTCCATTCGGTACAACTTACTATTACTCTGCTTTACACCACTTTTCTGTATCGTTTGCGTCTGTTAAAAGGGCGATACAAATCATCGTTTGCATATATCTCAGCACATTTATAGGATGAACCATTTTATTTCTTTCGTATCTGAAACAGCTATGAGACGAGAAAATAAAAGCAAGAAATTTGTTTCTTTCATCGACGATACTTACAAATTAAAAACGAAACACGATATTCGGACTTATCCAGTTGATCAGATGTTAATGCGTTTTGTCGAAATGCTGAGCATTTATAAAAACCTTTCACACGATTTATTTTTCCATTGAAAAGTTTATAAAAACAAATTTACCGTACACGTGTACACTCCGACCACCTGCATCGGATACAGAACACGTTGTCCTCTTTACAAATAATAATTTTCTTTTCGACTCTCAGCACTTCGATCGACGAAACGTCAAAAGTTAAATGTACGGGACCCTTAAACTTAATTTTTCGTTAGTAAAATAGCCAACCACGCGTCTTTCATATTTTCTGCTTCTATGTATGATACAACTATGTACAGAGTGTCTCAAAACATTACACAATTTTACAATTTCCAGTTTCTTTTTCTGAAGCATACTTAAGCAATTAAAAATTGGCTATTCGACTTTCTTTTCCACTCGTTTAAAAATGAAAAATCTTCACTTTTCGCCTTGTACGTTCCTTTTCAGACACTCTGCATATATGTATATATACGTACGCGTATAACGTAACTTGAACAGACTTTGAAACAGTGATACATAAAAGTCTGCCACTAATGTTTTCTCATGTATATACAAGGTGGGTACATTTAACAACGGCGTAAAATACAGTTTAAAACGAGTCCGTTTGAGTAGATGTACCGATCTGAACACGACACTCGACGCATCGTACAACGTTTAACGTATGTATATAAAATTACGCGGAATAGATCCAAACGTTAATCAATCGATTACGACGACGAATGCTCTGCGAGAAGCTGGGCCGAGGTGCTTTACATTCTCCATCATCTCGGTTTTCTGCTGCGAGCAGTCCTGGATCTTGGCGCCGTGAAGCCACTTCCGATGCTGAACATGCCAGGTGCGGTTGCGTTGAAGGTCGGTGCACTCGTAGTTCCAAAGTTGATGGATGGAGTGGTCGTTGGTGCGGAGAAATTAAATCCCCCTATTGATGCAGCTGTATAAGAAACATTATTCAAATTTCTGTGACACGCATTCGACAAAGAATTAAAAAACAATAATTACCTAGATTCGATGGCGCCCCGCTGAACTGGAAAGGCGCGGACGACGATGTCGTAGCGTTGTTGTTCGCGTTGTTATTTCCGCTGCCGAAGGAGAACGCAGTGTTCTGCTGCGGTTGCTTCTGATTCGCTCCGAAGCTGAATATACTGCCGGCATTGTTGTTTTCGTTGTTCGCGTTGGTGGCAGCTCCGAAAGCAGTATTGGGAGCACTGGACGATCCAAAGGTTGAAGACTGAGCTCCAAATGGTAGAACTTTGTTGTCGCCGAAGGCGGGAACAGAGCTGGCATTGGTGTTGGCGTTGGTAACGTTCACGTTAGAGGTAGCATTGACATTGGCGTTTGCGTTGACATTAGAGGTAGCACCAAACGCGTTCGAGGTGGAGGGGTTTTGCCCGCCAAAAGTATTCGAGGCGGAAGTACCGAAAGGACTACCGGTGTTACTGCCGTAAGCTGGAAGGCCGGTAGAACTGCTGCTTCCGAATATGTTAGTGCTGGTACCAAAGGTCGGTGCGGTGGTACCCGGTGTCGCTGAATTCGCAGTGTTCTGCGAGCCGAAGACAGGAGTCACGGTGCTGGTGGTGCCAAACGCTGGCGCGGGCACGTTGCTAGAAGTGTTCGCCGAACCGAACACGGGTACGCTGGTGTTGCTACTGGAAGCAACGTTCGTGGTGCCAAACGTGGAAGTCGTGGTCGTTGGAGATCTGAAGAGATTCGGTGTACTACTGTTGCTACCAAACACTCCCGTGGTGTTTTTGAAAGTTGCACTCGATGAGGTTACTTGGCCGAAGATGTTACTCGTTGTGCCAAACGCCGGTGCCGAGCTGGTCGAGTTAGCGCCGGAGAATAAACTGCCGGTTGTTGCGGGTGCGCTCGGAGCTGATGTATTAGCAGCCGAGCCAAACACTGGCACGGCCAAAGTGCAGGTCGTGCCTCCTGAAGAAGATGCAGCGGCGGTGTTCGAAAAGACTGGAGCCGTATTCATGTTTGCAAATGCGGAGGAAGTTGTGTTGACGTTGGAGCCAAACATCGGCGTTGCGGAACTCTTGGGTGCAGCAAAAGTGGTGCTGGTAACGTTCGTCGTTGAAGGTGTACCGAAAATTGACTGACTAGGGGTTGTAGTCCCAAAGATCGACGAAGTGGACGCGTTACCAAATATAGGATTGGCGTTCATGGTAAACTGAGGCGGGTTACTAGCCGCGGTACTAGCTGGATTACTAGCCGGCAAGCTCCCAAAGCTAGGCAAAGCATTGTTGTTACCAGTAGAGAATGCAGGTGTGCTCGAGCTTTCCGTCGGTGCCTTTGTCGCGCTCGGTGCATTATTAAAAGAGAACCCTGTTTTGTTGGATTCCCACGGGTTGGGTGCACGAAAACTGAACGTCGAGATCGCGGGTGTGGTAAACGTAGCTGCCATAGTTTTAGCCAAATTAGGTGCAGTACTGCTGATTACAACGTTCGAAGCGGAGCTGCTTTGCAAGGCAGGACCGTTCATACTTGTACTCGTGGTTGTACTCGTCCCTGTATTCGTATTTGTACTCTGAACCTGCTGAGAGTTCGCCAGAGATCCAAACGTGTTGTTACCACTTTGCGACACGTTTCCTACTGAACCGAAGAAGAATCCTTTTGGCTTGGGTGCTGGTGGGCTACCACTTTTGTTTCCAAAGGTCAACAATGGTACAGATTGTTTACTGATCATTTCCATATTGGCACGAATCGTGGCAAGACTCGGTATCACTGGTGCAGGCGCGCTACTAGAAACGTTCATCGAAGAAGTCATTCTTAACGGTATCGCGTTCATATTAGAGGTAATCGACGTTGATCCTGTACTCGGTACTGTACTCTGAGTAACAAACGTTGTCAATGACGGTGCGATGTTCGCGGTTGTCGGTGCAGCAGTCACATTACCGCTTCCCACTGATAGATTTGAACTGGTTGAAACGTTCTGAACTGTTTGCGGTACGTTTGTTGGGAAGCTCAGGCTTGCTTCGGTTTTTGCGTTAGTCATACTCGAAGTTACGGGAACAGGTGAAGACATTGATACGTTGCTAGTGACGTTTCCAAATAGGCTGGCCGTTGTGGAAGTGGCGAGCGAAGGTGCATTGTTACTCGAAGAAACAGCGTTCGGTGTGAACAAAGTGCTGGTCGCCGTGCTCGGTGTTGATGTGCCAAAATTGAAATTTGGCGTGGCCGAACTCGAATTGACTACGTTTACGTTCGTAGCTGGAGAATGAGACACGATCGCGGATGTAGTTGTAAACATATTTTCAGGAGCATTGCTCGTCTGATTTGCCGTAGAAGGTGGAACGGTCTTCGTCTGTGCCTCGAAAGTGTTGCTAGGCTGTATATTCGTATTCGACGGAACTTCCTTGTTCGGTAAATTAAAGGCTACGTGTTTCGTATTTTTTGTACTCGTTTCGTTCACGCCAAAACTGGGTGCCACGGCTGACGTTGAGATAGGCGTGGTATTAACGTTTGTCGTGGTAGTCGATGAGTTGAGAGTCGCGCAAGTCACAGGACATTCGACTGGTTTAACCGGGTTCACCTCTTCCGCTTGGATCACAACGTCCGGATTAATCTGGCTGGCCGCTGAAAAGTCAATCAAATTGTCGTTAGACGAAATTCGTTTACTGTAACATTGATTAGGTGCTTACCTTTCCCGGATATAGCATCGAACATGCTTTGAAGCCTTGCCTTCATACTAGTCTGCCTCATATCCGCTATGTCTTCTTTTTTTATCTCTTCTACGTCGTCTGTTGTGAATTTCGCTCTTATATTACCTTGCTCTTCGACCAACATTCTCAATTTTTCATTCCTTTCCGGCTCTGCTCTCATAAATAACTTGTGAGTTAGTTTTCCCGTGTCGGTAGACACGACAGGCTCCTTAATTCGGTCATTTTTATCGAACGCATTCAAACGCTTTGAGTAAATTTCTTTATTGTCCGGGTCAGTCTCGATACTTTTATTAGTCGACTTCAAAATCCCCCTTAATGGAAACTGTTCTTGTATCTTATCGGGTGGAGTAAATACATTCGAATTTCTCTTCTCTGGTACCTCCTGATTGGGACATTTTGGGCTCACATTTTGAACTTGTGGTAACGAAGGAGAGCTATTGTTTTGTATACTCTCCAAAGATTTGAAATGCTTTTCAAAATCTGGTGTTCCGCTTCGTGAAAAATCAACTAAAAGAAACAAGCAATACAACATAAAGAATAATTATAATTCTGTAGGAATTAAATAATTTGCTACCCTGGATTAAATACTTACTAGCTTTCCTTTTGACACCGGAAACAACGTGCTTACTAGAACTAAGCGAATTTATGATGTCGTAACAGGATGGAGTTTTTGTTCGTTTTGTAGGTCTATTTGTGGATTCGGCTTTACTTTGTGGCGAAGCATCCTCTTCTGATTTCAATGATTCTTCTTCTCTACTCCTCTTCTGCTTCGTTTCATCCGGACTCTCAAATTCTTTGTTAATTAAACTCTCTGTTCGCTGCTTTTTCGATAGATCGGAAGCAACGTCTTCTCTCGTCGCGCGTCTCTTTAGCGGTATCGCTCTTAAAGATTGAGTGACGCTAGGAGAAGAATAGCTATTATCCGGGTGATGCGAGTTCGAGAAAATTTTCTGCTTCGATGGTGGAGAATATCGAATGGTATGAGGTGGAGCTACTCTAACTGTTACCGGAGTTTTCGGTCTCACAGACTTGGCGTTTATCAACGGCACTGGACTAGCGTGAAGATTAACTTTCGGAAATTGTCCCACTCGATATTGCGACTGGTGCATCAATTTGTTGTTTGCTTCTGCCGCGTATTTCGTTAACCTAGTCGTAAGTCCTGGAGAATTTACGTCGTTGTATATTCTGTAATGAAATTAAAAATTTGTATAACCGCTTAAAGTTACAATAAAGTATAACAAATATACTTGCCTTTGATCTATATTGTATCTGGTTGACGATAATAAAGGTCCTCCAATTGCTTGAGCACCTCTTAGCTCGCTTAGGCTTGCGTCCATTTTAGGACTTAAGCCGGTATCCCACATTGAGCCTTCTGAATTGTAATACGTAGAATCTTCCCGTGCCAATGCATGATTCTGCCTGTACGCAGGGGATAATTTCTTTGACAAACTTTGATTCGGGGATAATAACCCAAATGTCTGATTTTCCAATTCCTCCTTGTTCCTTGGAAACATTGGCATTACGGTATGATTGCCAAGAGGGCTATGATCGTAAGATGAATGACCAGAATTGTGATAATATTTGTTCTTGGGGCTGATATTGTTCGAAATATCGGTTTTCTGTACATCTTTCGAAATCGGGCTAAGCTGTGCAATCGAACCAAAGCTCGAGGAATTACTTCTAGTGGGATAAGTATCGTCGCTTAGCTGGTAACGTGTTCCACGACGTCTTTCCATCCTAAATTTGGTTAAGTTTCGTTCCCGAAAACGGCGACTCACGATCCTCCGAAACTGACGAATGTATTCATATATGTATTTAAAGATACGCTGAACGCTCGCACAAACTTCAAGAGAAATGTGTTTGCAGTAATCGAATAGAAGGAACGCGTGCGGCGACAATAAGCTGTCGTTGACGATCAAAGAGTAGCACGCATAGATAGTAAGGAATAATGAAATCGTAAGAATAAGAATCGGGCCCCAAACGTTGTAAAGAAACACGCACCCACTCAACACGCTTACTAATGTGATAACACTCCGATTTCCTAAATCCCACATATTACTTTAAACAAGTAACCTCTCCATGTTTGAAAAGAGCACACTCACCGAATCACCGGAACCTTACTGTACTAAGTCAACGACATTATCGACGTAGCAGTTACTACGTAATTCAATATATTGTCTTTTTTCACGATTATTTCCTATAAATTTATTTTAAAACATTTTCACAGAAATTTCGCAATTTCGTAGTAATTAAATGAACACAAATAAATTCTCGCGAAAGCATTTATCAGCGTTAAAACGATCTATTTTACGTTATTACGAAACGGCGTTGCATGGCGGTCAAATATTTCGTTCCCTCGAATTGACTCGCTTGCAGCGCTATCTTTCATTTCATAATGTTGCACGAATTCAGCGGTTATCTTTTAAAATTTAAATAACGGAATCTATGAAATAATTTTACACATTAATTACTGAATATAACATACATCTGTATTATAACGTAGTAACTACGACGTAGTAACTGCATTATTGTTATAATTATTTCTAGATTTCCAAAATAATGAGGAGGAAAATTCTGTTAATCAAATTTTTACCTAGTATCGAAGAAATTATCGTGTAGTGGCAATGATTCTTTTGTTTTTGTTCCTTTAGAAATATTAAAGAAATACAAATATTATCTTGAAAAATAAATTTAGTTGAACACACTCAATTCGGCGTCCCTCTAGAGAATATGGCGGTGTGGCGGTCTAAACCAGCTAGGGTGAACATGAACTGATGCGTTCCGTTGTTCTCGGTCCGAAGTCCACTCGTTTCAGTTTTCATGCTAGTAGTGCACGTGGGAATTCCTCGTGATAACAATAAGGAGAGGAGCAAAAGATACACGTCCTGCTGATCAATTATAATAACATTCTGAATCATAGTTTAAATCATGTCGTGGCTTTTCGGATATCGTAACGCGCAACCACAAGATTTTTCACAATTCGCACAACCACCGGCATCCGGCGGTGCGATTGGCGGTGGAGATGATTTTCATCATCCACCACCTAGAACTCAAATGGAACCTTATCGATTTGATTCGACCGCTTTGGAAAGAGCAGCATCGGCTGCTAAGGAACTTGAAAGATCCGGTACGATCGATTACTTACTTTAGGTTTTTCTGTTCAATGAAAATGTTACACGAGGTTACGTAAGCAGAAAACGATTGCTTAGGTTAAGGTCCTCGTGTTCCCGATGACATGATGCTGCTCCGTACTCTGACACCATATTATGATGATGCAACAAATTATCCTAGAAAGGAATTAAAAACAAACGATTCATGAATGAAAATAGTCACGATACGAGAAACTAAAAATATTATTCAAAGATTATGAATACCTGTACAATGTCTAACGTTCTTATCACGATTTTAACTCGTCGATTGCTCCCCAGACTTTGTCCATTTTTTGTTTTATGAAAGAAATGATTTTTTTAAATAAAATGTAGACTTACTATCTAAGAACATTAGAAAAATTTTTAACTAAACATTCTTGTGCTTCTTTTATTTTCATAGCACACGCAAAAGAAGCATTGGAACTTTCGAAATTGCAAGAGGCTACTAAGCAAATGGAAAGACAAGCAGAGGTAAAAAAATATGAAGCAGGTATAGAGCAAATGAAAGCGGAACAAAAACGTGTAGAAGGAGAAGAGAGGAGAAAATCTTTACAAGAAGAGACTAAGCAACATCAAATGAGAGCTCAGTATCAAGATCAACTTGCAAGGAAACGATACGACGATCAACTGATACAGCAGCAAAGAATGAACGACGAGAATTTGAGGAGGCAGGAAGAATCTGTAGCGAAACAAGAAGCAATGAGAAAAGCTACGATAGAGCACGAAATGGAATTGAGGCACAGAAATGAAATGAAAAAGTTGGAAGCAGAGGTGAAAGCCAAAGCAAAAATAGACAGAGAGAATCAAGATTTAAACTTAGAACAAATTAGAGTAAAAGCATCTGAAAAGAGGGTGACGGTATTGGAATCGATAAAGTGAGTAAAGACGGGAAATTGGTCGAAAAACATTGAAATACATTTATCGAATATTGTTTTCAGAACCGCTGGTTCGGTGTTAGGCTCCGGTATGACAGCATTCCTACAAGACTGGGACAAAATTCTCGCTGCCACCGGAGGTTTATCTCTGTTGGCTTTCGGCGTGTATACCGCAAAAGGGTCGACGGGTATAGCGGCACGGTACATTGAATCACGTTTAGGAAAACCATCATTGGTTCGTGAAACGTCTAGGTTTACGGTTTTGGATACGTTACAGCATCCAATCCAGGCGGTAAAGAAACTAAAAAGTAAGCAGACCGATGCTCTGTCCGGCGTTGTGTTAGCCCCAAAGCTCGAGGAAAGATTGCGCGACATAGCGATAGCTACAAAGAACACTAAACAAAATCGTGGAATGTATAGAAACATACTGATGCATGGTCCTCCTGGTACTGGTAAGACTATGTTTGCTAAGAAACTAGCCGAACACTCGGGTATGGACTATGCTATCGTAACCGGTGGTGATTTGGCACCGTTGGGCCGTGACGGTGTTACCGCCATTCATAAGGTGTTCGATTGGGCGGCAACGTCTAGAAAGGGTCTCCTACTTTTCATCGACGAAGCCGATGCCTTCCTAAGGAAGAGATCGAGCGAACATATATCTGAAGATCTAAGAGCAATGTTGAATGCGTTTCTCTATAGGACTGGCGAGCAGAGTAGCAAGTTTATGTTGGTACTTGCCTCGAATACACCGGAACAATTCGATTGGGCCGTAAACGACAGATTAGACGAGATGGTAGAGTTCCGTCTACCAGGACGAGAAGAACGCGAACGTTTAGTTCGTCTTTACTTCGATAAATTTGTACTTCAACCGGCGATCGAAGGCAACAAACGGTTAAAAGTAGCGCAATTCGATTACGGTATGCTTTGTAGCAAAGTCGCTAACATGGCCGAGGGAATGTCCGGCAGAGAATTGGCAAAGTTAGCTGTTACCTGGCAAGCAGCAGCGTACGCTTCCGAGGATGGAGTGCTGACGGAACAGATGATCCTGGATAAATGCACAGAGGCGATTAAACAACACAGACAGAAGGTAATTAATAGAAACTAAATATACTGTTATTAATTTAAACTTACGTGTTGAAAAAAAAATATATTAATTTCATGTGAATTGCCTTTTCGTAGGTTCAATGGCAGAGCGAACAAGAGAAGCAGGAATCGAAGTCTATTTATGCCACTGAAAAAGAACTGGATGTTAAGCCTATAAAATCGAAACCTATGATTGAATCCGCAGCTCCAGAAGCAAGTTCCGTCGCAACGGCTTAATTAGTAAGCATCGTTGCATAAAAATTAGCAAATATTTTACTAAAGAAATTAGTATTAAGTAATTACAAGAACGGTGTAAATGTTAAAAGAAAACGAGTACAATATTGAGTTGTCGTTTTCTGTCTAATGCGCGCGTGTATAAATATTATAGAGCAGTAATGAATTTGTTAGTAATGTAAATTCGTAGCTTGATTAAAATTTTTAAACATACACACGCACACCAGCAATTACAGTCATAAAGAAAAACGGATAAGACAGAATTGCAACTCGATAGTAACGTGTTAGTGTGTGTAAAAAAAATGACTTATAATTTAATTGATATCAATTAATACCTTATCCAAAAATCCATACCTTGACCTTCATTTTTTAAATCATTATACTTTCATAACCATCAATCATAAAAGCATACATGTTCAAATAATTTAACAAAAAATATTTAGAAACATTGTGTATTCTTTCATGACGTTTAATAAACATGTAATATTTTTTCTATTGTTATTTACTGAAAATCTGGATTTATTGTCTAATCAGAATCAATATGGAAAGGTTGAATAAACTAACAATTATTGAGGTATATTCGCAATTAACAGCACTGAGGTTTTCGTTTCGTAATCACAATTTGTATATTTAAATCATCCTTCGGTCTCCGTGGACGAAATTTGCTACTGGAATAACAAGAATCTGTTCTGTTCTCAGATTCGATATTCGTGAAAAAGATTCGATCTAATTGTAAGACAAATTATTCAGTAAGAATACAGTGTATATCGTTGTCAGTAATGTACATAAGAGAAAATAAGAATATAGATAAAATATTCTCACACAGCCCCACCAGGTAGATAAATGGTACATTCATCGAGTATTTTACCTAAAAAACGCTAAACATTGCTATTAATCTATTTAAGCTAAGGTGATTCGAATCAACTATAGCATGGGTGTACTGAGGTTCCTTCTAGAATAATGATACAAACAATTAAGTACATTGTGTAGCGTCAATGATGAAAATCTGACGGCTTCGTAAAATGACATCCGACTCCGAATTGATACTTTTGCTATCGATACATGTAACCATTAATCACAAAAAAGATCTTCCTCTCTTTACACATTTCATTTAAATAAAAAAAAAAAAAAAAATAAAAAAAAGAGGATAAACGAATGGTATATTGCTTTAATTTTATTTCAATAGTATCGTAAAATCAGTCTCTTGATAAGAAGACAGTTTGCGGAAAGGCACACGTACATCTCAGTTTTACTTTGGTTTTTACTTGATCTTTAGCATTACTCTTACTCGTGAAAGAACATTACAGCGCATATTTTAATCTCTAACTCGAAGCCCCCAGATACTCGTTCTTCGGACACCAACCGTTGGTCTCGCAACGGAACTATATAGGAACTTGTTAAGTTGGGTCTCACCGCAGGTAACTTGTAAAGTTTTCTGTACCGATTCTGGTATCAAACCAAAGACATCCAAGTACAACAAAGATGGCATGTACGCCAATGTTACGTATGCAGATGGGGGTATACCGTAACATCGACTTAGCGAAAGGTGTTCTAATTTTGATAGGTCTAATATACAACGAACAGTGCTCATTGTAAGCATAGTACAGTCGCTCAGGTCCAATTCCACCATGTCTGGACAACTTTTCACCAAGTCGGTAATGTCTGAAATAAAGGTATACAATGAATCATTCGATCGAGTAAAGTCTAATTTTTCGTCGACAATATTGCACTTACTATCGTCTGTCATTGTTTTTCTACATCCGGCTATGTTTAAACGCGTAATGGTTCGAGGTAAAGATTTACAAAGTAGGGTCATAGCCTTGGCATCTAAACCACACCATGCCACATTAACGGCATTCAAGCTGAAACATTATTAAACGAAAGTTATCGAAATTTATATGTCGGTCGTAAAGTCGGTACCAAATCGTTTTATGAAACCGTTCTTACTTCTTTAGTTTCGTTAAATCTTTGATACACTCGACATCCATACCCTCGCACATCGTTAAATTTAATGTTTCTAGATCGTTATTTTCACTGATAGCTTTACAACACGATCTGTTTACTATACATTTTTCTAGAGATAACTTTTTAAGGTATTTACAAAGAGACAGTAACATGGCCAATCCATCCGGAGAGATTACTGCCATCGAGAGATCCAAGTATTGTAATTTGCTAACGTAACCGTCAGTGAGAACCTCGCTGTTTTCGAGAAACACAGGATCTGCAATCTCTGCTTGAGCAAGTCGAAGTATTTGAACACCCCGTGGTAATATGTGCCCCAACGTGCCTTCGTTTAATACTTTACCACCTAGATCCAATCTACTCCATAACGCTTCGTCTCGGGCTATTTGACACCATCGTTTGCAAACCAACATGGAACGCACCTGAAAAAGTATAATCGCAACGTGACGGAACAATGTGTATAAGTTTCGACTATACACACTCATTAAGATTTAATTTTACCAGACATTTCTTCGGGAGCCATTTCAATATCATTAAAATCATCTCATCGGACAATTTGTTAAATTTATCCTCGCCTGCGGACGAAGATTTTCTTTTTCTTCTGTACAGGCAAAACTGCTCGAAACTACTTTTTTCGGTAGAAGCATTAAGATCGTCTTTACAAAAGGTTCCCTTTGTATTGATAAAATTATCTGCCTCGGTCCTAGAGGAATAGCCAGATTCATTTTTCATGTTGGAATATGCTGTCGGTTCATCCGACTCGTACGGATCTTGGTCCAATCTATGAACATACATAAAACATTTAAAACTTACGTTTCCAATTGCAATAAATAAACTAAGAAATTGTTTTTAAAGATACAAACCTATCTACAATAACGGTATCAAAGCTGGAAGCTCTATGAATACTTTCTTGACTGTCAAAACTATTACTTTTATTACATTTTTTACTATTTTCTGAGCTAATAGGCGAAGTACGTTCTACAGATTCTGAATTATTGGCTCTTTCGCAACTGGAAGCTTCATTCTCTAACATGCTGACACCCATATCCGCTAACATTTCTGGTTCCACAAGATTTCCATCACTGGCACAAGACCAGTTTGCATTATTTTTAGATGCACTATTCAAAGTACTGTTCAAATTGTTATTGCAGGTATCATCTAAGCGTAATCGTTTGCTATAAAACAGATTCATGTAAAAAAAAAATATTAATTTCGTGGCTGCTCTTTGCAGAACTTTAATAATTATTATGATTAGATGAACATATGAAAACAACCTGTTCCACCAAGGTGAAGAAGGCGATCCTTTGGACATAGTAATTCCAGAGATTGTCCTTGAATAAGTAAAACTTGTTTTGCAAAAGGTTTAAGAAATGAAATAGATTTATGAAACATGGATCATGATGGATGTAGAATCACTAATATTTATAGAAGAAAAAAAAATAATCTTATGTTAATTAAACACATTTACAATTTCGAAAAAAAGAAATGTTAAATTAAAAGTAAGAATACATAAATGTATATTCAATCAACATTCTAAAATATAGTTCAAAAACAACCACATAAATGAAAAAAAAATATTAGCTCGATGTTTCAAGAAATCGTTATTTATTATAAAAGGATATAAAATGAAAAGAACAATCATTTATTAAAAGAATACTTGGAAGAAAAATAAAATGGAAATTTCCAAGTAACTTTGCGTAGATTTATCGTGCAAAAAAAAATAATCACTCTTCGCCAAACTAGGAAACGAACATTATTTACAAGCAATCGTTCCGTTACGATTTACCGATAAATACGACATGGGAAATTTTAAGAATTACTATTAATAAACGAAACAAGAGAAGACGAAAAGGAGTGATTACCGTACCGTTGGAATCAAACTGGCAGCAAGGTTCTTAACCTTACCTGTGCGCGCGAAAATACGCACCTGCATCACCCCGGAGCAACAGGTAAGAGTTACACACCGAGATTATGAGAAACTGAAAATTTCTTTCGTAGAAGGGAATCGATGAAAATAATTCTCACCTTTCGGGTGGAGAAAATTCTGTAGAATTCTCTATGATATCGTCGTCGAGTCTCGTGTGCTCCGCCACGCCGGGATTCATTTTTGGCGGAATATCGTCGTGATAGCCTTTTTTCAATCGCCAATGGTCGTACAGTCGAAAAACAATCGCTAACAACGAGTTCCAATTGCTCGACCTCTCCGAATCTCGAATCCGATTGGTTGGCCATTCGAGTACTTCGAGATGGCGGGAAAGTCAGGAAACATATATACTCAGTGGCTCACTCGCACACTAGTTAGAGTTATTCTAACCCTAACCCAACATCGGCGCTGCTGTGCTTTTCACAATCACAAATTCTTTTACTTATTTTCCTACTTCTATCAAGATTAGACGTGGAAATATTTCACTCATCAATGCTTCGAATTTTTAAGCTTCTGATCTTCCGCGTATATCTTCATCTGATAGTTTACCAAATCCGATGTCTTCTTTCGAAAGTCAATTCGAGATTCCGTCGGTCGAATACCTTGTTCGTACCACCAGCCGTACCTGAAGATGAATAAGAAATGAAAACTAGATAATAAAAAGGGAACTGATTTTCAACATTTTCATTTGTTTTATAAAAGTTACGCGTGGCTGGTCAGCGGAGATCGACGATTAATGAATTTGTAAATGTTCCCTTGCTGATCCTTCGCCTTCTCATTTTTATCCTCGTTTTCGTAGCTCTCGTATTTCGTGGAGTAGAATTTCGATGCGGTAGGATCGTCTGTAATACGTATTCCCTCGTATTCGAAAGTTGAATAAAATTCTTTCAAAAAGTGTTTACCGTGTACCTTCTGTTTTCAAAGCTCGAAGGTCCGATCTTCCGAGTAGTCGATCCTTGGAAAAACAGAGCTTGAAAGGTGGTTGTTTCTCGGATGTTCTTTCGGTAATCGAATCAGGATAATTCTTTCGATCCATGAGACAATTTCAACTTGATCCCGCAAAAGAGCCTCCACGTTCGCGGACTGCAACAGTATCATCTGCTGAATCGGGAATAATCGTCAGTCTCCGGTTGACATTATTCGCCCCTTTCGGGGTATATTTAATCGATACACTCTGAGAATATGCTGGAAATAGAAACAGTGACGGGGTTTCGTAACGACGGAAGTGACGGAAAGGGAGTTCGTTCGGTCCCTAAAAATATCACCGTTGTCTTATCTATTAAATGCTATTTTATTAGGAAGCTTACAAAGTTCTCGTAAGACTTGCTCGCTTTTACACGGAAAAAAACAATGCCGTTCATCGACTCGGACGAATCCGAGTTACAAAAAGTCCCTCTTTTTTCGTTTCTCGACCCTGAATTATCAGCCCCGAATGAATTTCAGAGGTTCTGGGTTCACACGATTCAGAAAAATCATACGTATAAACGTAGCGATGATAAACTCTTCACGCGTACATTATTTTCATAACGTAAATCACACACGCTATTATCCACTCATACAATTTATCTCCAAATTTTCATTCACTTTCTTTTCTGTCTCGCTTACCATGATTACGAAAGAGAACTTTATTGTTTCGTGTCTTTTTTTCACAGAAAAAAAGGACGAGCTTCGTTTTCGCTCAAGGTTTTCTAATATCCTCGACATTCTAACATATAGCTGTCAAAATCAGCCGAAAATTAATGAAGTAATTAACGACAGGCTTCTTCGTAGCCATTTTACGTAACGGGGTGAAAACGAACGATAGGATTGCTGGTTTCCATCGAAAAAGCAAAAGGAAACATATTGTATTCGGTTACAAAAGCAATACTCAAGCTTTGTTCTTTTTTTTTTTTTTGGCGATGTTTTTCATATTTTTTTTTCTTTTTTTTGTGTTTTTGAGTTTTTCTCTGACGAAAAATGAAAAACGTAACAACGAAAATGCTGTTTCTATCGGTCGTTGTCGCATGCAATAAACCGTTTCTCGTTTCCCAATCGAAACAGAATAAATTTACGAACGATATCGTTTGGCTGTACGGGCTTTAACAATTGTTTTCACGCCCACGTTTAAAATTGAAAAACTGTAGATTTTCGGCAAACTTTTTGAACGACGACTAAAGGGTCGTGGATGTACAGCGCACCGATACTCGGCTCGTGATCTTACAAATTTCAAAGATGTTTTCTAATTTTTTGCTTAAACACTAATATTGTTGTCTCGTTCGAGCACTCGAACACGCATAAATTTATACAAGGTGTTCCGTAACACGTGGAGTTCATTCTGTTCGATCTTGCTCCCAAGTTATGGCCCATTTTCTATTTTGCTATTTCTGAAAAATAAACCGAGCTGATATAGAAGAAAGTTAATACTTTCACCGCCACGAAGATGACCGACACTGTAAATTTAACACCCTTAAACTGAAAGATAAAATTAAAAATTAATTAAAAATTAAAAATGAAGAATTAAAATTACCAAACGAGGGTTACACATCACTGGATGCAAGAGAGACTTTTTCATAGCCTTCCTGTTCTTTGACGATCCTCCACGTCGTACGTAACATCCTGTATCCACACACTTCCTAGCAGACTTAATTTTTCTGTTCTTACACGCGATCTACACACACTCGTAATAATAGTTTATAAATCTACGTATTATGGCCGTGGATTTTCCATTTCGTTCTGGCTTTTCTCCAAGAAACACGGATTTCTCGCTGCCCTTTTGCTAAACGAATTCTTTTCTCGCGTTTAAAATGTTCCCTCGAGAAAGAGGAGTTGCTTCACACTCGAGTTGTCAACGTTTCACACACACACACACGCACGCATACAGACATTCGATTTGGTGTCAACGACGCGACGCATTCCGAATTGTAGTTGAAGAAAACGGGGAAATTAAAGAAAGCACCTCTCTTCCACATTCACACTTTCCGTAGACTCTACGAAGGATGATACCGGTCGAAAATGCATTAAACTTTTTCCTATGAAATTACTGTGTACCGACATTCATCACGCCACACGCTAGTGTAATTAAAAGGTAAGAAAACAACTCTGAGTGATGAAGAAATGCATCGATAAAAATTCAATCGATCGAAAAAAAGAAGAAAACTAGAAAGGAAAGATAAATTTCGATAAACGTATGGCAAGAAGCGAACAGACGCAAAATCGAAAGATACGATCACGCGAAAAGCCTTTTACCGCTCTTTTTTTTTTTTTTTTTTACACTTTTCTTTGCTTTACATCGTTATCGTATCTTTGGTCTTACGAAAGAGGCCAGGAATCGCGAGGTAGAACTCTGTTCGCCAACTTCCCCAGATCTCGAATGGCTGCTCCACTTATGCAAACACTTGCGTAAACTCTACAACAAAATGATAAAATTTTCATATTTAAATTCCCTCATTGCCAGGAGCTTGCTCCTCTATTTCGTATTCGAATAAACAGAGTTCTACCTGATTATTGTGTCTCCTCAACATCTTCTTCTCCCACGATCAAAGGATCGCAACGTGTACGTGTATCTGTGTGTAATTAATGTAACGCTTTTTTTCGTCTCTACGTCGTAAGCCACGTATTTTGACGCGTATTTTTCACATGATTCTCTTCGTCGACGCATTCGTAGAAATACAATCTATCTTCTTTCGAATTTCATTTTCACTTGGACGAATTTTTTGTGGTAACCAAAGATGTTTCTTATTTTTTAATCATCGACATCGCGTTTACCGTCTCAAACTCGATACCGATTTAAAGAAGAAAATAATAAATCATGTCTGTACTTTGGAGAGAACATCCTCGAGGAAAGTTTTTAACGATGCGTCGACTTTCTGTTATCGGGGCGTATACAATAAACACAGGGTGTCGTCTAATTAATGTTACAAGCAGAAAAATCGATTATTTTCAACTATTCGAAACGATGGTAACAGATGACGCTTGTAACACCAGGTACGCGACATCCTGTGCCGTGTCGTGTGTAAACCTGTTGTACAACGCTTCTTTTTTCCAGGGTTAAACGGTAAGAAGGAAGAACAATTTGTTAATATATAACGATTAACCTTTAACCCTGAATGGACTTTGAACGCGCGTAGACACATTAATAAGCTCTTTTTTTTTCTCGATAGTTTTCTTCGAACGCGAATAGTAAATAGTGTGTAATTCGTTAACAAACTTGCGCAGCTCAATGTAAACTGCCCTGAGTAAGATGTCTGTCCCACCGTGCCAGCAGGCAAACCAAATAAATACAGAAAAAATAGTATTCAAACTAGGTATGGAGAAGAAAAGAGATTTTGAAAATCATATAAAAGCTGCGGGACGGTGATTACCGTCCACGCTCTTTGGTTCGTTGTACCAAAATACTATTTTACACCGAAGGGGTATAAATGAAGAAGAAAAGGAACAAGAAAAGAAGAAAAAAAAGTAAAACCAATTTTCCAACTTGGTCGGAATTTAAAACCTTGACGGCTTTGTATTTCGTAACAAAGGAAACCGAATAGCAATTTGCATATATGTAACTCGATCGGGTGTACATTAGGACGATGCCAGAGATTCGCACACGATTAGGCCAAGGAAACGATAGAGGAAGAAAAAAAAAAAAAAGAAAAAGATAAAGCGAATCGAATAATAATAAAAATCGATTGCTACTACTGTTTGGTGGGCAGACGCGATAAAATGACATTTTATCGATAAAACTCTACAAAAATACGTAACAGCAATTAACGGATGATTCTATGTAATCTAGATTCGCCGAGGAAAATTTTTCTTTTTCCCGTTAACGCGCGTGTTCCTTGTTCTTTTGACCGCTCTCAATATTTTTCTCTCTCGCGCTCTCTTTCTCGTTCTCTCTCTCTTTCTCTCGTTTTTTTACTCGCTCGCCCCTTTCTTTCCTCTCCCTTATTTACTTACGACGCAGGTACAATTTTTTCTGTATTTTTTTCATTTTTTTTTTTTTTATCGTTTTTGTTAAACTAATTTGTTTTTCCTTACATGCTAAAACTCTCTACAAAGTTACTGTTAAGAGACATTTACAAAAAGAAACAAAAAGAAGAAAAAAAAAGAAGAAGAAATGGCCGTCGTGTATCGTTCGCCCTCTTTTTCCCTCTCTCGATAGAACCGCATTTCCTTTCTTGGATACCTTAACTTGCGACATTTTCGAACTTACACTCTATTACATTCTTAGAAACCTACTGAGCAAAACTATTCGTAACATGCACCAAGAGACTCGTATGCTCTATACTCTCCTCCCATTTTATTTTTTTTTCTCGTTAGCGCTCTATTCGCCTATTTTAAGTTAGGGAGAACGACCGACTGGTCGGTTGATCGTTTTCCCGAACGAAAAATAGATTAACAGGAAGGAAGAGAAACTCGTTTCAATTAACGTTCTGCTTGTCTTTCGTCAACGTGCAAAGAGATATCTGTTTTTAACATTCTACGAAATGAAAATTGAAAGAAAAGTAAAGACTGATTTTTGTTCAACCCTACACGAATAAAACTAAGTCCACACATACATTTTGCTAAATACATATGAACGAGCACATAAGCATCTCACTTTTTTATCTCTCTACGTACTATTACAGCGAAAGGACAGAAAGATTCATCTACCGTAAATTACGACACATTATTTGTAATATTACGCGCTAATTTAAGTTTCCAACTGATTACCAATGGAATTCACGCATAACCAGGTTTCGTATCGTGTCAGGGACAACTGAGAATTATAATCGGAATTTCAGTCCGTGTAAATGTTCGTTTGTTTTCAGATTTATATAACGACGACGATAAGCGTGTGTCATATGTTCGTTCATATTATTTAACGAGTGTAACGCAACGCGACACGATAAATGATAATGAAATGAAATCGCAGGCACGTTTACGCGAACTCGATCGAACAGAGCAGCGCGTGTGTCTGAAAAGAAAAAGGAAAAACAGCATTGAAATTGAAACGAACATCGAACAGAAACAGAACGTTAGGCGTTACGATAATACTTTCTCTCTCTCTCTATTTCTCTTCTAATTCCATAAAATGCAAAAAGAGAAACACGTCCAATGATCAATTTGTCAATCGTCAACTGTAGTGTTGGTGTTGTTGTCAATGTGAACGGTGCTGGTCGAGTTAGCCGCCAATTGTCGTGCAAATTCGTTCAACCAATCGTCCCGTAGGATCCGCTTAATACATTATCGTTGTTACAACGTTCCGCGAATATCGACGATAGATAACGCATTACCGTACATGCTTCCTTCGAATTCCGTACAACGTAGACGTGTAAATACGAATGAATAACGCGCACGCTACCAAGAAAGGAGGATCTTCCTTTTCGTCGCACACTCGTCGAAAGCCATTTCAGCCACTCGGTGATGCGATAACCGCTTTGTTCGATTGACGTTCGAGCAGATCGGAACGCGCCTTTAAACGACGCTGCATCAAACGACTCTCGCTAGGCGGTGACAGGCCAAACAGTTGTTGGATCGACGACTCTTTACCGATCAGCCGATTCTTACCGATAGTCTTCAAATCGGACAGATCGGTGCTCGAACGAACCGAGCTAGACTTTCGACGCGAGTTCGTTTCGAACTCGTTCGAGGAATGAGTGATGCAATTCTTACTGTGCTCGGACAGTTCGCTACTCGAATCGGACATGTGCCCGTAAGGATGATTATCGTCGTCCGTAGACGAAGTGGACAATCTTGGCTCCCTTTTCTCCGCCAGCTCGTCCAGATTCACGGAGAAATGTTGAAGTACCACGCGATTCACAGCCATAGCCGATTCCGCGAAAGCAGACAGTTCTCTGGCGGAATTGTTCCTCCTGCGAACAGAAAATACACCCGGTATCGACGAGTTGTTATATTTCCTTTTCATTTTCTATCATTCTCTCTCTGTGTAACGTTTCTATGGAAATGAACGAACCTGATTATATGAGGAGTCGTAAGAGATTTCTCGGTGTTCTCGACCGAGCTAGGGCCAGGATTGATCCACGAATGTTTTAGAATACTTTCGGCACTCAACCTTTGGTGGGCTTCTTTGACCAGAAGTCCTCTGATCAAATCCTTCGCGTCCTCCGAAATGCATCTCCATTCGTTATCAGGGAATTCGTACCTGCCCTCTTGAATACTGGTGAACAGCAGCTCCTGGCAAGCCTGACAGTTTTCTCCTCTCTCCCAGCCGCAGTCGGAACCGCAGTTCCCATAGAAAGGCGGATAACCGCAAAGAAGAATGTACATGATTACGCCGAGGCTCCACAGATCGCAACGCTTGTCGTAATAATTCGCTTCCCCGATGAACGCTTCCACGACTTCCGGCGCCATGAAATCGGCACTGCCCACCGGGGTCAAAAGTTGCGGCGTTGCGACAGGGCTGGACAGCGAGTTGTTGAATTTGATGCCGGAACCAAGATCGAAATCGCATACTTTGATAGGAGTCAATTTGTCCGGATACACGCACAAGATGTTCTCGGGTTTCAAATCTCGGTGGGCAATTCCTGAGGAGAACCAGAGAATTCGTTTTGTCCGTTAGAGAAAAGGTTCTTGGATATATCGTGGTTTGTTCGTTTTTTCTAACAATGCGCGCCGAAAAAGACAAGAATCTTTACCTTTTTTGTGAAGAAAATTTAGCGCGCTAGCGATCTCTCTGACTATCTGACTCGCTTCCCGTTCGCTGAAATGAATCCTCTCTTGGATTCGGCTCAACAACTGACCGCCGTTAATTTTCTCGAATACGAGATAAAATTTCTCTTCGTCTTCGAAGAACTCGATCAACTGGATGATGTTAGGATGGCCCTGACAATGATGGAACGTCTCGACCTCTTTGAATACCCGAGCCCGTGCATGACCGGGAATTTTGTCGATAATTTTAACGGCATACTCCAAGTCGGTATAAAGCGATCTACAAGTCTGAACCGAGGCGTAAGCACCTTCTCCAAGAACTTCGCCGGTCAATCTGTACAGTTCTGAAACAAGCGGGACAAATCTTATATTAAAAACAAACGATTTCGAAACAGCTTGCGCACTTTCAAACTTCGCGAAGCGCATTCGTTATGAGAGGCTAGAACGACAGTGGAAACCCGTTAAATCCGAAAATAATCGTGGCTGAAGTCACGCACGCAAAGCGATCCAAGTTTCGTATTTCGATGCACCTTTTGTTATTCGCCTGAGTGGTTTATTTTAATCGTATATTGCGGTGTCCTCTTGCAAAAGGGGGTACCAAGCATTTTTTTTCGGTACAATTTTCGATATTGTCCAAGTGCTTCCTCTACATTTAAAAAACCCTATATAACGCAATCAATGTTAAGGCCAAAGGGGAAACGAGATGCGCATATAAATTCTCCTATTCTCGCTGGCCTCTCTTTCCTTTCGTAGGTCTTTAAATTTCGCGCTCTCTCTTCTCCGCCTGATCCCCCCCACCACTCCCTTTGATACGATGACTTCCGTTCCGTTCCGTTCCATCCCGCTTCATCGTTAGTCCGCGCGTTCCCTCGTTCAGCGCTGCGACTATGTATCGCGAGCTGCCATCAACGCTTCTTTCTCTTTCTCTTCCTCGCTTTACCTTTCCCCTTTTTGCTCGCTAACCCACGATTACTCTCCCTTTAACCCCTACCATTTTACCTCGCGCCAAAGATACGATTCTGCCTGGCAACACCGTCGAATACCTAGCAACCAGAAGCCGATAATATACTTCCATGTTTCCCTCCCACATCCCACTACGACTAAAAACTGTGAAAACCAAACCCATTCGATTTAATTCGACAGATCGTGGCTACGATATACGGATAAGCGTTCATCATCGTACACCGATCAACTCGTAATCGCTAAATATTAAATCCCGATGATACAGTGATTAGACGTTGCGATTCAGGTTATACCAGATAACAGCGAGAATGAGTCACGCTCGTTGTTCCGTACCACGCGCTTACGCATCCGTAGTAAATGAAAAATATCTATTTATTTTTAAGCACCTGTGACAACTTAAGATTTATTTATCTCACCGCTACATAAATCTAACGCGTGATTTCCTTTTACATCGAGAGACTAAATTATTCGCATCCTTAACCGATCTACGTGTTACGCGACTCCGTTTAGTTTTCAATCAATCGCTTCTTTATTCGGCTGCGTTTCGAGCAACCGTCTATCGCGTTGATCAATTGGGATACCATTTACGGAAAGCTGAGGAAATCTTCATCTCTATCAATTTTTGCAGTAACGTATATTTGTATGAAAGTAAAATCGAAGGAAAAGGACGATCGTCGGAGAACCGAGGAGACGTGTAATATATCGCAGAGTTAACCCGTGCCCCAGATTTGAACGTATACGGGCGAGCTCGTGTGTCTACCCGTCGGAGAATATACGTAAGTACGAAGTGGAAGTTTCTCGAACACGAAACTCGGAGTTTACGAATCGATCGCTCGATGTTATGACGTAACGGACCCAAGGCAGTGAACTCGGTCAATGATTCATTCGACTACCATCTTTCTGTTTTTCGATACTTAATCATTTTTCAGTTTTCTCGAGCTTAACCTTATTTAGTAATCCACTGTTTAGAATTCTCAATATCAGAGAATAAAGTGTACACACCCAACTTGTGGTTAGAACCAGGTTATAAATTACGCGCGATACCGTAGTTTTCATAAATCGTACCTGTACCAAGCAAAAGGTGTTTCCAAAGACTTCGGCCATTGCACCGGGAGCAAAAGTTGAGTTTGTCTTGTACGATCGATATCGCAACCGTCTCACGCGAGTTTCTCGAACGTTCCGAACTTGTGCAAGGTCAGATACCTAAAGTGAAATGCAAGTCACCAGAACACGAGTGACACGGGTCACGAACTCGATACGCGTTCAGGGAAACTAGGAAAGCTTACGATAATTTATTACCATACTACCGGAATCTGTTCCGGTCGGTAAGTTTTTCCTCTGCTTATTCTCAGTCGGTAAGTAAAAAAATGTATTTTCTGATCAATTTTGTGTACGTGACTTGTCACTAGCAATGGTCGGACTCTTAACAGATACAAAATATTCTCACGTGCATCTAAAGCGAGCGTATATCGCTTAATGCAACGTAATCAGTATAGGGTATATAGGTACACACACCTCTTTACCGCTCGAGTAACGACAGAAGAGGAGAATCAATGTCGTGCAGAATGAATACTACCGTTATTGGTCGATTAACGCGCATAGTTATCAACGCTTATAGCGGCGCTAGCGTTTCTTTCGTTCCCGTAGCGTCGCATAACTCTTCACGGATCGAATTTTACCTTGGAAACAAGAAGACATCAAGGATGAACCAGAGCGCTTCTTCCTGCGTCTTTTACGCCTAGCTTCTTCTTGTCGAGCTTGCACAGCGCTCATGGATTCTCCCGTCGTCGTACTCACGGTTTCTCTGCAAGTTGCATCTTCTGAAACAAATCAAAAACGACAGGAACATGAGAACGATGATCGTGAGAAAGAAATATTTCACGAACAATCGTGCTCGAATTTAATGCGCCCATCGATCGAATAAAATACATCGCTAGTTCCCCACGGGAAGCTTATGGTAATCGATGCTGTTACATGTTTATCATCCGAATCGTTCGACCGCAAAGAATAAAGTAGAAAGGTATTACTCATCGCTTCACACTTGTTACCAATATTTATCTTATCGGTCATGGATAATTACGTATTCGTTTCATTTCTGTCGCGAGTTGCATCATTACCTCTAAATCAATGTTCGCATCGCTGCAGCGTTTCACGTTTGAAGATCATAGATCGTCGATTAGATAGGCGATGTCATACGAACAGTTCATTCTCTAAACTCGATTTTATTCGATTCTTTTCTGTTTCAAATTCTTTCGGTATCCAACGATATTAACTGCGCAGCGCGAACAGATATGTAAATAAAAATTGACGAATGTAGAAATTCCACTGCTTTGGATGGAATGCGAACAATTTATCAAAGAGAAACATACGGAGGGTGATAATTGTTTTTCGTTGATCGATCGTTCGATAGTACAAGCACGATCGGAAACGATGAAACAAAGGTGGAATAATAAAGCGCGTAAGTGGCCACAGAGTTTACAGAAGATACTGGAAGAACGTACGTATGTACGATTGATAAATCGAGACGAAGCGCGACGCGTCGATAAACCTTGAAAACAAAAACGCTTTGTTCATCGATTATCGACGCGGAATAAACGAAAGTTCAATTTCGATCGAACGAAAGAGCGTAGGCGAAGGAACGGAAAAATTGTTCGAATGGGCGGTATGCGTGAACGTAACGCCTCGTAAAAGGAAGCGACAAACACCGTCGAGTACCGAGTGCTCGGAGTTCAATGACTGGCACAGAAAAGGAACGCCGCCATCTTACGGGAAAGACGTTCGTATACGGCACACGATAACGTGGTTGCCGCATCCTGCGAAATCAGCGACACCCTTTAAAAAAGGAAATCAAGCGCAACGATGGACCCGACTTGGATTCTTCCTAGTGCTATCGTACGCTTCCTCGAAAGACCGATGAAACTTTCGAAAATACCGGTTAACCGATCAAATTTCATTCCGTTATTCGAATCATAATACCAAAAGGCCTAATTTATTTTCAAGTCGATCATGTTTCAAGGTTACGAACAATGCTTATTCTCTTCTATTGAATTTTATGCTTCGACTGTTTTCTTCTTAGTATTTAGTCGTACCTTCGCGAGTATACTACGACAAATAAATGGACTAAAACCAGGCTAAACTTACAGATATTCTGGACTCCATTTTCCCTAAGGAAGTCTACAGTCTTCTGAAAATTTCTTACATTTCCCTTGAAACCGACCAATCGCGTTTCACGTCGAACCGTCGAGAATTTCAACAAGAGAACTGGCTCGATGGTCGGAGCGTTGCATACAGGATTCCCTTTGTCCTTCGAAACGAACCGTTCCCTTTAAAACGAAAGGGAGAGCCCATAATGAATCTAACATACGCGAGGGTCCTTCTCTTCCTCTTTCCTTTTCTAATCTTTTGTTGGGTTGCCCTTACCGACGCCCTTCGCGATTTGCGTCGTCAAACTCGAACGTACCGACTAACCCAGTTCGACCCTCGAAAATAATTCAACGACGCGTGCTGCGCCCGTGGTACCCTACCGCCGCCGTACATACTCGCCTCGCTTCGTTTAGCTTATTCCAAACGCCACACACCACATCACACAGCATGCCACACCACGCCACACCATACCATGCCGTACCATACCATACCGCGTTCGCCACGTACCCTGTGTGTTCCTTCTTTCTATCCTCCTCCCTCCCCCTTGCTCCTTTTCCAATCGAAGCGTTTCAAAACATATTTGTTCGGCCGTTTTTCGGCACCCCGTGTATCCGAAGGAACTTTACCAGAAGAAAAGTACCAATCAAAAATATGAAACCAGAGATCACCTAATTATTCAGCTGTCGATGTTATTTTTACATAAATAGTATTGTACTAAGGAAACTTGTTATTAAAGAAAAAATACATCGAGTTTGAAAAAGATGAATTAGAATTTATTCAGGGATTCGTTATTCGAACAGGAGCGAAATGAAAACCGTTGTTTAACTGCAGCGAGGCACAAAGCTCCAAGCGGAGAACGCTGGCAACGTATACCGGCTTCTAGAAAGTTCTTCCGTCAACCGACTTCGATTGTCGCGTTCTCAGCTTCTTTGTTGTGATTGCTTCTCGACAATTTTCTTGGATATCAACGACACGGAAGATTTACTCGTTCCATGCGGAAATTCGTTATTAAATCGAATCGTCGAGTCGATAATTTTTCGTTGTTCGAATAGCGGCCGATTTCGCGTCGGTACACGGCATCGTTTTGACGTACGTGGGTTGAATTTAATCGAGAGAAAGTACCTTATCACAGCGTGTACAAAGAATACGTTAGAAGATTTGAAACGGTTAACGACACCGGCGAACTACGAAAATGGCTACGAAGAATCGTGTCGGAGCGTCGTTGAGAATATCGTAAGACTCCAAATGATCGCACAATGGTCGATTGTAAAGTTAGAGAAAAGTTTTCTTACCTCTTCCAACCTCCTGACATCCGTCCTCTCGTTCTTCCAGGATTTTCTCCACCATTTTCGCACGCGACAACGTTGTTTCTTCAACGTTCAAAGAACAGTGAAAAAAAGAGGTTTTTTTCCTCAAAACGAAACTCCTTCTTTTATTTTCTGACTTTCTTCCTCACCTCCGGTCACTTCTCGTTTAACGAACAACGATGAAACGCTCCCGGTACTCCGTTTATCAATAATTGTAAAAAAGAGTCAGTCGTATTTACAGAAACATCTATATCCACTAAGATACTGATATAATCTTCTTGTCCCGCAATCTCGATCTCCCAAGTTTGTCTTTTCCCGATACGTAACTATTTTCTCGCCTTCTCTTCGATTCTTTCAATTTCACTCGATCTCGTCCGTTAATTTTCTCTCTACCGACGCGTACCTCCCGGGATAGTTCGATGTATATCAGTGTCGGTATCACAGATATAAATAAATATATAAAGGCTATCTACTCCTCTCTCATTCTCTAGTTCTCGCGGTTTATCCAAATCGACGAATGATGTTGCATGGGTACAACAGAGGATCGCGTCGCAGCTTGGATCTTCTTTTTGAATAAATACTATCACAGACTATGACACTGCACTCTCTTCCTTTCGTTCTTTTTTTTCTCCACCCGTCCGTTTGTTAGCTCGCTTCAGGAAACGATGTCACCGGAAAATATCTCGACCTCCCGCTGGTCTTCGTTTCACCTTCGATCCAACGATGTTAGCAGCGAACAAACTTCTCTCACGAGAATTCGTATCCCTGCACGACTCCTAGATTTCTCAAACTCTCCGCAGACGATAATTCGTCTATCTCCGCTACCTCGTATCCTCTTCTACTATGAGACTTTCCGCCGGATAAACCGGAGTCTCTCCGTACGTGAAAATCTCTGGATGGTCGCTGTTCCGTTGTCGGTGTCGCACAGCCTCTCACACGTAGCGGTAACCGGGCTCGGAAACGCATTAAAAATCCTTCGGCTAACACATCGGGTCTTCTCGTTCACCTTCCCTCACTGCTTTCATCGGCAGTTGGTTTCCGACTGAACCTCGCAAAATGGCCGCTCCGCTTACTAACAGCCCCACCACTCTTCTGCATCGCCCGTTTGTCAGCGAATCGACAACTCCCCACCCCCCTATCTAACCGCGGCTCCTTCTGCTACCCTCCCGCCTTTCCGTTGCTTCTACGTAGAATCGGGCGACTTTGTTGACGCCCTCTGAAACCGCGCCGCGTCACGTAGTCCCAAGTCAGCGGTTCTCGACACGAGGCGGCCTACGATGATGCACGCAGCGACGATATTACCGAATCGTATGATGCAAGTTTTATACGACTTACAAATATTATGTTTCCGACGTGATTCGGAACCAGGGTTGCACGATTAAATAACATCGAATTTCGTCGCCACCGGACAAAGGTCGGTAATTATCGATATCGAAACGCGAGCTATCGATAATTCGAAAGTATTTTTCTTTTCAATCCGAACTCTGCTTCGAACGTAATTGGCGATGCGTGAGAGTCACTGATCGCTCTTGTACGTTTGATACCGCTTTGCCGGTAACAGTAGCATTCGTTTTTACGAAAATTTCGAGGTAAAGGTGTTGACCGTTTGAATCTTCGAATTAAACACTCGCGATGTTTACACCTAGCATCATTTATACTCGCATTAGAGAGGAACAGAGCCAGATAAACACACGGGAAGTGACGCCGGCATTCGTGGCGTGCGTTGTTTGGAAAGAGATGCGCGCGCACAATGGCCACCGGCCACGTATAACATCACGCGATGTAGAAGAAGATGAGAGAGGAGCGAGAGAGTATACGCGAGAGTCACGCGCGCATGTGTATGTGTGTTGGAACGAATCGTTTCGAACACAAACGAGACGAGTACGGGGCGAGAGGACAAAGAACGGAGCCCGGAAAAGAGAAACAGAGAAAGAGAAACGGAAGAAGATGGACGAAACATCGTTTGGGCTTCTATGCTTGTGTCCTACCTACGCATACAAGTACGATACTTTACTCTTACTCTACGCTCTACGCGCAGGCTCGTGTCAGCCATCGAGGTTGTTTTCAATCGCTCGACACCGCGTGAACTTGTCCGTATAATCGGCATGGTATTGCGTTGTAAGTTTATTAGCCGTATTGTTGTTACGTAAGGTTATATACCTCGATTGTTTACCTGGCTGTTGGAGTCACGTTTTCTTTTCTTGGAATTTAAAGTTAACACGAATTCCATGTTTTGAGGTTAACAAACAATTAGGCGAAATTGTATCTCGTACTATTATCATCACGATATCAACCTTGTTACCATACGATGATACGGCTATAGAAATGATTAACCCACTATGGTATTATGATCGCTGTTGCATCATCCTCGTTATTGATGCGATAATGGTGCGCGCGCACCGTAATAAGGCTTCGACTAAATAATAAAAGATCAACGTTCGATCGTACGATAAAATAGCCACGTTTAATTTGATAAGAGTAGACCTGATTTTTTTGTCAATAATTATTACTAAAAAGCTGTTTTTCGCTGTTGAAAGCGATTGCTAGTAATAAGAAATGATCAAACGAAAAAGTTTGTCATTGTGAATATCGTTTCCGATTCAGTGGTTCGGGATGCATGTCGATTGAAACAAGCAATCGTTCCACGAAAGTTTAATTAACCGATCGATCCAAATCGGCGTTCTTACCGTGAGAACTCGAGAGATTTCTCGTTTAAACTAAAGAAAATTTAAAAGGGTTCGGTTGTACAAAATAACAGAGAACAGAAACCGGTTTCCGCGCGTGGCACCAGTCGCTGGATCGTGCTCGTTTAACCAGCAGCACCCACCTACGATATCGTCGATCGACATAACTTTCTTCCACTTTCAAGACGTTCTTTTTAATACTATGATCTCTTTCTCTGGTTTTTTCATCATTCAAACGAGATATTCCGACTAATAAAGTTATACATGGTGGACGTGAACGATTGCGGAGTAAAAAATTTTAATAAAAACACGTCTTGTTTACATAGTCGTAAAGGGTTAGGTTTAGACTTGAAACTGTACGAAAAGATGGAGAATAAAGGCTGGTACCTGTAGAATAGAAAAGGTTTCGAAGCGATTTCAGGGCAATGGGTAAAGCGAGGCTGTCGGCGCAGGTGCCAAGGGGGAAGGCGTAATTTCGAAGGAGCGAAGGACGACCAACACGATCGCCATCCGTAAACTAACCCAGCGGACGGATATTTACACTCGTGGTATAGGTGTGTCTGAAACCCTTGTTATCTATGCTTATATCTATTGTATAAGTGTTTACTGCTCGCTCCATTAAACAAAATAACTGGTAAGCTTTTCGAACGCGTATCTTTTGATCAATTGATATTGTACGTCCACCTGCGATCAAATCGGGCTTCTCGTTGTGTACAATTTACCTACTTAACACTAGATTACCGGACTCACATCCGTCAAAATAGGCATAATTCTATTAAAAACCAACATATGTTTCAAAAAAAATTATTTAAGTTTTTCTAACTAACTCGCTCCGGCAATCTAGTGTTAACAAACACACTAATTTTATCGAACCGTTCCGATCGAGGAACGGTCACGAGACACGTATTAAAATGTTTATCCGGTTAATTACGTCATCTCTTCGCGCGAGATCGACAAAAGCGCCGAATTCATTAATTTCAACGAGCTATTGTTATTCTTCGGCCGCTAGTGACTCATCAAGCGGCGATTATCATTTTACTCGATCTCCGGTCATATGTACATGTTACCGAATTACGGCAAGCACGTGTGTAATAAACGCTCCTCTCGAGCTCGTTTATCGCTGTTTCGGAAATATACAAATTTCGATAACGCTGGTGCTTGTTAAAAACACGAATGGTATTCTTAAAGATAGTTGTTATTGAATTTTGCCGAAAGAAGCTACAGTTCCAGGTATTCATCTTTAAACTGTGCGTATCCGTGACGAAGTTGAAGGAGAACGAACACCGCAGCGGCGATACGCGTTACGTAATACGCCGCCCGGCTGAAAGAACGCTCGTAGGCAAACGACTCTCCTTAGCTTTTTTTTTTTTTTTCTTATAAGAACTTCAACAGGGCAAACACCGTTTCGAAAGGGTGGTAAATTTAAAAAATTACTTTTTATCTTACACGTCGGTAGATATTAAGAGTAGATTGTACAAAGAGGTTCCCGCACGAAGGTATTGGAGCGAACATCCTGTCTTCCTCCTTTCGGTTCACGCGACCACGTGCGTGCTTGTTATTGAAAAGTAAAGCGCGATATTTTCGGCGATTTGGTGGCGAAATAAATTTCTTTTCCACGAGCTGGAGATAGAGGAGCAAAAATCGTATACGATCGTCGTACTGTGCCGGCACGAATTCACGCTGCACGTGGATCCACACGATCCAAGGTTAAATAATAGGATGCGCAGAAGTTTCTCCTTGTTCAAGGTCTTCCGCGTGTACTCGCAGTTGGACGATTCTTTTATCGCTGCTGAGTTTCGTGGAAGACCTTTGGACGTGGCGCTCTTGTTACGTTTAAGGAAATCTATTCGGCGGTTAGAAATTTACAAAACTAAACTGGATTTAGATTTTTCGTTTCCTTTAGGACAGGATAAGGGGAAAAAGGCACGTTGAGTAACGATAAAGGCCGAACTTGGATCACGAGATTACGTCTCCCGGCGCGGCTGACTACGAGGGAGACAGGGCTTGGGAAAGGGAAAGAGAAGGAGATGGGTGAGCACGATAAAGCAAGGAAAATGGAGGAGGCGTACGTGTTTGTGTGCGCCTGTACACGTGATGTTTACTCCACGTAATTCGTTATTTTGTGTCGTAAATGGACAACCCGTGCATATAATCGTTAATCGCGTTTATCGGGATATCGGAAGAGTCTCGAGATAACGCGCGAGGAATTAGAATTGTGCGGCAGAGAGAGAATATTGTACGGTTGCGTTACTCGAGAGGCCTGAGATTAAACTAGCATCAAAACATACTCTTATCTTCCATTTCTAATATTTACTATCGTTTCAATGGCTTATTCTTGTCCCATTACGTATACGAAGATAAGTTTTAATGTTTTGTTTCGTGCGTGAATCCTACACGGTCGTAGAATTAATTAGAATTCTACGGTAGCTCGGCGAACGGGGTCTTTGACCAACGTACACTGACCTCTACAGAATTCGTCCACCATGCTTATTTCTAGATATCGTTCGAAGCTAGTTCACCGTCACGTGATTCGATCTCGTGCACCGTCAAGGCCAGCTAAACACTTTTTACTATTGCGAACGATCGCTGTACGAAGAAAGATCATTGAAAACGATCCTAACATTCGGTTTCACCGTCCTAACCGTTCCCGAATCCTTTCTCTCGTCTTAGCATCTAGTAAGAATGTCTAGTCTAGTGAAAAAACGTGAAGTTGCGCATGCGCGTACTTCAAGTTTGTTTGTCAGCACTGCTTCTCGATCGCGCGATAAATTAGTCAGCGAATTTTCTTCGTTTTTCAGCGAAGCGAGGCGAGGCGATGAATTGAAAGGAATGGATGGAAAAAAACTCGCACGGGATAAGAATCAAAAGTGCGTAGCGCGAAGGGATGTCGAAGGTACGGCTCAATTAGCGTGAGTAGGTAGAAAGGTATTCGAGGAGGAGGAAAAAGGAAGGGAGAGTCGATTCGCGTGTGCGTGGCATTACCGTGGAATGGTTGAACGGTAGTTGACCCAGTGCGGAACGGACGAGTACAAACTCGTGTATCGGCAGACAGCGGAAAGGGTATTCTTTCCAAAGCAAAGTTGATTTCGTAACCGGTGAAACGAAGCGGTCGTCGGCACGCGTTCGTGCAGCGTTCCCGAACGAAAAACAGTAAACGGATATGCTCGATCCAAAAAAGAAAAAAAAGAAACATCCATGATTCGTCGATCGTTTCGAATCGCTATCACAACTTTGTCACGCGTAATGTCACTCGTAGATTCTCTTCGACGATCGACAGGACAAATTCTTGAAAGAATTCGATAGTAAAGAAAGCTAAGATACTCTATAATTTCTATAACAGCATAAACTATAAGCCAGTTAGCTATAGAAATTAATATCTTGTTAGGATACTTTCCGCTTTATTGCGATTGATCCCTCTGGCGGTGAGCGCGGAAGGTATCGTCACGTGATTACTATCAACCTATGTTATTAGTAAGGGGCTCGTCTTCTGTATGTAAATAAATAAATAATCATCGAGGAATGTTAATATTATTAAAAGCGATACTGTAACTGTCACGCGCTGATATTGATACGTCCATGTTACTATTTTGCACGATACGTTATCGTTATTGAGAAGTTTGTAAATAAACCGTAGGTATTATCAGTAACTCCGTTTATCCTTCGGATATACTCAGATATACTGCTCTTTAAAACGATTTTTCAATAAAGTATATTTTTCTCATCGTTGTTTTCCGATTGAACGTTGACAGTAACTATCGTTCGACAAAATTAACGATCCTTCGAACGCGTATTATGTTAGATCAGTGTTAAAGATACAACGCCTTTCAGAACGATCTGCGTATCGTGGCAAGAATATATGTATACCGACGATATTTATAACGATACGTTAAGTACGGGAATCGTGCCAGTCGTGTAAAACCGATTTGGACCCGTTTCGAATAGCAAAACGGCAATTTACTGTTCTTGTTACAAAGTTGAACAACGAATGGTACAAAATATTATTCACTATTCCTGTCGGTGTTGTTTCGTAACGACGCGAGACCGACGCGGTAATATTCTTATTTCTATCAACTATAAATACTCTTGTTAAAGGAAAAATGTAGTTTTTATGGCAATCAGTCATGAACGCTGACTGACCATTGAAATTCATCGGTCGATAATTTTCATTCCGTTCAATTAGTTGGCATATTATGATTAACTATGCCGCGCATTTTCTTAGTTATTTCGAGACACGGTTCCGTCGTTTTCCTGGCTCTATTGTGGACAAACAAACATCATCGTACAAGCGATAATAAGCTTCCATATATACATGAAACTAAGTATGTACGCGACAACGTGCCAACGGTGTAGCAAACCCAAACAAAAGATATCGTGGTTCCTAATAATATTTTCCATTGGTTACAATTAAGCCGAATCAGCTATGTTGAACTTATAATTGGATCGAACTGGTTTAAATTAAATCAAAGTATGAGGAAAGTACGCAGTAATCGGGAATTCGCTTACTTTCGTATGTGTTTTTTTTTTTTTTAAATAAACGCGGAGAAGTATTTCTTTTTTTTTGTGGAAGGTTGTAAAAATATGAACCCTGGAGATGGGTCAACGTGTGTCGTAAACCATGCTGCTAACAGACACCAGACCACTCGTCACAAAACCACGTGTACTTAACACAGTAAATACGTAGATCTACCTGGCCGAAGGTCTAACACTTGGAAACCTAACTTCCATTTTACAGCCTTTCATAAAATGAAATGACTTTGGGAGTCTCATACAATGAACAAAAGAATACAAGGTTCCATTTAAGAAACTAAATTTGACTTTGAAATCTCCCTCGTTATTTCACCCGGAAAGAAATAACTATTTATACCATATCATGTCTTCAGTCGTACCGAACAACTTTTATAAAAATATTCTTCTTCAACAACTTCAATTTCTTTTGAAATACGTTAGCCTTTTACTCGGCGCAATATTAAGATAGTTAATACACTTGTACTCGAAACTACGTTCACGATAACGAATTGTTATCAACGCGTAACAACATTGTGTACTATTGTTATAATTTATGCGCTTTGGCTAGGTGTTTACAAAACAGAAACGGCGCCAGTTCGCGGCTGCTAATAATAATTACGAAGTCGTAACTAACGATAACGGGTCGAAATTGCGCCTTTTTCTATTCTCTATTCCACCTGTTCCAGGTAAACGATCCGATAAACGAGAGGCCCGCATCTTTGATACGCAAATGGAACGACATTGACTCTTTCAAACTCATTATACTAAATGTCGTTTCGTTGGAAAGGCAGGAGGTTTAGGTCAGAATAGGTTGCGAGGGAGTGCATCAGCCATGAAAGTGACTCAAAGCGAGCAAGGTAATTGCATTTACGGAATGACTTTACAAATGCGATTGTTCTTTTAACGATTACGTTAAAAATATAACAATTTCATTATATTGTTTCGATGATTCATCAACAGTTGAATCATAGCCAATTGTAGATCGTAGATAATATTGGCGTTCGTTACAAACGATCTGGTAGGGATAACGCCAAGATAGCATGCAAGGAAACTGTAACGTTAATAAGGTTTTATTTGCTTTTGTTAAGAAATTAATTTAATTTCCGTCGATGATGAACCGTGGGAGAAGAAGCCTGACGAATACGTAAGCTTAAATTGTATTTCATTTTTCAAGACCTCATTCGTATTTTGATTTATCAATAATATACCACGGCATCGAAAGGTAAAAGTACGATACTGCTTCGATTATGGATTCTTCGCGACACGTTGCTGCGTTCACTGGTAACAACCCCCATTCCTTTCTCTTCCGTACGTTCCAACCTTCTAACATTCCATGCTGCTCACGCTCTCGGTCTTCGCCGATGTAATTTCTATTCTGTTGCATTCTCTACATTTTTCATTCATATTCGATATAATTTCAAAAAAAGAAGAAACTTTCTATTCTTTTACCCATAACCATTACTAGTGAACAACGCCACGTGCGTTTTTTTCGTTTCGGAACAAAAGTGTCCAGCTTTAAAAACGTTTCTGGTAAATGTCTTCACCGATCGATTCGTGCCTGCTTGTGCGACAGCCGTGTAAAGTCGAAACACGTGGTCATTATCCTCTCAGCAACCATATTTCCTGAATAACACTCGACTCTGGGACCACCAGTCGCTCCCTCTATTCAATCTTCCGCTCGTTCTTTTTATGGTACATCAAGGAAACGAACGTTTCTGGTTGTAAATCTTGAGTGATTGCTGCTATAACAGCGGCTCTGTTACGTATCTCTCTCGTTTCCGTAAGAAATCTCAGATGTTCCCGTAATTGTTTACAAATTCCTATTAGATTCTTTTTTCGTGGAAAAGAGTGCTTTTGCTCATCCATCGAATCTTGGTCCCGTCAATGACACAGGATTTAATTAGCGTGGATGTTTTTATCGGTAAATTGGCAAGAGAATCATCAACGACGGTGTTCTGACCATCCGCAATATTTTCTCGGTTGACGCGCGATTCTCCTTCTCCTTCTCCTTTTCGTTCCTCGTTTACTGCACCGTCACTTCTGAGAATAGTAACTGCACGTAGAACACGTTACTAGTTGTTTACGTACATGCGTTTACCTACGTGTCCACTTTCTTAACACATCCTAGCATGCATCGTTCAAAATCAAGGACGCCCTCTATGTCCCCTGCGAAACTATATTTATTTTTCTTAATTGACCTACACCAATCTTCTTCTCTCTACCGGCTGCAACAGTTTCATTAAAGAAGAATTGCAGACGCGTATATACAGCTGCTATTAACCTTGTTCATTTATTGTTCGTGAATGCCTTGAAGCACCGAACAGGAACGTTTCCGGAAAATAACAACCGGTAATGTCGGCATTGTATCTTACTACCTACGTACAATAACATAGCATTTTGTACATTGAACGCTTTCAAGGCGATACCGAGACGCGAACGACAGGAAGATTTTCCGCTTTTTGTTCTTTTCCTATGCTCTCCATCTCTGCATAGTCACAAAATAAACCGTACGACTTCTGCGCCACTGACACGAGTTAAACTCGACGACCTCGTGTACACATGCCACACATCACGTACGCGGACATTTTATCGATAACTATTATACTCTTTTACGCTGTAGATCGTAGACTATTTTAAATATTAATAGAACAATCAACAGATGCTTGTTTTGTTAGTTCGTAAAATTATTATTTCAATTTGTCACGTACGAGTATACAAATTGCCTTTAATTAAGGTTAATACGTATTGCGTGGCTTATCTATTAGACTTTTGATCAAGTCTATGTACATCATTATCTTTAATTTGAGAAGGAAAACATATTTTTTTTTTTTTTAGAGTCGTCCAAACGTTTCGACAACATAGATTCTACTGCCATCTATGAACTAGCGTATACGTAACAATTTTATGAATGTGTCACATAAATTGATCGCTGTTCCGATCTCGTCCGGGAACAAACTTATCACCATAAAATTTTATTTATGTTACGTTTCGTAACGCTCTAGTGCATACACACCAGCGTGTATCATCACGCCACACATTCAAAATTAAATTACTTATGCATTTCGATCGTCCATTTTTGTTTAACAATTCAGTCGTTCTAAATGTAGTAAACATATATCCAGTCACGTAACAAAAGTTAATTGTTCAAGGAATATTTAAAAGAAAACTGTTAAAAATAGTAGCATTAAAGCTACCTCCTAGTGTGGCGTACGTGATCAGATTCAGGTATTCAACCTTGACCGACTTTCGTGTCTTCGACCAGCGCAGACCGCACTATACCCTTCCACCCCACCCTCTGAATGTATTTCCCTTTTTATTTTGCATCGTTTAAAGCTTTTATAATAGCGATCAGATATTACTTGCAGTATAGGGCTCAGAAAATAATAAATACACAAATAAATAAATAAAAGTTGCGCATAAACAGTTTATAATGCATTTATTAACTGATATTTTTAACATCATTCTTTTTGTTTTGCGTTGTATAAGCAACATAGATATTTGACTAATTCTATGAAGATATTTCCTTTTTTCTTTATTTTGCGCCAATTTGTTACATATCATTGTCGAAATTGTGCTGTGTATCGATAATCTCGAACTATTCGATATTCGGTTCCATGCGATATCACGTGTGTATAATGTTTGGTACCGTCCGGCAATTGCGTATAGGTTATGTACGATTTAACAAAGATGACTGATATTATTTAAAATTTCCGAAGAATAGTGAAGTACAGAAAGAAATAAGGTATAATGTATATATCAGGAATTAGACCTTGGTTGTATCAACCACATTCGCAAGAAGTTTATCGCACTTTGAAATTTCGATATTTTAAGCAGAAATGTTTGTCGAGAAATATTCAATCTCAGGCGGATCCAAAGGTCCTAGCTCTACGTGAGAAATTATTGTATTGCGATTATTTGGATCTGCACAAAGTGCGAATGGGATTTAAGACACGTCAGAAAGTGTACATTCAAGAGAAGCGGTTCAAAGAAAAATTACATTTTGAAAAGCTGGCTTACGAGCCTGTGTATAGCGTTATGCTCGACAATGTACAGCAAAAGGATAATCAAGAATCCTTACAAAAAGAAGAACACGATGCAAACGTAGATAATAAGAAAGCGGGACCTTTGTATATGCCATACGCGAGAACAGATTCGTATGAAATTATCGACGACGTAGAGTTGGATGATACGATAAACGAAACTTCTTTAGATGAAAAGTACTTAGAGGCAAAGAAAAATTACTCGAACGATCGAAATTCGTTAGAGGTAGAACAGGACGTGGAAAATGACACGAACAATGCGTTACCAGAAGGAGAGTTGTGGAAAGTTCCACCAAATTGGATGATGGATTATGAACAATACGATGATACTCCACTCTATTCAGAGTGGTACAAAAATTATGGTACATCTGATCCTAGTTCTAAAAGTAGCTCTATTCCGTGCAGTGGATGCGGTGCGTTATTGCACTGTAAAGATCCAGCATTCCCTGGATTTATACCATCTGAATTGTTTTCTCGTAAAAAAGAAGAAGATTTGAAATTAATGATTTGTCAAAGATGCCACTTTTTAAAGTATTATAAAGCAGCTTTAAAAGTAAACATATCGATAGAAGACTATCCAAAACTGTTGAAAGTAATTAAAAATAAAAAATGTGCTATTATTTTGGTAGTAGATCTAACTGACTTTCCTTGTAGCATCTGGCCAGATTTGAAAAGTATCTTGCACCCCTTTACTCCTATATTTCTAGTTGGCAACAAGATTGATTTGCTACCAATAGATTCTTCTTCTGGTATATTCTTGAACCATGTCAAGCAGCTATTAACAGACACAGTTGTAGATATAACTGGAGTATCAAGACAGAATATTACACACGTGGAACTTATATCTGCTCAGACTAAATTTGGTGTGGAACGACTCATAAACAAGTTGCAACACAAATGGGCAACCAGAGGTATGTAATCTGTGTTTATCTCAACAGGAGAGATATTCTTTTAAATCGTTATATTCTCAACTGACTCATACTCGCAGCGTTGTTGAAATTGCAGGTGATGTTTACTTAGTCGGCTGTACAAATGTTGGAAAGTCCACCTTGTTCAATACTTTATTAAATTCTGATTATTGTAAAGCACAAGCGATTGATCTTATACCACGCGCTACTGTCTCTCCTTGGCCAGGAACAACGTTAAATTTATTAAAGTTTCCACTTTTATATCCAAGTTCTGAGAGGCTACAATTAAGAATAAAAAGACTTCAAAAGGAACGACAGCCTAAACAGGAATGGTTAGAGATTAGAAAAGCAGAGTTTAAGAAAACAAGGGATATTAAGTACGCGACTTTAACAGGTATTTCAAATTTCATACGTTGTTTTTTCGGTTGTTTTCGACCAACAAGAAAGTTATTTTTGGCGCGTTAATTACACAGATTTTGTTGGACGTACCTTCTCCCAGAGATCAACAACCGTGACGTTCGATCCTTTTGGGGAGGAATCGCACAAGTTTATGACAAGGAAGCCTACGCTAGACGAATCTAAAGAAGAGTATAAAGATAGTCGATGGTGCTACGATACTCCGGGTACTGTACAAAGGGACCAAATACTAGATTTGCTAACGATCGACGAACTGGTGCTAACTTTACCAAAGATTACTATGTCACCAAGAACATTTGATCTTAAACCGAAACAAACCGTATTCGTGGCTGGTTTAGGAAGACTAGATTATCTGGATGGAGAATATCATATACGGTATTTTACTCAAAAATATGTCACGTATTCTACGTACTCGCGGAGAAGGATCGACTGAAGTAATTTTATATACTTTGAAACTAGGTGTACGCTATTTTCGAATAGCAGGTTACCCATAACGATATGTTACACCTCTGATGCAGACGAAGTGTATAGTCGATTGTTGGAAACCGAAGCCTTTGTTGTGCCAACGAACGATCCAGAACGATTAAAAGTTTGGCCGAAATTCGAGTCGAAAGAATTTAAAGTGACTGGCCTCGATAAGCAATCTGCCGCTGACGTTGTCTTGTCCAATGCGGGTAAGTTTTCTTAAGGATTTCAATGGAAATCTAAACGAGACAAATAATACATTGAGTTCAATCGTTTAGGTTGGATCGCGATCACCCCATACGTAAACGAAAATGTTGAATTGAGAGCGTGGACGCCACAAGGCCGTGGTATATATTTAAGGACGCCGGCGCTATTGAGAAGATCGGTGCTTCTTCGTGGCTGGAAAGCACCAGGAACTCCACTGTATTTACTAGGACGAAAAGCATACGTATAACGCTAACAGGCGGTATCCACGTATTTCCAATTTATTGATTTCTTTGATATTACATCGACAATTTGTTGACAAAACAGTGGACAACTTTTAAAAGACATTAGCTTCTTGTGCTCGACGCCTGGCTTGTTTGTGCATTCTTTTGTAAAAACGTTCCAGATTTTTATAGAAACCGTGCTTTGTTTCGTCCGGTTGTTGCAGGTAAAGAGCGTTACACTCTGAAATACTAAACAATTTTTTTACAAACGTTTCTCGCCTTGTTCATTTCCGGAACATAACGAGCCGAACGTAACGTACCTCTTCGCCTTGCAATCCTTTTCCTTACTGCCCGACAGGTGTGGACCTTTCGAGTGTAGCCTGTAAGAGAAAGCTGTCTGAAGCGTTTAAAAGGAACATCGTGAGTCGTATGGCTAGAACTTACGCGATGTACGATTCACGCGAGAGAAGATCATCGTCCTTTGCACAGGTACAACAACAACGATCATCGCATACGGGAAATGATTGGGAATCTCGAACGTCTTTCAAACTGTTCTGTTTGCATTGATGGACGATATCGTCGTCTTTACAGGAGAAGTAACATTTGTACTTCGAACAGACAGGACAGCTTTCGAAGATGTGCAGATTACCGCAAACAGTGGAAAGACGGTGGTTCCTTTTTCCAGCACCGACCTCGCAACGATCGTTCAACCTTCTTCGCGTTGGATGGTAGCATTCGTTGATACGAGGCTGTTCACCCTGATACGAGTTTTCTAGGTTACTCGACTCGCACCTTGTACTGCGAAAATGTTTACGCTCGATACGTGTTTACGACACTTTGATACTTCGATCGGACCTGTCGATACTTACGGTCGGCAAGCTGGAACCCTGGCGGCTTTCGCACGGCTGTGACAGACTTTTCTTTGCCTGATGATACCTTTGACCGGTCGCTTTCTGTGCGCGCAGGTACGCTGTTCCCGAGGAGAAAATGCGAAGAGGAGAGAAGAAAAAGTAGAGCAAAGAAAACGGATCAGACGAGAAGCTGACGAGTCGTCAGGTGAAAAAGCAAGAACGTTACCTTGGAATCGATGGTCTTAGGATTTACCACGTAGGCTCCGTCGAGGCTGGAGCAGCAAACGCCAAGTACCTCCTCTATCACCGTTCTCGTCGAGATCTCAATCTTTGGCGCTATAATACCCTGCGTCAACGATTTGATCGGTAATGAATGATCGATACATTTTACCCGTGAGAAGGAATCGCGAGAGAGAAATACCAACGGGGAAATATCTGGTCGGCTCCATGAGCAAGTCGACGTCGATCCCGGCCAACAGGCCCTTGTAATTAACTACCGGGTAGAGTAGATCGGCCAAGTTAGTCTCGAATGTAGCCAGGATGACCGCGTTGTCGTTGCACGGGCTTACCCATTGTATCAATTCAGCGTAGAGAAACTCTTGCTCCAATTTCCGTTGCAACTCTGTCAAAGCAGCCAGCCGTGTGAAAGTTTTCTTAAAGTTAAACTCGTTGTGATATAATAGTGGAAAAATCGGTGATACTCTGTTAGATTCTAAGGTAGAACCGAGACTGGTTATTCGTAGCGCTACTTTGCCGTTAGGGCACAGCCATTCTCCCGGGCACGTTATCTGAAACGTTAGTTTTCGATCGTTCGACGTAGTCTTGGATCGATCGGGCTTCCTCGGCAGACACGGATGCGATACGTACCGCGTGCAGTTCTAATCGTATCTTCACGCAGAAACCTTTCCCTGCCATGACTTCGCCGCTTCCCTGACTGCGCTCTTTATCCAGGTAACATTTTCGTCGCGGTTCAAACGTTTCACGATGCGAACGCAAACTTTGAAATTTGATCCCCGTAAACGGCCAGTCACCGTACGACGTATTTGCTTCTCGCGTACTCGGGGGCAACGTGTACGCACGCTTACCAGTACTATACCATCATGAAGTGGGATCAGCGTCGGTTTTTGTTGCCAGGTGACGGTCGTGTCACAACATCGATATTGAATTTTCCCGACGATCGCTTCGGCACAGTTAGGGGTCTTTCGAAAAGCCTGATTCGAATTATTGGCCACGAATTCTAGGTTATTTTTACTATATCCTATATAGCTATTCATAATTCTTAACGATCATCGTTATAAGCGTAAGTCTTGGCTTCGATTCTCGGTGCTCCTGATCGTTACTTTTCATAGATTCTATTATTGTTCAGCCGTACGTAAAGGGTTTCTCCCGTATAAATAAATAAAGCTGAAACCATTGAAATAAATCATCGATAATAAAATTTGAATCGATCTATCGATGAAAGGGCTTCTCCCGTATAAATAAATAAAGCTGAAACCATTGAAATAAATCATCGATAATAAAATTTGAATCGATCTATCGATGAAAGGGTTTCTCCCGTATAAATAAATAAAGCTGAAACCATTGAAATAAATCATCGATAATAAAATTTGAATCGATCTATCGATGATGAATTTTGATTGATAAGGGTCGATCTCGAAGATGCGATCTATAACGTGGATCAACCTTTATACTTTGAAGGGTATTCCGGTGAATTTTTCAACCGGTAAACCTCGTTGACTGCGTCGTATCAGAATCTCGTTAACGATGAATTCCGCTTGTTGCCTGGGGAAGTGTAACCTTGGATCCCTCGTTCGAGGTATCAGGGGCTTCGAGAACCAGCCGTATCTGCGAACGGTAAACGACGCGTAAAAATGTTTCGAAAAATAAGAAAAAAAAAGATTTAAAAAAATGTATCGTACTCCATGTTCACAGACGGCGGCCTAAACTGATAGATATCCGTTGGCACCGAGATCAGACGTTTTGTAATTAAATCGACGTACTCTTGTTGTACTTCGGACGCCGGTATGACGTCGTGTTTTGCGTAAAATTTCCCGGTCAAAGGTTGACTCTTCGCGATCGCGACGAATTCTTCTTGTAGCTTTATGTATTTTTTTTCTTTCTCGAATCTCTCGGTGTACACACGTAATTTCAAAGGATCCATATCGCGTGGATTTTCCTGAATTCACTGAAATTTTGTAGGCGGATCGAGGCTTCGGCGGTGGAGTGAAGGCACGCACAAGTAATGCGGTTCGAGAGTAGCGATATTTATTTTAAAATACAAATAGAAAACGCATACATAACAAGCGGAAGACCGTGGCTAATCAGTCAAAGGTTTCCACAACACCTGCTACGTTTCGAGCACGAGTCTCGGTCTCGGTGTAGAACGATCGAAACGAAGAACCAAAATGGCGGTCTCGTCGTTTCTTTCGTTCGTAGAAATTTATTATTTCAGATCAACGCCGACGCAAGGAACAGAGACACGCTGTTCGATTTTATCGCAGCGTTTATTTAGCTCTTTTAACGTCGCAGCGTATTTTTTAACGCTGTCCGGATTTAAGTTCTTTGGTACTGATCTCGCTGCTACCGTAAGCTGCCAATATTTCTACTTATATTTCTATAAATACTGCAGCCAACATCCTTCTACCGACGTTTGCGCGTTTTGCAGTCGTAAAAAAAAAAAAAGAAACGAGAAAAAGAAAAAAGTCTTTCGAAAAGAATACAATGGCACGTCGTTACATCTGCAACACACACTGTTATGCGACACGATAATAGCAGCAACGACGATGGCGATGATTGACGATGACGGTGGTGCGATGATTCATGATGACGGAAATAACGGTAACGATAATACTAATATTAATAATAGTAGCTGTAGCGGTAATAATAAGAAACAATTACAATCGCGTGCTTTTCAATTTAACAAACAAATCTGGCTACCGAATTTCGAACAAAGTAATTAAGCATTCAACGACGATAATTCGTTATTCAATATCGTCGATCGCAGAATATCGTATAGAGTAGGTTAGGCCGTTTAACCGATGCTTCGTATCGACAAGAAACATTCTCTTGATTGCCACCCACGAATTAATCGAAAAAATGAAAAAAGAAAAAGGTTTGAATAGCATCATTTGAATTGAAATTTTTTCACGGGGGGGGGGGGGGGGGGGGCGGCAATCATTGCGTTCTATATTCTTAACTATATGTCCATATTATCTTTGATTTAATTTTTCCAAAATGTAATTAACTGTGATCGTCGGTGGGTACGGTCCCCGCTTCCGTGGTCGTCGAAGGTGAACGCGCCCTTTCGGTTTTGCTTCTGAAAATCAAAACGCGATGTAAAAGCTCCCTTGTATAATGGTAGATAAAAAGAAATAACTACCTAATCTGTTCCGTCGATTGATCGGTAAATTCCATCATCGGTTTCCGTTTCGCGTCCGTCGATTGCGCCTCCAGGTTCCCATTGTAATATCCGTTTTCGCATCTGTTCAGATATTCGCTGGACAACGGTGATCTCCTAGCGGATGTCAGATAGTCTACGCTGCTAGGAGCCAGTAGTTCCTCGTAGTACTGAATGGTCTTCGGCTCGGCGTGGGTGCTTCCGTACTTCCTGGGCAAAGTGGAGGAGCCTAGAGAGGAGGAGGAAGAGGAAGTGGCGTGGGTGTCGATGGCATGGTCGTTGAGCAGCAAACTGGACAGATGAGGAGGAGTCCTGTAAGCTGGTAGATCAGGATCCGCGAAGTCGGCGCTGTGGTATCTCGACCTGGACGCGGATAAATCAAAGGTAGGTGACCTTAAGTACCTCCTAAGCGGATCGTAAGAGGATGACAACGTTGGCAGATGTTCCGTCGGTGACTTTAAGTCACTAACGTACGGACTGGTGTCAGAGTACCTAGATCTATCTAGAGATCGGTTGCGTCCTAACGCGACACCTTCGTCACCGTACAGACTGTAGCTTCTGTCTCCGGTGTGCCTGCTATTGGACATCAATCCCAATCCGGTCCCAGCGTATTTGCTACCGCGATCCCGATGCTCCCGATGTCCGCTGAAGCTGAATTTCCTCGGTAACGTTGCGCTCGTAGGTAGGCTCAGTCCTGGGGGTGGCGCTGTTAACGACGGCCTCCGTTTGTCGTTAAATCGCGAGTAGAAACTCCTTCTGCGTATGCGCTCGATTACCGAGTCCGGATTATCGCTCTTGGCGTAGAGGAAACGCGAGGGTGAAGTGGGTGAGTGTAAATCCGGCCTCGCATGGTTCAGTTCGGTCGAACTGATGGACCAGGAGTCGAAACTCTCTGGCTCGTCCACGGGAGAGAACAACTCGTTCATATAATCGATCGGTGTAATAGATTCTTTAGGAGTTTGGGCTTTTTCCATGGAATCGTTTATCGGGACCGCAGGGGTAATAGCCTCTGGCGCGGTTCGCTTCGATTCCACTTCTTCCGTGACGATTTCCCGGTCTACTGGCTGCGATACCGGCTCCGACTGCGCGTGACTCTCGATGATCTTGGCGCATTCGGTCACCTCTCGCTTCAGTTCGGCCACATCTTTAGCGCGCAAGGGTTTGTCGATGACGATTTTGTTGCCGGTGATGCTGGCGCGGTGCGTCACTTTCGACAGACACTCCATCAGCTTGTCGGGAACTGGGTCGTTACCGGTAGATTTTGGGGATACCTTTGGCGATTCAGATTTCGGCGAGTCCTTCTTGGGGGTGCTGTTCCTGAAGGAGTGTTGAGGGATCTTCGACAGGTCCAGCTTCAGGTTGCTTCGGTTCGGCCGTTGCGATTCCTGACTCTTCTGTTGCTCGTTCCTAGTTTCTTCCGCCGTTTCATTTCGATCTAGAGTCTCTATCCCGTTCTCCTTGGCTTTCCCGTTGCTTGCCACAGAATCAGATCCGTTCGATTCTCCAGAATTCACTTCCGACCGCGTGACAGTCTTCTTCTTCGCTCGAATCTTGCCGGATTTCTCCTTTTCCTCTGTCATCGTTTTATCTTCACTGGTGTCGGATGATTTCTTTACGATCTTCTTCGCCACCCGAACAATCTTCTTCTTCTTCGTTCCTTCGGAATCACCTTCCGAGTTTTCTCCGGGCTTCTTCACCAATCTCTTCACCTTCTTATCTGCATCGACGGCGGAGCCACTCTCCACCGAGGTCCGCGTCGTTTTCTTCGCTTTCGTCATAAGGGATCGTTTCTCCACAGTTTCTCCCGCTGTTGAGTCCTTCTCTTCCACTTCTCGATCTACCATCTTCTCCTTCGACTCCTTCTCGCTGGATGCTCTCTTCTCCTTCGCGCTTATCGCCCTGGGTGCCTCCTTCGTCGGGGATTTCTTATCCGAACTCACCATCTTTTCCCCTCTATCGGTTTTCTTAGTATCAGCAATCTTTTTCGTCGCCTTGGAGTCGCATTTCGCGAGTTTAGTCGGTATTCTGCTCGCACTGGTGCTGGTGCTCGTAGTGGAAACGGTATCCTCGGCCAGACTCGCGTCAGCTTTGGTCGCTTTAGGCGGACTTCTCTTCAGTTTACTTAGAATAGCGTTCTGCGATCGCGCCGGTTGTTTCGCGTCTCCGCTTTTGAACAAACCGAGAACGGACGAGACCCTGCTTCTCGACGAGTTCTGGCCAGTCTTCTTCTTCGAGGAGAGATCCTCCACGCTGACGGCCCTCTTGGCGGAGGAACGCTCCTTGGACGAAGATTCGGCGGGCGGGGCAGAATGCTCTCGCGCATTATCGTTCGCCACTCTTCCGTTCATCGTCGCGTTTGACCCCGCCATCTTCTTCTCCTCCGATTGCTCCGACTGCTCCGACTGCTCGTTCGACCGCAGTTTCTCCAGTTTCTTCTCCAACGAATGCAGGAATCCATTCTTTGAGCTCTCCTCCGTCGCGTCTCCGTTCTTCTTCACCTCGAAAGACTCCTCCGCGTCTCGCGAGAGCCGCGAGTCCCTCTTCAACGAATTGATCTCGTTCTTCAGCTCCTTTTCGCGCTGCTTTTCCTGCTCGACGCTGCTTTCCCGTGCCACCACAGCGCCGTTCTCCGTTTTCCGTCTCATGAACCGAGACTTGCGGCGCTCGTTTTCCGCCGCTTTCTGCGCCTCCTTCTCCTTCGCGTACTGGCTCTCTTCCCTAGGCGTATCGAAGAAGTCTGGCCGAAGGAAACGCGATATCCTTCGTTGCTTACACTTCTGCGTCTTCTCCTTTTCTTTCTCTTTTTCCTTCGCCTCGTTCTCTCGATTTCCACTGCCTTTGAACAATTTACTCAGCAGCGACTTCTCCGGGCTGACGGAGCGGGCGGCGAGCCCCACGCCCAACGAGTCCGCGAAAGACTTTCTTCGATCGACCACGGAACTCGATGGTTCCCTGGTCAACGAGCCGGACCGCAATCTCAAACTGGGGATACAGCTTCGTCGTTTAGAAATAGTCGCAGGGAGCGTCTCCCCTATCGAGATCAACGATCGCTTCTCGCATTTGTCTGTGTCTCTGTAGCTGGAGCTCAAGTTTCGATCAAATTTACTCGCCTCTCCCGTTGGCACGAGGTTCTTCAGCTTGGACTCTTTGATCAGGTTCTCCGCCGCTAGTAGTCTGTTCTCGAAGTTCCTGGAAAGCTCGGCGGACTTGTAGGCGGCGGAAGATTTGTAGTCGAGCAAATTCGAGGAGGGATTCGACTCTGTGGAGGAGCTCTCGTAGGACTTGGCCGACACGCTGGAAGTGGTCGCGTCGAGGAGGTTCGTGTTCGAGTCGCAAACCGAGGCTGAGGTACACTCGGAGATAGAACCGTTGTCCGCGTTGCACTCCAATTTATCTCCGTCCCCGGTTTCCTCCTGGATCTTGTCCGTACGGTACGAACGGAAGCTCTCCCTTCGAAGTTTGTTCGCGTTTCTTTTACCAGCGGCGTCCTTGTACCATTTGTCCAGACCGGTGGCCGTCCGTTTCGAGAAGCCGGCGAAGTCGTCACCCTCGGCGTATCTGTCCTCGGAACCGTACTCGCGATCCCCGTTCCCTTCGAACAGGCTGACGCTTCGTCTGGGCGACTCGCGTCTGGATCCCAATCTCTCGATCGATCTTTCCAATAAACTGTTCGCTCTTCTGACGCCGCTTCTGCTCCCCGCTCCTTGCCTGTATTCCGTCTGATCCGACACGGTTGACACGGAACGATCCGCGGCTTCGGACGCGTCCAGCAAACTGCTCGTCTCTCCGGTTGGAGATCCGCATCGCGTCTCGTACGGGGATCGTGATCCGGTTCCGGTATCCTGTTCGATCAATGTTCTGCTCAGTCGCCTCGCCAAGCTCGGCGTAAAGCTTTGCTCTAAAGATTCCTGCGTCTCTTTCCTGACTCGCGCTGGCTCCGCTTCTACGTCTTGCCGTTCTACTTTATCTGAAAAAAACAGGTCAGGTAACGTGTCTACGGGGTCTCTGATCGTTCGCACGGTGTCACGGGAAAGCGTTATGTTACCCTTCCTTCCATTTTCCACCTATGTACATCGAGCGTGTTCGTGTTGTTTCCTTCTACCCCCATCTACCTATCTTTCTCATTCTCTCACACTCTCTCTTTAAAGAAATTCTGGAAGAAATTTTAGTTGAGCTTTCCATCGAGGAACGTATAGCGGACAGTCGGGTTTTTCTTTTTTATACGAACAGGTTTATTTTTAAAGTAACAATAAATATATTTAACATTTACGAAGTACGATACAACTTTAGCAACAGACTTTGTCGATCGACTTTCTCGGTTCCTAACCGGATTCGCTCTACACGCATTCTCTCGGTACTACGAATCTTCCTTTGAATTTGAAAATCATAATCGTTTCTCTTCCCTGTGTATGTGTGTGTAAGAAAAAGCAAAGAAAAAGAGGATTAAACCCCTCGCGGTATATCGCAACAACCTCCGTGTTTTCGCTAACTTTCATTTACTAAAGTCTTCTGTTTCCCTTCCGGCGCGTATTGTGATATTTGGTATACGAATATAAAATATAGAATTTTTAGGCTATGATAACGTGTAACGAGCACAGCCTCGTACCAGAGGGGTCAATGCTGGTCAGAAATTCTCAATTTCTTACCTTAATATTACAGCAAATCTTTCTTCGGTTTATTGTTTTGTGATAGAAAATAAATGTTTAACCGATAGTGGCAAAGAGGCTTAATTAATCATCGCACGATTCAAGTCGTCTCTTTCCATCAAAAAGTCCACGGTATCCGATTCGTGCCCTTCGGGAGGAAAAACTTTCGTCGAAACGTGAACTCCTCTTCGCACTCGTTCCAACTTGAACACCTTCAAACTTCATTCGCTCTAACTTACTTACACACTTGCACACATACATACGTGTACATATGTTTCCAATTGTGTATTAATGCAACAAATTATCGAGTGTAAATTTATATACTCGTCGAACGATTACATGCAGAATAAAGAGGCTTGCTATATGCGTACGAAAAAGTTGTTATAGGTTTCCAATGGATTTCCACAGATAAAAACGTTACTCGAAAGCGGCACGATGGCTTACTTTTCCAATCCTTTCGATGCTTCCTCGTGAAAATAAAGAATTTTCATATCCAAAACGATGGTACACTAACGAGCATCGATACTTTCCCTTGATAATATGAACTACAGGCAATAGAAGGCTTCCCCCACTCGCTTGACGGTGGGAGGCGTGGCTAAACTGCCGACGCGAGCCGAACTGTGCCGAAGCTGAAGCACAGGCGAATCAGGCGAGTGGTGGGCGGTCCCTCGTGCAGTTTTCTTTATCGAAGAAACGCATTAATGCTCTCCGATGTATCCCGAGTGATGGTAAAACACGATTTTATCGGGATTCGAAAAATTAGCCACCGCGCTTGGATAACATCGAAATAAATATATATATATATATATGTATATATCACCTTAGGTGTCTAAATCACAACGCGTCAAATGTGTAAACTTAAATCGAGATAGTGTAATGCAATGTACAATATTAAATACAATATAATAGCATTATCAAAGCATGCTGAGACAATGTAAAAGTAATAAAACGCTGTTATTTTAAACTCTTAAAAACACAACAAATATCAGCCATCTCAAACAAGGGTTAGCTCGTTCGCCTTGTGGTATATACGATTTCTCGAGATAATATCGTCTTTCGACGTGGATGTGAGTCTTTTCTTTATATCTTTCCCGCGATAGCTCTTGCGAAACGATCGTTACACGTTCGTTCATCGAGCTTCGTGTCCTCGACGATGCATATCGGGGTCTAGTAGAATTTTCGTATCGACGACTATCGTCGTGTCGCGTTTCTTCGGCTCTCTTCTCTAGCGATTCTCGTTGCTGGCGTAGTAGAAAACTCACGATGGCTAATAAACCTCGCGGACGATACAATACAAGTATAAAGGCTGTACAGAAAAAGATCGCGTGAAATTTTACAGGATACATGGTGCTCGTACAAAACATTTCTGATTTATTTCCTCGAGTACCATGCCCCTCCACAGTTTTCCGCAATCTTTTCTGAACGAACCTGGTCACGTTGCGTGTTTACCTAGAAATTCTCTCGCTCTTTACAGTGTTTCTGTATTTCAAAAGGGCACAGAGACAGTCGGTGTACCACTTTTCGAGTAGGAAAGGAACAGGGAAGGTAAAGGTGTTATTAAACCCCCTTTGTACCATGGTCAAATTAAATTTAAAAAAAAAATCACATTCCCCAGCCAATGATTTGAAAAAAAAAAAAAAAAGACAATTGACTTTACACGTTACATTACATTACAAAAATAAAACTTGATTCCCTTCTTTCGAGGAACTTTTTATAAACGATATGAAAGAAAAATAGAAGGGGTTGAGCGAGGTTTGGTGACGGTGGATATTTGTGGTCGAATGTCGCGGACATCGGCGTACGTAACAATTAGAAATGATAATGATACCGAACGAGAAGAGCGACGAGAAGGTGAGATTCGCCAGATAAAAGTGTATAGCATAGTACCTAACTTGGTTTGTCTACTGGGGATTACCGTCTGGCCACCTATGTAGAGTCACTCGCACGGTCGCTGCAACAACCGTCAGAAAACACCGTCAATTACACGTGCCATTAAAATACCCTTCCACCGCGATTATTTCGAGTATATTTTCGATATACGTTTCCACCGATATCGATCGGTTCCGCCTGCCGGCTGCATCGGCCGGCCACGTGCTTCGCTACTCTTTTCGATCTTAGCTGCCTGAACGAGTAACAAATTACCACAGCGTGTTAAGTGTTTCAAAATTCGTGATTTAAGAAAAAGAGAGAGAGAAAAAAAAAAGAAGGCAAAAGCAACTATTTAAGCTTGAAAAGAACAGAAATTCGTAGTTCTGAAATAGCCGACAGCTTCCGATATCTTCCCTTTTGTCTTAACCCTCGAACGGCGATACACAGAAATACATCAATTTTATAAATTTAGAAAATGAGAATACAAAAGGGCTTAAACTTCGATTTAAACCAACCCTGTCACCGATTCACCGTTCGAGGGTTAAAATTTCACTGTAACGGCTTGCAATTATTTATCGATTCGGTTCGGACATTGAAACAGAATTCGCGAGCGAAAGCCGAAAGGAAACGAAGGAATTTAGTGTCGCGAACCGAGGTAATTGTCGGCGATGCACGTGTACCGAAAATATAATCTCTCGCATTCATCGATCAGCGGTGGCAAAAAAAATAAGAAAAAAAAAAAATAAAGGACTACAACATCCTTCCTTCGATCGCTGATTGAAGAGTCGACGATAGACGTGTGAAAAATTAGATATGCATGAACTTTGACTGAAAAAATGGATTCTATCTTGGACAGTGTGTTGAACCGAATTTCCTCACTCTGTGTCTGTATTCGTGTACGTGTGTGTGTGTGTGTTCATGTCTGACGTGTACGTGTGTAGTCATGCTGTGAACTTTAGTGTACGCTCGATTAAAGAAGAAAAGAAAAAAAAAAAAAAAATTGAATTACTGCTCTACGCGTGTTAATAGGATACTACTTTGTGTAAGTCAACAACAACAGTGCAACTTGCTACTACTACTATTGCGTATTACGAGAAGGTTCTATGTTAGGCAAAGTGTGAGTTATACGTCTTGTGAGTAATTTAATGCTCAAACACGCGTGCTTCTCGCGCAATCTAGGACGAAAAATTCGATCGCCAGACCCGCCTGTCGCTGATCTGACTAATTAGGAAAAAATTCTGAACCGTACGACAACAGGCGGGTAGGTTTCTGCGAGGAATAATCGTGCACACATGCTTAGAAAAGCGCTCTTTATACTCATTTCGTACTCTACACCGGGGTATAAAAATGAGAAAAATTTCTCCTGACATCGAAAATCGTACCGACAAAAAGATCACCGAAACGTTTACCCACCTGTGCCAAACATGAACCGTCTTATCTATTCCAACTGGGGTTAGTATAAAAAAGTTGCAAAAAACATCGTCAGGCAATGAAATAGAAAAAGATAGTTTCAATGACAAAGACAGCTCTCGAAGCGGTACCCTATGAATTCAACAACCCTTTGCATCCTGATAGATTCGATGATTATAAATTTTCCCAAATATAGTCGAGTTTCAACGTTCAAGTTCCAATGCACCTTATCTTACTCTACCGTAACAACTACTTTCTAATAGTAATCAAGTTGTAACGTTATGACTTATGCAATTAGAAAATGATTAAAAAAAAAAAGAAAGGAATTCGTTGGTTTCGCGCGACTCTACTTAGCGGATAGTAGCTTCATGCTCTTTTATCTGAAAGCAATTGTTACGGGCGTTTGTAATTGTTAAGGGCATCAGAACTGTAACGTTAAGTATCTTTCGACTTGCCCGTTTGCATCGAAAACCGATCTATCAGCGTGCAAAAAACTCGTTAAGATCTTGGGGGTATCGCTTTGGGTGCTCTCCTTGTTAAGAGTAGGTTGGGCTCGGTTGGAAAATAGAATAGAAGAAAAAGAGAGAGAGTACGAGATCGAAAAATTTGATATTGAGAGACAAGAGGTAAAATCGGTAAACAGAAAAAAATGAAAAAAGGTACACGGAAAAAAAGATGTGCTCTGTCTATCAACGACTCGACAACAGCTAGGTACTAGGAGATGCATACTGAATACCATTCAGCATTTTCTCGCATGGCTCGTGATATTTCAACCAGTGACAAAATAGCAACGATCCTATCGCGTCATCGCAGAAGCTCTGATAATTTGAAAAATAGAATTCATAGCTTTTTCACAGTGGGACACTGTTAGCAATACAGGCAGATTCATTTAGACAATCGACAGCTCTTTTAAGCGAAAATTACAACGAAAGATATTTTGGCACTGGATCGAATCCGAAGCTCGAATCCCTCCGCGTTCTTCTCGTTAATTCATTTTCGAGACTCTTCCTGATTCAATGACGATCGTAGAACGCAGGGGACTCGTCTTCCCTCTTTGAATATCGACGATTCGTTTTTCAGTTTGACAAGGTTTCACGATGACCTCGCGGAACAATCGTTCGACACTCTCTTCTTACCTCTTGGTAAGGTGACGTTGCCGGAATCGAACACGGTTTCTCTCGACGGAGTCCCGTGCGATCCTGGACTGTTCGGAGTTTTCGGAGTTGCCGGATTCGACGAGTTCACGGGGTCCTTCCTCGAGAAGACGTCTCCCTCGCGGCTCAGAGAATGCCTGAACTGTGACTCCGACAATCGCCTGGATTGGTAACAGAAAAAAAAAAAAAAAATCGTAGTCATTCGTCTGGTTATCAAAGAATTTCTTTTTTTCGGTGGTAGATTTGTAGAAGGAACTTTATCGCGAATTAAATATCTAGATTACTGATTGCAACGAGGCAAATAGGTGGACCAGGAACCACGATACTACTGGCAAGAAGATGGTGCCGAAAACGGAGCTTGTAGGCTTGTAGAGTAGGGTGTCAGGCTACGCGTCGAACGTGACTTCAAGATGCTTTATTTATAGAACGATCGCGTTCGCTGTCCGATATCGGATCGCAAACTATCGTGCTCGAAGCTTTGAAATGTGTGTCCAATTGCGAGGAAAGATAGAGAGATAGAAACAGATAGAAGATAAGGTACATTCGATAAATTACTCGTGATGTTTTGCACTACCTTCTAAAATAATCGGCATACACTACATTGCTCTAATGTTGTTGTAACAATTGGACTCACGTAGTGACGGTCCTCGTTTCGACATATGTCTGGTAGCTTGCGCAAACAAGCATCAAACCGTTGGTCATCAGATGGAAAGAGGAAAACTGAGGATATTCACGCGCGGTTTCGTGAGCCAACGAGGGCGTAGATAAAACATTTCGAAGCAATTACCTCGATAACGGTTTATTGAGACCCCAGAAAGCTTGCGACGGGTTCGATCCTAGTCTATCGAACAGTCGAGATCTCGGGAAACCGGTGGTACGATTATCGTCTACGTTTAGCCTCTGCGTCAAACTTCGTACTCGAGAGAGTAGCGTGGAGAATAGATTCTCAGCGGTTAATAGTTCAAAACCGTCGTCGTCGTCGTCTTCGCCGGAAGACAGACTGTCAGCGTGTTCCGGTGGCTGCCTCGATGGACGTGAACTTCTCAGTCTATGCATGTGTCGCTGCAGTAGGTCTTCACTGTCCCTAAAAAAAAGAAAAACAGACGGTGAGAATAAAATCAAGGGAGTAGAGTACTAGAGGATCATGCTTTGCTATTAGTAAACGTTAGTTCACCTGTGCAACGTAGAGAAGGGAGATTCGTCTTCGCTGGCGTCGGATAGAAGAGAACTCATTCTTCGTGGTCTACCAAACCTGGATCGAGGAGCGTTCGTACTGGTCGGGGTGCTAGTCTTGCTCTCGGGTTCTACGCTGCCCGACCTAGGAGTCACGTATCCTCCGCCTTCCACGGCAATCGGTATTATGTACTCCCGAGGACTCTTTCTAATCGGTTCCGGACCAACCGTCGAACCGAGAGCGCTATCCGTGTCCGAATCAGCGGTCGACTGTCGAGACAACGAGCCCGATCGTTGAGAAATCGACCTCTGCGGCATGGGTGGCAGCTTCGACGGCGGTGGTGTGGAAGAATGTTCCGTCTGTTGGTTACCCGTCTCTACCTACAATCATAAAAATCCAAGTAAGAAGGTTTCGACTAACTCGCGTCGCGCGGTTACTTCAGAACACAGATTATAATCATTCTATGGACGTTCCAATAGGTTTTTATACGTCCTCGAGCTGAGAGATGTATTAAACGAGACTTAGCTCCGACCTGAATCGGTATTATTCTCTCTTTGGGTGCAGTGCTCCTTGGTCTGCCCTCTGGTTCCAAGCTGGAGCTTCGATTCGCTTGCGGCACCGCAGCCGCAACCGGGAACGCGACCTCCGATCTCTGGGTCCGTAGTTTTTGTGGCTGGAACGCGTCGATCTTTGCTTCCACTTCCGATTTGAACGCCACGGGAATTTCCTGTGGTTTAGTACTCGACAGAGAAATCTCTGCCTTAGTGGTCTTCCGCGGTCTGGGTAAAGTCGCGCTCTTCAGGGTGATCTCCATTTTGCTGGACATCTTCGGCTCGTCCTGGGAATCGTCAACGTTGGATGATTCGGCGTTCGCGGATCCGGAGACGGACGTAGAGATCTGTAAAGGTAATTGGATAGATTCACGAATGACACGCCGTTCTGTTAGCTTCAATTTCGTTTTCAAACTCACCGTCGCGCGTTTGTTCCTGTCCGATTCTTTATCTTCGAAGGGGAATTTGGTCTCGACAGGGGTGGAAACGGATACGGTAGCCGAGCGCAGATCGTTCGTACCAACTGGTATCTTTAATGGCAATTTTTTGGGTTCTTGACTCGGCGGCGAAGTCGGCGGAGAACCGTTCGCTCTCTTCTGCACAGGTGGCTTTCCAATCGCACCGGTTATTATATCCACAGCTCGCTTCTTAGCATCTTCATTCTTTTTCTCCTCCTCTGCCTGTCCTTCAGGCTCTTGTTTCACCTTTTCATTCTTCTTCGCATCCGTAGGTACGTCGATGATTATTTTAGAAGCGCTGGGCTTCGTTGGCGGAGGTGTACTCGCTGAGGATAGACTAGCTTTCCTCTCGAACACCCTTTTCGCTCCTCCTACATTCACCCCGGGTATGAAGATCTTCTTCGGTTTCTCGTTGTCCACGTTCGACGCCATTTGATTGAATTTCTCCGCGGTTTCGAATATCTTCGAGCGTCTCCTCTCGAACGTCTTCCCGGGGACGTCGCTAGTTTCGCTGGACAATTCCGAGTCAAGGGACAGTGCCTTCTCTTTCAATTTCTTGAATTCTCTCTGCGTCGCTTCTAAATTGATCGCGTCGTTACTGGCGGACGCGTCATTCCGGTCCGATACCGTGACCGATTCGGACACAGGTGTCGTAGGTTGAGCGGGTGTCGCGTTTGCCGCTTCATCGACCATCTGTGCCTCATCGGGCTTGGAAGATTTCTTCTCAGCTTCGTTTCGAGCATCGACCGGCGTTTCGCTGCGCTCTTTGCTAGGAAACCTTTCGTTGCACTCTTTTATCAACTCCAGACAAGCTGCCGAGGATTCCACTGTGTCCAGATCGACGCTCGGGTTGATAGGAACGGTCACGGTAGGGTCCACCTCCATGGCTTCCTCTGTGATGGCGTTTGGAATCGGCGCTGAGTGATGCCTACGATTTTAAGAAAGATTTATTCGTCTATTCCTTTATTTAGGAGAAATGAATCCTTAACGAATCGTATGGATCTAAAGTGTATGACAACAATGAAACAGTAAATATAGTATTATCATGAATACTATAGGGAACCCGTGGAAAATTTCATTTGTTCTATAACACTATAAGCGTATACTGTACTCACCATTGTATTATTGTCATACGTTTAACTGTACACGAACAGAAATCCATACATGGTTTTACAGTGGTGAAAGTTTTTCACGCAAATTCCAAACGGACAAGAACAGCAGTGAGATTAAAAATGATGCGTGTGCGTTAGTACGAGAAGTCGAGAGATGAACTCCACACGATCGGGTTATATACCTTGACGCGGACTTGTACGTTCTCGGTTCCCTCTCTTCCGGTTTCTCCTTCTTTCTGGACCGTTCCTTCCGCTTGGCACCGGCGGCAGCGGTCTCGTCCATCGACGGCGTCGTCTCCAGTTTCCTCTTCGCTTCGCCGGTGATCGGCGCTGTCCTCGGCTCTTCCTCCAGCAATTCCCTGATCCTCCTGTCGGAATTATTCTGATCCAGTTCCATTAAGCTACCGACAGAGTGACATCTGGTAGGTACTAGATTTTCGGAAGACATATCATTCGGGACATCCCCGGCTGTTTGCTGATCGCCCACGACCAGCTTCTCCGCGCTAGCGGATTGCGGTACCAAAGAGAGGAGCAGGTCAAGTCGCACGGGTGTTTGGGCCGCTAGTTCCTCAGCGATGTCCAGACAATTCTGCTCGTACCCTTCGTTTACCCACCAATGAGTGCAAATCTTTTCGATGTCGGCTCGCTTGCACCGGCGAACGGTCAGCATGTCTTTGATGAGGGGAGAAGCGGCTGCGAGCAGATAATTAATCATTGAATACATAAAATGGTAAGATAGAATAATACGAAGGAGACGGGGATAAATGAGACTTACGAGAGGGTTTTTTAGGTTCGTAATAATCGGACTGTGAGATCTGTTTGACTAGTCGTTTAAAGTTGGACCCGTCGAAGGGCATGGCACCGTATACCAAGGTGTAAAGGAGCACACCCAAACTCCAGCAGTCGACCTCGGGACCGTGGTAAGGTGTACCCTTGACGATCTCCGGGCTGGCGTACAAAGGGCTGCCGCAGAACGTGTTCAACAGCCTCTGCTCGTCGAACACGTTCGACAGACCGAAGTCGGCTATCTTCGCGTTCCCAACTTGGTCCAGCAGAATGTTTTCGAGCTTCAGGTCTCTGTGACAGATTTTATGCTTGTGACAGTAGAATACGGCGGTGGCTATCTGACGGAATATCCTGCGAGCCTCTTGCTCGGTCAATTTTTTCCGTTCGCTCAGGTAATCGTACAGCTCGCCACCGGCCGCGTACTCCATCACCAGTACCATTTTCTCCCTGTTTTCGAACACTGAAATAAGCAAGAAACGGATCGGGATAAAAATCTAGCCATTTACGGGATGGATTTATTATCACCCTTGAATTCTTCTACCTTCGTATATATGAATGATGTTCGGATGTTGGACGCTCGACATTATCTGAATCTCTCTTCGTATCCTGATCAAATCCGCCTCCGTCTCTATTTTACATTTCTTGATCGTTTTGATCGCCACCTCCTGGCCGGTCTCCTTGTTGATCCCTAACTGGACTTTACCGTATGTACCTTGACCGAGCTTCTTGATGATGTCGAACCTGGCGTGAAAAAGGTGGGGCGGAGTAAAACATGGAATTATAAGTTCGAACGGTTCCGAGTACGCGTTGTACTATTTTACGAATTTGGCTAGCATACAAACGATGCCCGCGTTATTTACGTTTCGCCAAGTATTTAGCGAACGTGCCAATCTCGAGATTCGCGGTCGATCGTCGGTGGTTAACCGATCGCAGATCCTCCGCCTTACCTCTGCTTCAACTTCCGTTTGTGATTGTGAAGTCGCACACCTCCGGTGCTCTCCATACCTCCCATAATGTTGTGTATGCTCGCCTCGCCGACCACCATTTTGCCTTATTCTCGTATCTGAAAGCAAAATTTAAATTGCCATTGGTTTCAGGGTTAAGGAGTTTCTACCCGAGGAGGTTTCGCGTCCGCGACGCGTGATTTCTTTTTCTCGCCAAGGTGACACGGGAGACCCCCGCGATCTCGGATAACGCGTTCGGCTAACAGAGGAGGGGCCATGCTCCTCGGTTATCGGGCTTACGGTTCGAAGCAAGAAGGAAGATAGAAGGACGGACGGACAGACGGACGAAATGCGGTGAGTTTATTTTCGGTCTGCGTCTCTCCCGCCGATCGTTGTCCCTGCGACCACGTTCGCCTCCACGACCAGACGAGACCCGACTTCGTTCCTCTTGCACGCGTTATACCTAATCGAATCGACCCGAATTTCGTCGCTTTCCTTCGACGCTGGCAATCTTCCTTTGCCGCAAATTTCACAGGAATATTGAATTCGAACCTCGAGATCATGATCACTTTTCATTTCGTAATTGGAGTTTCAGAAGAGCAATCTATGGAAGGGAAACACGTGCGCATAGGAAATCGCTGTCTCGGTCTCGATACTCGATCACGGTGCGTTTTGATATTTTTAGCAGGCACGTAGACCCGCCGCGTGGGCAGACCAACTTCAGGGCTGATGTCCTAATGACTTCCATTTCCTCGCGCCTTTCCTTTCTAAACTCTCCTTTCGGGAATCGACGCGAGATTCTCTTTGTTCTTAACGCTTTGCGAAACCGGAAGCCTGATGATAGAAATTTTTCTTCTTGAATTCGCTCGGATTCGTGAGTATCGACCTAGATCCCAGTCCTAGTGAAGCGAATTCGAAAAATTTCAAGTTTAAACCAAAGAATATGCGCCTCTGACGAAGCCAACGGTGGCCCACGCGCCGCGAAACGTGTTAATAGGATTCGTTTCTTACTCGACTGAAATATTAAAAGTAAGACGTGTATGGTAACGCATGAATTTTCATCAATGTCACGTATTTGATCGGTTACCAAGTTCAGAGTTACCCGGTTCATTGCGCGTCAAAGATATAATTAAGGGTGCTGCAATATAGGAAGGAATTTGATGATATAGAATACTCGACAGTTTTTAGCATCGTGTCGCATACATTTCATAAGACATTTATTTTGTTTATTTAATACATATTATTCATTTCAAGTGCCAACCTGGCTGGCTCTGAAGTTTCTTTCATTTGCCAACACTCTAGACATTAATAACAAAGTTCCATTAAATGTATAATCATGCGACGTTGCTAACGCTCTCTATGTATTTTTCAATTTCCCTTCCGTTTCATTCCTAAACGAGTCCTAAATGCTTCTAGAAAGCAAGTAGCCAGGTTGCGATCATTTTTTACTTGCTATTTATAAACAGGCTCTAAAATACTACTGTCAACGCGAAGTCTGAAAAGAACGCGGGATAAATTCAACCGAGCAATCGATTAGAAATAACGCGATCGATCGATCTCTCGACAGAGCCAACTTCGACTCGTCGCGTTCGAGAATTGAGTGAAAGGCGACGATAACCATTTTTTAACAGACTTCGAAAAAGGAGAAGGTTACTCAATTCGATCAGTATATATATATATTTTGTCTGAAGCCTCGAGGTGCCATTATTCTCTACAGCGGAAACAACTTGCAAGCGCCAAGGGTTAAATGTGGTTTTCGTCGATGTCAAGACAAACGTGTTGAAAAACGAGATACGCGGTCAAAGTATCGGGTCGACGCGCGAAGGCGCCGCTTTGGCAAACCGATCGTTCGAATAATTTGCCAACGTCGATCCACTTTTACGCGCTCTTGAATTATATAGACCATCAACGAAGAGCGCGCCTTTGTAGTTAGGCTGTAACGCTGTCTCAACAATTTCTCGCCAACTCGCGGAACCTTGATGCACGGTTTCCAACAAAAATATGACACCCTTCTCTGCGAGAATTTTATTCCTGAAAGCAATTCTTTTCATTCGTCTAATCTTTTAACAATAAATCCTGTACAAAATTAAATCGCCAATTAAGTTTTAAAGCTAAAAGGTTAGCTTTCGATTCGAGGACGCCACCACCTCTATCCTGCGCTTTGTTCCTCGATTCTCGGATATCGAATCGATCTTTCCAACAAAAATACAACACCCACATTTTATTCCGAGAATTTTATTTCTGAAAGCAATTCTTTTCATTCGTCTGATCTTTTAACAATAAATCCTGTACAAAATTAAATCGCCAATTAGATTTTCCAGGTAAAAGATTAGCTTTCGATTCGACCAGGCTACCACCTCTATCCCGCGCTTTGCTCCTCGATTCTCGAATATCGAATCGATCTCGAATCGAACGAGAAACGGTGATACCCCGCTTCTATTCGCGAGGTCGGATGTCGTTCGTGTGTGACGTCATCCGGCAACTTGTACGGTATCTCGTGATTCACGTATTATTATTAAAACCCTTATTATTCCTGTGCACGACTCGCGTTGCATACATGAATGAACCTCTCTCTCTCCCTCTATCTATACGTTGCTCGCGGGTGATTGTACGCGTGGATCGCAATTTCTCGCGACAAAAGTTTGAGTCACGAAGAATTAATAGACTACACTCCGTGAATTTCATTCGCGACCGACCATCTGGATCTATGCTATTTCGGCCGATGCAAATGTTTCGCGGTATTACGTTCGAACGCGCTTGAAAAAAAAAGAAAGAAACACGCATACGTACTTATGCGACAGAGAAAGTTCTATCGCTAGAGAAATAAAAACGAAGCGATTTTTGTCCATACAATAGGCAAGGGTGACACTCGAAAAAAGAACGCTTCGATGCGCATAAAAAGTCACTAGGAAGAAGGTTCGCGAAACAAAAGATGTTGTGCATAAGAAGTGTTGCTTTCATCGCCGAAATTCTTTCTACGCAATCAAGTAACACGAGTCAACGTACTTAGGACACGACGAAAGTCGATGTAAATATTGACAGGTAAAATCGAGACAAAAATGAATCGTAAGCATAATCGATACATTCTCTTCCCGATACGGGTAAGACGAATGGATCGATCGAAGAGAATCGTTCTATCAATTAGGTTAAATAAAATGTGTGTCAGTGTGTGCGTGTACACGTACCGGTGCAATGTATGCAACTAAAGCGCGTAGCACGGTATGTAGGTTCCTATTTATAAAAATAGCATTCTGATATTTTAAAGAGTTTCTTTCGGAACATCTGCTAATCGCTTCGAACGTTATCGAACGGGATACAAAAGTGAAACAAGTTCCACGACGTTATTCAAAGGTTTTGCGTTAGATTTGTAGGCAATGATCAGCCTTCTTCGCACATTATGTATCGAGTAATCGAAAACGCCCACGAAAGAAAATCGACGACGCTTTGTAACGTTCTTTTCCTCACGGTTAGACATCCGTTTTCGACTCTCGTACTCGACGATGGAACGAACGAATGCTCTGAATGAGAATCGACACTCGGGTAGGGTCTAAAAATAGCGAGAATTTGTACCTTACAGTGAACTCTGGAGCCAAATTATCCTCTTTTGCGGCTGCTATCCGCTCCCGGGGAAATATAAGAAAAGTACACTATTTACACTATTATTATCGTCCGTACGATCAACTCGATCACTAGGTCTCTATAATTTTGCAATTTTTAAGAGAGATCGCGAACGTTCTCCGTTTCCACTTCACTTTACCAGACATTTTTCGCGTGACGATACCGCACACGGCTCACGCGCTGCCACCATCTTTATTTACTAATTTTGGACTTGAACACTGAGAACGGGGAACGGATAGATTGGTCGGTGCTAAAGCCATCTTCAACATTAGTTTCCATACTATATGCGCATATACTATATGCATCAATGCACTTGTGCGTATGCTTTTGAAATCATGTGAATTTCCTATTACTCAAGTGCTTTTCTCTTAATTAATTGTCACCGATATTTTCTTTACAAATAAATATATTATTTTATAGAAAGTTATTCGTGTGTCTTCCTGTTGTATTAAATGTACGACAATGATGTCGTTCTGGACATACGATATAGCGTATAGGTATAAAGTTTCTTTATTCATATTGTATTCTTATTTTTATTTCTACTAAAATGCCATGAATAATATGTAAAGTTGTTAACGCTTGTAAAAGTACGGTTATCAAAACAATTATTTCCTATACTTCCTTCGTGCTTAGTCAATATCGTGTCACTCGACACTGGTATCGTGGACGTATAGGTTATCCTCGTGGGAAACACATCGCAATGTTTCACGTATCTTTTACAGCATTCAACAATTGTAGATGAAAGCAAAACTGGTAAATACGATTGATAATTAACGATATGGATCCCACGGAAGATTGGAATGGCGATTGCCAAACATCGTCGGAAAATCAAACGCAAGAAAATGAGAGGAAAGAAGTTCAACAAATCATACCCGGCTATGCAAATTTTCACGATTACCTTCAGGTATGGTTTAACTAACGTAGATGTTACAAAATGCTACTTTTACCAAAAATTCTCTTCTCAAATGAAATTTATTTTGTATTTTAGGAATCGTTTGATGTAATAAGAGCTGGGATTAAAGCGGCCAATAATTTGCCAATTGGATCGGACTTTCGTTATTATTCCTGTTTTCCTAGTTTTGTTAATGCTAAAGATCGAAATGTAAAAAGGGCCTTAAGCGTTATGCAGTGCGTTATGGCCACTGCGGGTATTAAAAATAATATTTCAAATCAAGCCGTTGATGAAAAGTTTGATCTTTTGTTAGAAACGAACGATATCCTTCTGGACAGAGCTGTAAGTTTTCGTACAAATAGATTTCGTACAATATTTATGAAAATAAGTTACGCTCTACATGACTACAAACTCTTATTTGTCATAGAATGAATTAATGGACAAAGAGTCTGGTATTACCAGGAGTTCTGAAGTAGAGTTAGTGGTAACGCATGCAAACAAGCAGGTAGTAAATGGAAGTTGGAACAGTGAAATCTGTCGACCGCCGCAACCTGCTGATAACGCTCAGTCTGTACGCTTGCTGGCAGGTAGGAATGTTCAAAGACCTCAGCTAATGTTCAAAGACAAAATTGATAACCGTCCGAAACCATGGTGTCCCAAGATTAAGGATAAACCTAACTCGTTAAAACCGTTATCTATTTACGTGGAAGAGGGTGAAAATGGTGAAGTATTCAGTCACCCTTATGAATATGAATTGGATATGTTTTCACCTCCTGCCAGTCAGTTACAAAAGTCTCAACCGACAAAGTATAAGTCCTTGGAAGAAACGCCGTTAGTAATAATTGAAAATTCAGTCGATATTAAATTATTACTAGAAGACTTGAAACGATACAAAGAAATTGCTGTAGATTTAGAGCATCACTCTTATAGAAGCTTCCAAGGGATAACTTGCTTAATGCAAATTTCGACCGGGGATACAGATTATTTGATAGATACTCTATCGTTGCGTTCCGAACTGCATGAATTAAATGAGATTTTTACTAAACCATCGATTCTGAAAGTGTTTCACGGAGCCGATTTAGACATTCAGTGGCTCCAAAGAGATCTGTCTCTTTATATAGTAAATATGTTTGATACGCATCAAGCGGCGAAACAGCTGAATCTGCCGTATTTAAGTTTAGCGTATTTACTAAAACAGTACTGTTGCATAGATCCCAACAAGCACTTCCAGTTGGCTGATTGGCGTATAAGACCGTTACCGGAGGAACTGCAAAAGTATGCTAGAGAGGACACGCATTATTTATTGTATATAAAAGACATTTTAAGGAATGCTTTGATAGACCTTGCTAATGGACAGATGAATATTTTGAAATCTGTTTATGATCGAAGTACCGACATTTGTAAAAAGACTTACATAAAACCAATATGGACAGAGGAAAGCTGTATGAGTATATACAGAAAGAGTCAAAAGATGTTCAATAATAAACAGCTTTACGCCCTAATAGAGCTACATAAATGGAGAGATACTACTGCAAGAGAAGAAGACGATAGCACTGCTTATGTTTTGCCAAATCATATGTTATTGAATATAGCCGAAACATTACCTCGTGAGATGCAAGGAATTTTGGCGTGTTGTAATCCTATTCCTCCTTTGGTTAGACAAAATTTATTAAAACTGCACAAGATAATACTGAAAGCTAGGGAACAACCACTTATCAAACCAGTTCTTGGAGAACTTAGGCAAAGATTAAATCAGAGAAGTCAAATGTCAAATTCAGAAGCCTGGATGTATTCCCCACATGATATTCCAAATGATATGGAAGCTAGAGCTGATTTACCGTGTCTATTAGATAACGTTAATGTTGTAGAGACGCCACTCGCTACGATAAAACATAGAGTAACTGTATTTGATAGTCCAGCTACATCTGAGGTAAGATAAATTAAAACGTTAATCATATGTACGATAATAGAATGATAAATGTATATATTTTATTTCAGGATGAGGAAACATTAAAGAATCAGAAAAATATTAAAAAGAAAAAGTTTATCTTTGTTAGTCCGTTTGAACGATACAAACGCGTAATTCCTGTGGTTGCGGAAGAAGAAGCGCGAGAAAGAGAGAAACAAAAGCAGGAAGATGAAGAACGTTTAGAGAAGCTGAAGGATACTGAAGCAGAAATAGTAGAGAGTAAAAAACGAGTTTTTGAGCATTTCAAACAAGTCTCTCAAGATAGATCAGAAACTTCACCGACAAAGAGACCATCTAAAGCTCCTTTAAGTCAAATGAAGGGATTTAAAAGAAAAAGAGGTTCAAATATTGATAAAGAAAAAGCAACGAAAGAACAAAATATGCAAGAAAGTATCGTTAGATTTCAGAATAACAACGTTACTAATTCAATACGGTAAGGACATTATAGAGGTACCATGGATTAACTACTTTTCCAAATACATTATAGAAATTAATTAAATTCGTTTTTAGATCGCGGAAAAAGGGGGAGAAGAAACGCGTTATTAAAGATTTGAACAAGCAGCATATGATGCCGTCTAAAAGGTTCGATTATAAAGCAGTAGATTTTAGTAGTTTTCAGGGCGGCAGTAAAAATGCCCCGGGTCAAGGAAAACAAGTAAATTTCGAACAAAAAATGGTAAGAAAATACTTGTTAATCATTTTTTAGTTTTCAACTGAAAATCATCGAATTATTTCATTTTATATTTGCAGCCAAAAAAAGAGAAAAAACGAAAGAGGAAGAAGCAAAAAATAAATATATAAATGTTAATAAACTTTCAGTTCTATACTTTCTACGTAAATATACATTACCGTTTTATACTACAGAAATAAAAATAACAGGTTCTATAGTACTTCAAGGTTGGACGCAGTACTATGGTGTTTTTCGATTATGTACAGTTAATACGTAATAAGTTGAATATTAATATTTTAACAGTGTCAATCATAATTTTGATACTTGAGTATCGATATTGAATGATTTATTTTTTCTGTATATTCATACATATTCTCTGTGTTACTGCCTTCGGAGATTATTACGTCATTGGAAATTTTTATTAGTCAATATAAAATCCATTTTTTATGCAATCTCTTTGAATATGAGGAAACAAGTTACTATAAACGTATGGATATAAGGAAATAATAATAATGTAATAAATTATACTGTTATCTAATACAATAAAGTACCTTTTTTCTGTGGAATAATATTGACAAAGATAAACAATAATCTTTCAAATGTGTTGAAACTACGGTTACTGCGTTCGAAAGTAGCTATATAAACTGTGTTACCACAGAGTCGTGAATTCTGTTCCTTTCGTCTGTTGTGTACGTACATGTTATTACGACCAGATCATCGAAATATTTACAGTGTGATTATTTGTTGTAGCTAGAGACTTAGATAAAATGATTCTTTTTGTATTACTTTTCATTAAATTATCCTTACTTTCTACTGTGCACAACCAGGTTTTGAAGAAAAGTGCAGATATAAGTTTCAATTACACCGATGAAAATTCATTAACTTTGAATAGTTATAATTTATCGGACTTTCTGTTTTCGCCAGTAAAATTTCATACACGTGCTGGAGCAGATTTTGAACCACATCAAGTAGATTGTTTAGGCCTAGGAAAAACGTTAGCCACTGCATTGGAGTGGTTTTTTATGAGTAAACCAAATGGATCAAACGCTTTGAATGTTCAGTTTTTATTATCTTCAAGAAAACAGCCTGACCGTGTTGAAGTAATTACTGGTAAACAGTTTGGTTTGGAGTGGACAGATTTTCAAATTGTACGAAAAACGGTTATAATAGTTCATGGATTTTTATCACACAGTCAAGAACCATGGATCAGTAGTATGGAAAAATCGTTTCTTCAATGGGTAAGTTTCATCTTAAATATCTACTGTACGGTCAATCATTTTCATTGACTCAACATATTAATATATTTTTCAACGTTTTTCAGGGTGACGTAAATGTTGTAGTCGTAGATTGGAGTTCAGGCAGTAATACTTGGAATTACTACAAAGCAGCAGTTAATACAAAAATAGTGGGATATCAAATTGCAAGGTCTGTTTTGCATTTTATTATATAAAGGTGTTATATTGTTAATATATGAATTTTTCACGGAGATTCGTTTGTAAAGTTTCTTAGAACACATTGAAAATGCAACAAGCACCGAGAGTAATTGGGGGCCACTCTATTTAGTTGGTCACAGTCTAGGAGCACACATTTGTGGAGTTGCTGCCAAAGAGTTGAAAAAAAGGCAGAGCAAATGGAAAATAGAAAGAATAACAGGTTTGGATCCAGCGCAACCTTGTTTTAAAAATGCAGACTCGACTGTAAAACTTCACAAATCTGATGCGCCATTCGTTGATATCATTCACACTAACGGCAGATTGCTTTCTGATATTGGATTAGGTTTGCCAGAGCCTATAGGTTGGTTGTACTTCTCAGTAATTTTAACTTTTCTTTTCAATTACTATAAAAGTAAGTTTTCATCAGGTCACGTTGATTTCTATCCTAACGGTGGCAGAAGTCAACCCGGTTGCGTAAACATGAACTCGTCGTATTTTGAATACTTACCAATTCCAATAACAGGTAAAGTTAAACATGCATGAAGTGCCATACTTTGAAAGTAATTTTATTTTTTATTAAGTATCAGTTCGATTTCAGACATTAAGAATTCTATATGTAGCCATGGACGTTCATATATCTATCTAACAGAATCGTTGATGTCCGACGTTAAAAATAACTGCACTTTCTGGGCACATTATTGGGATTTATCGTTCCGAAGCTTGAAGCAATTAGCTAGAGAGTCTTGTAACAGAAACGTTTGCACTGAAATGGGCATAAACGCGATCAATTATTCTCAACGCGGAACGTTTTTCGTTGCCATATCGGACAGCGTGCCATTTTGCAGTAAGTCGAAAAACACTGCGCAATTTAATCATTGCAAAATTATTTAAACGATACATTTTCATTTCTCTAGGTAACAATACTCGCATAACAGACGAGGCGATAACCGCGTTGGAAAAGGATTACGTGGACCAACTGGATGATTAAATTGTAATTGTTTCATAAATAAGAAAACCTTTAATTTTTGACGATGTACGAAACTTAACTCATTAAATACAGCTAAGTACTATTTACAAATATATTTCGAAAATTGACCGATTTATGTACATATTCCGCCACTTTAATTGCATTATTTTCAGCAGCTTCGTAAATAAATGATACCTTCTATCGTCAACTATTTCCTGCGCCCTTATCAGTGTCTTTGATAGTATTTCTACTAACATAGAAACAACGTCGTACCATCTCGCAGTATTTCGCCTTATACTAACGTTATAAATTAATTACAAATTACGGTATATAAATTATAAAAATTACACGAAATATTTCGTTGTATAAATATTTTTCTTTTTTTCAGATTACGATTTATCACTTCATCAAATATATTAACAACTTGGCCTTAAGTTTGGTTTTTGCATATCTACTATTATTGGCACGCGAACTTAAGAACCACGTCGAGATACGAACGATACAGTTCAACATCGAATGTTTTAATTCAAACGATCGATGTTAACGTTTATAATCGTCACACTCGAGATTGAAGTGTGCTTTGGTACCTTTTTTGATCCGTTTAATTATCATTCTCAGTTCTTCTTCTTTTAAACCCGAAGTGTAAGTTTCTGCTTATTAAACATCTTTATTTTTCACAAGATGTTTAAGCAATTGATCCCAGAAAGAAACAATGTTCTTCGATGGATCAGTGAATAACTTGAACGTAGGTGGCGGGAAATATTCCAGTTCTTCCTCTACACTCGCCTATCCACCAACCATCCGGTTGCTTCTGATGCACCGTTATCAAGTCTCCGGGGTTCAAGCTAAGCTCGTCGTTCAAGTTCGCCGAGTATTGATAGATCGCCCTACACTGTTCCGTTCCATCAGATTTGCTCGTCGTTTCGGCAGCGTCCACGTCTTGATTGTTATTGTCCTCGGAATGACTGCTGAACTCGTCGAAGTCGCTGAAGTCATCTTCATCGGGTGGGTTCTCGGAGTTTCCGTCCCCGGCCGTTCGATCGGCCCAGTGACGACTGTCGGTGTCGTGATCTGTTTTCGACAAATGAACATCTATCTCGTCCTCGTCGTCTTGAATCTCGAACGATTCGTTCTTTGCCCACGAAGGAATCTGGAAGCAAGTAAATTTTTATAATCTCCTACTCTCGTGCTGCTTTTAGCACGATCGTTGAATACGCACTTTAAGGACACTTTGTTGCAGACCCTGTTTATCCCTGGAAACCAAAATGTGCTCGGCTAACGGATGTTTACCGCGTTTACTACCTTCCACTTCCGCCAAGGTGCCTCCAACTTTGTACCTCGCCGCTTCTAGATACAACAACATGGATCGCATCTGAAAGAAGAACCCAAATTATCAATGATATTCCAAGTAACGTTGAAAGAACAAGGGAAGAGGAATAGTGTTTCGTACATGATGTAGTTTCTCCGTGACATTCTGCGTGCTTTCGTCAGCCGCGAATGCCGGTGTCGCGACGAAAGCTCTGTGGAGAGTTTCCAGGCCCTCTCTGCCGCGTCTTTCGCGATCCAAGTCCTGCCTGATTAGATGAAGAACTCTTACTAACGCCTGCTTTCGACGCTCTCTGTTCATCGCTAGGGTAACGTGCTCGGCGTAGAAATCAGGGAGCAATTGATCGGAATTGCATCCGTCGTTGCTCTCTACTCTGCGAATAAGATTCTTCAGGATCTCAATGTCTTGAGACACGTTGCAGTTGCGTACTGGAGCTGCCAAACGGTCTGCACTCTAGATAAGGAATGGTAAATTATTGTAATTTATTGTGTAAATAAGTTTCGAATATTTTTTAGGTAGCGTTAATAAATGTACCTGTTGCAGACGGGGAGCCAGAGCTTGCAGGTGAGCCAGATAAACGTTGGCTAAATCTTTTAGAGCGCTCAGTCGTTCTTCCTCGAGGAGTTCCATTTGTTTAGCCCCCTTCCTCATGGTACTTTCGTATTCGAGCCTGGCTCTCTCGGCTCTCACGCTCACCGTGTAAAACTCGGTATCCGCCCTACGAGACGAGTCCTCGGCCTTTCTCCTCCTCGCCTCGAGTTTGCTCGCCTCCTTCTCCGTCATATGATGGTTCGAGGATTTGTTGTTGCTCTGCTGGCTCTGGCTGATCGATTGTAACCGAGCCAGATCCTGCAACCTCTCGTTTTCTCTCGCGCTAGAGAAACTTTGTTTCTTACTTTTCGTCGCGACATTTCGCCACTCGTGAAGACTTTTCCCCGCCTTGTCAACGGAATTCTCGATGGATTTCCTCGAGCGTCCTTGAGCCTCTGCTACGCCCACCTGTGGAACATGGAACGTGTATTTTTACTACGCGGTATACCTTTCTTTTTCTTATGTAATAACACGCAAGATGAATGAAATTCAATTGCTGATTGAAAATTGCTAATCGATTGTTCATAACAGGCGATTAGATTTCTTAAGAATGCACACTCACTCGCAGGGGTTTGGCAAGTTGCTCGCCGAGCGTTAATCCCCAGATCCTGTGGGCTTCCGCAGCAGCTTCCATCTCCTCGCCGACGCATCTCCATGCCTCGTTCACACCTCCGGCGCTGTTACCACCTGCGTAAGTCGTGCATAAAACACGCGTCTCATTCGATCCATCCGCAGTGGTCACAAATTATTCACCGTTTAAAACAGAATCTGATTATTTTAAGTGAAATTTTAATTACTTGCAACTTCTACATAACACACTTAAATTTACAAATATCATATTTTAAATTTTCGTTACAGGCTCGGATAAAAAGGTAATAAAATTTCGCCAAATTTGAATTTTTTAAAACGGCAAAAGCTTCTCGAGAAACCTCCAATCATTTTGTCGAATTTTAAACGGTGAGCGAATAATCTTGTGATCTTACTGTATATATTATACCTTGATCCTTCGCGCACGCCTTCGTTAATTTAATGCTCAGTTTGCTGAGCCCTTTGGCATAATTAGCTTCCAGTTCCGCTCTGAAACAACAAACAGATATTTAATATAAACGTATTCTTTGACAGAAAGCCTCGAGATTCTCCTGATCCAATATACCTTTCGTGAAGTATCGACGCCAATTCCTTGCAGAAATCCCCGCCTTGTTTCACGTACCGTCGAACATCCTCGAAACCGCCTTGTCCACCCTGTAAGTAACAAAAGTCTAACATTAACTCTCGTTCGGTTTCAATTTAAAAACGCAGCCGGCTCGAGTTGTACGCTTGAATAATCGTTTACGAGGAACGCAGAACGTAGCGGTAACCACGCATCGCGGCTCGAGAGATGCAACGTTTCTAATGTCCACCGAGTGAGTTATAACGATTTCTTTCCGCCACGTCGGACCTTCCGGAGAGGAGAGAAAAGAAAACAAAAATGATGGAATTTACGATCGATATAGGCTTCCGTTTCGCTCGATATCTCGTCGCTTTGCACAGAGCTGAAGTTGCAGAGATTTACGAGCAACCAATCGATTTATAGCATTCTTGGGCCGTGCGAAAGGAAGGAAAATTGAATCGTACGAAGCCACGCGAACGCTTGGCAAAAGGAAAGTTAACCGTGTGTTTTCGATGTCTCGATAAGATTACCCTCTCTGTTTTGCTTCGTTCGTACAATCTCTCGTTGATGACTTGCTTCTATGATCCGCGTAAAAAGTGAAATAATGCGTACTTTTTTTTCTGATCGAATTACGACTTCCTTTCTTTATTTAATATCAATTACACGTTTCTTTAAAAAAGGTTTTCGTAGCTGGTAATTATCGTTTAACGCATGGAAGAAGATTGCCAGAACGAAACGAAAGCTCAGTGATTTGAAGTAAATGAGAATTTAGCGTGGTAACGTGGAAAGTCATCCGACTAGAACTATATTTTATAAGTGGTAGCCAGAAAATCGAGTCGAGCGTAACGTTAGAAAATACCGGTAAATTACATTTCCGATATCATTTTCTCCAACAGTTGATTATTATTTTATCTACAACGACGACCGCACGTAACACACTGGAAAATCCAGATGTATAAATAAAATCCAAAAATTGTACACCCATGTGACCGGTTTCTTTAGCGAACGTGTACCGGTTTCGGTTTTCGCAATTTAACGTTTCACCTCGAGAATATATAAATTTGCCGAGTGCCGAAAATATTTTGCAGACATTCGTGCGAATTAATTTACTTCTTCGTTTCGTTTCTTTCCGATCAAATTGAACAGGCACGATCGAGGAAATCGTTCTTTCCCTTGACCAAGAAGATAATTTCGAGGTTAGCCTAATTACGGTGGTATCGCGAGAAAACGATCGATCACGTACGGTGAAGGATCAACTTTCTTGTCATCCATCTCTGGCAGCCAATAAACAGAGAGTTCTCGGATGAAATGGAAAATCATCCGATGAAAATTACGATCGAAATCAGCTTGTTTACCAGACACTCGAGCCGGCTCAAAAAACTAAATATCTATACGTAGGAATAAAATATGTCAAAGCTGCGTCGATGTCGAAACTCCTTCGAAGTAAAAGGTTAATTGATACGTCGAGCTTGGATATTACGATTGTAATACCATGGTCGCGAAACAAATGGGCTATCGTATGCAGCAGGTGGTGTACCCTATTCCTACACAGCTTCCTGACTATCCTAGAGTTACACGCGGAAGAACTTCAAGGTTCGATCGTAACGATAATTCGATACTTCTTTTGACTTTGCATCTTTTTTTAATTTTGAATAAATTAGAACAAACTTGAGGTTTAAAAATTTAGCCCAGACCTTAAGGACAGGTCTGGGCACTCGTTAGAATTTTAGAAATTTTCGAACAGCTGCTTTTTTTTTTTTTTTTTTTTTTTTTTTAACACTATTTTGTCAAGGTAGTTCAGAGTAGCCGGATTTTCATGTAATACTTGAAAAGTGAACGGTCTAGATAAAAGCTACAATTTTATCACCTTCGATATGGAAATTAACAAGCATTGCGAGAAACCTGTATTACTGTAAAAGATAATGACACAGTACATCGCAATAATACTCTACTTAGCATAAATTAATTAGCGAACTCGTGAAAACGTTCATGTTTCTACTTATGGAATCGACTTCAAATTTCTTGGACAAATTAAATTTGTTAGCGAGTAGCGGTACCGAGGCTGGTCGTTAAATCTGGTTGTTTCCGAAATAGGTAGGCAAAATCGATTACTGTATTTCGAATGGTAGAAAACGGTGAAAATCAAGGTTAACCGCGACGAGGGAAGAAAAGTTTCGAATATTAGCGAATACAGCTGTTCTCGTACGCTGCACACGATTCCTTTCCCTTTTACCTTCGAGAGTTCCTCGACTTTGGGTTCACGCTAAGCCGGTGAAATCGACGAGGTCGCGGGTACTATCACCGCCGTCTGTGTATTAACGCTCGTTACTAGTTTCCATGAGAAGACACCGGCCTCTGCTTTCGTTTCTACGCTCAATTTCATACTCCTTTCTACAATTTTTACGATTATCTTTAATTTCCTTTCTCGTGGATTTTGTTGTTTCTTCGAGAATCGAGTATTAAGTAGACATCGATTCAAATTTTCGCGCGTAAGCGTTCAGGGGCGAGTGGTGGGGATGCGCACGCCTATGTATACCGGGTGATCTCCCTCGCGGCGTCAGTCTTCCCTGGGCCGCCTAGGGGAAGGGTCGAAAGTCTAGGACGGCTTTTTTCTTTGGGAAAACTGTACCATCGACAAAATATAAAAACAATGAATCCCTTGTAATTCGAATATGTCTTTCATTATTAACACGATCGTCGCGGAGAAAGAAATAAGCAAGCACGCACGAGTGTAGAAACAAAGTCGACTATTTTCTCCGTCCAACTTTCCACGCTTTCCACGCTTTGATCGTTTGCATCGGTACGATACAGCGCAGCGTTTACGTTTGCCAGGAGCTATCGGTGCAAAATATTCGTAACAATCTCGATGTATCATAATTCTCTGAAACGTGTAACGATAAGTCTAGATGCGTTCGAGCGGAAGAAGATAAACGATCGAAATCAAAATTGCGAAAGCGTTTGATTAAGAAGTCGGTTAAGATTGTCGTCCGGCGTGCACAACAAAGCAGATAGACAGACAGAAGAGATTAGAGAGGTTCTTATCGATATTCGTGGGAATAATAGAAATACTCGTCGTTCGGTTAGAAGTGTAAGCGGCAAGTGTAACGAAACGGAACAACGTAAGTACCTCTTCGGGCTCGTGAACGTGCAGTAGATGAGTAGAGGCCATTAACCCTCTGATTGACCCCAGCATTCTCCTCTTAATCAGACCTGCTTTCCGAGCATGATCCCTGTTGTTCTCGATCTCTACGATCGCGTGCTCTTCGTGTTCCGTATCGGAGCACAGTTTGTCCATACTGTAAGAGGAAATCGGAACAATTTTCTCTTTCCCCTCCTCTTGGAAGACGTCGTTCGAACTACCAACAGCTTGTCTTAAATTATTCGAACTCTTGCTCGTCTTTATTAAAGTAATATCACTATCTTCCGACAAACGTATCGCGTTCTCTTCCGAGACCGATGCCAAACCGAACTCCTCCACCTTAGTGATCGATCCGAGTTCTTGAGTACTGGCTTTGGTCAGATCGTAAGACGCGCTGCTGTTCTTCGAGGGAACACGAGCTTCTCCGGTTAAAGCACCGACAGCCTGCAACCTGGCGTGCTTGTTCACCACCTCGTTGATCCTCGTCGTCTCGTCCCGTAACCAATTTCTCATTTTATCCCATGCTTTCCCAAATCGGTGTTTCTGCAACTATAGGATCCCCATAGATGCGCGCTGTACTGTGTTTGCCAATCGATGGATCAGACGCGACGATAAATCAATCTATTTTCTTGAAAAAATTCCTGACCAAAATGGTATCGCGATGAAATTGGAAAGAGTTAAGCAAACGCTGTTATCGTCGAGTCTGATCCGCTCGCAAACGACGGCATCCGTAGATTCTACCTTCTGACGTCCGTTCTTCCATCTCGGTGAGTTACTCGAGAGGGTGTCGTTGGAGCATTCAGGATCGGAATAAGATCCCGACATGGAGGCGATTCCCGCGTCGTAGCTATCCGACTCCCCGTACCGTTTTCGTCCGTACTTCAACGACCTCACCAATCGTTTAGCTCGGTCGTATCTATCCTTTCCATCGGTCGAATTCATTTTACTGGTAACGCATTTCTCGTCGACCAAAGTGTCCTCCGAATCGACTAGACTCCGCTCCTTCACGTTCGTATCGGACACGCGCGATTCCTCGATCGTCCCGCGAATCTGTTCGCGGTGCGCTTCTGCCTCGCGCCGACTTTCTACGACTTTCTCGGTTTCGATTTCGTCGGCCACGTGTAAACTCTTAGGAAAGTCGTACAGCCGATTTTGCGTGGACGCGTCTTGACTGTTGTCGAGCGTGTCGGTGGCCGTGGCCGTGACCGTGACCGTGGCCTTACCGATACCCGTAACAGTTTCCTCGGCCTCGCTGACGGAGGACCGATCGAGCACCACGGATGAGCCGTTCGCTCGGAGGAAACTGAACCTGATCTCCGGCACCCCGTCCTCGTCGGTTTTCACCGAGGAGACCGCGGTCAACTCCACCGTGTTCCTGTGCCGTTTCTCACCGCTGTCCATGCGTTCCATCGTCGTCTCGCGGACGTCGCCCGTTTCGAATATTTCCTCGCTCACCACCTGTTCCTCCGTTTGACACGCTTCTTCTTCTCGCGCTTCTTGCTCGTTCGAAGCGTTCGATGTGTCGCGAGCCTCGGGAAACTCGTGGCAGTGGATGATGACGGGCACCGGGACGTCGTACCAGATAGTTGTAGAGCTACCGTTACCCTCGTTATTACCGTTGCTCAACGACGATAATTTTCTGATCGACTTTAGCGACGCCCACGCGTGTCTCGCCTCTTCCATTTTTCTCTCGCCACCGAATCGCGAGGCTTTTCACTCGAAACGCGTGTCCGGGATACGGTGGAAACGAGTTAACGTCCGACTGTTCCACTCGCGGTGGGAGAAGCACGGTGGAGGCTTCGAAACGATAGGAAGGGGAGGTTGTCTTAATTGGAGCACCACTGTTATTCGTCGCGTACCGGTAATTTGCATCGCGCGATAGGCTAAATAGCCTATTAATATTCACAGAAACCTGACTTTCGTAGCTCGGAACTGATAATTCATTGAATAGAAATCTTAATTAGTATAGAAAAGTAACGATTATAGTCTTGAAATTCTATAACACCTCATTCGATTACATAATTGTTTCACCTCGACGTTATCAGCTCGGTACTTAAAAGCTGTAAACTTTCCAAACAACCCAATGCAAACACTAATTACCATTATCTCCGCGAAACTGTAACCGTGTTTAAAACGTCGTGTAACGAACGCGAAACCAAACGTGGAAACGGCAAACTTGTAAGAGTTTGCACGCGGTCACTGTGCAGGTTCATCGAACGAGGTCCCCTCTCGCGAAACGTTCAACCACGACGATTTTCTTTCGACTTTGATGTACAATTTTCAAACGGCAGATCGTTAAGATCGGGTTCAGATTCGCTGGCAGGTTCCCAGCGAACGGGATACACTCGCGACGCGTTCGACAAAAACAGAGATTCCCGGCTCGGGCAACCGTGCCACGTTCGACCCCAGCTTTTCACCGTAAATTTCCAGCTATTCGAAACATCGGCCGATTCGTAAAAAACCGGCTAAAAGGTACGAGCGTGGATCGTGAACGTCTCGGTCGCACCTTGCTCCAGTACGCGTTACGTAAACCATTCACCGCCGGTTATCGTTCAGCTTTTGCGTTCCAATTTCGCAAATTATCGTTTTTTCCAGCCTCTCCTCGTCGCTTTACCGCGCACTTTGCACCTCGACCGATCACCAGCCGCGTTTGTTTTTCACACGGTCCCGATCACGGTGAAGCACATTTTTCTTTTTCTATTGGCTTTCACAGGTTGAACGACAAGAATTTTACGAATTCGCGTGCACAGCGAAGGTAAACAGCTAAATATAGACGCGACGTCCTCTAATTAATTATCAGTCGATCGGCAGATCGATCGAATCAATATCGTCACCGGTGCACAGATTACTCGGTCGTTCAAGGTTTACGGTGAAGTAAAATCTCGAGAATTTCAAACTTAATACTTTTATTTTAATTCCTTCCGATTCTATCGCGCCGTACAACCGTTCGACGAAGAATAATTTGATTTAGCGGATCGAAACGGCGCGATTTCAAGCGTTTATTAACCGGAGAGGAAAAGAACGGTAGGAGCGCGTGATCGCGTCGTAATTCGAGGCTGTTTGCGCGGCGACGTTCCACTCGTGACTGGATCCACGTTGAATACCGCGTATTATACAACAACGTCAAACAATTATATCCGTATTATGTTGCGTACACGCGTATTGCACAAGAGAACAAACGGTGCACCGTAGCGTACCGCCAGAAAAACGAGAGACGACGGTACCGCGAGAAAATTTCAGTTCAACGTTAACGCCCTCGCGTCGTAAATCTTTCTTACGATACCCGGAAACGTTCGCAGTTTCGAATAAAATATGCTAATTACGATTCTTGATGCACCGGTTTTAAGTGGGAAGAAGAGGAGATCATCCGTGTCGTGAATTTAATTTGATTCATTATTTAATAAGAATTACCTAAAAAATGTTATCTAGAAAAGATTCCAGGTACTTATTCAATTCTACGATCGACTATCAGGCCGATCTGCATATCGAGTTGAACGGAATTGCAATCGATAGCTTTGTATGTCGAACGATCGTCAAACGATATGATTCATAAAAAAACACGAGTACGTTGAGTCACGTAGTGGCTTGCATAAACGAGCAAACGACGTTGTTATTTCACCTAACTCGGGTACCTGTTGAATCGGCGCTTCCTTCGAACCAGGCCCGATACCGCATAGAAATATTGGATTGTCGTACGGTAGATTACGAAACGTGACATAAAAGGTACTTAAAATATCGTTATACCATAGTAAAGGAATTCTTCGCGAGTTTCTATTCGAAGCTCCAAAGTAAACCGTGTAGTTTACTGAAATAAACAATCACGGAGCACTGCGTTATTTTAACCCTCGGACGCCGGACCGCAGAGAGAGGCCCGAATTCTCATCTTCTAAATTTTACACACTGTTCCACAACGTTGCCAAAATCTACACGTGCTTCGATGACACGAGTCGTTAATTTCAATTATACATCACTCGCGAAATTGTTAATTTCCATTTGGATATTCTATTCGACGTCTGCTTGTCATTTTCGCGGTACACCAATGTGTCGACTATTTCGCTATGTATATTCATGGAAAAATAGTTTTTGATAGATATTAGAGACAGATGGGGAAGACACTGGAATAATGATGGATCAAAAGAGAAGCGCGATGGTGATGGCACTAAACGCGGTCGGAAACGCAACGCGTGTTGCAGCGTAATGCTCCGAAACGAATGTGACGAAGAGCGGATAGTTGAGGCGAGTAACGCGTTTCTAGGCGGGAGGTTATTCTTTTTCGTTTCCGACTTATATTTAGCCTCGTTCGAAGCGACACTCGCGCGTTACCGAAACATGCTGTACACGTGCCGAGGTAGTATACGTAACGCTCGCCTATCACCGAATGCAACTGCAACTGCAACTGCGAGTTTGGTGACCAGTTCTTTAACGAGGTCGCGTTCGCGAGCTAATGGCCCGGCTTGAAAGTATCGCAATCATTGCAATTACGAGAACGATAGGTTCTTCTTCAAATTTCTACCCGAGTCATTTATATTTCTTTTACGCAAACACTATCGAGCGTTAAGATTACGGACAAAAATACTTTTCCCTCAGAGAGAATAAGTTTCTTCGACTCTCACCTTTGCTTTCTCTCGATACTTTTCGAAGGATAATCTTCTTTCGCCCGTTACGCCGTTGCGTGCAAAAATATCGGACCGATACGATAAATCGTACAAACACTTTCGTTTGAAACCCGCATCGAACAGATAGGAAATTCGAACAATGCCGGCTCGATTCGTTTGCACGCGACTCTATGTAAACGTATGTGGCAACCTTGTTTAACAAACACGCGACTTACACATCGTAAATTCTGAAACCTTCGGCTTTGTTGCATTCCAGTTATGAGATACAACTGTCTCGCGATAACGATTCCGAGTGGAATCAGCTTCTTATCGTTTCGAAAGCATTGCAATTTCACGGTTCATAAATCCCCCTTGTTCTTTAATTAAAGGACCTTAAATGTTCCTTAATTCAAATCGAACGAAAAGGAACATTTCCCTCCCCACGTTCTTATAATCGTTTACTAATTAAAAGCAGAGGCTCATAAGAGAAATTTCGAAGCGATAAGTAGAGAGAAAAATCGGAGTTTTAAAGTTTTAAGAACTACTGTTCGATAAACGATTAAATAAACAAATTATATAATCGAATGAAATTCGTGTGGGTGAAGGCGTTAGAGAAACACGATCACGGTTCACGGTGTTTCGCGCGCGTAACAGGACGTGCGAGTGCAAAGACACGAAACCTTAAGAAGCAGGCTTAAGTAACTTGCTTGAAAGAAGAAAAAAATAAGCGACAGAAAGAAAGGAAGCCGTGATGACGGAAGTAAACGGACGAACTATCCGGTGTCGAAGCTTGCCGCCGGCCATCGCGCCGGCCTCTTACCTCGTTGACCCACTACCCGTTATAGAAAATACGCTTTTTCCCGTTTGCGCTTGAACTTGAAGCTGCGATCAACGATCTCGATGGAAAAACTGTAATTACATTTTCTCCTCGACTATCGAGATGGCTGCCGAGTTTCGAGTCACAGCGTTAACACTAGAACAACAGGCGATTGACATATACCCCTTCTAAAATGATTTGTTTTTCAAATTAATAAGTCATTATGTCTCTATTTAGATGATAGTAGTAGAGCTATTCAATAGTGTTTGAATATCTCAGTTCGTCTCCTAAGACACCGTTTGGAAAATAAAAAAATAAAAAGAAAAGGATCGATGACGCGAATTCGTGCACATGTTTCGTATCCGGCAGAAGAAGAAAACGCTTCTACTTACTAAGAGATCCCTACGGTTCTTCGGATGCATGCAGCCGGAAAACCATTGACATTTGGAAAGCATCCTGTTACACGCTCTCTGTATCCACCTTTCCTTTCGATCCTGGTTATGCAACTTTTGAATCACAGTTCACTAGGTAAATCGCGTTCGATAGGAAAATCTCATCGCGGCCACGCATATATTCGCATCTAACTTGTTTCTGATTCGATAAACGCACGAAAAATGACTGGTACTAATGATGACTTAAGGGATGTCGCGGCGGGAACGCGTAAAAAAGAACTGAGGCAACGTATTCGTAGAACAAAGTTCACACGAAATCTTACTGATAATACAATGTATATACATTCATCGTAAAAGTATGTTTTCACTTATCGGATGATCCATTGCCCGATGGATATACCTGACCATTTTTTACTTTTTTCGGGACATTGTAGCGCGATTAAGTAACATGACATTTCGGTCCCGTAATCTCGTCGATGGAATTCGAGTAAAAGCGTTTTCGCAAAGGAAGTATTGTCCCAAAGTTAACTTTATCGCTGGTCGATTCTCGCATAGTCGTTATTAAAACCTGAGACGTTTTTAATCTTCGCTCCGAATTCCTCGATATCTATCCGCGATAACCACATTATTGATACGCACGTTTAATGATTGAAACATGTAGAACAATTACGTAAAAGAAAAATGTGATAGTCTACTAGTAAAGAGAGACAAGTTTTGAAATCCATTGTACCTCCAACAATGGCACTTTTCAACGTCATCGTTGCTTACTTTCTCCTCTCTGGTTTTATCGGGGAAATAAAAACACACACACAAAACCGATGTATCGTGAATTGTAAGTACGTCGTCGTTAGGGAAATAGGATGGAAAGGACGAATTCGGTTCGAAAGCTACGCGTAACTATTCGCTAGCCTATTTCTTCGATCGAACCTGATTCCTTCTCTTTTTCTTACTTCGTAAATGAAACTACAGATGAGAGGTGGTTTCTTCTAATAATACGTTGTAAAACCTGCGCGTACATTGCGAGTTACGCGTATTTTCTTATGGGTGTGTCACGGTATAGCTACGCGAAATTCCTCGGTAAACGAGGCTTCCTTTAGTTTCTTGCCGCTATCGCGAAAACCTTCTACTTCGAAGCGATGACTTCTCGAAGTTTAATAATTAGAAATACCGTTGGCTGAGTCTGGGTCACGATTGACCCGATCCCCTAGTTTGAGAGATTTAAATTTTAACCTGAAGATTAATGACCCCAAATTTTAATTAATCAGACCTGAAATCTCTAATTTTCGTCCGCCCTTGGTAGCAAGTGCAAACTCGTCCAAAGGCGGACGAAGGCGTATAATAGAATATTACCTTGTAACAATTACAAGACAATAAGCAGCTTTGTTAACACTTTGCCGCAAGCGGAGGCCATCGACGATCGGGTGTAATTTGGTGAAATAATTGAAGCGAAAAAAATCGCGTATATGTCTCCGTGTTACGACGCATAATTGTAGTAACTCTGATCGTTTGAAAAGTCGGAAACGATCGAAGGAAACGCAAGTCGAAGCATGTATCGTGCGTTTGGAATATAATCAGCATCGATACGCGTTCCGCGTAGGAATCGATACGAGTTGGTCGTATAGCGGTCTCGTAATGATACGGCGACGAGAATCAACCGGAAACGGTTCGTCAACCGGAACGAGGTTCTTTCACGAACCACTCGAGCTGCGAGCACCGTAACAAAATGTAAGCCCGAACAAATTCTATCGTCTATTAAACAGACGAAACGCGATCGATCGTACGGAACGACCGATTTCTTACTACAAAAAAGCTCAACTCCAAGAATCAGACAAGGTACCTGAAAAACTAATTTCTACACTGATTTTATTATTCAAGTATTATCAAAGTCCTCTTTATATTTCCGCGTCTAGATTTCATCGTTTCATAAGCAAATTTTTGTCGATTTATCTTCGCTCAATAACTCGATATATAAAAAAATGGTATATTAATAGCCTGTCCGTTCGATAACACGTTAATAGGTCAACGTTGTTCACGTTTTCGATTAATGTTACTTCTGATCGGTTTAATAACGTAAGATGTAAGGAAAGTGATCGTTCGAGGAGCCGTGACAAAGAATAGGATAAATAGGAAAATGATTGAAGGCAGAAGCTTTCCATGGGAGTGGAAGCTGTCTTGTTGCGTGAATCGCACGGCTGTCCGGCATAATAAGATGCATGTCTGTGACGTAAGACTTTCACCCCTGAGGGTCCTTTTGCCGGCTTCGAATCGCGCCTCTCCTTCCTTTTTAATCCTCCTTCTCTTTTTCTCATCTCGACCGGTGCATGCACCGATGCATTCTCCTTTTTCATTCCTTTTTCCACCCACCCTTCCCTCATCGGCTCGACCGATAATTACGTAACCGAAATATAAAAGTTTACGCTCATGATCTCTTGACGATGTAATAACGTTGAAGCTGAGAACCGCTCCTCCGGTTTCCACGTCTAATCTTGAAACTCCGCTTTCTCTATCTCGGAAGATTGTTCGAATTGCTTCTCCTCGCTCTTGGTACGTTTCAGTTTATTTACCATCACTTTACCGGCCGGTGATTTTTCTCTAACAAGATAACTGCTTTTTCAACATCGATTGCCTCCTTTTTACGCGATAAAATTGATCAGAGAAACGATCGCGATAAGATTTATAAAATCAACGATGAAGGTAAATCGAACGGCAAGAGTTTTAACGAGTACTCGGTAAATAAACTTCAATGCCGTTCACCTACGATCATCTTCGTTTACGTTCTGCTAATTATTCTTATTGTCCGATCGAGGTTGTTAATTACCTTCTGTCGTATGAAATTGTCGATATTCGACTGGTCGACGGCTAACTGACCAGTCGTTTCACGGACAAACGGTGGGAGGATTTGTTTGAAAAGGAATCGCGAAGAGAAAGAAGCTAGCAGAGGAGATACAAACGAAAACCTTGTAACAAATTTCCTTTTATACGTATCGGAGACTCTCCATTATCTCGATGCTATTATTATTTAGACGGTATTATATTTTTGTAGAGAAACGGGGATCAGTCCTTCCTGAAACTCGACGGCACACAGTCATTGTCCATCAATAAGTACAGCGTCATCCGTGAACAATTATCTCGCAGTGGAACAATAACGCGTCATCACTGCGATAATCTCACGTTTATTCCAGTATTCAGTTTTTTCTAGCACAAAATAAAAAAAAAAGTTTCATCGAATTCCGGCTTCGACGATTTTTTAATAGAGATTAAGGGTATTCGTAAAAATGCATCGATTCGAGATATCGAAATTAGACCATTCGTATTTCGATATAAAGTATCGTTTAAATGTAAATCGAGTTCAATTTTATATCGTGGGTATCAACGAGCCACGACGATAAGAGCAATCGAGAAAGCGTATAAAAAAAGGTTCCTGTACGTACAGAGAGATTTTTCAAAAGTGGGTCATAAACTTGCGATCGATCGCTAAATATAAAAATCGAACGTTTCGTATCGATATTCGACCTTGTGTAAAATTCCCTACGAAACCCCATTGCAAGATAGCTAAAATATTCTAACCTGTTGCTGTACTCGTCGAATTGCTAATTTCGCGGGATATTTGAAATAGATATAAAATATCTTGACGACAAAAGTCTCGATTAACCCGTGGAATCGACTTTTTTAAAGATGTGACACAAAAAAGAAAGAAGGGAAGTTGCGACATAGAAAGAGAGAGAGAGAGAGGGGGGAGTGAAAGAAAGGGAGAAAAGGAAACTAGAGAAACCAGAAGGCGCAACGGGTACGAATTTTTGACAATTCTGAGCATGCGAAAAATGGGAAAGCTTGTACATACTTACCGGGTATTTATCCTTGTAAAAGAGCGAACTGGTCGACATGGTGTTAATCTCGAAGCAACAAGTTGCATAGACCGCGTAAAGTCACGGTTTCATCGTCGATCTCCGTTATTTCGATTAAAACTTCTCGAGATATTATCCATTGAGCGTTGACCGACACGCGCGCACGCGCGCGCGCCAATATCTTACCGATCGAAATGAAATTAAAACTCGCTGAAAGAATAATCGAACGTTGAAATTGATCGAAACTGCAAGAGCGTGTCGAAGTACATACGAACCACTTCTCGGAGACACGTTAACACGGAAACAACCGAGTACACGACTGACAGACGGGACGAGTCGAAACTGCGAAAGAAAGACTGATACACCGTGTGTATGTCCTGTTAGTTTATGGCCACGGTTACGGCAAGAAAGGTAGTATCTTCCCCTCCCCCTATACTGTGCTGACCTACAATCTAACGCAAAGGCTCTCTCGTTTCGCTCTCTTTTCTTTTTACTTCTCTCCCCTCTTGCTCTCTCTCTTTCCTTTCATCCTCTTTCATTTTATTTTAATTTATATATCATTGTTTTACGTAAAAGTATTTATTCCACTGTTTAAATACATACAAAATGTAATACATACTCGCTTCTCGTTTCAATTTAGCACTTTTAACTCAAACAAATGTCGAAAATTTGTTTTACAACTTATTTTACCCTTACATCATTTTCGAAAATTCATATTAACGTTAATATCTTTTTTAAAAAAGAAAAATTAAATGGTTATATATTTCAATACACCTGGTTCGAATCTTCTTCAACTCTTCCATTCTGATATATCTACGAAGCAGCCAAAATAAATGGTATTTTCTGGCTTAGAAAATGTCTATAATAATAAATATTAACTTTACTTTTATTCGTTAAAAATGGTTATATTGAAACAGCGCGCGATTATTGTTTTTAAAAGTTCGATACCGGAAACAAGAGCATGCGACTTCGACCAGAGAAACGAATCGCCATCTTGTTTGATCGATAGTTGAATCTCGAAACACTCTCGAATCAGAGGTCTACGGCGCGATACGTAAGTCCTCTGTGTTTGTTTGCTTCTCGCAGAACGAAGCTCTTGAAATATGACTCAAGAAGGCCAGTAAGTACACAAAAATTTACGCAAAATCTCGTTTGGTTATATTCCTAAAGTCTCAGGTTTAATCTCTTTGGTAATATTATGAGAAAATTAGCAGATAATCGGGTAGAAAGCCTGAATGCCGCCCCGTGGCTTTCGAAACACCGCCATGTTGTAAGACGGCATTATTGATTCTCGAAATTTCTGGAAAAGAATCACAAGAATTCCCTTTCAACCATGATTTTTCTTCATTTACGATATGCCGGTTATTATTTATTCGTGGTTGACGTTTTATCAACAATTATGTCATTAAAATTGGATTTCGTTTCTTTCATGTCCTTCCACGAAATATCAGATAATTTAGCATGGACGATACTAGCTTTTAAAATAGCACGTATTTCGAAGCAACCATTTATCGATGTACATGTCTGAAACTTGAAAAATATAAGGGTTTATATGTTTTATTCGAACGTATTTAATGATTTAAGCTTCTTTTAATGTCGTTTGTCTGTAGTCGCGATGTGTCATTTTATCTCTAATGACTAGCAGTTTTTATCGGAAACCATAGTCTTCGTCCCTAACCTTTACCTGCACTTTATAATTATGTAAATATTGCTCTAATTCGTTTATTTCATTAATCGTTGTAATTCATATTTTCGTATTTCAAATAAAATGTTGATTAAAAATCCTAAACAATAATTATATGCGATATAAACTTGGAATTCTTTGTTAATTCATGTATAATACACATGTGCGTCTGCATGTTGTATACAACATTTTATACATAAATATATATCATATAAAAATACTCTCATTGAAATTAGAACTGAAGCAATGACATAGATAATAAATAGCAATTAATATTATGCTATAAAATAATACTTTCTGTTACTATTGTTGCAAACTAACCTTGTTTAATTTCAAGTTTATTTTAATTTTTTTTTTTTACATTATTAAAAACCATATATTGTTTCAACATTTTTAGGTTGCCTCCCCCGCCTGTTATGTGGGCCCAGAGGAGAGATATCTTATTCGTTACCATCTGTCTAGAAGATTGTAAAGATCCTGTTATTAACATCGAACCACAAATGATATATTTTAAGGGAGTGGGTGGAACAGAACAAAAAATGCATGAAGTTACAATTAATCTATATGGAGAAATTGTTCCAAACAGAACAGTTCAGAATTTGAGAGGAAGGACTTTTGAATTAATTCTTATCAAAAAAGAAGAAGGCCCATACTGGCCAAGATTAACAAAGGAAAAGACGAAAGCTCATTGGCTAAAAAGTGATTTCAATAAGTGGAAAGATGAAGATGATAGCGATGATGAAGGTGGTATGGAAGGAAGTGGCAATGATTTAGAAGAAGTAAGAAAATATGATTCCCAAATAAAATAGTTTGATTACCCAATTTAATTTATTAGGTCTATGTTCTTATTTGTATTAATTGTATATTAATACTTCTACTAATACTTACAGATGATGCGACAGATGGGTGGTCTAGGAGGTTCCGGAGACAGTAAACCAATCTTTGATGATTTAGATGATTTGGGAGACGAAGGAGAAGGAATGGACAGCGATGATGATGATTTACCTGATCTGGTTGATTGAACAAATTTTGAAACCACTTAAAAATAATCCTCATTAAAAAGTTAAAAGTAAAAAAACAAATGGCGACCTAAGAATAGTGCACCACCAGGCAATATTTCAATAGGCCATGCTGTTTGTATTTTGAATTGCAAATAAGTTTTGCAAATTTGCTAATGGCCCATATTGCAGTAGCAACAGGAAAGTAAGGTGCACGCAATACTGTCGACATAAAAGAATACAGTGATCATGAGAAAAAACAGTAACATACTTTTTAAAGATTCTCCAATCCTTCTTTACTCAGTAGTTCATGTAATAAGTTATAATGGACAAGCTTTTTTAATAATGATTACTTGTGTATAATATGAAGGAGATAAAAATAATGAAAAAGAAATTAAATTATTTGTGGAATTGTTTATTTCAGGAAATACCCGTTACAAAAAATAAAAGACTTAGAACAAGCAATGTACGTATAAAAAGAACTTATATCGATAATACAAATGCAAACAACTTTACTCTGTTTCTATAAACTTAATATATTTTTCTTTATACTTACTACGCGATCATGAACAATTTTCAGAATTATACTTAGTTCAGTATTTTATAAGTAATAATAGTAACGATTACAAAGAAAAATGTCAGTGCCCTGTACCATTTAAATTAAATGTAAGAACATAAGAAAATAACAGAAAATTATCACACTGTTCATCCAACAATACTGGAAGCGCCGCGTAACGCCAGATATCCAGCAGTTATATCCATTGGCAAACTTCGAACTGTTGCAAATTCTTCTGCAGTTGCATAATATAATTTAGTCTGTGGATCTGTGTACCGTGCCTGTAAAATAAATGTAATTTATACATCTATTTACATTTTAATAATGTAACCGGTTGTACAATCGTGAAAAAAATAATCGCTTACGGGTAGACCAGAAATATCCGAGTATTTTTTTGCTGGCCTGAAGCTTGGCGGTGCATTAATAGAGCTGTCTGAAATTTTATAATATCACTGACAATGTTTTCAATACAAAATTTTATTTTTATCCCACATATTTTGTTGACTGACTATATAATAAATTTCAGAAATCACGTATCAGGTACTTAAAAATTTTAGTTATATATTAAATTATATTTCAAAGATAATTCATACAATGCACTACTTCTGCCGGCCACGGTAGAATACGCTCTTGAGCCAAGACTTGCTTCAAAGAACGCCAAGTACGTTTCTTTCCAGTGGTACTAGTGGATCGAAATTTTTGTTGGAAAACTGGATTTTTAAAAATCGGTTGAGACTTCTTACTAAACTCCACCGTTTCTTCGTTCACCATTTTATTACTTTACCTGAAATTTTGTTAAAGAACGATAACTCATGCAATGTAATCATTTATACTTATTCAAATTAATTATTCCAGCTGATTAAGTTACATTGCATTTTAATCAAATGATATTTATCATCATATTTCTTCTGGATTATATAAAACTAATATCTTTTGTACATCACATCCCAATATACCACAAATTGTTTGCATCATAATTGTGTTCATATCATTAACTAAAACTTTAGCCCATTGACTCAAAATAAGTAAGGCAATGTAGCAGTCTTCTGAATCTCTAAAAAATATTTTGAATCCACTAAAATTACTAATATGCGCATAAATATATTCTTATGTTTTTTTATCTTTTCAATTAAAATACCTTTGAGATTCAAAATTATACTTATACCCATGTAATAAATATTTTTCAATGACAGTTGATAGATCATCTTCAAATAAAACAACTGCTCTTTTGCTGGGCTCGATCAGACATAAAATTGCATGATGGCAAAGAACTTGACTATATTTCATTTGATTTTGCATACTACAATAATTTGATTTCTATATGGCAGATATATTAAATAGAATTAAGTACAAAGAATATTTTTAGAAACTTGAATAAAAATAAATATAGTATGTAACCTTTGATATATGAAGAATAATTTCTATATTTCTTTTTATATATTTTTTATCTTTGGTATGCAACCATAACAATTTTTTAGCTGTTTCTATTTTTCTTTTTGTAATGTTCATCATACTATCTGATAAATTGTGATTTAAAAAATCTTTCTGATTATCATTATTTGTTTTAAAAATATTTATATCTTTATGATCACTATGTGTAATTATATCATTACTAAGTATGTTTGAATTTGCACACACTGTAGTTTTTTTATATTTATTTCTTTTATACTTAAACAAATTAGGACATTTATCTTTGTGCAACAGAGGAGACAATAAACTTCTCTTCTTCTTTATTTTAGTTTCAGTTTTCTTTGTATTTTCATGATCTTTTTTCTTTTTTCTAACTTTCTGAAGAATTTTAGTGTTGATATTTTTTAAAGGAGATGTTAATATACCTGTATTCTTCAAGAAAATCATTTTATCAAAAAAATTAGTATGTTTCTCTATAAAACGTTGTATATCTTTTTCATTAGTAAAATCCCACTGTTGTTGCATATTAATTTCATTAATTTTTGCTGTTGAACAAGATAACTGTTGCTTGATTTTACATGTTCTGTCTACATAAGATACAAAAGCAACTTTGTTGGAATTGTTGTAAGCAGAAGATTTGATTTTTAAACCAAAATTTTGAATAAATGTATGTATAAGTTTATCCACATTAAATGTTGATATTTCAAACATAATTGAAATCACTTAATTTATAAATACAAAGTTGTATTTACAGCAAGTACTGATAACAGTGAATATTTTAAAATAGCGTGTATAGAAAAATGTTACAAAATATTAACAAATTAACATGAATAATCTTATGCAATTGTTTTCTGATCTAACTTCATTCATTTACCTTCATATAAATTATTTTCTAATAATTTGAATGTAATAACATTAATTTTCACACTTTAACATTGTTATAAGAATACTTTAAAATTGAAATGTGATTTAAAAATTTTCATAGACATGCCAGTTGGTTACTTTTGTTACAATAAGTGTATCAAATTTTGTTATAGAAATATTTTCTATAAACAATTTCTTAAACACCGTAAGTATGTCAATACTTTATTTAACGCGTATTATGAACAACGGAAGCTTTAAAAGCATTACAGTTGTTAAAAAGTACGCAGCCTTTATTTAATTATTTCATAACCTTCGAAATAAAATTTAATTACATTCTTCTTTTCAAATTACTATTATTTTTGTAGAAAATTTATCAACAGATAAATTTCTTGTTTATATATTTTCCGTTATATTACTAAAATTTCCAAAGGTTTCAAAACAGACAATTTTTATTTATTACTTACCATCGATACAGATCGAAACATCAATTCGATTCGACTACTAATTTTAAACGATGGGATTTAAGTATTCCATTTTACGGTACATAATTCATAATGTTTTATTTAATTTCATCTCAATTCCATTACATTAATAATTAATTTTGCAATTTTGCTGTCAGTATGGTTAAGCAAATAAATTTGTTAAGTTTTAAAAGGTTTGTCATAGCCACGCTTTCCAAAACATCAAACTCTTAGAAATTTAAATTGTATATACACTTACACAAAATAATTATTTATAATTATTTGAATAAATCTCTCAAAATTCATGACAAAGAGAGGGGAGAGATAGATTGAGAATGGTGGGGGTATCATGAAACAAGGGGAAAGACGTGACCAGATTCACCTTCTGCTTTGTTGAAGGTCGGAACAGCATTTTTCGAAATTGTTTCAGATTTGCAAATAAATTGCAATTTTGCCTCTGTTATAAATCTCTGTGAATCCAGTCGTAGTAAAACCATGGGTCGTAAATTTTTTGTCGGTGGTAATTGGAAAATGAATGGGCTCAAAACTGAAATAGATGGTATTGTTGCTTTCTTAAAAGCAGGCCCGCTCGACCCAAATGTTGGTATGTTTTTTATGTATATTGTAATTTGATTATATTTGTTAATTTTCAATTTAAAAATAGTTTGTATTTTATGTGATCTTTTTATAATGATTGTTGTTAACAAGATATATTCAGTTGTTCTTTAATGATATGTAATTGTACCAGAACTTGTTGTTGGAGTTCCATCAATATATTTAACATACACGAAGAGCATATTACCTAGCAATATTAGTATTGCTGGACAAAATGCATACAAGGTTGCAAAAGGAGCATTTACTGGAGAAATAAGTCCTGCTATGCTTATGGACAATGGAATTCCATGGGTAATTCTTGGACATTCTGAACGTAGAAATGTTTTTGGAGAAACTGATGAATTAGTTGCAGAAAAAGTAGCTCATGCTTTGGAAAGTGGACTTAAGGTAATGCAATTTTTGCCAACATTAAAATAACTGTTATAAAATCTGACACAAGTATTTAGATTAAATTGATAATAGCCATGGTTAATGTATAGGTAATTGCATGTATTGGAGAAAAATTGGAGGAACGTGAAGCTGGTAAAACAGAGGAAGTAGTCTTTAGACAGACAAAAGCCATTGCAGATAAAATCAAATCATGGGATAATGTAATTGTTGCTTATGAACCAGTATGGGCAATCGGTACAGGCAAAACAGCTACACCCGAACAAGCTCAAGAAGTTCACTTAAAATTAAGAGAATGGTTCAGTAAAAATGTTAATCCAACTGTAGCAGAAAATGTTAGAATTATTTATGGAGGTTCAGTAACAGCAGGAAATGCAAAGGATTTAGCAAAAGAAAAAGACATTGATGGATTTTTAGTTGGAGGAGCATCTTTGAAACCTGACTTTGTACAGATTGTTAATGCTAAGCAGTAAGATCAAATAGTTATATAAAACTGTTATCTATTTAATTGATATGTATTCTTAAAAATATGTATACTGTAAGAATTATTATAAAGAACTAATTTAATATTCTTTCCTAGTTCTTTACATACAGAAAGACTTGAATCATGTTCCTGCAATGAAAAATCATCCTCTGAAATTATCATATAGTACATTTCATTCTGTTTTTCTTTACAATATAAACCTGCTGTAAATATATAACTATTAACAACATAATAAATATTACAATATAATATTAATGTAAGTTTTACTGTTTATTTTATAATGGGTTTAATCCAATTCGTCGACTAGTCCTTTACATATAACAGTTTTAGGCATAGTATTATTGGCAACACCCTTGACACCTCCTAGTTTTGCTTTTGCACAAGCAATGTCAGATAAAGATTTAAATGTTCTTGGTTCCCAAACAGCCAAAGTTGACAGTGATTTGCGATTTAGGAAAATGTTAGATCTAGTTAATCCTTCCATTAAAGTTTTAAAATTAATACCATGTTCATGTGCAGCAGCATTTATTCTACCTTCCCAAAGCTGTAATAAACAATGAACAATAAATCTAGTAAATAAAAAATAAACAATTATGTAACAAACTGAACAAAAATTATTTCTCCTTGCACTTTACCTCCTTCATATCCTCCTTTTTAAGTTTCCTTCCCTTTGTAGCGTATACCAATGCTCTTGTTACAGTTCTTATAGCTATACTGTAACAATTTCTTCTTCTTCCAATATAATGCTGATAATAACAGAATTTAATTTTATTAAAAATAAACTATCATTATGATGTTTCTTATACATTCTTAAAAAACAGTTTATTTACAGCAGCAAGTTTAAATATCTGGCGTTTCCGCCAAAATTCATCAGGGCCACGAGATCTTGGAAATAACCGTGCACTTAGAAATACCATTCTCCTAAATTTAAATCAGCAAGGAAAACAAAATTTTTCCTTTCAGTGGATCTAATCGCTATCTGCGAAATAAGAGTATAACCAGTTTAAGATTATTAAGGTTAATTCCACTGTGCGCTAACGAAGGCCCTACAGATTCTAAGATCAGTGACATTAGCTACATAAAGTCTAGATATGCCTTTCTTCTCGAAAGGTCACGCTTCAAAGGGGTTCCAGACACCCCCACCGAGGTATCATGACCGCTGCATCCTTTACATCTCTGCATTCCTTACATCCCTGTATCCTTTACATCTGTGCATCCCTTACATATCTGCATCCCTTATATTCCTGCATCTCTCACATCTGTACATCTCTTACATCCCTGCATTCCTTACATCTGTGCATCCGTTTCACCTCTGCATCCCTCACATCCCTGTATCCTTTACATCTTTGCATCCCTTACATATCTGCATCCATTATATTCCTGTATCTCTCACATCTGTACAACTCTTACATCTCTGCATCCCTTACATCTCTGCATCCGTTACACCTCTACATCTCTCACATCCCGGTATCCCTTAAGACAAAATTTAAATGACAAAATTTTTAAGCTCTCTAGCGGCAAAAATGTGAACTAAATTTTCGATGTCGAATCAGCGCCATCTGGTTTTGAAAAAAGGAACTAAAGCACGCAGTAATTCTGGCCCTCTGGCGGCAAAAATGTGAACTAAATTTTCGATGTCGAATCAGCGCCACCTGGTTTTGAAAAAAGGAACTAAAGCACGCGGTAATTCTGGCCCTCTGGCGGCAAAAATGTGAGTTAAATTTTCGATGTTGAATCAGCGCCATCTGGTTTTGAAAAAAGGAACTAAAGCTTGCTGTAATTTTGGCCCTCTGGCGGCAAAAATGTGAACTAAATTTTCGATGTCGAATCAGCGCCATCTGGTTTTGGAAAAAGGAACTAAAGCATGCGGCAATCTTGGCCCTCTGGCGGCAAAAATGTGAACTAATTTTTCGATGTTGAAGCAGCGCCATCTGGCGGTAAAAATCGGAACTAAATTCATCATGATTTTTCGGTCTCTATTGAGATACATAAGTGATACAAGGATGTAAGGGATGCAGGGATGTAGGGGATGTAAGGGATGTAAGGGATGCAAGGACGTAAGGGATGCAGGGATGTAAGAGATGTAAGGGATGCAAGGATGTAAGGGATGCAGGGGTGTAAGGGATGCAGAGATGTATAAGATGTAGGAGTATAAGTGATACAAGGATGTAAGGGATGCAGAGATGTATAAGATGTAGGAGGATAAGTGATATAAGGATGTAAGGGATGCAGAGATGTAAAGGATGTAGGGATGTAAGAGATGCTGGAATAAAAAAGACATAGGGTTGGGCATCGTATGGCGCACAAAGACAAAAAGATAATAAATTACTGGGAAGGGTAAGACTAGGTCCATGAAGAATAATAAAACAATAAATAAAAGAGATGGTGAATAAAATGGGAAGTATTTGGAAAGGCTAGTTCTTGCGTGATCCACTATGAGTGGTAAAATAATATATAAAAGAATAGTGAGGCGAGGCGTACCAAAGGGATAAAATCGTCAAGCCCCCTTATGAGTTTGTTTATTAAGCTAAGAAGATAAATACAGCAAATTAAATAAGCGCAGAAAATAAAATAAGAGTACGTGTATGTTTGACAGGTCTTGTCTTATCGACTTATCGACGGGTTCTGTCTTACCTTGTTTCTGGAAAGCGGTCGGTAAATCCTCGAGTAGTTTCAGCCGCTTTTAAATAGATGGCGCACTAGTCGAATTTCTGGTTATCGATCATTAGTTTTTAAAAATATTTAATTTTACAATTATAATGCATTAGAACTTGGTCTTTACTTCTTATATCTCCTTTCTTTCTTTTATCCTACTTCTATTTTTGTTCTTATTCTCATCTACTTGTTACGAGATTAAAAATAGATGAACGCGCGTGAAATATAGCACTATTACGAACGTTAGCCGCGGAACGAGAAATATCGTTTGTCATGAGAAATGGGACGCGCTGCATGCCCTCGTTTAAATCTCTTCTTGTAGAATCGAAAAGACAATACCAAAATTGGCATAAGCGTAGCAGCCAATTGCGCACCTACGTACTCGCAAAGTATTTGCAATTTCCTCACTGGCGTGGCGATTGCCAATGCTTTGACGCGGGTCACCGTATCGAGGCTGCTATTTCGAGGATAGAAGAAGGTAGGGTAGAACGTGACGATCGAGAATGAATCCAGCTCGCTGTGATCGAGCACATTCCGTGCGTTGTAGCTGAAAATCAAGTTGGAACGTCGACTTAAAAATCAAGGATTAGAATAATTGAAACAAATAACCCCTTATATTCGATCTGTTCGATATCCTTCGTTTATTATTTCGCTCTTCGATTCGCACGAATGTAACAATACATATATCAAACATGTACAAGAATATACATTCCACTTTCTTACACGCACACTTTTCTCTAGGCATTTATTATATAGAACTCCTTCGGTTTAATTCACACGCACACGTATATGTACAACTTGCACGTATGGCGTTTATTCCTTCTTACATATTTATAAATATATATGTATAAATAACAATATACGATGATTTGTACGCAAACATGTGCATGTTTATCATACCTAAGTAAAAATTGCACGCGTAAATAAAGGTACAAAAGTGTCGCGGACACGAGTCCGGGTTTGTTCGTCTACGTACAAAACGAACGCACGTTCAGCGATGACGAAAATTTCGACACAGCCGTGTTTCGAGGTAAGGTATACCCTGGAAGACCGGGCGGAAGCGATAGAAACTTATCGTTTCTGTTGCGTGGACGAAAAGGTTAGAAACGCAGCGGCTCGCGTCGTTGGTTGTCGAGAGGAGGTGTCGCGGTTGTCCTCTCGCAGGATGGGAAATTTGTTCAATGAAAATCGTAGAGAAGATAGCGATGCAGCGACTGAGGTATCTGAAGTTTGCAAACAAGTTTCGGTAACTTGGTGCCGCAGAGCCTGCGAATGATTAGCCTTGCCTGGTGAGTCAAGGGCAAAGGGGTCCTAGCCGCTTCCATCATCAACGCCCTCTGCGCGTCCGTCAGGCTGCTCGATCTCCGTATCATGCAGGGATCGAAACTTTCCGCCGCCTCCAGCAACGCCTTCAACAGCCGCGGCTTATCCGCCGTGTTCTGAAGTGAGTTGAGGATACCGTGAGGATCGCGGAACTGCGTCTTAATGACGACCCTGGCGCCATACTTGAGCAGAAGTGCCACCACGGCGACCGACGGATTCTCGTTCGATGCGATGTACTCGGCGAGAACCGGACGCAGCGCGGGACCCTCGTCGCTTCGTATCACCAAGTTAGGATCCGCGCCTCGTTCCAACAGCATCGACAGTATCTCCAATCTGTTTGGAATGTTGTCCGCGCATGCGACGTGCAACGGAGAACCGATGATCGGGGAACTAGCGTTCACGTCGGCACCTAAATGAAAAATTCCCTAGGTCCTTAATACGGAAACGCGAACCACCTGTTGCGTCGCTCGCGACAATACCGATCGATTTTCCCGCTAGAAATGGAGAAATAATGAAACGAAGAAGCGGAAACTCACCCGAGTTTAACAGCATTTGAACGATCGAGGGATCTCCCTTGAGAATAGCCAGGTCGAGAGCGGTGGGTTTCTGATATTCCGGTCCGAGATCGAGCCGTGCACCCTGCTTCAATAAGAGATCGATGACCGCTGGATCACCGCCGAGGATCGCGTAATGCAGCACCGTTCGGTAGTCGTGTCGCGAATCCGCCATCGAGTTAACGTCCGCGCCGTAGCTGAGCAAAAGCAGCACCGAAGCTATGCCCTAACGAACGTTTCACCGGTGATTAATCAATCGGTTTCCAATGGAAAATTTCGAAGCGTATGATCGATTTACCTGCGGCAATCTCGAGGCTTTCATCAACGGCGTCAGACCCGCGCGGTCCCTCGTGTTCGGTTGGGCACCAAACGCTAACAACAATTCCATGCACTGGAGATCCAACGGTGAAACCAGATTGATCTCGGAACCGAAGAAATAGCGCTTGTTCGGATTCGCGCCAGCCTCCAGCAAGATCCTCGCCACTTCGACGTGACGATTTCTCAGAGCCAGCCGCAACGGTTCGTCGCAAATCGTCGTCCTGTGCAGATCGTCGCTCGCCACATTTTATCTTTTCGAACCACCACCACCCTTTCGTATCCTATCATCGTCCCGTATTTCTTTTCGATCTTTCACCCCGTCTCGTCCTAACCCCTCGATGTCTCTCTCTCTTTCTCTCCCTTCACCTCTCGTTTTCGACGAGCATGATAAAAATAAATTTGGTAAAGAAAAAATATTCTGCTCACGTGTGCACTAAAGCAATTACGTTCGATGCAGCAATTTATAGCAACGGAAGATCCTTGGCAACGATCGAAAGATCGATCGATAAAAAAAAACGACGCCGCAGAAGGTTAGCGGGTGTAGAAGAGAGAAACAGAGGGAGAAGGAAGAGACGGAGGACGCTCGTACCTTGGAAAAAGTTCTCCCGTGTCTTTACGATGATCGACTTTGGCACCCTGTTCGAGCAACAGTTTCACCAAATCGAAATAACCGTGCTCGGCGGCTAGATGCAACGCCGAGTATCCACACTCGTCGGTCGCGTCAATGTCCGCGCCGCGGACTAGCAACAGCTGCGCCGCCTCCGTGTAACGCTGCCACACCGCGTAATGCAACGGCCTCAAACCCTGCGTCACCGGCTCGTTCGCCTTCGCTCCGCATGCCAGCAGAATTCGAATCTCGTCGAGTGGCTGTAAACGGATTATGGAATCGGCCAGCTCTCGCTGCAACGGATTGGCGATGCATTCGGAAGGCATCTAAACGTTTTGCAATCGTCGAAAGGAGAAAAATTAACCATTGGAACTAGAGTGCCTAACCGACCGACCCCCCGCTCCTTCCCCATTTCGCTGGCCCGAACTTTACCCCTTTGTTCCCTTTGTTATTCGACGACAATTTTCAACCTCCAGTTCGAACGCTAGGGATCTCGTTTCGTACGCTCACCGTGAAACACTGCCAAAGTCGCGTTACAATTTTGGCGGTGATATCAAAAGCGCGATTATCGCGATTCGATTTTTTTTTTTTTTTTCTATTCGATAGAGATATTTAAGCTTCTTTGTTTAAACATAAAGTGAAAAGGAAAAGAAACATCAGAATTCGATACCGTGCTCGATGCGATGCGATTCGAATGCGGCCGAGTAAAACGCGTGCGCGCGCGACAGTCATTTCTCGATTCTCGAATTTTCTACGATCGGAATATGTCGTCGTTTGACGTTCGGTTCGTTTGCACGCGGTTGCATCGTGTTTACTCACAGCGAACAATCTTCGATGCTCCAGCATGTAGGACCAGTATTGCGAACTGCCTTCTTTGTCGGAAAGTCAGTCCTATTTAAAGCTTCGAACGGTGATTCCGCCCGAAAATAACACAAAGGGAACGCGCGGGAGTGTGCGCAGGAAATCTCGCGACAACTGCGCAATTTTCGCTTCGAAGAACTCGATTCGAGTTGTGCCGAACGGTCGTTTACGCTCGCATCGGCGCTCGCTCGGTGCCGCCTGCGCAAACTTGCTTCTATCTTCCCTCGATCCTCTTTTTCGACTGCTCACTCATCGCTCGTTTCACCCAAAATTTCCCAATTATCCCCCTCCAATATTCGAACCGAAATTAAACCGCCTACGATCATCCTTTTCGCGATCCACCTCCACCTCCGTCCCGGAGATCGACTCGCGGTGTCTCATCTTAAAAAAAAATAATAATTGAACGCAGCAGCCTCGTTGTTTGTTCTTTTTGGAAGTACTTTTTATTAAGAAATACTTTGCACTTATTAAATGCCTTATATCCTTAGTTCGCTTTAATTATAATAATTATTGTTATAGCATTGTCCTATCTTTCTACTTAGAAGCATGCTTCGCTAACACACGTTACACGACCCTAAAATTATAAGCAATTTTTTTTCCTTAACGTACAGCTTATGTGTAAATCAAACAACAATACTTGAATTTTCACGAAGCCGACAAGTGCAGAATTTCTTCTTCTTCTTTTATCTTGGAAATATTCGCAACAACCTACGAAAAATTCTGTACAGAAGCGCGTATGCGTTGCGATCTCGAAGAAACTTCTCTTCCGGTTACTATCCTTCGCGTAACGCCGATTACAGAATAATAGATGCTTTGAACAATCGGGATCGTTCTGGTCGATCGCAAACTTTCCCTCGAAATCAGATTGATAAATGCTCGAACCACGCGGTCGCCCTTGTATACCCTTTCTCTCTTTTCTCTTTTCCTCTCGGCGCATCTGTATCATTCAACAGGGCCGCGACAAAAGCGTACGAACAAAAATTAGAAAAAGAAATACAATTCGATACTTTCTTCCTCTTCTTTCGCGTTTGCTCCAACATTTCCTTCAACTTTTCCTCCTTTTCTCCTCTTCTCTGCTGCTCTTATCGATCAGGAAACACGCGCACGCACACACGGCAGTACAACAGGCACACACGCTTAAACACGCAGACAGGCAGGCATGCACTTTCGCGATAAAGCGATCGAACCGAATGACGCGCGGCTTCGCGCACAACGCATCATCGTGTACCTACGTTATTTTTCTTTCTCCAGCTAACCGCTAATTTATCCGTCTAACGGCGAGGATCGTTACGCGCGTCTCGATTGTCCTCTCGCGTCCAACGATCGCCGACCCCCTTCGACCGGAAACAACGCGCCCCGGTCTTATTCGTTTCCGGGCCGAACCTCGAGGTACGGGCCAACGTTCGACTCGACGTTTACAAATTGTACGCGCGCAAACGCCACGCTATTTATTTTATTTTTTTCAAACGGTCACGCTAAATTTGTTAGTCTCTTAAGGAACCTACGCTTAGAAAATTGGACTTTTCATAGGCTTGTGTTTTCATTGAAAAATATCTAGAGAGAACTTGGTGATCGTAATTCGAGCCAAGAAGCGATCGATCGGTCCCCGTTCTCATAATCTTTCGACAAATATTGCCGACAATTTTTTTCTCCGCACCGTACCAAATGTTACGGTTTAATATAAAATTATAAGGAAATATGATAGATTCTAAAAAAAGAAAATGTATAATAGCAAAAGATGAAATAAACGTGAAATAATAGAAAAAGACGTTTGTAAAAAAATAGAGAAACAACGTGTAGACCGATCGATCGCGTTCTACTACTACACGCGGGATATTGATCTCGGTAACTGTTAAAACGAAATCCTTAATATAGCGATCGGCTGTGATCATCGTAATAAGTATAATCGCAAACATTATCTACAAATAATAATACCGCTACAAGAGTGTAGTTCAAAGCGATAAACCTAATTAAATATAACGTAAACTGCCTCGAAATGGCTACGATCTACGCGTATTTCTAAGAAAACGGCTATAGTAAATAACAGTCGTCAAGTATACCGTCCAACTCTTCTTTGATTGTTGTTTAGTTACATACTTTAAGGGCGTTTATAATACACGTGAGTATGACACGGATTTCCACTAAAAATATTTGTTAGATACGCTGCTGAGCATTACTGACTTAAGCACTGTACTAAATTCACGTAAAATGTATCGTTATTATTAGAAAACTAATTATTCTTCATTGGTTTGAAATACTGGTTTTTTTTTTTTTTATAGATCTGTATAAAACCTTTGTCAACTGGAACTCTTTGAACAATGATTCGCGGGTTACGAATTTCTTTCTTTTTCCCCCCCCTCCTATTTTCCATATCTTTTTCAAACAATGCCACGTGAGTTTTTCAATGAAACCGTCAACGTTTGTATACTTTTTTTTTTTTTCTATCCTTCTCCTTCTGCCAACGTCTCGTCGAACCAAGCGATAAAGGCAAGAGTTTAAAATAGGAAATAGGCGCGATAAATAGTGGGAGACGGTAGAGAAATAAAAAGGGAATGTGGGGTTGATGAACGAGAGTGTTGGAAGCGGGCGAAAAGATGGAGAGAAAAAAAAAACGGCGGGAGAAAGAGGGAGGAAAAGCAAAGAAAATCGTTTACCGCGTGCCGTATTGTAAAGACGAGTTAAAAAATGAAATTTTTGCCACGAATTATCCCGATCCGTTTCCGTCTAAAACGGACACGAACTCTAAGATTGACTGCGTACCGCGAGAAACCAAACGTTCGCAAAGTTTCCTACCCTAATTTCTTTTTTTCTTTCATTTTTTTTTTTTAAGTTGCTCTTTTACACGGTATCCCATATATTGTCAAGTATAAATAAAGTCAGGATTTATCATCACGAGGCCAGAATAAAAGGCAGATACGTTCTGAATGATAGGAAATTTTCTGTACAGCGTTTTATACCGATCACGTCCGTTATTCGTTCTAACAATTCTTTTGTTAATCCTTCATCCTGTTCTTCTTCCTTCCGTTACTTTAGTTTTACGTTCGTTTCTCATTTCCATCGCTTATCTTTTTTTCATATCTGGCACTCTTCTTTCTCTATTTAGGCTGTTTCACATTTACGGTAATTTTACTTTGCTGTATTATTGCATCGCATGGAAAAATATGGCTTTATCCGAATGCTATTTAACAAAGGCAATACACTGTACGATTACGTTACATTTAGCGTATACGTCTATACGTGCGCGCGCGCTGCGTGTATCGTACGCGACAGGTGTTTCTATGTTTTTTCTTTTCTTTTTTTTACGTTTTACATTGTATAGAGGACCCGTGTACGTCCGCGCAAACACGCGCGATATTTCTACTACGTGTACGCTACGGATTTCAATGTATAATAATCATTGTAATCATTCAAAAAGGCAGACTCAGTGTTCGTAAAAATATTCAAAGATCGCGTATTTGAACGATTTTTATGAAAACTGCTCGATTCTGACGATTGATTATTAATTACTTTTGTTTTTTTTTCTTTCTTTTTTTTTTGTACACTAGCATGTAAAAAGCATTACGCCATGTACACCATGATCGTTCGTATTATCTCACGTTTTTGACGAAGCAATGATCATCAACTTTCCTTCGAACGAGTACCGGTTCTTCGTGCGTCGAGTATCAAATTATTAATACATACATGTTCATGTGCTACGTATGTACATATATGTAAATGTATACGCATCGACAACTTATATACTCGCAACTGTATACTTTATGTGTATGTATATACGTGTTCTTTACGTGCACATGCATGTGTATATACACATATACCCGTGTGGTATATGTAATGAATGAGAATGCATTATGTTTATGTATGTCAGAGGATGTATATATACATGTACACATGCACGTACAAAGGCAGAAAGAAGACACTTTCCGCGACAAAGTGTCTACAAAAATATTTGTGTAATATAGATCCAGATTTGCAGTACAATAAGATTCTACGTGGTTGCTGCTCAGCCACGTGTCTTACCCAGTCTTTAATGTAGTGACTAAATTGTTCATTCGTGAACGAAGCAAACGATCTCGATGCAATTACAATATATCCACGTGTCATCGAATTTGATCGCGAGCTTCGAGCGTATCGTTACCACCGATTTCCTGCCGATCAGAAAGTGAGCGTATTTACCGCGAATAACTTGTTACATTCTGCTCGATTCAATAAGAAGAAAATGACGAAAATTCGGTACCTCGGAACCACGGATTAATTCATCGTTTTATCACCGATTCGAAGGGACCAACTTAACAGAGAAATACATACACATTTTTCATGAAATATACACACGCGAGCGCCCACACATATTTATACATTCATACGTACATACATACATACATATATATTCCTAATATATATGCATATATACATATACATATATAAATACGACATAATAAAAAAGAACCTACCCTACGGATACGTATTATCAAAAGATTTATTTTCGAGCGATCGTAAAAATATGATTCGCGTGACGCGTTCAATCTTCTCTGTGAACCGTGTTTTGTAAATCTGTTGTAGCAATCTGTGTATAGGACTCAAAAAAATACCTCTTACGCTATCAATGTACGCAAGGTGTATATGTCACTAAGTAGAAGAACGGAACACGGTCCAAAACTGAACCGTACAGGTGACTTTCGAACGCTGCATCGATACATCTACTTTCTTAATCTACGCGTTATAATAGACAGACAAAAAGAGATATAAAAAAAAAAGAAAAAATTATAAGACCAACAAACTACTTGTGGTTATTCGATTAAATCAATATAGCAAAAATTCTTTTGTCTACCAATTTCATTATTTAGCAAACAAAATACATTGCCTCTTTGTGATTTCATCGCTTTCCTCCTCGATCACGATGCTGCGTTCGAAAGTTCGTGTATGGTGCCTTTATGTACACGGAATCGAGCTGTTCGAGACTAAAATCATACCTATCGTGTACGATACGTACACATTGTCAATTATTTCCTTATAAATTACTGCCTTCCGTAAATGCAATAAATGTGCTGAGAATCTAACGAGCAGTTCGGCGAAAACGCACTCGCACTGGGATTAAACGAAATGAAAAGATTAAAAAAAAAAAAATAAAAAAAAAAACGAAAAGAAAAACGGATAACTCAGTGTGAGTCAATTAAGATGCGAACGGTGACAGTCTGGAACAGCTCCGATACGGCGATAAAAAAATTTGTTCGATTCAACTCAAATCTAAAAACTCGCTACTTTTCGTACAGCACTACGGTAGGCTGGAGTTTAGGCTTTCTGGCAAACGATAATTCATCATATGATATGGCGGACTCGCGGGACTTCCCGGTTGACTGTTCATGCCAAGATTACTCGAGCCACGACCGCGTTTTCGCCTTTGTAATATACCTTTTCTAACCATATAGAATCGAATCGTACTTATCGGAATTTTGTATTTTTCCGAAGCAACTTGAAACGTCATACCACGTGCCACCATATCCGAAGCTTGCTTCAATTCTTCTTCCGAGCGTCTTTGTCGTCTCTGGTAACCTGAAAAATAAACATGAATTAGTAAAACCATAAGAAAACCGAATACGATTCATTCTTTACTCGAAGAAACACCTCTCAGCGATACATTTATTTAAGCGTTCTTTCTTTCTATATTTCTTTATCTTCTCTAGTTTCTTTCTTACCTTCGATCGCAGGAAACGGACTACTAGGGTTACAATTACTGCTCGGTACCATACTGATGGAGTATGGTTTATCTTGCTGCTGCTGAGTAAATTGTTCGTCCGGTTCCATTTTAACCATGCCTTGGGTTTCAGTTAAAGTTGCTTCGCAAGCGCTAAGTGCTTTCTCCAAATGTTGTAACGCTTCGCTGTGTTCCATGTTCATAAAATTCGAGGAATTGGGATTTTGCGAAACCGGTGTGTTACTGTGTGACGGGGCACTCGCGCTCGCCGTACTAGGCGCGGCAAGCGAGGTAGCTTCCAAAAAATTAGTACTCGAGGTTCCATCGTCGGACATAGAATCTTCTTTTTTGAAATCGGGTTCTTCCGGTTGTGCTGTTGTAGATGGTGCAACAGAAGCGTTAGAATCGCATTGTTGCAAACTACTTAAACAATTGTCGTTCCCTTGAGTAGATAAACCGCGAACCTGGTAATCAAATCATTGTAGCAAGAATTAATTGAAACTCTATGAATTCTGCTTAAAGGATCTTTACACGTTAACATTAACTTTTTACCTGTAAAACTTCAGCAGCCTGCATTAGTTTAGCAAGTTGCTGTTGCTCTACGTATACTTCTCCACGATACATGAATTCCACCAAAGCTTGAAGTTCCCACATTTTCATGTCTCTCAAAAAAATAATTGGATGGGAGCACGGTATTTCCAACAATAAGCGTTCCAAATAATCGCTACAAGCTGATAACACCACTTTGTGACATTTTATTGATCCTCCGTCACAGGCCAAAGTAACATCCACAAATTGCTCTGAACTCAACAGTTTTGGAAATGCGCTGTGCATGTTTGACTGATGGGAATTCCATGATACGCAAAACTGTTGACGATCTCCACCGGGATAACTACCCGGGGTAAGCAAATTACTTCCACTCTCCATTATAGCTGACTTTCAGTTAATTTTCCTGTTAATATCAATGCGTTGTTTCACCATCTTTCCATCATCAAACAATTGTAGTTTTATTTGAGACAAAAAGAAACAAAGAAAGCTAAAAGTAACCACAGTCATCGGATACATTCAACTTCTATGTTATAAACTGTTGCATTTACTGTACAAGAGATAGAATTACATTGAAATGTTTAAAACATAATTATATGAAATACAATGTTATTCAAGTTGATAATATTTTCTGTATTTCAAAAGAAATCACCAATAAATGTTTATCTATAACTTAAGTGGGTCAATATTATTCGACTCTAATCTTATATCTTGAAAACAAAGAGTAAATAATAATAAGAGTAACAGGTTCATCAAACAAAATCAAAATACTACAGATTTTCACTGTTAGAGTGAAAGGATAATTCAAAAGGAGTAAGATGTAAATAGTGACATTAAGCATCAATGAAAGTATTAAAAATATACATTAAATATGAAAGCTAAAAATACGTAAAAACTCGTTTAAAACAACGCACAATATGGCTGTATTGTCTAAGAAAATTCAATATCAATGATACATATTCAACTACGCGTGAATATATATGTGTATATATACATATATATACATCTACATATACATAGGTACATTATAATTGAAAAATATTAAGGATATACCTTCGAGTGAATATTCGAAACGGTAATTCTATCATCGTTATGTACGGCTACACGAGATGAAATCAACATCGGTGAAGAGTTGAAAGAAAATCCATGGCACTAGCCGAGAGCGAATGTGCAACAAAACAAATCTGTCGTCGGTAGTACATAAACGAATTCTTTCAGACAAAAAAAGTTCAAATATAAACTCCAGTTACGCGGCGTTTATCGTAATCACGTGCTCAAAGCATACTAGCCGACAGGTTAACCAAAAAATATCGAATGTACGCAGAGAAACACAAGACCGTTTCATCAATAGAAAAATGGTGAAATCTTTGTGGGAGACGCTGTCGGCGTGAGTGCCATCACCCCCCAGGAACGCCTTGAACACAAGTTTGGTCTTTCTTTTTAGTTTATGACGCGAAATTCTACAAACTTCAGGATTTCGGAAAGAACAGAGTAGCATAAATTTTCGTATAAACGATTTTACTCACGAACTTTCAGCTTGGTCGGCTCTTCTCAGATTTTCGCGTCGCTTTCAGGAAGAATCCCTTAAGAAAACATTCATCCGCCGAGATTTGCACTAGCTAGGGGAGCTCAAACGGAAGGGTGGGGGTAGTAAGGCTGGGGGTAGCTTAGGGGAACACTAGCGCACCTCTTGCCTTTTCTGAAAACTCTTACTAACGTTAAACTTCCCGAACCATGTTCCAAATCTTTCTACCTATATACCTATCTGTTATCTATCTATATATTCAGCCCACACTTTCCCAATTTATTCGGTGCAACTCGTTGTGGACATTTTTATATAGTTGCAATTAAATTATGAATATTTATACAGAATAATTTGATACCGACATCATTTATTGTTCCGTTCGAAGTCTTGTTCTTTATTTTTCTACCACCATAACAGTATGCGCTCAATGTTTGTATTCAAGAGTGGTTATTTTCCAGAAAATCTTCCTTCCTTCTTTTTTACGTCAAAATCCTAACAAAATGTATTTAAACCAGTTATTATTATAACTTCCTTTAAGTAAGATTTTGTATGTACGAATTCGCGCCACTTTATGGAAACTTACCCATTATTTTGATATATATTTCTGTTGGTCCCACTCTTCCACGCAGACGAAAAAGTCTTGACTTATTTTAATATAATAAGTATTAGAGTGCTATGTTCCAAGCTCGATTTCATTTTCTTTTACTTTAAATTCTATAAAATTTATTCTGTAAATCATTTTGCTGGTTCCGACAAACACGCCTTATCATCGAAACAATTTACTATAATCGTAACCAATAAAAAACAGGTTATGATTTACTTCATTATTGTATGTAATTAATTACAAGTCTCTTTTTGCAATAAAATATAATATAACATCGTTGTTACAATTTAATGAGAAATTACATATCAATATCCCGATATATTTATTTATAAAACAGAAATAAAAAATTTGTCAAGATCGCCATTACTCGATACCTTTTGATTGTTCCGTCTTAAGTGTATATAACTAATGCTTGAAAAGTTTATTTATTCGGCATTCGATGAACATTACATAGATTCAAATCACTTGAATTTCATTGAGTGTGAAAGAAATTAAAACGTACAAGACATGTCGAAAGTAGCTGGATATGATACACACGATGACGGACCAGGTTTCGTCGGTATTAGATTTTGCCAAGAATGTAACAACATGTTATATCCAAAAGAAGATAAAGAAAACAAAGTACTAATGTATGCGGTAAGTGTCATACAGAAAAGATCATCTTTAATCTTATTGTTGAAATTTATAACGATAAGTATTCTCTTTCCAGTGTAGAAATTGTGATTTTAAGCAATTGGCAGACAGTAATTGTATTTATGTGAACAAAATTATGCACGAGATTGAGTAAGTAAAACCAACAATAAATTTTCAATGTCATTCCTAAATAAACATTTAGCAATTAATAGAAAACTATTGTATGATTTCAGTGAATTGACTCATATTGTGGCAGATGTTATATCAGATCCTACTTTACCAAGAACAGAGGAACATCCGTGTCCAAAATGTAATCATAGGGAAGCAGTATTTTTCCAAGCACAAACCAGGAGAGCAGAAGAAGAAATGAGATTATATTATGTGTGTACTAATCAGCATTGTACCCACAGATGGACGGAATAAAATTTTATTAATAAGGATTAGGGTTAAGGTTAAGGTTAAAGATTTGTATTTTCCTACAGTACAGACTGTCACATCAATAAATGTTATTTTTCGTCATTACCGAAAGACGGCGCTTCGATAGAATAGTATATTGTATGTTACCCAACGAACTATAGCGCAATAAAAAATTTTTATTAATAATTTGAACGTTCTTGTAAATTGTAATTGTGGAAAACATTAAGTCCGTTTAAACTACTTGCTTCCAAATTTATCCAATAACGATACCTATACCATTGAGTATAGATTGCTTTTGAATTACCCGACGCGCACGCGTCTGAGAAAATTATTTACCCCTCTAAATCATTTTTTTATTCAATGTTTAAGTTGTTTTTGATGCGAGAACAATCCATCTCTGCTATAATTCGTATTTCGAGAAGTTACGAAAACAGAAGTTTACAGCGAGGAACATTAGTGATTAGTGGATTAGATTTATAATGCGTTTTAATCAACGTTTCGTTAGAGGAACGTTTCTCTAAGATAAATTTATTTATTTAATGGGTGCAGCACATACGACAAAAATAACAGAAAAAATGGAGAAGTACGAAATGTGTCTCTTTAATTTATATTTTAATTTATAAATTATGGGTTGTTTGTATTTAAATATTATTTCATAGCTCTCAGCCATCAGATACACGAGAAAAAACAGAAGGACAATCTCGTGCTAGTAGCAGCACGAGACCACTGTCAATCGAAGGACCATCGACTGCGAATAATAGCCAAATGCCAGTACAGGAAGTATTACCAAATCAACCTAGACAGCCAACAAATTTACAAGGATTACTCAGATTTGCTATGGAAGCAACCAATTCTCAAGATACCCCAAGTGATAGTCGGTTTCATCCATTGGACAAAGAAGTAAGGATTATGAATTTAACATCGTACATTCAACTTTCATGAATAATTAACTATAACTGATCCACGTTTACAGAGACAAGAGTTTCTAAAACAAACACTTTCCTCATTGTCAGTCAATGTTATCGAAGAACTACAGAAATCTATTAAAGTTTTATCAAATGTAGTTGACCTCAGACCAAATGATGACACTTCAGAACAAGAAAATGCTTTGGAAAGGATTGCAGATTTTGTAGATAACATAGATATAGCTAATGACTTCTATAAAATAGGAGGTTTTTCAATATTCGGTCCATGCTTAAATTCTTCCCATAGTAGCATTAGATGGAGAGCAGCTGAAGTTATTGCTGAATTAGCTCAAAATAATCCATTCTGTCAAGAAAGATGCCTTGAAACTGGTCTGTTCCCTATATTATTGAACATGATAGACACTGATCCGACTGATGCAGTGAGAATCAAAGCACTGTATGCTGTATCTTGTAAGTAGATGTCCTTCATTGATATAGTAGTTGGAATTATTTATAATATACAGAATTGTATAATTTATCTGGACACTAAATGTAGGTATAGTTCGTGAACATCCAGTATCTTTGAAGTACATGGATGTAAATGATGGCTATTCTGTTCTTCTGAGAGCCATGCAAAGTTCAGTGAAGAAATTACAAATTAAATCTGCATTTCTTTTATCTTCTCTTTGTACTAAAGAAAATACAGACAATTTAAAATTAACCCTAGTGAATATGGGTTTAGTGGAACAGGCAGCGGGTTTATTAGCCGCTGATGACATACTTCCAGAGATCAGGTATTACTTTATCTCTGTTTTACTGTATCGCATCCCGTTGAGCAAGATTTAACACGGTACTTAATGTTTCAGAGATCAACTGATAAATATTCTTCATGGTTTGACCAATGAGGATTTCCTTCCTGCTTTGAAAGAATGTCGACGACCAGAACTGTGCTTACGTTCTACATTGGAAAATTGTATAAAAGACTTGAAACAAGAAGAGAATATGGATCAAGTGGATGTATGCTCTCGACTGATGGAAAAAGTCTTTTCTGATCAAGATACAAATCAAGAAAGATAATTGCAACTAACAATAAGATCGAACTATCTTTTCCGCGGAAATAAAATTTGTACATTACCTGATAATATCGTTAATAAACAAAGCTAAATATATTTTATTTATATCACGTAGTATGTATTTTAATTTATGCATTTTAATAATTTTAAAAATATGAACAATAATAACCGACAGTACTTTTATATTATCATCACTTTATGTCGTTTTTTGTATATGATACACGTATAAAAAAATTACGTTTTTATTGTACATACCTCTGTAAATATATGGGTATAACAATGTTAACACTAAAGTTAAAAAAGCAGTAGCGAGGGGAGGAAATAAAATGGTAATGTTTATGTTAATTCACTTTGTTAACTTTCTTTAACAAGTACGCATATGCAAAGAAGTATGTGTATATATATATATATAAAAGCTGATAAAGGTGTATATAGCACTTTGATGCGTACACTTTTCGTACCGTGATTTAACAATTTTAATAGACAATAAAATCGTAAACCGATAGATATGGCGGACAAAAAGCCTACGAAGCAAACAGAAGATCAAGAATTAGACGACTTATTAGACAGTAAGTAATTATTTTACTGGATGATATATAATTGAATAAATATATTGGGAACACTTTAACCTTAAACTGTAAAAGTGCACGATATTTTCCCCATTTTTCCTTTCGATTAATACAGTTACAGATCATATTATTTTGGTATGATTTCGTTTAGAAGATTACACGAATTATGAAAAAAAAAAAAAAACGATATATTTCTTTTATCACAAATATTGAGCAAGTTATGTAACTATTTATTTATTTATTTTAGAAATGTTGAATGAAATGTATTAAAATTATGTAATAGTTAAATTGTGTAATCGTTGTTTTAGATGCTTTAAAAGATTTTAACAAAGAACAAAAACCAGATAAGGAGGATCCTGGCAAATTAGATACTCCAAAACCTACAACAGATAAGAGCACAACTGAAAATTTAGAGGATGCTTGGACTACAGATTTTATTAAACAAGCCGCAGAACAATTTGAGGAAAACCTACAGAATTTAATTCAAAATGGTAATGATTTATAAAAATGACTAGTGAGGTTTTGCTTACAAATTTATCTATTAGGAGCAGACGGTGAATTGGGAGCTTCTTTTCAAAGAATGGCACAAACAGTTGCAAGTGTAATAAAAGATGACGATACGCTTGATGAAGACAGTATGAGTACAGATTTTAAATCTGCCATTGCTGGAGCATTAAATGACTTGTCTGCAACATCTGAAAATTTACAGGTAGTTCATTCAAAAATCATAAAGAACTCTGTTTTATATAATTTGCTACACCTTCAAACACATTCTTTCATGAAAATATTCTAGAATAATGCTCATTTATCTGAACTATTCGGACAAGCATCTTTAGAAGATGGTCCTGCTGCTATTCTACCATTTATGCAAGGAATGTTGCAACATCTGCTATCGAAAGAAATTTTGTATCCATCATTGAAAGAATTAGCAGATAAATATCCTGAATGGTTAGAGGAAAAGAAAGCAACGATATCGTCTAGTGATCTACAAAGGTTTACAAAACAGCTTGAATTAATGAAACAGGTAATTAATGAAAGAGGTCTCTTTTTACGAAATTTTGTTAAAAACATAATGCTGCTATATCCTTTCAAAATTTTCTTTTTCCTTTTGCGATAGGTATGTAGTGAACTTGAGAAGGAAAAGGATGGAGATTCGGAAGAAGTTAAAAAGAAACGTTTTGAAACTGTAGTATCGCTTATGCAAGAAGTTCAAGGTTGTGGTCAATTACCCGAAGAATTGGTAGGAGACCAATGTCCTTTTCAAGTCGATGCCGACGGTGACCCTGTTATTCCAGCGCTGCTTCAGGGCATGGAAAAATTGTCGCCACAAAATTGTCGTTTGATGTAAACGAATTAAAAGAATTATCTAACCCATGCTTTTTAACAATACTGGAAAAGCTGATAAATTGGGGAAGGATTAAAATATTAAATTAGGAATATACAATGCACTAGCGATTCGGATTGTTTCCGACGTGTACATATTAATTACATGTGCAATCGATACATGTAAAGCGTATTTAATACATTTTATTATTCTGAAAAACCGCTGTGATCTGGAAAGAATCGCACTTGTAAATAAAATATGTCCAGACAGGAATGCATACACGCGTGCATACGGAAGTATGTACGTACGTGAATGTTTTACATTTATTACATATTAATACATTTGTCTGCTTTAAACGATATTTTTGCAATAATTTTACATATAATGTTTTTTTTCTTTCTGAGTATCTTAGGATACCGAAACATCGTACTTAATACCGATCATCATTTCAATAGGAATAGATACATTTTCTCATAAATATACAGAAAATTTCCATCTAGGTTTCCAACGAAAGTCACTTCGAATGGAGATATTTTTACACGAACGTAAATTGAAACAATAATACTCTTGTTATCGAAGGAACAAGAATGAAACACTTTGTTTCATTGAACACCGATGTTAACTAAGGCCTATAAATATCGTAAATAGCACTAATTGGATTGAAATTTACGCGGGGGAAAGAGCTGCAACTCCCGGCAAAACCTTTCCTTCGAGAAGTTCTAAACTTGCACCACCGCCAGTGCTTACATGACTTACTTTATCTTCCGTTTTCCACTTAGCAGCACAAGTGGCAGTGTCCCCACCTCCAATTATAGTAATACTACCTTTTGATGTCGCTTCAACGACATTATCCATCAGACCTTTCGTACCCTTACTGAAGTTTTCGAATTCGAAAACTCCAGCAGGACCATTCCACACGATTGTTTTGGCTCTCTTAATAGGTTCTATAAATTCATTTCCAACGTTTCATACAGATATTATAAATAAGTATTGCCAGATGGTTCTAAAATTGAAACCGCTGTTTCTCAATGGAAAAAAGAAGCAACACTTACCGCTAAACAATTCTCTTGACTTTGGTCCTACATCAAGACCCATCCAGCCATCAGGGATACCACTCTCTACATCCGCCGAGCCAACAGCCGCATTTTCCGCAAACTTATCCGCGGTAACGAAATCGACCGGTAAGTGTATCTGTACTTTATTCTTTTCAGCTTTGGCCAATAAATCATTTACGATTTTTGCACCCTCTTCGTCAAATAACGAATTACCGATCTGGTACAAAATGTATTACGTTTTCAATAAATACTCATCAAAGTAAAAAGAAGCTGCCTTACTACAAGATACTTTACCTTCATATTTTTTGATACTTTTAAAAATGTGTAGGCCATTCCACCACCTATGATCATTTCGTTAACCTTATCTAGCAGATTATTAATCAATTGTATTTTATCCGCGACCTTGGCACCTCCTAATATTGCCAGGAAAGGTCTTGTTGGATTGTCCAAAGCTTTGGCAAAATATTCCAATTCTTTTTTCAAGAGGAAACCGCTAGCTCTCGTGTCAAAACCTTCGCCAAGCATGGAACTGTGAGCACGATGAGCCGTGCCAAAGGCATCATTGATATAAACATCGCCCAATTTCCTGAGGGATGCCCTAAATGCTGCCACTTTGTCTTTATCTGCTTTTACCTAAGAGAGCATTATTGTAATTAAAATAAAAGTTATTGTATAGAAAATAAAAGAGGTTATAAACTTAAGTTTACCTTACTTCCATCTGCTCCTACACCCTTACCCTCTTCCTCAATGTGGAATCTTAAGTTTTCAAGTAAAATGATAGTTCCCGGTGCTGGATTGGCACAGGCAGCTTCAACTTCTGGTCCAACACAGTCGCTCAAAAATAAAATCTCCTTTCCAAGTAAAGACTTTAGCTCATCGGCAACTGGTTTTAGAGTATATTTCGTGTTAGGGTTTCCATCAGGACGGCCCAAATGTGACATTAAAACAACAGACTTTGCCTTTTTCTCGAGAGCATACTTGACCGTGTCCAAAGCAGCGACGATTCTCTGATTGTTCGTAATTTTTCCTTCCTTCAACGGCACATTGAAATCCACTCTGCAACGTTAGTTTGAATTAACGGAAAGACCATGCTTTCATACATCGATTCGCATACCGGTTTTCATTGCTTTCCCGGTATAACGTAACCTTTCAAAGCCGGGATGTTCAGCGAAAGATATAAAGAAACAGAAATTATACGATGCGACGTTACATACTGCATGCATTAATCACTTCGAAGATGAATTAATTAATAACATAAAGAAAGGGATATACCGTATGAGAACACGTTTGTCCGTAAGGTCCACTTTATCAATGCTAAGCTTGTTTAGCGCCATGGTTCTGGATGTTGAATGTATCGATCTCGATATAATTTGACGTATAAATGGTGATATATTAATACCGTTATCGGACTTGAACGCACTTTGTGTAACGTGCCGCGTAAAACCAATAAAACTGTCCGCTACCTTCGAGTATCTTTGATCGTTGTTATGCCTCGACTCGACAAAGTCAAAGAAAGGTCGACGAACACAGCGACCTCCCAACAGATTTTGAGTTGCGCGCGTCGAAACATTCGAATTCGCGCGCTTTATCGTCGAAGGGAATAAAGCGTTCCAGGTAGCTGTTTGTACGCATGGAAAATATTTATTTACAACTCTGCCATTCATATTCCCTACCTATATCCTATCACATCCCACCTAAAGAAAAGAAAAAAAACAAAAAAGAAAAGAAACAAATACGTACGATATATTGAAAAATGTTTCCCTATACAATGGGAAATAATTAAAAGGTAATTTTTTACCGGGTAAAGATAACCCGTTAAAATGAAACGTAGAAAGGGGTGTTCGGTCGGTCGCGTGTCACCGCCGATACAAATATGGACTATGCACCATAGCTAGTATTCAATCAACGTCTGGTATTCCGGTATTTCGTCTGACCGTTGCTATTCTCGATTCTGGCATAGTAGCACACCCGTGCGTTCATTTATCTGCTTTCAAAACTAAGGTGGAATAATAGATGAAAGGTCTCGCGGTCGTGAGGTGAGAACGAAGAATTTTTATCAACGTACAGCCGTGTAGAAAGAGGGGAGAAAAAAAACTAGACGATTATCTATACAAAAGAATACGATGAATCGAGGAGCACCGTGAAAGAGGATGGCTCGTGAATTCGTTAGGAAAGATAAGAATCGCGAGGATCGTCGGAGCGTGTTTGAACCGATGCCGTACCGAAATAACACAACTTTGCTAAACGCGAAGGCGGGCTACGCGAAATATAGCCGCGTATATTTTCTCACCGCGAATCTCGAGACAATCGCACTTTTAGAAGTATCCAGTTTAATCGGCCAGCGGACTACGCGTACGTTTCTTTCCAGATATTTACGATCATCTCGAAAGAATCGGCGACTTATAAGTAGCGTTCGAAGTAGGCGCGATATAAGCGCGCGTAACGCTTCTCATCTATGGGGAAGATGGATCAAACTACCTCGCGATAATCTCGTCAGAATTCGATCGAACGGGGAAAAAATAAAATAGATATCGGTATCGGTAATGATCCGATCGGTAATCGAGTCTGGCGATAAGCGATTAATAAAATAGACAAGATCTATAAGTCAACGATGGGCAAAGTAAGGCTCGCAATCGGTTCGGTTCAAAGTATGCAACTGCTCGGTAGGGAGGGAGAGAAGATATCGGGATGAGCAGAGGAAAGCAGAGCAGAGCATAGCCGAGAAGAGAAGAGGAGAGGCGATGGAAGAAACGGAACATCATGCTGGTTGTGTCAGTCGGATGCCAGTGGAACGCGACGAACGACTCGCGTTCTGGCTGTATCAGCTCGTCGTCAGAGAAGTAGCAGGAGCGATTAATAAACGAATAACACTCGCGGTGCCGTCTAGAATCGCGACAACGGATTGTTCGCTGTACGTGGCCGAAATCGAAGGAGAACCGTGAAACGATTCGGGATAAGGGTGCCGATACCGATTATCTTTAATCGTTCATTTGATATACCGTCATAGTCATCGCCACCACCACCGCTACCGCAGACATCATCATCACCATTGACCACCGCGATCGTCGCCGTTCATCGTCACCGTGGTCGTCGCCTTCGCCTTCGTGTAACCACCTTTCTACTCGGCACGATATTTTTCACCTCCTGCCCTTACTTAACGACCGGTATCTCTATTACTCGGAGCCATGAAATGGTATGTGATTATCTCTACTTCGAGATACTTACACTCCATCGTTCGTACCCCCTTACAGGAATCGTTTATTTCCAAATTCGTTCCTAACGTACTTACATTTCAATTCGTTCGACGGTGAAACTAAACGGGACAACTGGCGAACATCATTTTTGAAAATTTTGCAAATTCCTTTTAGGCTACCTGTGCGAGCATACATGTGTCGTACACATACGTAAATACGATGTGATATAACACGATATAACGTGAAAAGTAATTATAAATAATCCCTAGGTATGTATGGATACACGTATGCGCAATGTTAAAGCGCAAACGTTCCTTTAGGAAATCGGAGGGGGGAAAAATTCGCGAGGGGTGGCAAACGTCTGGCGTTAATAATTTCGAAAAATTACGAGCAGCGAAGATACTTACGAAAAGTAGCTTGGCGCGGAGAAAGATGCTACTTTGCGTATCATATACAGATAGAGTGGGGTCGCTTAAAAATAGATGTTTAAACTTAAATTATGCCCTCTGGCGAATGGAGTTAGTAATTTAGGGATTTCGAAATTTCATTAGTTGCCTCTGTTTATTTTTCATCCAACATGCAAATAGCAAAAATTGCCAAATTTCCTGCGAATATCGTTGGTGTACGCTCGATTGTTCGGATCGTACGACGACGATACGAAACACCTTCTGGTGTCCTCGGGTCACGGTCATAATCGGAACGAAGATATTTTTCGGTTCGTTCATTGTGCTCGCTATTCGGCAAATATAGAATACACAATTTTTAACTTACCGCTTTCGAACGAAACGATACCCGATCAAGCTTCGTAAAACATATTCATATCGCGAATGCCGTCATTGTAAATTACATAATTACACGCGAGAATCCCTTGGACTAGATTATCGTTCACTTTTATTTTCGATCAGAAGCTATAACGAATCGCTCAAAAAAAGCAATGATTCGATAAACGAGCGCTTGGAATCTCTTTCCGAAAAAAAAAAAAAAAAAGATAAATAAATTAGATGTATACGTTGCTATTGAAAGACAGCGTGCATTCTTTTACATTCTCATTTTTCTCTAGCAGACAGAGACTAAACGAAAGTATCTGTCATCGTTAAAAATAATACGAAAGAATTTCGAAGATTTTTAAAACGACTCGCGATAGATATCGTATAAAATTTTTATAGTCCTGTATGAGAATACGAGTTCAATTTTTGTTCCATATATTTCGTTCGTGTAATCGTAATTATTCAACTCGTTTGAATAGTACTTATGTAGGCGTAGAGTAGATAAACGAATGCAAAGTACGAAACATAGCTGCAACGAGCAAAGTACGATAGAGCGGAGAAATTGTAGAGGCAATTATTTCGAAAGCAACGAAGGAAAGAATAAAAGATAATTGAGAAATCGGCGATCGGAAAGTTTAGGAGACGAGTATCAGTAGGTCGTGAAACGTTTGAAATTATAGTGGGAAAGATTGGAGGAAAGCGGGCATCGATCGCGAACACGGGTCGCTATCTCGCGGCGTTTACAAGCATCACGAGTGCCGTGGTACGAAATCGAAAAATGGCCGTTCCATCGGTGTTTGACGGGAACTAGTTACAGCTATACACGGATCTATTCGATATGTCTTATTCGCGACGAAGAAAGTGATCATGCCGAGAGAATGAAGAGTGGAATGGAAACGGAGAGGAAGTAAAAAATTACAAAGGAGAGAAGGTCGTCACGAGTGAGGGAAAATAGTATAGAACGGAGGAGGGGGTCGGGCGGGACAGGGGGCGGGGTGGGGTGGGGTAGGGTTGAGGTAGGGTGAGAGTAAGGAAGGGTGAGCGAAGAAAAGGAGAGAAAGGAATATGAAAGGGTGAGGTGAAGATAGAAACTAGCGGCAAGGGGGAAAGACTAGTGATACAAAGTACCGGAAAAAAAAAAAAAAAGGGAAAAGAAGAGATGAAAATGGGAAGTGCGCGATCGTGAGCAAACGCACTGCCTAAGGAAAGTTTGGATCGTGAAGGGAACGCCATCGACGATTAGCAAACGACACTGTTAGTAAAAAAAAAAATAAACCATTATTTTACATGGAACAGTTGGTGCGCGCGTGAAGATTCAGGAACGACTGAGCCACATAACGACTATAGTTTTGCAATAAGAACATCGAAACCAAGGGAGCCGAGCTACCTTCTTTTTTTTCTTTAACCCGTGCTTCCTCTCTTGGTTTTAATCGCTTCGTTCGGCCCTGTTCGGCTCTTCTCGTAATGATTAATCCAAATTAGCGGCTTGGAAAAAGCTTTTCTCTTTGAAAAAGCTTCGCGGGTGCGATTACAAAGAAGATAGCCGAGAGAAAAGAAGGGACCGAATATCACCGAATGTGACACTTGGTGACGACGAGTCGAACGCGGTTCAACCATGGGCAGACGAGAGAATCGCCCCCTTTCTATCCTCTGCACCCTTCGCTTACAAGCAATCATGGCTGCCTAATACACGGCGCTCAGTATCGACCAATTTTCTACCGTAATATGCTTTAGGTTAAAAACTTAACCTATCCACGAGCCCCGGGGCGTGTCGCTTCTTTCACGTTGACAGCTCGAAAGTTCATCCCGTTCGATCATTTCGCGTTGTGGTTATTCGCGTACCGTCGATTACATTTCGATCATACCGTTTACAGATTTCTTTATCCGTTCATGATTGATCGTTTTGTCGCTTGTCACGTTATCAGAAAAAAGCTGATGCAAGCCCGAGAAATTACAAGCATGAAGTTACTCTCGATTTCCAGCGAGCCGAATCTTTCGAATCGTTCGAATCTTTCAGGTATCCCGACCATTCTACCACTTTGCAGCCAAGGAATGTAGGCGACGAAAGTACAGATCAGAATAACAATATAACTATGACGAGCGAGGATTTACTACAGCCTGGCCATGTGGTCAAAGAACGTTGGCGAGTCGTAAGTTTATAAATATTTCCTTTCCTCTGTCATTCTCTTTTCTTCTTCTTTTTTTGCTTGACTCATCTTCTTTCTGTTATGCAGTTTAAAAAAATAGGAGGCGGTGGATTTGGTGAGATTTACGAAGGCCTAGACTTAATAACCAGGGAGCAGATAGCGTTAAAAGTTGAATCAGCTCGTCAACCAAAGCAGGTTCTCAAGATGGAGGTAGCAGTGTTGAAGAAACTCCAAGGTTCGTAATGGGCAAAGAAGTGTACACAGATCAGAGTAATAATATGACAATTTCATTTCTCAAAGCATTGCACGCATTTGTACTAATGAGCGTACTGTTGTATCATTGTAGGTCAAGAACATGTATGCAGATTTATAGGATGCGGTCGTAACGATCGATTCAATTATGTTGTAATGCAGCTGCAAGGAAAAAATTTGGCAGAATTACGCCGGGCCCAGCCACGAGGTTCTTTCTCATTATCCACTACTCTTCGTTTAGGACTTCAAATTTTAAAAGCAATAGAAAGCATACACTCCGTTGGATTCCTTCACAGGGATATCAAGCCAGTAAGTCACTACTGTGCGTTTCGTATTCGTCCGTAACGGCTGTCGATGGATACGAATTTTCTTTCCTGTTTGCAGTCAAATTTTTCAATTGGACGACTTCCACGAGATTCGAGGCTAGTTTATATGTTAGACTTTGGTCTAGCTCGTCAATTTACAACTGGCACCGGTGAAGTCAGGCCACCTCGTAGCGCAGCAGGATTTAGAGGAACCGTCCGGTACGCATCGGTGAATGCGCACAAAAATAAAGAAATGGGCAGACACGATGATCTCTGGTCTTTATTTTATATGCTGGTAGAGTTTGTCAATGGGCAACTTCCATGGCGAAAGATAAAGGACAAAGAACAGGTGCGTTTAGATTTCACAGACCTCGCTTAAACGTTGACACACAATTCTTCTTTCTTTCGTTCTTTTCTCTTTCGCATTTAGGTTGGCCTCATGAAAGAGAAGTACGATCATCGAATACTTCTGAGGTATCTTCCCCCCGAGATTCGAGTATTTTTAGAACACATTCAGGTAGGCGATTTTGCAAATACCCAAAAAGAAGAATAATCTTCTGGTCGTTGTATGTGATATTTCTTTTGAAATTATATTCCCTCCTAATCGTGTAAACGAACAGTGAGTGAGATGTTCCTTTTAGAGCCTGGAATACGCTGATAAACCAAATTACGCGATGCTAGCTGGTTTGTTTGAACGTTGCATGAAACGTCGAGGAATAAAAATGAACGATCCATACGACTGGGAGAAGCCATCGAGATCCAACGAAAGCTTACCCACTACCAAATCTCTACCCACAGTTACCGTACCCCCAGTGTTGACTACAGCGACTACTATCAATCAACCACCAACCACGCCGAACGTTGATACGAACAATCAAGAGAACGTCGAACCCGATAACAGAAAGGAATTAGATGTAAGAAAAAACAGTGATGACAGTTAACATCACAGTTCATGTATTAACATCACGATATCCTTTGATTTCATTGATAGGCGCAAATGGATTACGAAAGTATATGTAGAAGAAATAAACAACGCGGTGTAGAAGGATCATCCGTACCATTTACATCAGCTATCAGTAATCATGGCCGTGATAAGAACTGTAACGCTACGATACCTACGATGGACAATACTCATCAGCAAACTGGACAACAAACTCAAGGTAATTTGTTCTGATCTTAAACGAAATCGTGTTTACCCCCTTTTGCTATACCATCGTTTTCACAGATTCACCGAAGAAAAGACGCGCCGTTTCGATGGCCGCTGAACCACAGACCGGCACGGTTACAACAGAAAAACGAGTGGACAACGAAGGAGACGCGTTAATGGCATCCGCTCGTTCCGCATCGGATGTTCCTCGCAACAAAGTTGGAGCGAATGCCGCGGCACCGCTACGAAAATCTGCCAGTGGTGCGACATTCGCTCGATTGCGCGTTACGCCTGCACCAGCTGAAACAGCACCCGGAGAACCGCCCAGTCCTCGAGTACAAACCGAAGTCGATGCTTCTTACTGTTCCTACGACGTGACTAATCCAAAATACGTCGGCAATCAAAGTCCCGTACGTATACAAACGATTGTGCTTGAAAAGATATCATTTTAAATATTATCCTTTAATCGCGCGATAGGTTACCGAGCAGAGGGAACCGCTGAAAAGAGAAACGCGAAGAAGAACGGATGGAAGGCAACAGACAAGAGCCAGTCGTGCCGCGATACGAGACTGTTCCATCACTCAGTTTGCGCAAATAGACGACGACAACGTGTCCGCGTTGCAACAAGTAACCAAGGGTGGCGGTGGTTTAACATTGGCTTCCCAATGGAAGTCGCAGTTCGACGATTCCGAGGAGACCGACAACGAATGGAAAGGAGAAAACTTGCAGAGTCCCGAGCACAAAGGAACCGCTAATATACCGGTTATAGCTCCCCAGGTACATATTCAAAATGATCGCGACGATTGATACCAGTAGACAATGCAATATTTATTTCTTCGATGCGGTATATTCTTCGGATTCGCAAGACAGTAGAAAGGTGTCTGAAAAATAGCTTTGTTTTATTCATTTTTATTTCGCATGCTTAGTGTCTGTGCGTATGCGTGTGTACGTGGAAACGAGTATGGGTGGCGTGTGTCTGGCCCATGTGTGCATTGCTTTAACGAAATTACTGTCAAATACCGAAAACTTATCGATGTGTTTGATATTCTAGCCACATCTGGTCCGTATCGATGCCCTCGTTTGATGCGCCTGTTACCTGCTACAGAAACGAATCGACCTCTTTATCTCTATCGCCGTTACAAGCTTTACACGCTTCTCTGTATTCGTTTGTCATTTTTCGTGAAATATTCACTTTTTGTGTTGTACGTTAGAAATCGATTCTCAATCGTTTGCCAAAGTTGCTAAGCGTTATCATGAATAATTCGGCCGGGGTCAATTATTGTTTTTAGACAACGTGATTTTGATCGTGTTACCACCGTCTTACATTGTTAGCGTTAGAAATTGCATGCGATTCACGTAGAAAGTAATCGTTGCGTGCGTGTTTGATCGTCGCGCGTCGTCGATTATTTTATTCGAACAAAGAGAATACTCGAACGACACGCGCGTCTTGTTACTTCTTTTTTTTACAAACTTTCTATACAGTCGACAGTTGTCAGTGATGCTGTGACTACCGCAACTTCAGTGCCTGCGTCTAACGATGCGAAAACAACAGTGGCTCAGTCGACTACTCCAATCGCGACTCATCAACATTCGATAATACCGACTGCTTTATCACGCATAAGCGAAGACTCACCGAAACCCACGACACCTCACAGATGTTTGAACATTGCCGGTATCGAAAAGTATCCGGACCTTCAAGGGGCACTTCCCCGCGCTTGGAGCGTACCAGCTTTGGCGCCGCACGTGCGCGCTTACCTCGAAGCGCCGTTGGTACGTACAATTCTTTTATAATATAACAATACGTTTCCTTCAACGATTCTTATACAAGATTTCTCTCGTTTTTTCAACAGGTTCAACAAGCCGCGTTCGACGATTTACTGTACGAAATCGACGTAATGAGAAACATTGCGTCGCGGTACGACGAACCGCGTCAAAGTCCTTCACCTCGCAGAGCTAGCGTACCGGCAGTCGCTTTTTCGCCACCTAACACGATACCGAGCACGCCTGGAGGCGAAGAGGAGGAAGAAGCGGTAGCAGGAAGATTGGAGATTAGGGTAGTGGACGCGACGGGTGGTGCGACCGTTGTTCAAACCACCGCGGATAAAGAACCATTGCAAAGTAAGTATGAACTTTATTTTATTCGTGTTTCTTGTTACGAGACGTATCAAGTTTCACGAACAATTATTCTCGATTCTCTTAATTTTAAAAAGATCTTTTCACGAGTATCTGAATTGTTGCGCGAGGTTTCACATCCATTTAACGTGATTTCATAGAAAAAATGACAAATGGTACCACGGATGGTCCAGCTAGCCCTAATCCAGGCTGCGAAGAACCATCGGTATACGACGATGCCGTCGAAAATCGGGTACCCGTCGATGCGGTCGTGCATAAGGAGAACAGTACTGTCACTTCCCCGGCTACCATACCGAACACGGTACCGCTCCGTGAATATAAGGACAATAAAGAAAAGGAGGCACCTTGTAGGACTCACAATACTATCAGTAAAATTCCGATCCCGGTTAAAAGTCCTCGATGTTCGCTATCTGAATCTACTCTAGAAACGAATACTCAGAATACCAGGAGTGGCGTGGGAACTGAAGTAGACAAATCGTCCACACCCGCGGCTATAACCAGGGAAAAAGATGCTAGTTAGTAAGATTGTTTTTTTTTTCTTAGCATAATTCTACGATCATTCTCTTTGAATAGTGTAACCTTTGCGACGTGTAACGGGTCGTATGAAGTTAGTTGAAAAAGGAAAAAAAAAAAATTAGTAGAATAGAAATGAATGAAACGTAATTTGATAATTTCATCGATAACGTAACATCGGCGAAGGATCATTCTTCAAAGAGATAACGAGAAATGATAAATTGTAAAAGAAATTAATCGCAATGTTTATTCGAGTCGAGATTTAATCGTAACACGAGGCCGTGATTCAATGGTGACAGTGTGTTACGTTTAAAAGTTACTATATCGTTCCGTTTCTGCTTTTTTTTTTCTCTTTTCCTTTCGTAAGAATGTTTAGTCGAAAAACGTGGAAACACCGATGTGTTAACGAAATTGTACGAAGCCGTTCGACCGTTGTTTCGTTTCTTTTTCGATGCGATGTGGAAGAATCTAAAGACACGAAAAAAAAAAAAAAAAAAAGGAAAAAATAAGTAAAATAAACACGATCTCGATCGTTGATTTAAAAGAGAAAAAAAAATGAAAAAGAAGAGAAGGGAGGGGAAGAAAATGGAAACGAAGGTTCGAGCTTCCGTTAATCGTATTTGTGTTTTGGAAGCTGATTTGTCGCGATTAATGCCGAGTATAGATTCTTAGCGATACTAACATTGCCAAATTTTAGCTAGCAAAGGCAAACCCTTGACAGTGGAGGCATTGGCATTACGACGCTGCGTGACTTTACCCGATGCACGGCCGACCTATTCACCCTTAACGTCGGCTAATTCGACAGAAGATGAAAATCTAACCGGATGCACGCCTGCGTTACGTCGACGAAGACAAAGCGAAAAATACGTGACCGACTCCAGTCAACTGAACCTGCGGTTCCAGAGACCGCAACGTCGAGTCAGGCCGAATTCCGAGGTATTGTCTGGATTCTCACCGAGAGGCGTACCCTCGCATCTCCTCGGAGAGGCAGCTAAGCGAACCGAAGAAAGTAGCGATAACGATTCAGATAGTAGCGGCCCGACGAATGCTCAACCTCCGCCACCTCCTACGTCTCTGCCACCTCATGTTGCAGAAAATAACGCTAGGTATCGATTTTATGATTTTTACATATAATTGGATAGCGCTGAAATATCGATATCGATAATTACAGATGCCGCAGATTTCGACCTATACCAGACGCGACAATAATCAGCAGAGAATCGTGAGGTATAGCATTTATGGGAACGAAAGTAAATCCTTCTTTATATGTCACGATCGGCAGAAGCTTGGCGGTCTGCTCGTTCGAATAGCACCGGGAAGCCTTTCTTTCTGTACGAGAAAGTATCAAGTTGTCGACGATTCGAGTCAATGTCTTGTTATAAAATCTTATCAAGACTTTCGTCGGGGGAGAGAGAGAGAGAGAGAGAGAGAGAAAGAGAGAGAGAGAGTTATAGAAAAATCTTGCCACGGGAGGAACAACCGTTGCTTTTCTTTTATCGGTAAAGCAATTCTCGGTTTATGCGTGTTGTTGTGTCTTCAAGGGAAATCAGTACCGACTCGGTGAATACCACGAGATATCGATCTTGTAAGAGTCTGTACGTCGAACGAACTGAAAACTCCTAACATGTAATTATCTATATACGCATATTTATTTTTAACGCAAAACTCTGTTGTAAAAGACGGTTGTACGAATTGGTGGTGCTTCAAAGATTATATTTCCTAGTCTATAAATGTATCCGATGATACGATAAATACTATTTAATGTTTAACGCGTTCGTTGCGGCTCACGCGCCTGATACGCGAGGCTCCTTCGTTATTATTTCCTTCTCGGCTAATACCGCAACGAGCGCGTTAAGTCGTACACGTTACCAAGTTAAAAGAACGATGCGGATCGTTTACGGAGAGAAAAATTTTGGGAGAGTAGTACCGTTAACCAAAGGGACGTATTCTTCCTTCGCGTAACTTCGTCGTCTCTCTATTATCGCTTCTTTAATTTGTAACTTTAAACGTTGCCCCGTCCCGCTCGAATATTTTTTTATTTTCCCCGCGATCACCGTGTTCGTATTTATTTCTTTATTATTTATAGATTGAAATCTCGTTGTCCAATAACGACGTACGGTAAATCAGAATTGTATTTGATATTTTCTTTTTTTTTTTTTTTTTTTTCAATCATGAAAACGATCATTGCGCTTCGTGCAAAGATTTAAATATTAGTTTCAGGCAAACGTTTTTTAAAGCAGACGTTGCAACGAGTCTCTTTAAAGAACCACCACGATCACCAGCAGATCTTAAAAAGTTATGAAAAGAATCGATGCGATAAAAAATAAGTTATGTTTTTAAAAGAAAAAAAAAAAGAAAATGTATCTCGTCCGAATTATCGTTTTGTGGGCGTGTAACGTGTTAGAAAATCACTTATACTAAGGTTGTCAAGAGGGACGATATGTCCAGTTAAGATCTCGTCAACGTAAGCAATTGAGTTAGAACGATTGTTATCAGAATTTAAACGAGAAAACGATATAAAAAGTGAATAAGTACTCGAAGAAATTGCTATAGCTAGATTACGTATAATTACATATTTGTCTTGCACTTCCCCGGTAACGCGATTTTTTCAGACAGTTACAAGTCCGCAGTCGAAAGAAAACCTAGTGATACATAAAACTAGTCAAGTAGAATCCTCTAGTATTCTATTGATGAAACCAAATTCGCGTATAGAGTTATACATACTGTACTTGTACAAAGTAGTTAAGGGTTTATTTTGTGCAATGATCGAATTAACGTTAACAATACGATGAGATAGTTTTAAGTTGACGCCGTGAAACATTGTTTCGCGATATAACAAAAGTAAAAGTAAAGAAATTAAAATAATAATGATAAAAATACAAAAGAAAGAAAGAAAAAAAAAAAACAAAACGAAGAAAAGAGAATGTGCAGTATGCGCAAAAACAGAATATACCGAGACGTCGTAGACGCCAGCAAACAACAGATTGATATAAGCCTGTAATGAATGCTCATCAATTACGTACGTGTGTACACGCGTCTACGTATTATACATATATTATCAAATCCGCGCGCTCGTCTTTCGAACTTAATTAACTGGAAACAATGCGAAATCCTTTTTGTGCGAACGTACACAAGTCATAAAGTTACGACAGGAAAGCGCAAGCAAATAAACTTTTTGTGTAAATCGGTAACGAACTTGTAATCAAAGATGAAAAATGTACGTTTTGAATGTAAACAAACACGCATAATACAGCTCATTGGACGTATTCTCTAATTTAGATTTGTAATCTAAAAGCATCGTAGGTTACTTATATCATTCACTTTGAAAGTTCGCACCTTCACAACAATAAAGAGAAAGTGTTTCGTTTTCGAAATTATATAGATTGAGATGTTATTATTGATCTACCGTTCAATCGAATTTCATCGCGATTCAGAGGATCGTAGTTGCATTCAAATTTCGCGGTCGAAAGTTGCGCGTGCGCGGTCCACGTACGGATATGATTTTTTACGTGGCGATAAAAAGATGAATATGTTATAACCTAATTAATAATCAAAATTAGAGATAGAAGATCGATAGAAGATGCGAGCCAATAAGAAGCTAAATTACAAAGTTTGTTCTAACCATTAGTGTTCGATGTCAAACATCGAATGGGGTATGGCACGTGAATCGTGTAATCAATAATTATTATATATCTGTCGCGCACCCCTGTATAAATAGATACGATTTGATGCGCATTAAACTTCGAACGGTTAACAGTTCCCTTACATCGTTTCTTAACCGAAGAAAGTCTTAACCGCGCACGTGAGTCTATATCTTTGACATTTTAATTCCAATCTGTCATTTCTGTATCGAATACGTACCGTTGGATGACTGCTATTCACTCAAAATATCAACGAGGAGGCGTGTAAATAAGAATATACCGCATAGGTTTGTCCTAGCGATCACTGATTTTTTCAAAATTGTGGTTAAGTCTTAAACGCGCGACATTCAAAAATCTATACCGCAGTTCACCAGAGTCCATAACTGCGACGCGCAGGTTGGAAGATGGTGGGGGAACGCAGCGAGCTCTCTGCTAATCGCTTTCCACTTCGTTTGGAAGTATCGCCAATCAGGGCGAAGATGCGCACTGGAGATGCGCGAAGAACAAAAACTGGTCTTTTCACAGTTATGGACTCTGGTGAACTGCGGTATAGACATAGACACTGGATCTGATCGTTACCATCGATACAAGGTAAATGATGGTGCTACGTTTGAAACAGCCATGTACCTAGTGTAAATGCGATAAATATCGTACAGACGTATAATAGTAATAATATGTATAACGAATTACGAGTCGGTCACTGTAATTTTTAACGATTGTGCAACGTAGGTTATTCTAACCTAACTTTCATAAAACGTTATGTGTTGCGTGAGATTATTTTTGTGAAATATGAATCGTAAGGTACAGAGGGTAAATAAAAAAGAACAAACGTTTACTATCAACGAAAATCTGAGGAGGCTGCAGTTCTTTCTGTTTAAACAAAAATTTTTGTTATATATGTCAATATTAAAACCAAAAAGGATAAGGTTTACGCGCTGTCTACTTTAATTTCAGATGATGTGGCCAGTGTTGAGCAGAATAGTAACTAAATTTCCAACTGTACGAATAATCTTAGCCCTACCTCTTGGCATTCTTGGATATTTTATAGAAGGGCTAATATCCAATCGATACACACCCTCGACTAAATCAGTGACGGAGCAACGCGAAGAAAGGTTATTGGACGATATAGATTCGACAACCGACAAAAAACGCCACAATCCATTGGAATTTAATCTTCCTCCTTCATTGTCCGTATAATTTAAGTAGTATTTAAGCCGAGATTAGAACGAAACGTGTTGCCAGAAGATATAGCCCCTAAGTGTTGGAATATAATTCGAGACATGTATTTCAAATGTATAAACGTTGATTGTAGACCAACTTAGTATCACATTATTATAATAATGTTTTTATCAAAGATCAGTCGACGACCTGCTTCCCAATAGCTTGATTTAAGCTACAACTCCAAACTTATAGACAACTGTATGGAGATAAATTTGCCCAGGTTCGAGAATGCTATTTGGGAAGTTTTCCTGTAAACAGTTATATAAAAAAGATATGAATTGAATAGAAAATAATGACGAATTCTCAACTCTTTCAAATCCGAAACAAAGAGTAGAAAGCAATTTGATCGCACACGTATTGATACTTACATGATGGACAGCGTCCGGATAGTTTTGCGTTTCTAAACAAAACGCTGCATGTTTAAAATACGCGCTTCCGTTTTTGCCTTGAACACCCACGGTACCCGGTGCGGGTAGAAAATTAGCCGTGTAAAACTGTACACCTGGTTGATTCGAGAAAACCTCCAAGCGTCTGCCAGAAGTCGGATGTTCAACTTTGGCTACCAGATTCTTTTCATTCGAATTAGCGTTCGTTACGCAAAAATTGTAATCGTAACCACCAGCCGGTAATTTATCGATCACATCTCCAAGCGTAGTCGAGTTTCTAAGATCCATGAGGGAACCTTCGACCGATCGAATTTCGCCGGTTGGAATGCTTTCAGCATCAGTGACCGTCCAACGATCCGCATTCAAGGTGAATCGATGTTTGTGCAGTTCGCTCGAATTAGTATTCTGAAATGAAATCACGATCAGAAAATAATGCGTACGAGTGTCAATGAAATTCTTCGTCCTTCTGTTAAATATTTGGCACGAAGGTAAAGAGACGGATAAACAGGCGTGTTTACGAACATGGCCAGCCAAATTGAAGTAACTATGATTAGTCAAGTTGACAGGCGTTGGTTTAGTAACGAAAGCTTTCATCTCGATGCGGAATTCTCCATCGGTGGTTAGCTGGAAGGTAACCGAGGCTATGGCAGCACCGGGATAACCTTCGTCGCCGTCCTCGGACAACAAGGAAAGCACCAGACGGTCGCCTTGGATCGTAGCGTTCCATATTTTCGAATTCCAACCCTTGAAACCACCGTGAAGGCTGTTCTCTCCTGCGTTCTTAGCTAAACGATATATCTTTCCGTTCAGAACGAACTCTGCCCCTCCTATACGGTTCGCGACTCTTCCTACGGTCGCACCAAAGTACGGGTTGTCTTTTGACAAGTATCCTGAGAAAAAAAAAGAAAATAGCTGAATTAGCATGCGGGTAAATAAACGAAGATGTTTGCTTAATTCGATTGGGTGTCAAAGAACGGAAAGCGCAAAGGCCATTGTTTAGAAAAAAAATCAAACGATACCTTCTATGTTATCATAGCCCAGAACAACGTCTGCGATGTTACCATGTTTATCCGGCGTTCTAACTGACGTTATCGTTGCACCGTACGTTACGATATCCACCTCTTGACCCGATTTATTTTTTAACGTGTATTTTTCTATGCTTCGACCCTCGATCGATCCCCATTTCGCGACTGTTATCGATCCCTCGCAACTCGCCGCTACCATCGATCTAACCAACAAACAAAAAACAGACGCAAAAGCCCGGATGAAACGAATCTTTGATAAAATCACTGAAACAATGATAGTAAAAGTGGACGCACACGCGTAATCAGTAATTTCTCAAAATCATGGTATGCTTGTTTTGTTTGTTACGTAAGAACTTTATGTCCATCTGTAATCTAGATTTTAGATAGATATAATAGAACAGGTGTACGCCATAAACCGCGGTTATCTTTCGGTAATAACTTCTTTTTGATAGTCAAATTCGTATTACGAAATCGTAAACGCTTTCGTCGATTAAGATCAGTGTTATTCATTAAATACATATGTATAAGTTATTGAAATGATGAACACAATTCGACAGATCGTTCACGATGCTTCCACTCTTATCATTTATCCATAGAAGCTAAACACCGACGCGACTAATCTTACCCGAGCAAACGAAGAATTATTATCGCAACGCAACGAGTAAGCTGCATGCTGATGTGAAAAGCAACGTTACACTCGTAGAACAACGTTATTGAAAACAGCTGAAAGTCACAGTCTCTCGTCCTTCGTTGACATCTGACTACGAGGCGCGTGAAATACATACATCCGATGTATGGAACGATTCTGTACCACTCTACGTACCATCATATTTCTTTCATCGATTCGTCCAATCATAGAGCGATAATTGTGATGGATCGAATACGAATTGTAAAACATATAAATAAAGAATTAGAGAAAGAACGAGCGAGCACATGTTTCACCTAATTTTTTTCATTTCTTATCTGAAACGTATTAATCGCAAACATATTAATATGTAACGGAAGAATTCCTTTATCTGATACAATCGTCTAATCGACATTTCATTCAAGTTCTTTACAAGTAAAAAAAAAAATGATAACAGGATAAGTAAATTAAAAATTCATGGATCGAATAAAATTCAATCGTTAATTATTCTGCACCTTAACTAATTAATAACGACTCGTTATCGTGGTTTGTCTTTGATATGACCTCGTTAAGTTGCTACTCGAGATAACGGTTGCACGTTCGTTTCCCATGGTCATAGTTGAATAGCCTTAGGAAGAGCATTGTGTACCGCGTAATTTTGAAAAACGTCTAATCGTTGATAGCAGCGTGATTAGTTTCTTAGAAATATTCCATCCGTTGATGCGTCATTGTAAATATGCGCAAGCGTAATACTTACATCGTTTCATGTTTTCCTACGTTCGTCATTATTCTTATTTGCTTTCATGTGTTTAGAGTCGCATGGAAAAAAACCCCCGTTTAAATTTGTATATTGTTTTCTATTAGGTTATTAAAGGAAATAAGTCGCAGGAGAATAAAGTTTCGGATAAAAATCTTACCTAGTCTTCTCCATCAGGGTAGCACTTTTATTTGTACGACGAAAATTTGTAGATTAAACCTCCAATTGTACTGTAGACGTGTAGATAACACTAATTTCGCGATTGAGTTTACATTTGCGCGCGTACTCATATCCGTGTACCAACCACTTCCTGTGCATATGTATACAATATTGCATATATAAATACGCATACATAGAGAGGTGCACAATAAGGAAGGTGGTAGTTAACAGCGTTGGTTAAGGCATAACGGCGCTGTCGTCGGTGAAACAGGAAAGAAAAGTGGGGTCGATCTAAGCGTCGATTGGTTCGTCCATGTTACGTGTTGGAACTCTTTCCCTGAATTGTGTCGCACATTTGTGTCATTTTGTGCACGAATACCATTCGGGGTACACACACGAACTCCTTTGTTTATATCTTTCAACAATTTTTAGGATTTTTGCAATTAGAATCGCACAAAAAGTATTAGCGAATCACGTCTTTTTTTTTTTTTTTGGTGCAGTACTGGTGAATACCAAGAGAAACTTGTTCCGTTGAACAGTGATTATTAGCAGTCGTTCGAACGATACCTTTCCTCCTTTCAGTTCGTTCGTTCGTTTCATTTTTTCTCTTGCGTTTGATTTACGTGAACAATTATAATAATAATAGAAGAAAAATTGAAAATAATTGAGAGCGGAATAAGGTTTTATACGTGGCAGAAAAGAATAGCGGTGAGTCAGTCGTTGAAATCGAATACGAATCTACGTTTGGACCATCGGTGGAATTTTCAATAATTCTACGTTTGCGGGACGAACCTTTTCTATTTAAAATCATCCAAAGCATTGGCCACGGCTATTCTAACCTCGAACCCGACGCGCATATACGAGAAGAAACGGTTCAGAAGAAGCGTCGAAAAGGGAAGCCTAAAAAGCAAGTGGAGGACGCCCGAAACCGCTTACCAGAGCTACGTTGAAAACTACTCGAAAGTAAAAGCAGGAGAACCTTCGGTTCGCGCAACAATTATCTACGGCAGCAGTTTTGCAAAGTACAGCTGTTAAAATGGGTCTAGGAAACAAGGTGTGTACACCGTAATTATGTATATGTGTATATATATATGTATATAATTAAGGCTTTTCATAAAATACGATATTTCTGCGACGTCTAAATTCGACGCGTCGCGTCGATATCAATCGAAGCTGCGCGTCCATGCGAATGCATTTCCATCTAATAAACGAATTTCAGATCTGAAAAATTTGATTTTCCAAAATCGTTCTTCTACGATCCATCCTCGATCCGAAAGAAATTTTTTATATACCATTCACTAAGAGAAAATTTGAACAACAGTCGATACACGTTTACATATTTTTCAGACGTAAACGAAACACTTGGTTTCTGTAATTGGTGCAGTGTACGTACGCGAACCGTTCTATTTATAAACCCCCGCCATAAAATCGAACCAGCGATACGCGTGTTATCAGCATATACGTGTAAATTGTTAAAGCGACATAAAAAAACTGTTATTCTAATGTAGTAAATTTTTTTAAAAATCATTTAATAGCAGGTAGCAGGTCGATTAGCTAATATGCATTTTGTGATAAAAATAAAGAAAAAAGTACTAAACATATGCAGTCGCACACAGTCGGGTATTTTTTGCCAACTAGACGAATAACAAGGTAACGGAAAGGAGCGAAATATCGTGTGTTAGAATACGGCGTAAGAAGAGAAAGGATAAACGAGCAGTTTGTCGATAACCGTGTATCGAATTTTGTATCGATCGGAGGTGGTCGCGCGTCACATTGCACAAGACCGACATTATTGTTTGTCGCAGGTTCTATCTCCGATACAGTACAACCTTCGGAGCCACGATCGCATAATTTCCTGTTGTTAGCATTGATAAATAATATTCATTTTTCAAAGTATTTTCATGTTTCAAAGAATCATAGGTGAAATCGAGTGAATCAACATTACACCTTTTGAAAGAATTTTATTATCAGGGAAGAAGATTTGCTCATGTCCGATCGGTCGTTCCGCGATAAGGGGATTGCGTTGCTTTGAAATTAAAATTTGTCCTTGATGCTTTGTCAACGGTGCTCGACATTGTTCTTAAAATTAAACCGACGCGTGTTTCTCGAACGAAAAGTAGGCTCGAAAAGTAGGTTACCATTCGAAGCAATTTTAAACTCGTTCTCCACACGAAAGAACGTCTGGTTGCATCGATTACTAGGCGAGGGAGGATCAGCGAATTCGCTAATTGGCCATTGATAAATCCTATTAAACGGTTCATTCGTCTTTTCTCAAGAAACGTTCAAAGTCGAACATTCGAAGGTTCAAACGACGGAATTTTTGGTCGTGGAACTTTTTCCCGAACAGAAGCGATAAACGGATTAACCGTAATAGTTGGTTATTAGCATCTGTTTTCATGGAACACTTTTTACAGAAACTTTACTCGAGAAGCATAAGTTTCCCCATTAATCCCTAGATTTCGCGTAATTGCACTATCAAGATCGCGACGTTAATTCCATTATCTCGGTTCTCGAGTGATCACATCCACGATTATGTAATCGAAAACAGTTAATTACAAGAAATATTTTCGAGATCGAATACTCTAAATTGTTTTCACTGCGTTATTTTTTCTCTTTCATTACGATTTCTTATATTCGAATAATTCTTGTTTTGAAATTCCGATCATGGTCACATTTATCGTAAGATCAATATTTACCGACCGTGGAAGAATAAGAAAAACGATTGATGCGATGAGTCATCGGAGGAGGAATTAAAGGGCGGTGGGACGATTTTCCTCGAACCGATTAACAACGATGCTGCAAACAAGAGGGAACGAGGGGATTCGCTCGATTTACTCATCACGAGGTTGACGCATTGCAATAACTTGTATAGATACGTGACACAACACGTATCGTGTAATAAAACGTAAATAAGCGAATAAACAGATTCGCGTTGAACGATATGTTTTTAAAAACGCTTTCAAAACGTTTATCGATCCTGACGAACGGCTTTGGTCGGGAAAAATGTTTTCCATGCTCGAGGTTCCGTAGGATGATCGCGCGGAGAAAGGATCGCGTTATACGCAGGACAAAATATCGATCGTTATTTTCGCGCAAGTCTTCTAACCAGGGCAAATCGTTGCGGCGAACCAGACTATAGTTCACGACGCGTTCCCACGTCCACGAACGAGCACATTTTCACCTCTGTCGAAAGTCGCATTTCACTGTTTCATATTTTTCAATGAAAACGCGTCCGTAGGGTGTTTTATGATACGTTTCTCGGCCGATGGCTGGTAGAACGAAGAACAGAGAAGAAAATCAGCGCTGAACCGGTGAATCGAAACGATTCGTCTAATGGAATTCCCGTAAAACGCGAATCCGCGTTATCCGTACGACGGATAACGCTGAATAAATTGAATCTGATCGTGGAACCATTAGAAAAAATCAAAGGATAACGGGTGAAAGTGTTCTCCAAATAATCGGCTTCGGCTGGGCTCTTGACCTTGACTACAATTAACGCGTAAAGCGGCTTTGGCCGGCTTTGAATATACGAAAAACTGATCAGAAGCCTTAGCAGAACTAAGGGTTGAAGAAATATATAAATAAAGGATCGAGGATCGAACGGGTTATCAAACTCCTTTTTCGCGCCACGTATTTTCCTAACGTTCATCGAACTTTTTGTACTGTGTTTTCTACGTTAGATGTCCGAAGAGAACCCAGAGATGCGGGAAATGGCAGCGCGCATATGTCGAGACTACCTTCACGGGGTATGGAAGCACGTTACCGCGGAGAACATTACACTGAAACGTATCAGGTTAGTGTGCTGCGATGGTATTTCTGTCGTTCGTTGCTGACAGCGTTGTTTTCGATACGTTACCGTTACAAGGCACCGTCTCGCAACGATAATCGCGTTCGACTTTCGTACACAACGAAAGCAGTCTAATTTAAGTTAAAACAAAATTAAACGCTTGTTCTCGCAGCGGCGGCCTCAGCAACTGGCTGTACAACGTTCAGTTACCCGACGGAACGGTCCCGATTCGAGGCGAACCACGCCAAGTTTTGTTAAGGCTGTACGGTCAAATACACGGCGAAAGAGCTCTGGAAGGATTGATCACGGAATCGGTGATTTTTACGTTGCTGTCGGAAAGGCGGCTCGGACCAAAGTTACACGGCATATTTCCAGGCGGCCGAATCGAAGAATACATACCTGCTAGACCGTTGCTCACCAAGGAGTTGGCCGATCCTACATTGAGCTCGATGATCGCCGAGAAAATGGCTCAGATTCATATGATGCAAGTCCCGATAAGCAAGGAACCCACTTGGCTTTGGGACACCATGGCCAAATGGCTGGACACGGCTACCGATATCCTGGAAAATACAGAAGATATAGACGCGCGACACCTGAAGAACGTAAACGCGATACGGGCGATCGACTTGGGCCATGAGATCGCTTGGTTCAGGTGAGACTCGTCATTTGTCTCGTTTTTTACATTCTTATCGTTGTCGCTGATAGATAACACTTTACAAGTTTGTTTTTGTTATTGTCAATTCACAGGTTTCTCGTAAAGCAACAAAAATATCCCGTCGTGTTTTGTCACAACGATATGCAAGAGGGTAACATACTGCTACGACAAAACACACGGAAACCGGAACTGGTTCTTATCGACTTTGAATACTGTTCCTATAATTATCGAGGATTCGACATAGCGAATCATTTCGTCGAGTGGCAGTACGATTATACGGCAGCGGAATATCCTTTCTTTCACGAACGCACAGGATCTGGTCCTACGAAAGAACATAAGGTAAGTGTCGGAGAACTACGACCCTTAAAAAAGTATTCGTAGGAAAAGAGGTAAGAGTAAGAATCGTCGCATTATATTGTCCTTCATTATATCTCGTGCAACTTGTCTTGCGCCCTCGACGAATCGGCCCGATTTGATTCCAACCGACCCAGGTATACGGCCCTGTTCCAGTACGCGTATTATCGCGCGATCGGTGACTCTTTTAACCTCATAAAATCACTAAATTTCAGTTGAAACGTGTTCAAAAGGATAATCCACGACTCACGTGTTAAGGTATGAAAATGTTAAAGACGGAGAACTGAGGTGTCGCGAGCGCCCTCTTCCCTCTTTCGAAGGAAGTTACTTTCCCACTCTACATTACCTCATGTCGGTACGCTTTTACGCGGGTTCGTTATTTTTCGCTTGCGACGATCACGAATTCATCGATACGCGTTTTACCATGATTACTTTTTCCATTAGAAAACACTCGACGAAGAAACGTCCACTTTTCACGATTTACGTCGAATCGAAACAATCGTATACTTATAATTAGTGGTAACTCGCGCGTTTGAATTTCGCTGTTTTATCGATGCCCTCTCCTTCCCCCCTAATGCCTCACTCTTACACACCTATTTCCAGATCTTTCTTACAATTATATATATATATATAGTCCCGTTTTTGACCAGCTCGTGTAAAAGTTGCAAAATTCAAAGCGCAAGACCAAGTTCGATCGTATGCGATGGCGCGCAAAAACACGCATACGTAGCTGTGTGTACTCGGTACTGCGAATTCGAGAATTATCGAGTGCAGATCGAGGACTGGTTGGCGTGTGCTGCGTGTGTATATATTAGTTTCACAGGACCACGATTCGGTGAGACAAGGCTGATGCCTGCGATCGGCTAATCGGAATAATGGACGGCAATATCTATCCGCCAGTGCGATGGATCCTGTCTCGCACCGTACCGTTGTGGAACCAGAATGACACCGGTGCCATCACCCACCTTTGCAACATCAGTCCCGTACCTGCGCATCTACGACTCTAGAGTACCTCTACACGCACTCTCGATAGTCGATCCATAATCTACATTGCTCGATAAATGTACAGTGTCTTATATGGGTGGTAAAATCGCGTTATTTCCAATTAAGACACTTTCCTCATCGCGTTCAATTTATCCATTTACCGATTTATCTAAGTACACACTTTCAAGTATCCCTCGTGAACGCGTGATTTTACAAATCCGATCGATCACGTTCTTATTGACTCGTTTACATTTTTTCCACCTACGCGCATACCTTCTAATCTGCATAACATCATTCTCGCGTTATAACGAATTCTTTAATTATTTTCATGTTTCTTACCCTTTTACGGAACAACATAATTTGTTTTTTTTTTTTTTTAATTTTTTTAAATTTTTTAATTTTTTTTTTCGTTTACTTAATTTTGTTCGCGTATGATTCGCGCATGCGCGCGTAACAGCGCACCAACTTTTATTCGTGTACAGTACGTACCGGCATATATAACCTGTTTATATATGTTCGTACTACGTACAGAAACCATGTATATACCACTTTTCTATCTTTTCAAGTATCTTTTTATTTAAGTTAATTCGATTCTATTCAATCTTCCCGCCGAAATTTTGTTGCCCGTTTAACAATTCCATTCTTTCGACAGCTCAACTTTGTAAGAAGTTACTTGAAAACGATGGGCAAAGAAGGACCGTCAGAAGAGGAGCGAATCATGATGGAAATCAAGATATTTTCTTTGGCTAGTCACTTATTCTGGGGCCTGTGGAGTATCGTCAATGCAAAACTCTCCGAGATCCCATTCGGATACTGGGTAAGTCCATCGTTATTCGCTAATTATCTAGATCACGGTTTACGTTTCTCTTTATTTATCCACACAGGATTATGCGGTTTCTCGACTAAAAAATTACCAATACATGAAGGAGAAGATCATGGTGTCTGGACCACCGACGATAAACAACGAGATTACCGAGAAAACAACGGTGGTAGATTGAGATAAGCAAACTCCTTGATCGTCATGGTGTAGAATGATTTCTATGCGACGTGACAACAAACAACAGTTTGCTCGTTACATTTGCATACGTTCGTGATTATCTTGCCGAAATCAAAGCGTCACGATTTATCGTTATCTCTCGTTATCAGAAATCGTGATACGTGTCTTTTAAGTTTCCTAACAGGGAGAGAGGAAAGATATTCGAAAAGGAGAGGTGATGAGAGCGGAGACGAGGAACCGGGCACGAGCGTATGTGTACGCCTGCTCGTAAGACTGACTGACTGCTGGACGATTAGATTGAAAATAAGTAAAAAGGCTGGGGGTCAGGGGTACTGGAGAAAAAAGAAACGAAAGAAAAATAAAAAAGAAAGAAAAGGAAGGAATAGGAGGATGCCTTACGAATTAACAAATGTGATATAGGATAAGAGCGGTGTATTACGTCTCAACACCACAAACTTTTCAGGGAATAGATGCTCAATCCCCGAGTCAGACTTAACACACTTGGACAGATACGTATTGGAATTTAGAGCGTTATCCGGATATTCCTATCGTTTGTAATTGCGTTGTACGTATATACATATGTATACACGTATACATATTACATATACCCTGCGTACTTACTCGTGCACATCTGCATATATATGTGTGTATACATATGTACATATGCATGTATATATAGCTTATTTGTACATAATTACAATTTTGTTGTACCTGGATCGTTGCAATTGGAATAGGACATTTTGTGCGCTTAATGGTAAGCAGTAAACTCTTCGTATTCCCCGTCGCATCTTGCGTACACACATATGTACTTAAATACGTCTATCCGCCTCGTTCCTTTGCCACGAGTGATAAATCATCCTGCAACGGAACGAAAGGTAATAGTAAATTGACTATCACTTACCAAACTTTCATTTCCGTGCCGATATAGAAAGGTATCATTTATCGAAATCTTCTCTTACGATTTTTTAATAATACTTTGCGTCTTTGTAATCTTTCTACCGTGATTGTGCATTTTTCAAATACGACACATGCTTGTAAGTTGATCGAAGAATAAGTTTCTTTTAATAAAGTTGAAACAAATGTTTTATGTTTTTCAATCTGTTGTTTTCTTTATCCAATCATAAAAGTTCACAAATTGATTTTTCTTTTCCCATTCTCTGCTTAATTTTGTGAGGAACCCACATTGAATAATAGATAGAAAAAATGGGTAATTAAGTATTTACATACATACCTAATTTCACCTGGGGGTATTTTGGGATCTCCAAAATAATGAAAATTCGAGAACAAAGGGACGTCCACTCTTTTTGGTAGTCATTTTTGATACTTATAATTGTTATAGAGGGCGTATACTGTTACAGATGGCGCACTCCATTTCTAAAACGCGTGCTGTCAGATGCAACACAGTTCAATGAACATAAACGTATAGTGTCCGGTGTTTTTGACGTAAACATATAGATTCCCGTTGTGTTATTCGTTTTGGAAAAATCTTTAAAGCATTTCTGACAACGACAGCTTGTTTTAACGCAGCTAATTTGGATCTTATCGCTGTCCGGCGAACTCTCGCGATCCAGAAACGATGGAAGTCGAAATAAGTGCTGATGAATTAGCGCCAAAATCGAATGAAAACATAACAACGTCGGACAGTTGTCCAAGTGGCGATAAAGCCGAAGAAGAGAGTCAAGTGATTGAAAAAGAAATGTCTACTACTGATTCTAGCATTTCCGACGCGTCGAAAGAACACAGTATGGAATTGACGGAAAATTACGCAGCCGATTCGTCCGAGGACCCTAATTTCAAAAAACCGACCGTGTTAATTGATGCGAAACGTTTTCGACCAGTAAGTAAAACTTCCAAAACGTCGGTATCGGTAAATCAATGTTCGTCCGAAAGCAGTGATCCGGATCAATTAGACTCAAAAGATCCTCCCTTTCCGTACAAAGAACCACCTTGGGGAGGAAAATCAGAACAGGAGTATAAAATGGAAGTGTTAAAGTCTGGAGTCATCGTAGAGACAATCTTGCTCAATGAACAAAGTTTTTATATCATTGGACGGTTACCATCGTGTCACGTATCGCTTGCTCATCCAACTATTTCAAGATATCATGCCGTTTTACAATACAGATCCAGAGAAGATGGGGAAAATTTCAAAGGCTTTTACATTTACGATCTAGGAAGTACTCATGGAACATATTGGAATGGAAATCGTATAAAACCTTATATTTATGTAAGAATACGAGGAGGTCATATGCTCAGATTTGGTTGCAGTCAAAGGAAATACATTTTACAAGCACCTCTGGATGATCAAGAGGAAGAATCACAATATAGTGTATCAGAGTTAAAGGTATTCCTCGTCTGTCTTTCTCAAATTTTAGTCGTATTTTCTTGTAACTGTGCGATGATAAATAAAAACAATGTTACAGGAAATGAGAGTATTGCAAATGGAGAAACAACGAATAAATAAAGAACTCGAAGGAACCGCTCAAGAGAAAGAAAGCGATGGTATCGATTGGGGTATGGGAGAAGACGCGGACGAGGAGACGGATTTACAAGAAAATCCGTATGCTTGCATTACCGACGAGGATTTAGTCTTAGACGATCCTAAGAAAACTCTCCGAGGATGGTTCGAAAGGGAAGGATACGATCTTCAGTATCAGACAGAAGAAAAGGGAATTGGACAGTTTTTATGTTGGGTAGAGTAAGTGGTTTTGCTTTAATTTTTAATATCAAAGAATTTCTAACGCTATTTAACGTTCCCAAAATATTTAGTCTACCCATGGAGGACATCGTTGGTCATACCGTTAGAGCAGAAGCTGTTGTCAAGGGTAAAAAGAAAGAAGCAGTTGTGCAGTGTGCACTGGAAGCGTGTAAAATTTTGGACAAATACGGCTTGTTGAGACAAGCGAATCACGGTAAGTTGAAGTTTATGTAAATTCACTTCTTTTACTGATCTTGTTAATTATCAATGAACAGAGGCGAGGAAAAGGAAAACAAGGAATTGGGAAGCTGAGGATTATTATGATTCCGATGAAGACAACTTCCTCGATAGAACCGGGTCGGTCGAGAAGAAACGAGAACAGAGGATGCGATTAGCTGGCAAATTAGAGGATAAAGCAGAAACGTATGATTCGTTGGTAAGTACGTTTAAGACAAATTAAACACCGACGTATTCGTGTATAAGTTGAACCACTATTTTAACCGTCCTTTTAGCTTGAAAAACACAAACAAGTTACGAAACGAATCTCGCAATTGTCGACTTCAATTGAAAATTGGCACAATGCGAGTAATAAAGAGAAGGAAGCACCGGAAGAGGATGCGTTGGATGCTTTCATGTCCAGCTTGAATTCTTCCTCTTTGACTAAAAACGATATTGCTAAGATGAAAGTAGAATTACAGAATCTTCGTAAAGAGGAAGCGAGTTTAATCAAGTTATTAAATTTGACCCGGCCTGCGAATTTACCTCCTCTAGTTTCTTCCAACGTTAACACAGAACAAATCACACATCGCGGTAAAGCGACCGAAACTGTTACCCAAGGATCGTCGGAAGTAAACAAAATTCAAGATTCCTTGATTCGACGTACAAAGGTAATTTTCCATTTTTTTTTTTTTTTTTTACAAATATCACTTTTTAACATTCTGATATATCATCCAGGAAAAACAAGCGAATCAACGAGCACACGTAGATCGTAAGTCTATCGTACCAAGTACAACCAACGACACAAGGACGGAAGCAGAATCTGAAGAGGAAGTGGATAGCGAGGACGATAACGAATTGATTTCGTCACGTGCTTCACCGAAAGAAACCGAGGAAAGTTCGAAAACTTCCCCTGATAGTGTAAAGGAATCTTCCGAAGGAAAAGAAGCAAAGGGAAAGCAACCGCAGCGTGAAGTTAAAGTAACGAAGAAACGGCGACAAGAGCAAGAAAAAGTTAATTACGATCAGGACATTTATACGGACAATTATTCGATGTGGGTTCCTCCACAAAATCAAGCAGGGGATGGGAAAACGAGTCTTAACGAAAAGTATGGTTACTGATGAAACGGGACCAAATTCAGTCAGTTACAATGCCGTGTAATTGTAATTTGTTTTTAATTATGTTTCATTGTACGACATTGTAAATATTGTATATAATATATGATTATAACGAAATGTTTTAATTTCGAAGTTCATTAATGGGATGTATCATGATTATAATACACTGATATACGTTTTGTTTTATACGCTTTCTATCTGAATGTACCTTTCAACCTGATCAATGATGAAATAGCAAAAAGAGATACTGGTAAAATAACGGTATTCGTTACCTTTCTTAAATATATTAGCTAATTTAATTTCTTCCCATATCCGTATAATTGATTTAACGGATTTGACACGAGTTTTGTGCGTGTGACAGGTACTTTCTTGAAATAAAATAAAGAAAAATTCTACTTCTTTCATTTGATTAGAATTCAATTTTAATGAATCAAGATTATAGATGGTGCTGACGTGTTCTAAACTTCAGTGAACAAAATCGATACAAGCGCGACTTTCATTGAATCATTTCGAATACCTATATACACACGCAGACGTTTGGATGATTATCACTTTTTAAAATTTTAAATTCTCCCAGGAAATCAGAAGATGGATTATCCAGAGGGGCAGTATCAAGTATCTTATTTCAGAACGAGTACGTATATCAAGCGTATATGTAAAACGTATAACCTAAGCAAAAAAATTATGAATACCGTTAGAACGTTTATGAAGCTGTTGCATTATTTTGACAAATCTTATGTTTGAGACTATGCACGTAACATTCTAGTATTGATGCGTACGTTTTATTTCTCAAAACTTAAGATTCATTACTAAACATGATTATTTACATGTATATGTTCATTTTACCAACGTCACTAATGACGTTAATTGAAAGGTAAAATTCTGGACTTGTAAACTAAACATGTTCCGAAGATGAATCAAATTGTAAGCGAACGTTCTTTAGTACTCTGATACACTAATTGAAAAATTACTTTGAAACTTTGATTTTCTTTGATAAATTTGGTATAGCATATTTTGATCTTACTTTGGAAATTGATAGTGTGGACTGCAGTCGCATCTATGGGATGGTATATTCTTGCACTGGCCATCTGTTGTTGGTACGCCTCTCCATATATTCGGGAAAGGTATACAAGATGGAAGTTGAGGAAAGACGAGGAGGATTATGCTGCAAAATTCCATAAAAGTAAGCGATCGATTAGAACATTACAATAGAATGAGTATTCGCTTATTGTCTTTATTTCTAGATCCAGATCTATTGCAAGATAGACTATCAGCTTTAGAAGCTTCCCGGCAAAGAATGCAAGAAAAGTATTATCAAAAATGTGTGCAATCGAAGGAAGAAGAAAGAGAGGTGAATCGTACCTTTATGATACTGTTTTAAGCAGCAATTGTAAAAATGTTTCCATTGCCAAGTATAATAGAGCATCTTTACATTGAATCTGTTAAAAAATAAATAATAATGGAGATTATTTTACAGAAGGAAATAAGGAAGGAAGCATCGAGGTTGATCGACAGCAGTTCGACTGGTTATCGGCTAGGAAGTGCTAGCGATGAATCTACGTTTGTACAAAAGAAATCGAAATCATTGAGAGGAGGTAAATATACGAAAAAGAAATGGTGAAACGTTGAATTTGGAAACGTAACGATCGCGTTACTGTATCGTTTGAAATCTTTTCAGATTATAATCCACTAATGGGCGACAATTCTAGAGGATACCGACCTCCGAAACGGAGCTGCTGCGGCAAAGGCGGTTGCGGCTAATGTCAATTATACTATAAATATAAGCCAATTTTTGTCTCGTTTCCATATTTCTTACGTTTCCGTTACATTACAGGGAGGGAATACATATAAAATGATCGTTCGTACACGGGCGAAACTGTAAATAATTGTCAAGTTGTTGCTTTCGGTTGCAATAAAATAATACAATTTCTCACCGGGGCGTTGAAAGATTATCATTCCATTTTCTTTTCCACCTACCTTGTTTAATTACCAACGACGTTCAAATAAAAAGAGAGGGAGGTGGAATAGGAGAAAGTAGTATCCAACTTTCTTTCGATCGATCAACGGAAATTAGGGCGGTGAAATTGGTATAAAATGCTCGAAATTTTTAACGTCACTTTTTCTCTGTTTTTTTTTTCTTTTTTTTATATTTTTTAATAGTTTTTTTATTAATAATCGTTACTCGCATATTACGTAACGTCTTCGTATATCGTCTTATATGTATACGTATTACTTGACAATATTAATCGTTACTTTTTAATTATCTACAGTTGTGCGCGCATGTCCGCCTGTAATGCGTATATTATTAATTTGCATCAACCAATGTTTCATTCGGTTCGTCTGTTTCCGATAATATGTTCAAATTGGACAACCATTTGTGCTTGTCTCGTAATAAATAAGTTATTGCCTACGAAAACGCTTACGAACGAGCGATTCGCGTATTTAAATGCGCTTTATTTACAAAATTGTAAAGAAGATTTAAGCTAAATCACTTTGTCAGCCTTCGCATTTAGATGTAGACTTAAATAAGCTAAAAAAAAAAAAATAGAGATGCAATGAAAAATTCGAAGGTATCGAATCGTCGCGTAATTCGCGCGGGTTTGGAACGTTTAATTAGCGCGGATCTTTCGATCGGAAAGTTTAATGATATGACGGGCCACGGTAACGCGCGCGCGCGACTACAAAATATCCCTACGATACGGATAATTGAATTCACTTTTTTTTTTTTTCCCCCTTCTTTCTTCCTTTCTTTCATTCTCTATCGAACAGCAAGATGTTCGAACATCTCGATACGAGGCTATAGAGCAATTGGCAGCGATCGTGAAATCACTTAGGAAAGCTTCGTTAAACTCACCGTCCTCTGTTCGGGAACGAAGTTTTTCGAAGAATTTATTTCTACGAACACAAATCAGTCTGAATTACGTTTAATTTGGTTATTTCGCAAACGGAAGAATATACCGACCGACCGATGTATCTCGTTGGCCGATTCCGTGTTCCGTTTCAATTCTCGCCGGGTGGTCGAGTAAATGTACGCGCCCGGCGAGAGCAAGAACAAGCGGATGAACGCGGGAGCAATTTAGCCAGAAACAAATTGAAATTACGGACGACATTGACGGGGGGTAAAAGAGAGCGACAGGGAGAAGGAATGCGAATGCTAATGCTAACGCTAATGTTAATGGTAATGCTAATGGTAATGGTAATGGCAATGGTAATCGTAATGGCGATGGTTGGTGATGGTAACGGATGGGATTGAGAGCGAGGTTGTAGGTGGTGAGGATTAGATAAAAAAAAAAAAAAAAAAAAAAAAAGAATTAGAAAAAAAAGAAATGGGATACTAGAGATAAATCTCGTTATTTTCGTTCGAGTCGAGTCATAATATGATACAAACGGTACGAACCATCGTAACAATTCTGCAAATTTGAGAAACTATAAAAATAATATTACTTTTCCTTTTTCTCGCAAATTGATAGGATGGTTCAACGTACAAGTAAAAGACCGTTTTCTCGCGATTCTCTCGTGAATATATAGTTTAAGTAGAGATCTCGATATCCCGAACGAATTTTATTATTTCCGTTACCTACATACGCGGTATGTAAGTGTATAAGTAACTACTATCGATCGTTTTGTCCGTGTTGCGGATAGTAATATCGGGTGCGAATTTATGTACAGATTTCGAGGGGCGTCCGTTCTAGCGAAGAACAATAGCTACGAGCCTAGAACGGCATTCATTTTCGTGCCATGCAAGTTGTCTCAACGAAGTTTGGCAAACTCGGCGTACAGTCTAAAAGAGACCTACGCGAGGATAATTCGGGGCTATCGTGTTTCTCCCGTGAATTAACTTTAAAATATACCTTTCTACGTGGCTATGCTTCCCGAATCGAGTTCCAATCTAAACGCTCTACGAAAACGAACCCTCCTTTCGTTTAGTCAATTATACTTTTTTTTCTTTCTTTTGTTACTCGACTTTCTGGATGGATTATGCTTGCATCTATACATAGTATACGGATTCGTCAATTTCCCTCGCAAAATTTTCCACTCCGTGTAGTTAATGTACATTATAAATTGCTCCGTGCCTATACATTCTCCTACGTAGGTAATATTACAGAATTGATATAATCCGGCAGTGTTTACGTTCTCCAAATTTTTCATATCGCGCGCTTCCGATTTCACCGAACTACCCCTATCGATCAGCCAGATTATCCCTTGCTCCTTATACATTTTTCGTTACCATTACTCTTAAACCATTAAATTAATTACAAGAAGTTTGAGCGATTATTATACAGCGTCGCAGCGTTGCGATCACTCGATCAACAACGTAACAGCGATATCCCACCATTACAGCACGGCATATTCTCTAAACACACCTAGAGACGAGTTTCAAGCGAAACGGTCGCGATCGATACGATAACTTGTTCTCGGAAAATTGCGAGAACATTTCCGATCGAACGGTTCCAATTACCTGGAGAAAATCAACGAACCACAGGTCGAGGTGTTTCGCGACGAAAGATCACCAGCTATGACTACTTGTAGAAAATTGTTCGATATGATAATACTTGTCACGTTTTTCAGTCGTTAACGATCACTGTAGGGCATTCTTTAAAAACGTACCAGGCTGAGGCCACGCGAGTGTTCAAAACGGTGCCATTTTTAAAAAGCCGTGCGCGGTTTCAAAGCCCACTTTTCAGAATAATGGCGATCGTTTCGCGGATATTCGTCGGCGATGTTCAAGAAATGTTTGCTCAACGTTTAGGAACGTTATACACGGTTGCAGCAAACTTTTTTCCTGGCGGAAATCTAAAACCTCTAGAAAATAAATGCCACCACGAGAGTAGTTGCCGCCTACGATCAACCACAAATATATTTTGTACGATACGCTCTCATCTCGTCCCGGGATCTATGCGATTATTTTACATCGCGTCGAGTTCACTTCCCGTTCATCGTTCATCGTCCATTTTGTAAGAGAGGAGGGGCAGTGGGAGTATTGAGCAAACAACGAAATGTCAGATAACGGGAAGAAGAACCCCGCCGACTTGGTTTCTCAACCAATTATATCAGAAGTATTGAAAGAGTGCGTCGAACGGCTATGTTCGCGAAAGTGGGTAAAGATAAGTGGAAGGAAGAAATGTAGGGTTGCAGGTAAGTGAAAACAGGTAGATGATCGAAGAGGTTTA